TACATGTTGGAAGGTCCAGATAATATATTGATGTTCGTTTTATTTGGACAAACCTGCGCCGAGGTGTTTTTTTTTCTTCGGGGGGCTAAAAGAACTATTCAAGGGGGGGTCCGGCGTTATGACTGACTAACAACAGGGCTAGCTCCACTCATGGGGACTTATAACCCACGTTACCAATGGCAAGCGAAACCTGAAGCAAGGGGATCCGCAAGCAAAGGACCTACATGAGCCACAGTCAAAATTGTTTGGAAACCACTAAAGGACATACGGTGGATGGACGAAATCCTGCACCACTTTGAAACCATGGAAATATTTGACAGGGAATCATCATTCCAAGGTTTTTTTAGCTGGTGCTGGATTCTGTCCATAGCAGGACAAATAGTGCGGCTGCTGGGCTCGTGCCACAAAACGTAAGTCCCACGTCCACAAATTCACCATGGGCTGGACATGTTGACCGAACCTCGCCGGGGTTCTCCAAATAAAACCAGTGGGCTGTGGCTTCCTTTTGGTTCCCCTTATTCACTACAGTACGGCAAGTCGCTCATTTTACCTTGGCCCACAAAAAAAGGTGCGCTGTAAATTGTACGTTCGGGCAACTGCTGAGGTACCTCAATAACTATACCTCGTCCTCCGGATCGCTCCACTACACCTTGTAGAAGTATTCAGCATGCTTGTATCCCACACCAAACATGGGCCATTCTCAGTTTGTAAGTGGGGATCCCCTGATTGTCAATCGCTGTGTTTGCACATAAAGGCCTACTTCTGAAGTGTGTCTGAAATGTACACCCATCGCCTGTCGTCTCCAACATGCATGTAGTCTCTGCTCTGTCTGCTGAGTCCGTTCTGCAAATGCTTGGCATAGACATTTGTCGCATCGCGCGGCAGATCGTAGCCGGCAGCTTAACTCCTGTGTCGCGCGCGTCCTTCAAGCGGATTTTCTCCCGCCTGCATGCCCCATGCAGGCCTTATACGTACGGGTCTCTGCTCCATATATTTAGTTTACCCTTGGGTGGTCTGGGTATTCCAAGCAAATCAAAAGAAGACCCAAGTTTCTGGAGTTTCTCTCTATGCGGTTTATGAAAGGGTGCCGCTTTTATGGAGGACCCCGGTTACCCCCAGTAAGCTCACCATAAAGGTAGAGCAATGGTATTTCTCTCCTTGCAAGACCTCCTTCGCCAGATACCTGCAGTCGCCCTCCGTGATGTCGTCGCAGCCAGTGCCTAGCATGACACAAGCCAAGGCCCTGAGAACAACAAAGCACCCCATAATTCATAAACCCTGCAAAACAAACCTGTGAAACAGCTGATCAAGGTGGGTTCATATCTTAATGCTTCGTTGATCCCTTGTTAAAAGTTAGACTTCTCGCGGGATGTCACAAATCCGACACTCAACTCTAAGTTTGGTGGGGTGACAACACCTGACAAGATCCACGGCAGGCACCAGGGATAGGCTTCTCTCGTGTTTGGACTTTGGGGTGCAGGACAGGTGGGAAGAAAAGAGGAAAAACAGCTCAGCCCTACATTCAACCCATTGCCAGAAAAAAATGGCCCGGTGGTTATATTAAACCAACCATGGTCTTCACGAAAATTGGTTCCGTCCACATCCGTCCACATGTGGTCAAGACAGCCGTCAGTGTTTTTGTGGCGGTCTCTGACCGAGTCCGCGGCCCATGGCGGCAGACGCCAGACCCAGATCCCCGATCTTGTAGCAGCCTCAGCCATCTGTTTGGTGAGCGATGGACCAGATTTGACCAAGTTCCATATGACAAACACAGAAGAAGTCGATGTGTACCCACCTTCTTTGGAGAATATTGGGCGGAGGCTTTGAGTCCTCAACATGACCTCTATCCATGGGGCCTGGAGCTTGGTGTCCTCATGAGACCATTGCCGACTTCCATGTCGCTCTGTTGGTGCCACAGAATCAGATACTCCACCTGTTCAAAAATACACGGTATGAAGTCAATTTCTGACCAAACAAAAGTATATTAAATGTAGGTACAGTGAAACACCAGGGTTTTCAATATGCCCTGAAAACAGCGGGTATTTGGAGTAGGGGGAGATATTCAGCAGTGTCCAGTGTCGGCTCCTTCCGTTCAAAACCAAAAGCGAAGACCCAAGCAAATGGAAGCAGTTTGTATTTTTCTGCCCTACCCTGCTTCGACTGCCTGTCGCCTTCAGCAGGGCGTCGGCGTAGCCAGGCTTCACCGCGCCGCGAGCGCGCACAAACTTAAAATTCCCTGTTTTATAGCTGCATTATAGATCCTTCTGTCTTCCAGTTGGGATTCAGTGTAAGCAAACAACCCAATTGTCTCTTCATATATATATATATATATATATATTTGTTCGCATAGTGCAGCCAGTTCTGTCGAGGGCGACCTCCAACACAAGGCATCCTGCAAAACAGCAACAGGTGAAGGTTAAAAGAACATAGTTCACCTCACGCAGTGAGTTCCACAATAGTTGCGAAGGTATCCAAGTCACTCCCTGAATAACCAACCGACCTGCCCACCCACCCACCAAACCAACCAACCAACCAACCAACCAACCAAGCAAGCAAGCAAGCAAGCAAGCAAGCAACCAACCAACCAGCCAGCCAGCAAGGCAGCCAGCCAGCCGGCCGGCCAGCCAGCCAACTCGCCCACCCACGCACCCACCCACCCACCCACCAACCAACCAACCCAACCAACCACCCCCCGCACCCACGCTCCCACGCACCCACCCACCCACCCACCCACCCACCCACCCACCCGCCCGCCCACCCACCCACCCACCCACCCCGCCCACCCACCCACCCACCCACCCACCACCCACCGACCGACCAACCAACCAACCAACCAACCAGCCAAACAACCACTCGGCCACCAGGCATAAAGAACCAACCCTAGTCGAGATTGTGGCCACGGCTAGTTCCACTGAACAGCCATACCATTCTTCCAATTACTCCACCAAGGTCCCATCCCCTGCCCTGGGTAGCGTCACTAGAATGATTTCCAGATAAATTGGGAGTGACCATCGATCTCCAAAATCTTACAATCCTTCCAAGAGACCGGGATTGTTTTCCGGGTGTTGCCCCTTTTTCTCGGTGAAACCGCTCGAAACCCCAACCAGGCAGAACTGAATCGATTTGCTCGGTCGAGGAATCGAGGAATCGGCGGCTCACCAAGATGTTGTCCGGCTTGATGTCGAGGTGCGCAAAGCCCAGGCCGTGCCTCGCTGGCTGCAAGCGCGCTGCGATTGAATCGCGCGCCCGATGGACGGCTCTGGACGAGAGTCGTCAGACGGACGCATGCTCAAAAAACAGGCCGAAACAGCCACTGGTCTCTCGCAGATAAAATGGCCCTAACAAGATAAACGAATGCAGCACACAGCCTCTGAGCGCTTGCGAGAAATCATCTGGGACAAATGGAGGGTTGCAAAGCGCGTTGAGGCAAATTGCAAGCGTGCCAAGGTTTTGAGCTTCTAGCCATTTGCGGAGCTCAGCTTTGTAACGTCCGGCCCTGGCAACTTGTGTTATCAATGGCTGCAACGACCTCCGCTATTGCAATGGGCCCTGTACTGATATGAGCGGACGGTCTAGTAGATGGCACTAATCGGCGTTGACAGGTGGAGCTTCGTCCCTCGGCGCCCACTGCTTTGTGTGCAGAATGGGTATGGTAGGGATTTGGACCGAACATAGATTTCAGCTTTCCTTTGGCCTTCCCGATAGCCAACACAAGGTACCACGTCGAAAAGCACGCCCAAATGGCCATGGGCAAAAAACCCAAATCGTACCCCCAGTGAACATCCACTAAAATAGGTTCTAAAATGGGTGGTGCGCCTATCCCAAAATGGGATAACCATTGGCTTTGAACCAAATCCAAATGGCAGCAGAAGGATCGCCCCTCGCCAAGTCGCAGGACCCGCAGGCCGGAGGCAACGTGACGCAGCACCTGACGCAAGCCGAGGCGCCGAGGCGCCGAGGCTCAGCCGAGCGATTCCTTGCCCAGCTTGGACACCGGGAAACCGGTGGATGGACCAAAATCCACCCAACGCACCTAAGAAGCCCTGGTTTCTGATGATTCCCCCCCTGTAAATACCAACAAACCATGGATTCGACCATGGTTTCAAAGTGGTGCAGGATTTTGGCGTCCATCCACAGTATCAACATTGATGTTCATACCTGTAATGAACATGACGGTGTGCTCATCTGGAGGGATGACAGCCATGTGTTTGTCAACAACGGGATTGTGATTATTGAATGTTCAGTGATGCCATCTGTCAGCAACCACAGGAACCGCCCTTTAAACAAAGCCAAATGGCTGTGGTTCAAAAAACCGGTACCAAACTGGAACCCTGGTAAGTGGAACCGAAGACTAAAACCCGCGTAACCCAAATGCCACCCATTCCAAGCTACGCATTGCATCACTCCGGAGGGTGGATTCATCGTGGGAATTCTGGCCCATGCTTCCAGAGTTGTGCGCAGAGTCGAAGTACATCCAGACTCCCCACGCAAAGATTCATGCGCTTGGATGCAGCCGGAACCATCCCAAAGGTGTCCTTGGATGGCCGAAAGAAAAAACAAAAAAAACACATGCATGTGTTGGTCTTTGCCCTGCAGCTCAAACCTTACGAGAGCGTCTACCATCTTGCGTCAGGCTTCTTTAAAGTTGCATGCCACCAATAGCATGCATGCCGTTTGTGAGTAAGCGAACCTTAAAGCGCGCCACAGTTTCAACTCGAAAAGGATCCCAGGTGGGCTCACAAACCAAAACACACTGGACACCTGCTCCAAAACGAAAACCCAGATGCACCCACCTGAGCCACGGTCAACATATTTGCGGTTACCCTTCTCATGTGGAAGTAAGCAACACAAGCCTCGCGTTGAGCACTATCAAGCATTGCAAATCCCTTCATCGATCCCTTGAATGTGGAAGTTTGCGTGAGATGTGATAAACCCCTCCAAACTCAAAACACCCAAATTGATAGAAGTGAATGCATCCAGTTGCCACTGCGGTCCCTACAGGTGACCAAAACAAAACCTGGATACACATGGCAGAGGCACTGGGAAAGCCTTGAATTGATTAAGTCCTGGAAAAAGTAAACACATTTCCAGCATAGTGATAGATTCCCTTTTAAACCAACCAGGGAGAACATATCCTTAAACAAATGGAAGGACCGCGGATTGAGCGGAAAACGAAAACATGGACCGCGTGACCTTTCTTGAAATCTCGCACCTCCAGAATCTCGGGCTCGCTGAACTTGGGGTTCAGCAAATCCTTGCAGAACTTGACCAACATATTTCGCCCTGAAGCCTTTTTGGTCAAAAACGGAATCGGAACCCCGAGATTTTCGAGCTGGTTGCCTGTTCATTTCCCGCAAAAAATCACAACTCCAAAACGGATACCCGTTAAAAAAAACAACCCCCCCCCCCCCCCCCCCCCCCCCAAATTGTTGGACAGTGTTCAAGAAGAGCCAAAAGTCACACCGCCCAGTTTGGGTCCCATGTTAAGAGAAACCCACCGACTCTTTCCAGCCCATGAGTGGCTCGGCCCGAGAAACGCCTGGACTTCCTGTTTGCCTCTATAGACACAAGCCAGGGAGTGAGACATAAACTTGAAGCTGAGAAGGGAAAATTGGAAGGTGTCTGTCCTGTTGAAAAGGCTACCCCTACTCCAAAGACTCGTTTAGGGTATCATGTAAACCTTCTACTCTAATATATATATATATGCCATGGAACACCATGCATTTAACAAATAGAACACCTGACGCATTTTCTCAACAAGTTGAAGGCTGACGATCCAACCCAATAGCAGCCGAGCTTGATATTAACACAGCCCACAAGTGAACCATGTTCAATTGCCCTTTTTCGGGCCGCCTGACTGTGTTTTGAGCTGCTCCAAATGAATTGGGTTCAAAGTTCTGTCCGACCAACAAAGGAAAGGGACCTCTTCCGCAAGGAAAGCTAAGGCTGGTTGAACAACTAAGGTCAAACTCAGCACACCTTCTACTCCAAATGCACGATTGCTTTGGGGTATCATGTCAACCCTTTCCTAAACAAAGGAGGTTGTTCAAAACAAATACACCAATTATCCAAAGGGGGATGTAAACTAGGGAAAATCAGCAGTAATCCAACGAACGACGTGTTTTGCCGTTTGCTGAACTGCTCCACTGCCAGCTCCAAGCTTAGTGAGTCACTAAAGGGAAGGCGCCATGCGGAAACTGTTCCAGACTTCAACCCTTAATCAACTGCTGCGCAAACAACGTTTGAAAGGACTGAAGGAAAACCGAACGGGCTTTCAGGACAAGGCAAGTTAGGCGTGTTTCAAGCTTGCGATTTCCGCACTGCGCCTTTAGGCCCCAACAAATCTGGTGGTCACCAATCCACAAACTTAACACCCAACCCAGTCCAAGCCAACTCAATCCAACGCCACCCCGTCAGAGGCGGGGTCACCCAGCTTGGACTCGAGGATCGAAATGGGTGAATTGTCCCATCGCTCGAGGATCTAGGTGTACGTGTCACCCTCCTGGACCAAGGCCATCCGGCCGTCGTCCCCGTAAGCAAAGCACTCGGCCAAACGTTAGAAGCGCCCATTGGTCCGCGCGCGGCAAGAATAAGCAGGGCCAACGGCAATGCTGCCCTGGGCATGTTCAACATACTTCCCCCCGAGACTCCAAATACCTTCTTTTCGGGGCGCATTTGCAGGCAACAAGACATGGTCTTCCATAGTCAGGTTCTGGGTCAGAACTTGACATCCTACCCTGCCAGAACTTAGGCCGACGAGCTCTCCCCCGGCCTGGCGCTGCTTAAGGCGACCCCGCAAGGACCCGTCACACCTCGGACGCCCAGAAAAAGTATGGTGAATTCCCTGCACACCAATCCAAGGCTTGGCATTTCCTCGGATTACACCCCGGAAACCACCGAATTCATTCGGAATACCATGGTTTTGCCTGGAAATCGTCCAAAACGCAGGTTGTTTCCCATGGGGTGAAATCCCAGGTTGCAATCAAAGAAAACCTAACCATTTTTTGCCCACACTTAAGGCGTGGTCATCTGTCAAAGGCTAATGGGACTGATGGCTTGCCGCTGCCTGACTTTCTTCCTTCCGGCTATCCTTCCAGTCCTGACTCCGGTGCCTTGCTTCCCGCCCTCCTTCTTGTCTGCATCCAAACAGCGGCGCAGCTCGGCCGTATTTGTTCCACCGGCCGACGCTGCGGAGCGGGTGACTCTGTTGGTATTAGTTCCCGCCAACCTCCTACCGTTGCGCAAGCCGCGATTTTCAGGGCAAAGGGGCGCCGTCATGTTGAAATTCAACCAAAGCCATCCCAATGACGATTGCGAGACTGGGCTGCCCTCAGATCCCCCGCTAAAAGTTTAACTTTTAGTGGGTTAAATGGAAACTGCCACTAAACACTAAAAAGCTAAAAGGCTAAGGGGATGGCTGGGAGCCACCAAGGAGGGGTGGCAACGATGACCAACACGCCATGCTCTCGCTCACCAATACGAACGCTGAGCCGCCGGACAACTCCGTCTGAATGTGCAGCCGCCCGTCCTTGCGGGAACCCCCAGGTTTCCTTTCCCTAGGGTGAAGGAGATAGCACAAATCCCTTTGTGGAGAACTACCATCAACAGGCTTCAACGCGTTTATAGTAGATAATTCAGGGATGCCTTTAAAAACCAGATGGAAAGCGGTCAGTTTCCCATAGAGGGTTGCGGTACACTCGGTTGGATCTTCAAACCAAGTAGGTTGTAGCCACGCTTATTTCTGGGAGTATCTGCTTCCCCGACAACCACAGTAGTAACCTACCCACTCATGGCCAGTTAGAACCATGATTGTAACTTACTGCACCTAAAAACTCCAAATACTCGCGCTTTTTAGTTGGTCTCATGTCAACCAAATAAAGCAAATATCGGTAATTATTTAGCTTAGAAAATCAGGTTATTGCAAATTAAACTAACAAAAGAGTTGGTATTTGGATTTGAGGGTAGTCTGGAGTCTGATTTTTACAGGCACCACCCCGCAAAAAGAAAGGAACCCAATTTCTGTTCAATGCTCACCTGCCAGTCATCGGGGAATGCTGGAGGTTACTGGGGATTGAACGTCAAAGGTTGAACGTCAACGTGAGCGGAGAATCTAAAGGTCAACAGGCTGAATCAACCTCGCGCCAGGGATCAACTATCGAATCAGGGATCAACTATCTAGAGGAAACTAGCCAGCAAAACCCGTTTTTTGGTGGGGTGGCCGATTTCACGTATGTAAAATGTTCTGTGGCTGGTCTCTGTCAAGCTAGGCAACAACGAGTGAATGGAACGACTTCACACCCCGACCATCATGCACCCAAAGATACAACACGATCCAAGTTGCGCCAGTTTGGGTTGCGATTGCGCTAGTATCACTGCACATATTATGCTCGAAACATTAGTGTAATTACTCAGCCCGTCTTTCAATATCCTCACAAGTGGTCTTGAACCTGACAATGGAACCAGCAATGACCTATGCGAGTACCGCTTTCGCCGAGTACCAAGCAATTACAGAGAGGAAGGTTGTCCGTGTCCCAAACCAGGACCCTGTTTGGATGCGTGCAGAGGGACGCCGGACAGAACATGTGTTGCCATTTACTCAGGTTCGCATAGAACCCCACAACTGCCTTCTTGAGTGGATCGGGCAAACAAGTCGAGGTGTACCCTTCCCTCACACAAAGATAGCACCTGCAGAAGACTACCTGGAAGATCAGTTTCGTGCAAAAAGGACCCATGGGAGGGAGGGAAGCAGTAAAATTGCCCAGATCCAAAAAGCAACCAAAGTGCCCGACCCCAGGGCGTCGTGACATCGGCTTTAGAGCCACCTCCCTCTTTCAGTCCGCGAAGGGAAAGACTAGTAATGGAAGTGGACGGGAGGTTGGAAAACATGGCACTTTCCCTGAAAAAGGGTCCCTGGTTCACTTGCATGCTTCTTGAACTAAGCAACAACACATAGATAGATCTTGGATGGAGGGACCGCCTCTTTGGATTCAGGCACATTAGAACGCATTGTCTCGCCTCCAGCCAAGAGGAGTAGTAGCGCACAATGTAGGGGCACGCGGCTGCCTGGCGTTTTCACTGCAACGCAGCTCTGGATTCAATCTGTCTTGGACACTCACTTGATCTCTCTTTCATATTATTCTCCAATATGAATATCATTGAGTATCTGTGCACATCTTTGTCCCTTCCTATCTTCAGACATTTATCTGTTCATGTGTACCCAGCCAAAAAAAAAATGCTAACAGTTGAGGCTGGGAAGAGAATGCACGCTTACTTCCGCATCCTTTTGCTTTGTCGAGCGTGTGTCCCAGAGCTTTATCCGTGCACATCTCTCATCCTTGTAGCCTAGACTGCTTGAAACGGGAGGACTCCTCCGCCTGACGAATTGCAAAGCATCACCTGTCCCTTTCCATCGCGTGCCGGCTTCACTGTTTAAAAGTTACGGTAAGAATCCGGGAAAAAAAGGTGGTCGTCAAAGGGAAAGGGATGGGATGGGATGAACCGCCTGCTGGTTCCATCCTCTTCCATCCATGATCGAATTGTCGTAACTTTTGGACGGCAAAGGGTAGGAAGAGGCCCACCTTGGGTTCCGAATCTTTCCTTGTCTATATCTCGCGCGCACGGGCTGGATCCATCGCAGTGAATTAATTTTGAGAGTGAACGAGGAAAAGGATGATTAACCTTCCTGACACCGTCAAATCCTGTCTCTCTTCCAACTGCCATTTTGGGGGTCCCCTTCTAGCCTAAAAGGGACGGCCGCCAATGTCCAATTGGCAAATCTTCCCGCCATCGCACCATGACCCGCCCAAGCCATCCACGGGAAGAAAGCGCGTCTTGGTAGTTTACCTGAGGGTGGGCTGAAGCGGACACCACCACTCACACTTTGCCACCATTCTCTGCCATCAGAACTACCGCCAACACACGAAAGGTGGCCACCCACTGACAGCACCAGCCGCCGCAACCCAGCAAAGATACCAACAAGAAGCTTGCAAACAGCTGCACATATCCAGAAATAATAATATGTATATGCATATGCCGAACACACGCAACCGAGCAGCCAAGCAGGCAGCCAAGCAGGCAGGCAAGCACACGCAAGCAAAAACAAACAACTGCAAGCAGCAAAAACAAGCAAAGGCTTGCAAAATAAAGCAACACAAAAACAAAACAAGCAAAAAACAAGCAAGAACAAGTAACGGCAAGCATGCAAACAAAACCAAGAAAGGGCAGGCAAGCAAAGTCAAGCAATGAAAATCAAGCACGCAAGATCAAGCCGCAACGTCAAGAGTCTTCCAATACTTTCCTCACAGCATCCATGATTGACGGAAGGATCAAATTCCCTCTAAATTGGATTTGGATTGGTGTTTTGGCAGTGTTCCGGAGTAGTTTCTCGTTTACCCTCTGCGAAAGGGCGTTCAAGTACAAGTCCAAACCACCAATCACGGGTTACCTGAGATCAGCTTCCGCTGAGATCAGCTTCGCCCAATTTGGTGGTTTCTAACCACATCCCCCAACGCGTCCGAGAACTAGCGACATGGGCAGCCGCCAAGGGTCGACGCGCGCGTCGCCTCCATCGACACGTTCGCCAAGGCAAAGACTTCCCCGAGCTCACTGGGGCGCAAGCCTCGAGGCTTCTGTTGGCCTGATTGATTTGTTTCCTTGGCTGGGTCCTCCATCAGAGAGGTTAGAATAAGGGTACCAGCTTTTTCTGTAGTTTATTTTAGTGGAACCTGCCGCCAAAAAGGGGAGAGAAGGGCTCTACTGGGGCACATAGTTCGCGGGGCATCAATTTGTTTGTCTTGGTCGTTTTCTTCGGGCTCCCAAATATCCTGGGTATGCGTCAAGAGTCAAGAGACACCCTGAACGTGGGAGTCCTTCTTCAAGCCAACTCGTGCAGGTTGCGGTTGCTTGGACGTGTGCGCTTTTTGAGGGCACCCTTTTTGAATATGTTTCAAGCTGGCTTAAAGAGAACACAACAACAAAACCATTTACCCGGGGGCTTTTTATAGCGAGCCCTGCAACGGTTTCCGGGTGCTGTCATGCCATGGCCTCCGAGACTCCAATTCTCCGGGCTGCCGGACCCTTCAGAATGCGGCTGGTCTTCTTGACCTCAACGACTCGCGTGGCTTTTCTGGAGCACTCCAAACCGCTGAAGGGTTGGTTCCACATCCCTGTCCTACCAGGTTGGGGCGGATGGGGTGGGGTGGGGGGGTTAGGCATTTCTATAGGATTGCCAAATGATTGTCAAACATTCGACTCACTAGCAACTTGTCGTAGTTTGCCGACTGGAAATATGGGACTCCCAAGAAAATAACCATCATGATGGGTGACGTTGCAACCCCCCCCCCCCTGGTGCTCTCCAGTTAATTTGCGTAGGTCATTCAACAACAGCTGAAAGCTATGAGGGTTCTGCCCTAGAAAGGCTCCGGAGTGGTTCGGAGCAGCTTTCAGGGAAGGTTCCGGAGGGTTTCGGGGCTGGGGCTATTTTGTAGCCTGTGGAGTAGGGGGTAATTTGGCCTACCCAAGGTCATGTAAATACATCAAATGGCGTCCGCGCCTACTTGTGTTTGGGGCTCTCCCTTTCTAATTCTCACCCACCCGGGATTGAATTGTGGCTCACCGCTTCTTGGGTTGAATTGAAAAGGAACCCCCCTCAGAAAGGACCCACAACGACAGAACCGGACGATTTGCTTCTATAAGACGTGGTTCCTTTCCTCGACTGTACGAGTTCATTGCTAAAACAAAATGATATCCACCTCAGATGCAATGTGAACATGGGACTTGAGCGTGCGCCACAAAGTCTGCTGTCTTCGAAAACTACCTGCTAGCAAAAATGGGCATGCCCCGCAGCAAAATCACTCAAACCTTTTCCTTTCGCCACGGCATGCTGATCTCGAGATTCATTTCGTCGTACACCCGTTCCTGCAGACTTGCCGGACGAGATAAATGGGGACCCAATGGTTTCCGGGCGTTTCAACGCCCAGAAACGTGAAGGGTGACACGACAGAGCCGCCCTACTTGCCATCATGGCGCAGGAGGGAAATCCTAGAAAGAACCGCATGGAAACAAACCTAGGCAATTCTGTGACGCAGCATTGCTCATGGCACAGAAAACCGTTGTTTTGCGGGATTGCTCTTTTGGGCACATCCCTAAACGCTTCTCCCAGCAGAATAGCAAACAAGCATGTTGGTCGAGCCGTAGGTTAGTTTGCCCTGTAGTGCTCCTGAACAGTGTCGCGTTGGGTGTTGGCTTCCTTTTCACTTTCCCTTGTACAAACTATCCAAGGTGCCCCGAATGTGATTGGTCGGATAAATTCGAATGCTGACCAAGAAAACTGCATGGGTCCCTGCTCTTTGCCGGTTGGACAACCCAGAAGTTCCGCTAGTTTCAAGCACTTTGGAGATTCAAGCTCAAAGGGTGATAAAGAGTACACTTCCTAGAGGGTGCCTGAAAGAACGTTTGCCCTGAAACAAACCCACGCAAGGCCCTGATCAGTGGGCGCGTCTTTCTGTAGAGGACCCACAAAATTCGTTTGCCCTTCGTTCCTTTAAAAGCCACAAAACGGGGTACCAACTCCAAGGGACACACCCGCTTGTCCTTTCGTAATTCCCCTTTCCGTCAAAACTGCTCCGAGTTTTAACACGTGTCCATACCGCTGCAAGAGGCCCCAAGTTTCACGAGGTGGAAGCCCGGTTCGTTGAAACCCCTGCAAAAGCTTGAGCTGCTTGCCGGTTCTGTGAACTCTTTGGTCGGCTGAAAAGTGAACAGGTAGCCGTCGCGCCACGGCAACCAAGGGTCCAAACTGCGAAACCAAAAGGACACTCTCTGTAAAATGGCCCAAAAGGAGTTGACAACCACCAACATAGTGATAGGGAACCCTATTCAAGGATCAACCGTGCTGAGCTCTCGCTCCTCGCACGTCACTTCACTGGTCTGGACGGGGCACAGCAGCACCCCGCCAAACAAAATCACACGATGGGGGGAGGCAAGATTGCTCAAATACCGCACAAACCGTTGGTTTCTGTATTTCCTTTCAACACCAGATAATTAAGGACACACCAATCATTGCACCTCAAGCCCCTTGACCTTCACGAAAATGGACTGCAACTCTTCCATATCCCATCCAACAGATCGCCATGTTGGCTCTTGACGGCTCTCTAGCATGCACATCCACCTGCGCCGAAACCAACCGAGTCGACTCGGCACATCTTGAATCCCAGAAAAGGTTCGGAAGGAACCTTCGTAGAAACGATATTAGGGTTCTGAGGAACCCGAACAGCTGCCAGGAAACCTCCCAATGCTTGCCTCCCGTTCCCAAAGGCACCCGGAAGCAAAACAGTAGCCATCGATTCTCATCACAACTAACAGGGGGAAACAAAACACATCATGCAAATGGAATTGTAATTGGGGGAGGGGTTGGCAAAATTCGGGCCCCTATCTGGTATCCCCCTTTTCAGGCACCATGAGTGGGTTTCGGCACCAGAGTCCAAGGGACCCTCCAACGCAGGGGTCGGTCTAAGCATAAAACATGGCAACCCTCCAATGGGGTCGAACCAGATCTCCATTTCAAAAGCCTCCGCGAGGCCTCAAGATTCTTTGGAGTGGACGAAAAACAAAAAATGCCTGCCTGCACGCTCCAAGGGTTGTCCATTTCTGACGCGCCCTCGTTTGAGCCATTTGGGGTACCAATTGACAACCCTTGGAGGGTGCTGGTGGTTGCCCTTTGAGTAAACACATCTTGCCTAGTGCTTCCAGCTACCACAAGAGAAGGTAAGCAGGTATTTAATTGTTTACCTCCGGTTTTACATCAGGATTGTCCTGGTTGACTACTATAGTGGCAACTGGAATCACGGGTTGGCTATTTTGCACCCGGGAACCTCGCTGGTTACTGCCCCAAGTGCCAAAACAAAGTTGTGGTCCCTTGATCTTCAGACTCGTCTTCACTTCGCAGGCGGGTGACACGTCATGCAGCGTGCGCAAGCTGCGAGAGCAAGCAATCGAAAGTCCAAGCTTGCTAGGTGCCTCTGCGGCATCCGACTGCCAAATACTGTAAGGGCTCAAACAATTACAACAGGTTGTGGAAAGGTTTAAGATCAAATTCAGTGGTCATGGGAGAATCATGTGTGTAAATTGGCTGCCCGATGTATTGAAATTTAATAACCCGCTTCCTGAGTCCCAAAAGTGGCTAAAGTCCAACTTAGCTAGAAAATTAATACATAAATCAGGGCTCGCCGTGTGGCCATTGTCCCACGTCCAACAAGTTCAAGTTGTTGGTTGCTGTGTAGGAAAAGTTAGAGGCTAAGACCCAACCAACTAGCAACTAAGATGGGGTGCGATGCTCCCGCAGTTCCGATGGGGCTAAGATGCCACGAGGGCTAAGACCAGCAGCGAAATCCGCCAACCAGAAGCAGCGCCCGTTTGGGCGACAACCTGGCTGTAGGATGGTCTGGCCCCTACTTCAGTTGACTCTCTGTGCTGTCTTGTCCCGTGCAAAACGATTGATATACATCAGGGCTCCCTATATTTCCCTTTTAAGCATCACCCCACCAAAAGGAAGGTCAAGGCGATGTCTAAAACCACCAAAAGGGGAGATACAGGGAGCCCTGCATTTCCTGTACTGAAATCGATTCCCCGTAAAACCAACAGGGACAATCAACACATATTAAGAAATTGGAGGCAACTCAAATTCAAAGTGATGTTTCCCCTAGGACACTTTCTTCTCGCTTGCCCAAAGGACCTGGAAATATCAAGTTTACCTTTTGGGAAAGGTCAACAGGTCGGCTTTGGGCAACTGAGTCAATGAAGCCTGAAGCCCTGGTATGTTCAAGTTACTTCCCCCTGATCCAAGTGCCGGCTTGATTTGTTTCTCCATCGCTTCCGTGCTCCGGACACCGAGGTCAAAGTATCCATTGTTTGTCATGGTCTACTTGCTATCCTGAAACAACAAGTATTTGGAGTCGGAGGTACTCTTTGCGGAATGTGTCCCGTCACAAAATCGGAGTCCGTCCGCTTCAGGATGGGTTTCAGGGGACAGGGCAAAGGCAAAACAACGCTTCAGAGAAGCTTGGGAAAATGCTTGACGGTCAAGACAATGGCTTCCATCGCATCAGGTGCTGTTCAAAGAAGTGGCATTGTGACTCACCCTGTTCCTGACAATCCAAAGTCTCACGCAAATGGAGGATTGCAATCAAACCCTCAACCGCATGCGCCTGGACGATGAATCATGATTCATATGCCGCGGCCACATCCGAACCACCCATCTGCAAATGTTATTATATCATTTGTCCCAAAACCTGAAACCAAGAATTGGATCCTCAAGTAAAGGACTTGGTGATCACGTTTTGTGAGTGCGGATTACTCGCCTTACCCGACAACTCGACAATCACTTGTCGCAAGGCGTGGTAGACATCAATTCCTATTGTCAGATTCTGTTTCCAAGCTGTGTATCACCCTAAACTCATCACGCTTTCAAACTCTGTTTGTTTCACATTTCGTCTACCCTCCAGCATCCTGGGCTCTGAAAAAAGGCCCTTCCAATGGAGGTGCTAGCCCTTTGAGTAAAGGCTAGGTCCTCCAGTAGAGAGGTTGGAATAAGGGTAGCAACTTTTTTATGCAGTCGATTTTAGTAGGGGGGTTCCCTCCCAACCAAAAAGAAACCGGTAAAAAGGGCACCTAGCTTGGGGACCTAGGAGGGTCCTTTCTGATGCTTAGGGCTGTACCAAGGTCCATAAGGGTACCCTTTTTCTGTAGTCTATTTGTGTAGGGGACCCCTCCCCCAAAAAAGAAACGGTAAAAGGGCACCTAGCTGGGGGACCTAGATACCATTTGAAAGGCTTCCGGCTCGGAGACCTCGATGGATGTCGGCCGAAACGGGCCTGGAAGGTCTGCGCCGGCAACTGCGGCTCGTTGTTCAGCACCGGGAAGGACACGGAGATGCCCGGGTCGCCCAGCGTCGTGCCTCGCGTTTCGACGCGTTGGTTGTCTTTTTTTCTCTTTTTGTTTCCTTGTTTTTTATTTGGGTTTTGTTCCCCCCTTTTTTTTCTTCTCCCGGTTGCCAATCAAAGGGACAAGGGCCCTGACAAGGGGGCTTGGTCCTTTTCGGGGTTTCACACAACTGGCGGACCCCCTTCTTTAATTGGCTTTTACGTGGCTTGCCGTCTTCGGAAACGGAGCGATGCCCAATTTGAGAGACAGCCTGTTGGCTGGCAACCAGATTTGAACCGCTTTTGGTCCCTTTGCACGGGAGCAAACCGCGACTGACTGGCAACTGGAAGCACCGGGTCTCAAAGCTGACACCCCAAAAAAAGCTGGCACCTGGATGAGACCACATGGCATGTTGATGACAAAATCAGGACTCGCCGAGAAAGGTTGCCAATCCCTCGGTGGCGGGTCAGGTCCGGGCCCCAGTTGAATTGATCTAGCCTTCCCCCGGAGAAAATGGAACCATTTGCCCAGGGTTCGAAATCGCCCCGCGAATTTCACAAAGGCTTTGTTTTGGCCAAAACAATCCATGGCAAGAGCTTGAAGGCACCGTCCCAGGCAGTGCGTGATGTATTGTCTGGTTCATTTTTAGATCCACTTGTGTTTGTTGCGGGGCGTGTCGTCGTTTAAGAGTACCCTTTGCAGGGTGGTGTTAACTGGCAACAAAAGACACGATGTCCATTCCTATATTGAGACTGAACACCTTCGTGTTGGTGAATCTAAGGTGTATCCATCTTCCAATTCCATTCAGCGCACAAGTGCAATTGCGATCGAGTGGATTGGTCACAAAAAGTCTAGACTTGCCTTTACAACAACAAGATGTTCCCAAAAAGGTTAAAGACCGGAATCTGGGAAAGTGAGTGGTCATCCTATGATCGTAGTCTGGATGGGCGTGTCCTTGTTTTAGGAACCGTACCCCTACAAATGGTTGGGTTCCTTTTCGTGTCCCTTCCAACATGTTATAAGCCACTCAACCCAAGTCACTTATGAATCACCAAAACTTGTTTTTTTTTCCAAAAAGACCCTCCACAAAGGGTTCCCCAAGTAAAACAAAGCGCCGAGGTCGTTCAACCCCGAGGACACGCGCATTACCCTGACTGGAGGGGATCCACAAAAAGGGGACAACCGGTTCGCAAAGGCACTTACACATGGTCTCAACCACTAAAAGTCAGCTTACCTCTATAGATTGGCGGTTTGGAGGTTAGGAAGGTGGTGTCAACACTTACCATCTACAACACCAGGGCTTGAACCCCTGAACAACAAAAACAATCCAAACACCCCCCAAATCATTACTAGGTCCTCCAGTAGAGAGGCTAGAATAAGGGACCTTTTTTTTCTGTAGACTATTTTAGTAGGGGAATCCTCCCCTAAAAAAGAAACGGTAAAAGGGCACCTAGCTGGGGCACCTAGAGTATGGTCACCGGTGTCACCGCTGTCGGCAGATCGCCAAGACACAGGCTGAGTCGGCGCAAAGGCTGACGTACCACTCTGAGGCGAAGGGCTCGATCAGGGGCACCTCGGATCGAGCGAGCGACCGTGTCCGGACATTTCCTGTGGATGGGTCCTCGAAATGCATTTCGCACCACCTATATAAGAAACCCTGGTTTCTGATGAATCCCTTGTAAATACCAACAAACAGTGGTTTCCCATGGTTTCCAAAGTGGTGCAGGATTTCGTCCATCCACCGTATGGCTCCCTTTTTCGGGTGTACAAGGGAAAGGCAAAAGGAAAACAATTGCTGGGGTCCCCCTAGCGAGTGCTGGCGACATCGTGCTTGTGGCCAACGTTTGACTCATTTGAAGGGTAAACGCAGGTACTTTTGCATACAGTAAAACCATGTCTCGTGGGGGAAATGGAATCAGTTGGCTTCCGACCAAGACTTCCCTTAAAGGCATTGATCACCAAGAGGTCCGTCGCCCCAAAACAGGTTTTGGCCATTGAGAAGAAATGCCAATGAGGGAAAGATCCAAACCACCCCCTTGTAGCTTCCCCTTCCGGCATAGTCCCGGAACTCCCCGGGCAGGTGCCCACGAAAACTGGAGTGCTGGTCAATCACCTTCTGTAGGTTTGATGGCAAAGCCATTTGTTTCCAAAAGGCCCACAACTGGGCCTTCGGATTCGGTCACACCAAAAATCAAACCATCCCAAGTAGAAGTTGGAGATCCCCATCCCCATCCGCCCCCAAGTTCTCTGGGTTCTTAGTCTACCTGCAGCCATATCTGGAAGTATCCGAATTGTCGCTATGACTGCTTTCAAATTACAGGGGATTGGTTTAGCATCACAGGTTCCAGTGGTTACTTACTATCATGGTAACCGGAGGTGCTGGGGCTCCCAAATGGGTCTGTACCCCGCAAAATGGTTGGCTTCCTTTTGTCCCTTTATAAAACCGCCAATCAACGTTGAACACACCCAACAAAAGTGGAAATCAACAACGAACACCCCCTATAAAAGTTCACACACACACACACCCAACTGCGACCCCCTTAAAACAAAATATCCGCCCCGACCGGCTCCGAAGAAAAAGAAAAAAACCAGCGAGGGGTAAGGGGCCATCACGGGGAACTGCCACTGGTAGGTGCCCGCCGTGATGATCTGCGCCTCGCCGCTCTCGGTGACCTCCACCAGGATCTTGATGTACCTCCCATCGACTTTCGCTCCATCCCCGAGTCCCGAAGGCTCAGAAGCCATCGATTTTTTGCTCCATGGTTAGGCCCCCGTTAGGGTCGTTAGGGTTAGGCCCCCGCTAGGGTTCGAAAAGAGGAGGGCATTTTATTGGTGATACATCAAAACTTTTGCTCCAACCTTCCCCCTGCCAAAAGAGTAAGCTGTCGATCAATCTCCCAGCCATCGACTTTGCTCCCAAAAGCTCCGCAAGTGCTCCAGGCCCTCCCTTTTCGAAGGGTCAGACCCGAAGGCCCATCAGCCATCGAAAGTTGCTACAGACCAGCCATCGACGTTTGCTCCGCAAACAGCCCCAAGGATCCCAAGCAAAGGATCCATCATCTTTTGAATCTTTTGTCGTCCGAGCTGACTTGTTTCTTTCTACCGACATGGTAAAGGCGGGGAATACTATCCTCACCTGCCCGCAAAAAGGCCACCCGCAAAATCAGACAGACCAATATGTCTGTAAATGTCTCGGGTTTGCTTCCATGCAGAAGGGTGGTTTGCCACCCGGTTTGGAGGTGTGGAGGTTGGGAGTCCCATCCTAAATCCCCAAACCACCAATCCAAACCAATCCAAAGGGTTGCTTAAGATTGGTTTGGGTTCTGACCACCACTCGGTCAAGAGAACTAGTGGAAGTTCAACATTTTGAAAGGTTGGGTTTGGACAAGTCAGTTGCAGACTCCTGAGATTGGCTTGGCCCACATCACATCAGGGTACACCCAAACCCAGGGCAGATATCCGCCACAATTTCTGGGTGCGACTGCCCCTGTCCCCCACTAGGCTTCATCAGGGCTTTGAATGCAGCTTTGAAAATCAGGTCCACAAAATGAGGTTCACCGGTTGGGGACATAACGCATATGTCGAGCGGGACTCTAACCCATCTCTCACCCATGACACCTGCAACTTCGCAGATGTATTCCCGTCCAAATTGAAAACGAGCTGATTCTCTGGGGTTTGGGTAGTTTTCTGGAAAGGACCCCAAGCAATGGGGAAGCTATCTCCAACATTTCAAGACGATTTCGGATCGTCACTGCCGACCATAGAGCCCACATCTGAGGTACACTGAAAATCATATGCGTTCTGATTATGTTTCATATTTGGGTGTGAAATTGAACAGGGGACCCTTTGGTGGACATCATTTAGGTGGGGATTCATGTACACCAACCACTTTGGAGGTGGGTCCCTATGGAAATTCCAGGGGTGAGAAGAAACGGCTGCCCTAAATGGCAACTTTTAGGGTCTTTGGAGGTGACTCCCTTGGAGGTGGTACCCTGGATGGTTCCATTTAGGGCAGTCCAAGCCATGAGCCAGGCCTCAGATTATCGAAGATGCGCCACTCCTCGTCGATGGTCAGGGGGAACTGCTTGTTCACATTCCGCAGCCTGAGAGGAGAAAACCCGTACCACCTGCAAGGAGAAAACACCGCCCCCCCCCCTCCCAAAAAAAAAGAGAGAGAAAAAACGGCCTGGAAAAAGGGGCAGCATCACCTGAAAAGATGAAGCTCGTTGCGACGACTTTCAGATTTTGATCATCATCGAAATTGCGCTAGCTTGAAGTGAGCTTCCTTGCCGAGTGATGCTTCAAGGAGAAAATGCCTATCCCAGCCCCCCCCCCCCCCCCGAAAAAGCGGAAAAAGGGGCTTGCAAAGTAACCTCATTTCGTCACTGGAAAGGGGGGCGGCACGAACGCAGTTTTTCTGTCGCGACTAGGTTTGCAAAAAATCCGACAATCCAAGGGGCCATGCTTCCGCACAGTTGGGAAAGCGGTGGTGCTGCAATATACCACAACCCCGCCTTGCATGTTGATTACCTGACGATATACCGTACTGCCATACTTTGTTTTGCTACTGAGTTGGCTGGGTCGAAATAGCTTTAATTGTTGGGCCCGGGGTCAGTCTTGCCCATCCACTCAGCATGCACACAGGTCAACTGGTGTCAAACGAGATGGAATCCACAAAATAGGTTGCTTCCACACAAGGGAAGCCTCCTTTTAAAGGCTGCGCGCATCGACAGATTCAGCCTTTGACTCTTTGACACCTGCCAGAAGGCCTGGGGCCCCCAGGCCCCCCGCATTTCTGTTCTTTGTGGCAAGCAAGGACACAACTGGGTTCCGACTAGCAGACACCGCATGAAACATAGTATACCTCTGGCACCCGATGGAGTGCGATTTGATGAAACACATGGGGGAAACCTATTTCTGGACTTCCTGCACAGCATACAGTATTGCCTGCTCCATGCTTGATGTTCGGCTGGCTCTACCAAGTGTTGGCCCACCTCTGGCGTAAGCGAAATCATATTTTGTGATTCTGTGCCACTCTCAGTCTACCCAAAAATACAAAATAGCGTTGGAGGACACCCCAGATTGCCTAACAACGAAAGGGCTATTGTTTTCTAGGTCGCCTATTGCAAGACACACCCACATCAAAAAAGGCACACCCACCCGCGGAAATGTCCCCCCGAGCCGCCCATAATGCTCAACCTCCAAACAGATCACGGAAGGCCAAGTGATCCTTCGCTGAAGATGCAGAAGGAAGGTGAGGCCAATGGAGAAGCTCCAATGCTTTGTCCAAGTCTGGAAACATGAACTCGGCCACCCACAAAATGGGGGTCACTGTGACATGGTCGCTCTTTAAACAAACTTGCCCAAATCCCAAGGCGGTGGGAATACGGAGTTAGTTACGTTTCCACTTCTGACACAAAAGTGACCTCCTCTATGGTGAATTTGTGGCAGGTCTTCCATTGGTATCACAGAAGTGCAAAGGCAATTATCTGAGGGTTGTTCTCTCCATTCCCTTCACCCATCAATCCCTTTCGAAACCAGAAGCAACCCATTTTCCCAGAAGAGACTCGAAATGCAAGGTACGCCTAAAACAGCCGGAATCCGACCGCTTCCGAAGCAAAGATCCCATCGCTCGTCCCAGGCACTGGTTCTTGTGCTGAATGTCATGACGATAGTTCCTGAACCGCACAAAGGTTTTCCAAAGAGGTATTTAAAATTAGAGGATCCAACAAAACAAGATTGAGCACTTGTTTGGTTGGTTGTTCACATGTTTGATAGGGAACCCACCACACAAATGTTGTGAGAAAATGGCTGCCGCAGAACAACTGGGAATCTCTGACGAATTTTCGTTTGGCCCCAAAAACAAAACACGCAGCGTCCTTTTCCTTGGGCCTATTCAAGAGACCTAACGTGACTTGTTACGATCAACTGGCCTTCGACCCAGTATTATCTGTACCCCTGGTGGTTTTTTAAAAGTGATACCAAGGGAACAGCCCCGCTCCAAACACACAACATCGCTGCGCTCACCCTGCCGTCACCCCAACCGCTTTTTTTTGTTCCTCTGGTTTCCCTTTCTCAGTTGCCCAAGGTGAAAAGGGTGGCCCTGACAAAAAAAAAGCCTGCCTCCAAAGCCTGCTTGTTTTGGGTGTCATGTGTCCCTCTTGCAAAAGGACGTAGGAATCAACGAAAAACCCATAACGTTCACACGCATTTGAGCAGAGACCTTTCTGCTTTCCGCTCTTGATGCACGTGAAGTGCGCTGAGCATGGGCCGGCAATGGTGTGCCTATGTCAAACCGCTTGTAGTGGAAAATCAGACATGTAAGATCTTGACTTGCAACATCCCGACTCTTGATGGCCTCCTTGAGAAATATCCTTTTGGGGTGGAGTTTTCCAAGACGTCCTTGGGGGTAAGCTGCAATGGTGTCAAAACCACTCATGCCCCAACACGTCTGCAGTTGAGCTGTAGACTTCATGTTTGCTACGGGGACAAGGAGTCCTGAGTGCCCTGTCGCCTGGCAGACCTTGGACTAGAGACAGTTTCACTGCGCATCCGCGCAATGAGCCAATCTTGGTACAGAAGTGAACACACTTCTTGCTTTCATGGGCTTCGAAACTAGGCTTCTGCCCTTTTCAAATGGTGCCACAAAGTGGAGCTTGATTGGACGCAGCACATATGTACCTCGGTCTCAACACCGGCCCAAAGTTGTGTGGTTTCAGGGCCGCTGAAGTATTGCAACAGAAATTTGCGACTTCGTACAGCCGTTGCCTCAATTTCGAACATCCAAGACTACGGTGGATGGACAAAACCCTGCACCTAAGAAACCCTGAACTGATGACTCACCTAGTGCCAACACACCATGGTTTCGCATGGATTCAAACTGGTACAGGATTTCGTCCATCGACCGTATCTTTCCTTGAGTCCATGGAGCCCTCTGGTCAAAAGATTCGCGCTTCGCCGAGAGACTCAGGCAGAGACACCAGGATGGCCTTCACTTGCTTCACGCGCCGCAGGAAGGACACCTCCACCTGGACGTTGGACACCTGCAAGCTGGCGCATTTGGCGTACCCCCGAAACCTCCAAGTACCAACGTTGTTTGAAGGGTATCATGTCAACCCTTTACTAAAAAAGGAGGTATTTGCAATGGAAAACCGTGCTCTTCAAAACAGTAACGCGGGAACTGGATTTGGAGTAGGGGGTAAATACCCTTCCATTTGCTTTTGACCCCCGGAGCAAAATGAGACAAACGGTTCAATGGTGATGCTGGTGGTGTCCTTTGAAAACAGGGGGAAACAAATTACAACAGCATAGACCCCACATAGCAAAAACATGCCAATGATTGCACACCAGCACCTCCAACAGCACCCCTCCCGAAAAGCGCCCCAAACACCCGGCTGGCAATCGAGCTTGAAAATGCGCCCGCGCCGTCACTAGCACCTCTAACAGCACCCCACAGCATCCCAAAACAGCACCTGCACCAGCACACCAAACTGCATTCCCCTCTGCACCCTGCCGTCAATCTCGCAAAACAGCACCTGCACCAGTACCTGCACCAGCACCAGCACTGCCCCCAAACATCTCAAACAGCACCTGAAACAGCACCCCAAACAGCACACCAGCACCCCAAACTGCACGCCCCATAGCACCAGCCCATCACCTCTTTAATTGAAGCTAGACCCCCCAAAGCTTTTAGCTATCTGGACAAATTTCTGAAGCAATGGAAGTACCTGGTGTGTTGAATTGCGGCTTCGAAACCGCCCCTCTCCATCCGACTGGGAAACAACTGGGAGATTCCACATCCCAGGACAAAACATGTTGCTTATGGGAGGTTGATGAGTCTCACTTCCGATCGAGTGACCAAACTGTTTGCTTGCGGCTAAAATGGTCCAAACCCAAACAAGTAAGTAAAGCCCAATCCGGAACTCAGGACGTGAGGCTTTGAGTTGCCAAAACTCTGCACGTGTGCAACCGCAAACCTGAAAGTGGCTCCCCAGCGAAACTGGGCAAAGCTTGGCAATCAAAACCCGACAGCCCGACGGGGCCTACAGTTGTAGTGGCAATTTGGAATTCACAATCAGAACCGTACATTTCCAGCAGTGATAGTTTCCCTTCAAAACCAATAGTGGAAAAACACCTTCTTAAGCAAATGGAAGACAATAGACGCATGCGGCATGCGAAGAATGAAGAGGGCGGAGAACCGAGCCTATTTCTGGCTGGGAACGTCCTCTACTACGGCCCTCGAGGAAGCCTGGTTTCCGGCCCCAGGCGTGAATCCAAGCAAAAATTGTAACAGCATAGACTCCAGATAGCAAGAATGTGCTGCCAGCTATCGAACTAAAGAGGCCCATTCCAAGAGACACATGTGCCACGCCACCCGGCAGAGCGGCAAAAATAATTCTCATTCCAGGGTGTTCCGACAATCTGCGTAGACAACATTGTAACAATAGCACTCCTTTGCCGCAGCCGTTGCAGGCATCTGTCAGATGGATTCGCCAATGCCAGAAGAAAGGGCTCCACAAAGACTGCGGCGCCAGGACCGTGCGCCGGCGCGCCAGAAGACATCTCCAACAGCACCCTGCGTCTCGCTGCAACAACATCCTGCCAACTCTGAGCCTGCAACAGCACGCTGCTCAACTCTGCGTCGCATCCTGCAGCAGCGCCCTGCAACAGAACTGCAACAGAGCCTTGCAGCGGCACCCTGCTACAGAACCCTGCAACAGAGCCCTGCAGCCTGCGCAACTTTGAGGCCCTGCACTGCAGTCTCGGCACCCGCACTTGCGCAACTCTGAGTCTCGGCCTGCAACAGCACCTTGCCGAAGCACCCTACAACGGCACCTGGTCAGAATCACCCACCCGCTTTACTTGAAGTTACTGGGGAACAACAGGGTCTCGAGAATGTCAATTCGAAAGGTGCGAATTCAAAACAGCGGAGCCTGCTTGGCGGAGAGTCTCCAACAAACGGAAATTGAGAATACAAACAGCTGGCGATATCAAACAAAGAACACCGGATATGCTGGCCCTGAATGGGTGGACTATGACTATGCCATCTACTATCTACTGTGTTCATTGCTTGCTGCCGACAGACATAGCGTCTAAGCAACTGCACTTCATCCCAGCAGCCACGTGTCTTGTCGCACCCAAACAAGCAGTGGCCAAAAATCGCTGAGTTGCCCGTCAATCAATTGCTGCTCATCAACTGGCACCTGCTTGTTCAAATAATGGCTAGTGCACAAATGTTCACACAATCCAGATGTCAGCTTCAAGCAACTAGTCAACAAACACGCATTCACAGGGCGCGCACTCGCGCACCCACACACACACACACTCACACACAATCGCACAATCACACAATCACACAATCGCAATAACCACACACACAACCATACAACCACACAACCAAACAACCACACAACCAAACAACCACACAACCATACAATCACAGAACCACACAATCACACAATCACACAATCACACGACCACACAGCCACACAACCACACAATGACACAATCACACAGTCACGCAAAACACGTGCAAGTACAAACGCAGAAAAACAATTGAAGACGCTGAGACACAAAGAAACACAACCACACGGGTGCTTCGACAAATGTATATGCAAACTTCCAAGAGGTGATGCATGACTCTATTCGGTTTGGCCCAGAAACCATGCCAATAACAGGCCCCTTCTACTACAGGGAGTTAATCGGATCGCTCCCGACGGTTCGAATCGCGCATCCGGCGATTCGCCTCGCCGCGCTGTGGTGGCTGCAGCCAGGACAGGGAGGGATTTCCCATCTCGAGGTCCACGACAAAGTCTCAAGCGAAACAAGGAGCACGCTGATCGGTCGAACACGAAAACATCTTTCCTTGACCCAATTTTCCATTTAGTTAAGACCCCTGGAGAAAAAAAACATCCAGTATAGTAATAGATTCCCTTCAAAAATAACAGGGGAAAATCAACCGCATCCTTAAGCAAATGGAAGCAATTCTGGCGTACACCAAAAGCAATATTCGCGGACTCCGTTTCACGTTTACCCACGGTCAAAATAATACAATGAGCCACGGACACCAATGAGCCACGGTCAAAATAACGTACGTTTACCCAGCAGGACAAAGTCCATCCGTCACCGAATGTCCCTCCAATGGACACTGTCTGTAGTTCGGACCCCGATTTGAGGCCATAGAATCGGAACCCAGAAAGGGCGGGAGACTTCAAGGTCAGATCCGGTTGATTCGATTTGGTTGCAAGGAAAAACGTTTGGTGTTTTTGTGTTTTTTTCCCGTGGCTTAGTCAATGGAATCACCCCCCGCCCTAGAGATGGTCAAACCCCCAAACCTGCAGGCCATGGTTTCCGTACCAGGAGTCCCAAGAAAAGAAACCGGTCTAGTGAGCCAGGAGCCTTAGCGTGCTGAACAAAACAATCCTTATAGCATCCTCAAGTTTAAAGGCAGCCGACAACGGGTGGTTCTGTTGCATTGATGAACCCACCAACTAAATTCGTCTTGTTCCAGAAGTTCCTGGTTCTCCATTTGGCCATGGGTGAAAATCCAAATCGTACCCCCAGTGAACATGCCACTCCAACCACTGAAATAGGTTATAAAATGGGTGGTGAATTCACCTACCGACCAAAATGGGATCCCATTGGTTTTGACCCACGGACATTTCGCACCACCTAGGAAACTACGGGAACCATAATGTTTGTTGGTATTTACAGGGAATCAAGTCCATTTCGCACTACCTAAGGTTCCAGAAACAACTTTGTTCCAGAATTCCTGGTTCTTCATTTAGGTTGCTGCGGATCCACCAACGTCAACGGCCGAGAGGCTGGGCTGCGGCACCTGCAGCGCAGCGTCCACCACGGAGAAGGAGTCGTCCAGGACCCGCAGCTGCCAGGGCTCCTCAGTGGAGTCGTTCCGCCCCCCGGTAGACATCTAGCCATCCAACCAATCCAGCCCTGGGTTTGAAGAAAGCCCTAGCTAGGAAACAAAACAAAACACCGGATCTGTTCCGCAAGAAAGGAAGACAAGGGGAGGGCTTGGTGCAAGGCGGGATAAAGGCGGCTTGAAGAGTGGTTTCCCCAAAAACGAGTGGTTTCCTCCCCCCTCCCCCACGAAAAGAAGCGGGGTGGGAAAAAGAGGGGTTGGAGAAGAGGGGTAAACAATTGGGATTGAAAGAAGGGAGTCCATTTTGACAGACTGGAAAAACGGATAGACAAAGAAGAGCAGATAAAGAGAGGGCTGAAAAAAAAAACCTTCAGGGTGCAGCTTGCCAGCGAAGTTCAAAGTGAACCTCTGTCGATCCTTGTCCAAGAGGCACCTGTTGGTTCAAACACCTCCCCTTCTGGTTACTCCAAGCCCCCCGAAAGAGCAAAAGGTCGATCACCCCTTCTAGGCTTAATTCGAAAAGCCATTTGTTTCCGAGTCTACGGTCTTCCTTGCGATCTGCACGCATCTCCAAAAAGGTCTAAGGGACAAAAGACCAGCCATGCCTACTCCAAAAACCAACTTTTAGTGACTCAGAAAGGAGGTGTTTACCCTGGAACACTGTTGTCGTTATATATATATTATAATAATAACCAACTCAAAAACGCGGATATTTACTGGGTTGCTCTTCCCCCTGAGCACAAAGACTAGCCTTCCGTCGCTCCGATCCATTTGTCTCAAAAAGGTCGAAGGTGTGCTTTGGTCACACCAAAACCAGTCACGATTTGGAGTCCATTTGGAGCCTTCGGGGTAACGGGTCCAGGCCATGGTCTACTTGACTTTAGCTAGGCAAAAACAGATTCCTAACAAACCCCAACTCATTGTGGTTGGCTCATTCAACTTGTTCGCAATCTTTTTGGCTCCACCCATCCACCCTACACCCACAACCCCAACTTCCCACCAAGCCCTCCAGATTGAACTTTTTTTGCCTTGGTGAATTTGCCGGACAAGATGACATCATAGTTTCGTGTAGTCCGGTAAAATCAGAAGCCCCTGAAACAGTCAGAGGTTCCCTTTGCGGAATATGCCCGACAACATCATCGTGTGTCATCTGAAGCCCTCGAACAGCTCTGCCTGTTCGGCAACCTGCAATCATCTGTGGACCCAAGGTATAATCGGTCGCAAACCAAAAGAAAGGTGGATCCTTAGACATTATGCCTTGTCAAAGCTATATAAAGCTGCCATGATTTTGCTGGCATCCCTTTTTGGTGTTCTTTAACAGGGGCGACGAAAGGAACGCCACTAAATCATTTCTGGGTTGCCCCATATCCCAGGAACTCCCAGTTTTGCTTCGTGCAGACTCGGCGCGTAGACGGTCAGCTCTGCCGGGGTGAGGACATTCAGGAGGAACATGTAGAGCATGTTGTCTCCCTCTTCGGTTCCTTGCAGTGACCCGGCAATCGGACCATAGATCTGATGTCTTGTGGGGATGCAGAGCCATTCTGAGCGGTGGGTTTCAAGGAAAACCAAAGGACCATAAACCATATTGGACTCCAATGTAGAAGCCCTAGGGTTCAAGCCGCCCCATTAAACCAATGGTGAACCCGCTTCAGATGATGCGAAAGCCCATCCGCAGGTGTTCTTTTGAAAATGACGAAAACTTGTTAAGCAAGGGTTCTAACAAATGAGCAGTGTCCGAACCCATTGACTCTCGGTTCTACTAACATGGTTCTAAAAGGTTTACATAGGATGCAAGGCTACTACACGCCTGCCACTTAGAACCCATGAAGGGTATCATTTAATAGCCCTTGGAAGATGCCGTGCCAGAGAAAAACAAAAAATATTTGCAGACCAATGGCCATGGACAAAAACAAACACTTTGTTTGGTACTGCGGCAAGTAAACTCCTGGAACTAAAAATATATAGGCCAACAGGCCAACAGGTATACCTCTTAAGCAGGCGCTAAACCACCTTAAACATTGTAACAAGTGGATTAAACTGTAATAGGAATCATGCACCTTCGATGCCTCCAGCCTCCGCCCGGCCTCCCACATATCTATTTCTAGGCACCGCAGTTGACACCCCCTTTCAAAAGTTGAAAATACCATGAATGGTTGAACTCCTGCATCTGTAGGCGGTTTGTCCGTAGGGTTTCATCCATCCCAACTGCGATTTGTTTTCCCGTCCACAGGGAAGAGAACTGCTAACAGCACAAACAAATGGATGTTTACCAGGATTTGTCTCAAGATAGCTGCTGGAGGTGCGTGGATGGCTTCGTTTGTTTCCCGAAATGACCCCCCCCACACACCAAAAAAAAAAGGTTCCCGCACTTCCGATCGAGATCGGACCTAAAAACTCACCACTAAAATGGTCCAAACCCCAAAAGTGACTCAAGTCCAGGAACTCAGGGAGTAAGTCAAACAGGCACACTACACTCCCATTTCCCTCCGTGTGTGGTGGAGACTTCAAGGGCCGATTTTGCAAACGTCCTCCTTCTAGGATATATTGGTTTTGCAAGGGCTCCAGGCTGCAAAAATGGCCATTCTGCACGATGGCAACCCCAAACCACCAGACCCTTTCCCGGACTCCCGCGGCTCCTCCCGTCAAGGTCACGTTCACCGTGCGCTGCAAGGTCTGCAGGAAGTTCGGCACTTCCGGCCGCGGGCGGAAGTCTTCGCACTCCAGGACCAAGCCCGTCTCCTCCACCTGCCGAGAGAGGATGGCACAGCCCCGGGTTCATAAAACCGGGTCTTACAAGGCGGGGTGTGAGTGGATTTCCATGGGGGAAAAAGGAGCCTCCTTGGTATCCCGAGGGCCACAAACCCGGGCGCACGGCGGGGTCCCCGGTGGATTTGCATACGGAAAATGGGGCCCCCGCGGCTTTTTGGTGGGCACCCCCCAAAAAAAAAGAAAGGGCAGCATTGGAGTGGTAGAGTAGGCACCTAGCCCTCTGACATACCACTATAATCTCTTCCCCCTAATCATGCACGTGGACCCCCCCCAATATTTAATCAGGTCTGGGGGCCAAAACACGATCCTTTGGGGTCGACCGAATTTCCTCTTCGGTCCTCTTCCCAATGGGGCTCCCCCCTTGCTGGACACGAAAAACGTCAAACCCGCAATTTTCCGAGTAACGAACACCGTTCAAGGCTGTCTTTCCGTTTTTGCGGCTCAAAAGTAAAGGACGCAGTTTAAATTTAGAATTACATGTTCAAGAAATAGATGAAAACCAGCAAAAGGCAAGTACGCATTTGGAATTTGGAATTTGGTGGTTCCAGGAGCTTGGGTCGACGAATTACCCAAGGCTGGGGCTGGGCGAGAAATCCGTCCGTGTATTGGTGTTTGAATTGGCCTATTCTAAAAGTATTGTGGACCCGGCGGTCTGGGAATAGTATTGATTAATCCGGTGCGTTTATTCAAAGGGGGAAGAGATTAGTAGCCCTGAGGTTCAAAACATCAAGAAAGCTATGCAGGTTAATATAAGCACCGGTGTTTGTTCTTTGCAGTTTTAAAACCTCGGCCCATCTTACAATTTTCAGCTCAATTGGTGGTGTGGACTGGTGGTTTGGTGGTTCAGGGTAGCTTCCCATTTACTTTCTACAGGAGCCATCTGTTCAAATATCCAAATCACCAACTCAAGCCACAATAAGGGACTTCCTTCGGATTCATTCGGAAGCACCCAGAAATTGTTACATTCGCCATCCGGGGAACTGTCGGGAGTACTTCTAAGTTTGAGTCTGGTTTTCCGGATTTTTTTTCCGAAGTCGACATGCATCATTCCCAAGCATGTTGGTTCCAATGACCTTTACAGAACAGGCTCCATCTTCAAAAATGGGGTCATTGCCTAAAATAATGGGGTCATGGACCCATTTTTGAAGGGTCATGGAGAGTCTAGGTAAGTATGGGAGCACCTCACAGGAAAGCCCAAAGCTCAGATCCGGTGGCTTGCCGCGCCTTGGGGCAGCGAATCTCCAAGCTCGAGGGCGCCGTGATGAGCACGAAGCGTCCTGGCGAGCTCAAACGGCGTGCAACCGACCGACCGACCTCAGGTGGGTGTGGCTGAAAATTGAAGGGCTACAAGTACGCAGGTGTTGGTCTTTGGTTCCATGTACCAAAGTGCAGTTTTGGTACATTTGGTACATTTGTTTGAGCTACAGCCAGGTTGTGACCGTGGTTGGCGGGGTAACCTGGGTTCGTCCCCAAGCTTGTAACCATGGCTACGACCTACAAGTAAGGTCCGGCAGAGCCGGGGGGCGGAAGTTTCAAAGCAGTGAACAACTATAGTTTGGAGAACTGTCCTTGGCCCCTTGCTTCTCTCTCTCTCTCTCTTTTTCTCTCTTTCTCTCTTTCTCTTTCTCTTTCTCTTTCTGTTTCTCTGTCTCTTTCTCTCTCTTTCTATCTATCTCTCTAGCTATCTCTATATCTGTTTATTGATCTATCTATCTACCCATCTTTCTCTGCACTTAAAAGTTGCGATGTTCAATCCCCGAAAGTTGACTTCGCGTACTACTTTCGTACTTAAAAGTTGCGATTTTCGAGCCCCAGCTGCGAAACTGGACTTCACGTACTACTTTCGTAGTTAAAAGTTGCGATTTTCGAGCCCCAGCTACGAAAGTGGACTTCGCGTACTACTTTCGTACTAAAAAGTCGCGATTTTCGAGCCCCAGCTGCGAAAGTGGACTTTGCGTACTACTTTCGTACTTAAAAGTTGCGATTTTCAAGCCCCGGCTGCGTGGACTTTGCGCACTACTTTCGTACTTAAAAGTTGCGATTTTCAAGCCCCAGCTGCGAAAGTTGACTTCGCGTACTACTTTCGTACTTAAAAGTTGCGATTTTCGAGCCCCGGCTGCGAAAGTTGACCTTGCAAAAATGCTGCGCCTGCCACCAAATCTGTGCTTGACCTTGCGAAAGTGCTGCGCCTGCCACACAATCTGTACTTGACCTTGCGAAAGTGCTGCGCGTGCCACGAATTTTGCACTTGACCTTGTGAAAGTGCTGCACCTGCCACGAATTCTGTACTTGACCTTGCGAAAGTGATGCGCCTGCCACGAAATCGATACTTGACCTTGCGAAAGTGCTGCGCCTGCCATGAAATCTATACTTGACCTTGCGAAAGTGCTGCGCCTGCCACGCAATTCAAACCTTGCGAAACCTTCGCGCGGCCGTGCCAATGGGCCCGTCGTTCCGAACCCGTTCCGAGACCGTTCCGAGACCGTTCCGAGACCGCCTCCGTACAGGCGTCGCAGCCGAGGTGGTTTGCGCATTGTCCGGAAGCCCAATTCACGCACAGCGCCAACGTTTTCTGCATCTTGCCATCCCCCAGCTCGCAGAGAGTGACCTTGCGAAAGTGCTGCGCCTGCCACGAAATCTATACTTGACCTTGCGAAAGTGCTGCGCCTGCCACGAAATCTATACTTGACCTTGCGAAAGTGCTGCGCCTGCCACGCAATTCAAATGCGAAGTTGCGTTTAAAGTCCGGAAGCCCAATTCACGCACAGCGCCAACGTTTTCTGCATCTTGCCATCCCCCAGCTCGCAGTGCGAAAGTGCTGCGCCTGCCACGAAATCGATACTTGACCTTGCGAAAGTGCTGCGCCTGCCACGAAATCTATACTTGACCTTGCGAAAGTGCTGCGCCTGCCACGCAATTCAAACCTTGCGAAACCTTCGCGCGGCCGTGCCAATGGGCCCGTCTCCGAACCCGTTCCGACCGTTCCGTTCCGAGACCGTTCCGAGACCGTTCCGAGACCGCCTCCGTACAGGCGTCGCAGCCGAGGTGGTTTGCGCACAGTCCGGAAGCCCAATTCACGCACAGCGCCAACGTTTTCTGCATCTTGCCATCCCCCAGCTCGCAGAGAGTGCTTGCGAAAGTGCTGCGCCTGCCACGAAATCTATACTTGAGAAAGCTATCTACGTGTTAAGCTGGCTATATGTCAAAGCTATCTATCTGTCATGCAAGCCTATTGGAAAGCTATCTATCTGTCAAGCTAGCTATATGTCAAAGCTATCTATTTGTCATGCAAGCCTATTGGAAAGCTATCTATCTGTCAAGCTAGCTATATGTCAAAGCTATCTATTTGTCATGCAAGCCTATTGGAAAGCTATCTATCTGTCAAGCTAGCTATATGTCAAAGCTATCTATTTGTCATGCAAGCCTATTGGAAAGCTATCTATCTGTCAAGCTAGCTATATGTCAAAGCTATCTATTTGTCATGCTAGCTACCTGTCATAGCTATATGTCAAAGCAGCTAGCTCATTTAGTTCCAGTACTACGGAAGTTTCTTGTTAAACTTCCTTTGACTAAGTAGCTTGAACACCAAAGTAAGGGCCAACAATCGCCATACCCCAAATGGAGATTAGAGGTTATGCACGGGATATACGTGGCACCACAAAATCCATTCTATATATATATATATGATTGTTTGGGCAACTATAGGTGGGTATGTCCATTTGGCGTATGTAAGCTTGCCCTTAGATTCCAGAATATGTGGCCTGCGGTCGAAACTGCTCATGTGCTTGGTGGTGATCCCCCCCCCTCCCGTCCAAAAAGCTGGTTGATGAGTCAGCATAGCATACATGTTACACCAATAAGTCAAATCTGAAGATCCAACCTATATAATAGACATCCCTTAAGGTAGGGCCTGACCACATACCAACCCCTAGTAAGTGGGTCTTTTGATCATGGCACCAGTGTCGCCGACGCCCCCAAAACCAGCCAAACAACAAAGTCCTTGTTGGTCACGAATCGTTCCTTTGAAAAATGACAGCACCCTTTGTGTGGTAGTTCGCAGCCCTTTGATTCGGACTCCGCCCCCCTGAGCATGGAGTGAGCGAAGCCAGTCCGCGATCGAGGTTGCTGCAAGCCCATGCCTCCTCTCTCAAATTTCCAACAACACCAAGCTTGCTTGTAAGCTCAGTGCCGTCATGGAAGTGCAAAAGAAGATTCATGATGAGGGCATCACACATGTCTGCGCGGATGTTGGCCACGGGATGAAGCTTTATCGCTCGCTTCAGCAATGCCCGGCCATGCGCTCGCGATTCCGAATCGCAACTTGCAGTTCGGCATCCCGGAGATTCTGCTCAAATGGGGGGAGGCTACAGGGACGGGTTCCCATTCGGCCAAAACTCAGTTGTTCAGTGACCCTAGAAAAAATGCAACCCTCTTTTGGGAAGACCATATTTAGTGGGGCAGCCTCCCCCAAAAAAAAGGGAAAGAAACAAAGCCACTGAACAACTGAGATAATAAGGCGCCTTGAACTTGTCGCGGCACGTAGAACTGCAGGGCCAGCCAGCCTGGCAAGCTGGGTCGGGGTGCCACCTTCTTTAGCAAGTGGGAGGGTGACGTATACAAGGGGGACATCTAAACAACCTCGTGGATCTGGGGGTGCGCTACAACAAACGCGGGCAACGTAGGGGGTCTATCACAGGGTCCATTACAGTGCTCCCGCATTCTTGGGGTGGGAACCCCTTTTCACTACATTTAGCAAGAGGTAAACTTGAGGATTTCACTTCCAGAAACCCGCTACAAGAGCCAAAACTCGGAAAGTCAGCTAGCGTCCCCAAAAGCTGAGGTTAGTTGGTCAAAACGGCCGGTGAAAATGTAAAATGGCCCTCGTAAGGCCCAACGATTTGCAAGGCTGGAGTCCCTCTATCCATGGCCGCACGACCGTTGTGCCCAGTAGACATCATCCACCTGGGCTATCCTGTAGAGGCTGAAGAATGGGGGCCTCGTCTGAAAACAAACCAAGTTATGATCCTACCGGTATTGACCATGGTACCCTTTCAACCCAACACGCTCAGAAAATGCAGTTCCCAATCTCGACTCAGGATTTGTCCGTTCGCACCACCATAACGTTGGTTGTACAGGGAATCATGAGAAATAGGGTTTCTTCGCTGGTGCAGGATTTGGCCCTTCCTTTGTTGCCCCCAAAACCCCCAACCCCCTACCCAACCAACAACCCCCCCTCCCTCCTCCAACCCCCCCACCCTCCCCCAAGAGAGCGCCTGAGGCGGAGGCGATGGCGCCGTACCTTGCTTCGTTCCCTTTCTAAAAGTGAGTCTTTGGTTGGCAGGATACGAGACCCTAGGAATCTTAGGCCCTCAAAAAGGCAATCTTTGAGGTCCGAGACCCAAACTCCTGCAAAGGGTCAGAAACGCCCAGTCCCAAAAGAGTCCAACATCCAAATCAAACTCCACACATCCAAAAGTTCTTGTAAAAGTCTTAAGGACCTTTGAGCGGCCGCCACTCTACGGGTCCCCGGGATTCCGATGGTTTCCGGGTCCACATTTCGCGCTCCACATTTCGCGCCCAGGTGCATCAGCGACACCGGGCAGGGCGCCACGGTGAAACCCTCAGCCAATGCCCAGCCGTTCACCGGCTCCGTGATCTCCCCAGTAATGTCGTTCAGGATGACCTGAACGGCTCCCGCTTGGGAACCCGAAATCGACTTCAAGAATCAAGACTGCAGCAGGCGATTGGGCTAAAGACGCAACTGCTTCTGTCGCTTGCTCTCGTAAACGACGAGGAAGAAGAATTTGATTCAAATGAATGCGCCCTCCTGATGCTACCTTTGCCAGCGGTGGCCATGACGGGGCTCGCCTCAGGAGCTGCCGGAATCTCTGTCTTGGTAGAAGCATAGAATAGTTTGTAAAGATCTGTGAAGGTTTATGAAGGCTGTGAAGGTTAAACAGGTTATAAAGGTTATGAAGATTCGCGCAGGCTGTAAAGGTTGGTACAAGTTAAGGAGGTTTTTGCTTGTTCTACAAAAAATATATCTTGTAGACAAGCATTGGTGTCAATTATAATATAAGCATCTCCCGTTTTTGTTTGGTTCATGTTTCTTTATATTTTCTTCAATCTAATTAAAAGGACACATGTTCAAACATTGTGATACAGGATATATCACTTGTATCAGCCTAAGAGCAGTGTGATAAATGTATCATGTTCTTTTGTATCGTTGCTGCAGGTATTGTGCCCGCTCAGCGGCAAAACATGGCATGCCATGCTCCTTCTTTACATATTGGTCTAAAGCTGCAGGCTTAGCGGGGCGCTCCTGGGCTTTAAGTAAACATCACCCAAAACAGGAGCCAGGGTGGCATTGGCCCAAAGGGTGATGTTTAAAGCCACCCACAACGGGGACGTGTGGGGAACCTGGTCCTAGAGAGGGGGGTTGGCTAGCAAGTGATCCGAATGCCCTCTTAAAAGGACGCCCCTATTCATCAACCAGAGCTTGGTGGCTATTGACGAAAGCTTACTTTTTGCTGACTCGTGGGCAAAATCTAGAAAGGTTGAAGATCCAACCCACAAGCATTCAAGTAATCCTTTCATCAGGCTGTACCACGGGGCATTCATGTGAATTCCGAAAATTCCATTGATTCAAGATTAGCTCAGTTGCCCAAAGGACCCAGGAATATATGATGGATCTTTTGGGGCTATAACTACAATTGGACCAAAAGGGGGACAGTCAAAAGGTCAAAAAGTCGGCTTTGGGCCAGTGAGTTAGGAAAAGCCAACTGTCCAAAAAAAAAAAATCCTTGGACCCGGCCCGGGCAGCCTCCTTCGCCAGGACGAACCATCTGGCATCCGGCACGTTGTTCAAGGGAGTCTGGATCCGCCTCGAAAAAAACCCGCGGCCATCGGAATTCCCCGTTCCCGAAAGCGGTTTCCTGTACCACCAAGACCGACCAAAACGCTGTTTCTTTCTACGGGGGGGGGGGGGTTCTGCGGGGATGGGCAAAATCCGCAAAATGCGGCAGTTGGATGTAAGTGGTTCATCGACCAGTTTTCAAATCGGGCATCCATCCCGGCAGGAGGGGAAGTTTGCCGTTTTACAATTTTCGGGCCAACTTATTTTTCAACCGTACCCCGTTGGTAAATCTGCTTTTTAGTGCAAAAGTACCTGGATCTGCCCGAGTCTAGGGTCAGGCCGGGGGGGTCAAGCGAAACCCTGATCCAAACATAACTAATCACCCATTTGTTTACACCACCCTCAGCATCCGAAAGGACCCGGGCCTGGGCGCAACAAGGCCTCCAAAAGAGATCAAATACTTTTTGGGGCAGGACAGTAGAGCAATCCCCGCTAGATGTGGGCAAGTGAAAGACTCAACAATATGGGAAACTCTGCCATATCCTTTCACACAACTGTTAACATCCTCCTTTCGGTTCCACCATTTTGGGCAACCCGGCGTTTGCAGTGCTGGGGCTTCATCGCAAAGCTATTCATCGGATTCAGGCAGAACGCCCGCAAAGCGGTCTTCATAATGAGGGTTGCTTCACATGCACATGGTTTCAAGATTCTGTTACATAGCCCAGCAAACTCTACCCCACGGCTACCTTGAGGTTGCTTTACTCCATAGTTCCTCAAGCCCCATTTTATGCGCTGTGCTCTTGAGGGCACCCCATGTGGACCATGCGCCATGTTGCCGTCAGGGCCTGCAACAAGGAAGGGGAGGGGGTTGGGTCGATTTGCCCGAACTGAGTGGTCCGATGTAGGGTGGCAATCAAAGCCGGGTATGAAAGTGGTCTACCCAAAACCAAATGAAGCTCTCAAAGCTCGGTTGCTTTCTACCCCCCTGCTAAAAGTTTAATGTTTAGTGGTTTAATGGAAACAAAACAACCATTAGTTGGCAAAAGTTGAAGTCCTAACATCCAAGCAAAATGCACCAAAGAAAGGGTGGCCACACGTATTTCTGGCTTAAAGTAGCCACTTGCCCAGGTTTTGATTGTAGCTCAGGTCAGATTTACCGCACAAAACAGAAAAAGAGAAAGTGGGGACCTTCTCGGCCATTTCGCGGAGCTAGGTGGAGAAATCAAGGGCAGAAGGAGCTCATGTTCACTCATGTTTTCTCTAGGGGTACCTTCCCCATTCTTTCCAGGGATCCGAGTCTTTCTAAAAAACCTGAATAAGCCCAGGGGAAACGGCCGGGTTTTGAACAGAACGATGGTTGAAAAGAATGGGGAAGCACACCCTGGAGCTTTGCTTCCTGTCGCCCGAAGTTGAAGCTTCCTCCTAAGAACGGTCCCAACACGTGACTCAAGGTCCAGGAACTCAGTGAGTGAGATTGGGATGTGGGCCTGTGCAAGGATTCTGGGTGTCCCCCAGAAAAAGACCCCCCCTTAAAATGACTGCAAAAGTGCGCAAAACCAGACCAACCGATGCTGCGGGGTCCACAGCGCAGCAAAATACAGCTACGGTTGCAACTAGCTTCGGATCGTTCAGTGCATGTTTCTGATGAGGTCAAGCAAAACAGGCATGACCACATCTTGAGGGAATACGTTTACAACATCGAGTCATCGAGCGTCGAGCGTCAACACAAATGGCAGGAAGTGTATCCGCACCCAACTCCATATACCGGCCTCGTTTGGGATGCGCTGTCAACCCCTGGCCAAAACAATGCGCTATGTACAATGAAAAGACGTTCTTTTTTTGCTTTTTCTCCCGGATGTACCCAAAACAAACACGGGTATTTGGAGTAGGGAGTAGCCGCTGAAGCGTCAAACTTCCATCAGCTTGAGACGAAGCATGATTCTGCGGCATAGTTCTTCTCAAAGTGCCCTTTCCAACACAAAGCTGATTGGTCGAATCTAAGCCAGAATGCCGACCGTCCAAGAGTACGCTCACTGTAAGGCATCACTGAAATGTATATACATGTATCGTTCACACTCATGTGGTTCTGGCGCAACTGAAAAAGAAATCGTGGGATCATGACCATGTTCATTTAACCTCAAACGTCCAAAACCTGACTCGCTTCTGGTCAATATGGCGTATGCCAATATTCATGTCAAATCAGGCGTACCACTAGCATAGTCTTCCCAAAATAGCGACCAGTCGAGTGATGCGTCCCGGCGTTCCAGCCAAGCTGCAGGTTGAAAGTCATGCCCGTACTTAGCAAGCCTGAGACGCAGAGAGACTCAGAGAAGCTTCCCTGATAGCTGACGTTGAGTCTACCAACATGCTATAAATAGAGGTTCATATATAGCCATAGCCTTACTATGCTCCGGAACACCAGGTAGTGACCCAAATGTCAACTTTGGATTAACCCAGAGGACCATACGAATCAGACTAGGCAAATGAGCGTTCACCAAGCGAGCATAAGGCCCCTGCAAGAAAGGAGCCTTCAGAACCATCAATGGACTTCCGGGGGTCACCCCCCTCCCCTAATTCCATTGCTCAGGGGATGGGGTCTTGGAGTGGAAGGTTCAGACGAAAATCGGCGACAAGGCAAGGCCAAGCTGTCATAAAGTGAACACGCTTCGTAGGTCTGGTGGACATCAGTTTGGGCGCGCCTGGTTTTGGGGGAACCCAAAAATAATAGTCGTCCTTTTGAGTTGCCCTTTAAAACAAATCCAAAAAGGGGATTCGCTGACAAAAACAATGCAACCAGTTGGTTCAATTTTATTCAAGGGGCGATTCGGTCACACCAAAGACCAATCAATGGTTGCGCGGCTCGGATGACCGCGTCCTGGTGATTCTGCTACGAATGTGGATTTGCCAACATCAATGGAAGAAGCCTTGGCCAAACCCCGACTTGGCATGGCTAAATGGGGCCAACTTCCTGTACATGTGTTCTTTTCCGCGTGTTTTTCTACGCTGTTGCTGTTCCTGTTGGCGTTGCGGACAACCAAAGGTCAAAAGGATGATTCACTTCAGGCCGGCAAAGTCGGAACAACTTGAAGGTTCATGGTTTAATGATCGAAGCGTGGCCATTGGCTGAATATGGGCTGAGTTCCCAAAACAAAAAGTTACTGACACTTCGACAGGAAGTTAGCCAAAACCCAATCGGTGTCTGCACATGGACAAATGCCTTCACATTCGATGAACAAGGACAACATTTGAACAAGGAGACCAAGTTCAATGCAAAGGGTGTAAACAAATTGACAAAATATAATATACATGACCAAATTGTATAAGAAGGGCCGAACTCTACGACCACATGCCGAATTGATATTACAATCAGCAGGTACTGTATTTGGGTAATCTGTCCAACTGGCCTGAATCCTTAGAGGAATCTCGTGTAGTCCCATAACCACCAAATCCGCGCGCGCGGTCCGTGGAAAACAACGTGATTCTGTGATCAAAGCTGCATGCTCATTCCCATCGCCTGTTCATCACTCTAAGGAGATGTTGCTATGGCAGAAAGCCACAACCATGCCAAAGCCATAAATAGTTAGGAGATCGTTCACCCAAGCTTTTAGGCGGACCTCGCTATTTGTCCGCAACCTAATTCCAACAGCGACAGATTCTTTAGCCATTGCTCAAGTGCAAAGATTTCACTTTTTGGGTGGTTCGTAGGTAAGTGTGTGTGTGTTGTCCCAAACAAGCCATCTATGATATAGTACAATGTGACCTCATGATTGTTTGTTCACTTTTGTTTTCGTTTCTTTGTTGTTGTTTTTTTTGGGGGGGGAGGGACTGGTATATGAATCCCGAGTTTATGGGGGTCCCCGACCAAGAAACATAGCAGCAAAGTAAACCGTTCAGATCCTGATGACTATGAGGCGCTTCCACATGTTCATTTCCAACTCCCCTGTTGAAAGCGAACCTCCCTTTGCTTACTTCTGGAACAAAAAACTCACTTTCAAGCCAACAGGGGAAAATAATAAACTAAGTCCTCCAGAGAGGTTCCAATAAAGGTACCAACTTTTTTCTGTAGTCTATTTTAGTAGGAGAACCCTCCCCCAAAAAAAGAGTAAAAGGCACTACTGAGTTCGTCAAAAGTAGGGGCCCTTTTTGGTTCCCTTTTTTTTTGGCGGCACGTACCGGCGGCACCAGGTCGAATATGTTGACATTCCCCCAGAGTCTCATCCAAAGCTTCCTCAACTCTACTTGGGTCCCCTGGAGCAAAAGCAACAGTAGTAGACTCTCTTGAAACCAACTGGAGAAGTAAATGGAAGGCGACCTGGGAAACATAAACCTATTTCCAGTAGCAATAGGAACACTTCCATTTGCTTTAGCCCCTGGAAATCATTAATATATATATATATATATCAGTCCAGTAGTAGGCAAAATAAACACACAATGGCTCCGAAACAAGAACTAGGTCCTCCAGTAGAGAGCTTAGAATATTGGTACACTTTTTTCTGTAGTCTATTTTATCCCCCAAAGAAGAAACGGGTGAGAAAGGGCACCCAGCTGGGGACCTAGAAAAGAAGCCAGCGTGAGCGAGCATCCCCGAGGAGCCGCGCCTATGCCCTCCATGGAGAGCTCCGCGATGAGGCGCTTCCCGGGCTCCGCTTGGGCGCCGTAGGGGGCGTAGCCGTAGGGCAGAAGCAGCTGGAGCCGGCTGAAGGGCGACCTCGTTTTTTTTTTTTTTTTTTTTTTTTTTTTTTTTTTTTTTTTTTTTTTTTTTTTTTTTTTTTCCGGTTGTTGATTTTGCCCCTGGCTTTTTTGAGGGAATTGGAGTCTATCACCCAGCATCTGCTCTTTGGTGAATTTTGTTTGAGAAAAGATGTGTCAGGTGGTGAAGGGAGCTCTCTTGGTTCTCAAGAGAATTTTGATTTTTCACACCTGGTTTCAAAGGGAATTGGAGTCTATCACCCAGTTGGTCTGAAAGGAAGTCTTTTACCCGTTGGTTTGGAGTTGCAGGCTCTTTGGTTTGATTATACACCTTAGTTTGGAGTTGGAGTCCTCTTGGTTTTAGAGGCAATTGATTTCATTGCGGGAATTTGCCCCTGGTTTTAAAGGGAGTCTATCAGCCTCTTGGATTTAAAGCACCTTTCATTTCCCTGGCCCTTTCCTAATTTTCTGGGTGAGGGGAACCCTATTTGATCTCCCTAGGTTTGTAGCTGGAGTCCTCTTGGTTGTAAAGGGAATCGATTTCAGTGAACATATGGGTATAGCTCAAAATTAAAGAGCTGGGGTTACACGGGTTTTGGTGTTTGGTTCCATTTACCAGAGTGCCATTTTGGTACCACTTTTTTGAGCCACAGCCATATGTTCTCATTTTCCCCCACCCGCTGAAAGCGGGAAGAATTCTCCAAAGTTCGGAGCAGCTTTCAGGTTGCGGGTTCCTGAGGTCCTGGCGATTGGGGATATTATATGCGCTTTCTTGCGGGAACCCTTTTTGCAGTGGAAACAAAAAGGGCAACGAAGGCGTTGAAAAGGGAAACAATGGGAAATCACCATTGTTTGGGCTTCTCTGTTTTCACACATGCTCAGATGGGTATCAGGTTTACCAGGGTTTGATTGTCCACACTATGTTCCGGGGTCCCCCCCATTTTGTGAATCCTCCAGGAAAACAAAATCCATTCTCGGGGCCAAACCCCAAGTTTGACACGTACCCATACTTACCGCGGCGAGAAGGGGTGCATCAAAAGTGATTTTCACTGGGCACTTTTGGTGGTTTTACCACCATAGTTCGGTGAGAAGGTCAAAGGGGATCCAAATACAAGTGCAAGGCCTCGTTCAAAAGACCACATCTGACCTACAAATTTACGCGGGCTGCCCAAAGAAAGGGGCCCATTTCCCAAAAGGCGATTCCTCTAAAAGATAGTGGCAAACCAGAAATCATGGTTGAGCTCTAGGTCTCCATCCCGACTTAGCCCCCCTCCCCCAAAAAAAGAAACGAAGACGTTCCCTAAGCATCATTGGACCCTCCATTGGATAGCCTTCTCGAGGTCCCAAGACTCTTCGGGTTCTTAAGGGAAGGCTCAGGGCTCCTGATATGTCCCCTGAGACATCAAGAGAAACTGGCCCATTCAAATGCTCAAACCACCCATGTGGACGTTGAGGCTACCCTCTTTGGGATTTTTTGAAGGGAGGCCACAAGGAAAACCGACGACATATGCCCAGCTATGTCCAAGAAATGGACAGCGAGTCGGATGAGTCGGACCCGTTCTCAGGATAGCTTCAGGGGAAGCCAAAAGGAAAACCAGAATCATAGGCTTCCATTGGCCAAAGTCCTTTGTTCCAGCGATAGATTCCCTTTGAAACGAACAAGCGAGGAAAGGACTTTCTTTCAGCAGCAACAAGTGTCACCAAATGTCCCCCTCCAAAAGTAAAAAAACACGGTAAAAGGGCACCTAGCTAGCTGGGGACCTAGTTGGAGGTCAACCAAACCCTGGGCGAGCGGCGCCGAGAAAAGACGGCCGGCGCCCTGGACGCCTCCCTCGACCCGAGCGGAGCGGAGGCCGAGCGAGTGGCTGGCCGGGGCCCATGGTGACCACCACCGCCACCGCCACGGAGCTCTGCGGCGGACTCCTCTGCAAGGCCGGGGTCACCGAGAGCTGCATCTCCTGGGAGTCATCGGAACCAAGATCCTCCAGAGAGGTTAGAATAAGGGTAGCCTTACTGACTTTTTCCGGTTTTGTCTATTTTAGTAGGGGAACCCTCCCCCAACAAAGGGGAGAGAAGGGCACTACTGGGGGACCTACAAGGGGTGTGAAAAATTGGAGAAACCCGCACCAAGCCCCCAAAACAGCGACCCTCAACCAAAGCCATCTCCTAAAAGCGACCCTCTAACGGACTGTGGATGATTTTGTTTGGCACTTTTGTTGTGTAGGAGGTGGACTCTGCGTTGCAGGGCACCGGACATGATTGTGTGACGTACTGGGGATGGTTACGTAATCCATTCCGCACCAACACTCAGATGATGGTTCCCTTGTAGATGCAAACAAACAATGGTTTCAACCATGGTTTCAAAGTGATGCATAATGTTGTCCAAGCCCAAACAAAACGACCCTCACAAAAAGAGAGAGAGAGAGAGAGAGAGAGAGAGAGCGAAAGAGGTACCCATGTGAGTCATAATCAAAACTTGATTAATGGACCCGGAACTGTGTGAATTGGAGTAAAAAACGGGCGGCTGCAACCCATTTATGGTTGGGATTCACCCCAAGGACCTGGGAAGAAAGTTTGAGCGAGCAGACCCAAGCTGACTGGAAGGCCAAAGGAGGGTTGCATCACTCCGAACCTGGAAAAACAGAATCTTGTTGTATGATTATTGAAAACGATCATTTTCCCCAAACAGAAGAGGGTTGAAGATCCAACCCAACACCTGCCAAGCGAGCCGCTTGGTATGCTGACAGGGCGCGGGCACTGCAGTCACCCCGGGTGTCAGGCCGTCGTTGGTGTTGGAGAGGAAGTTTTGAGCCTAAGTTCAGGGGACACTAAACGGGTTTTCACGGCCCACATCTGCCTGTGGGTCATCCAAAGACTAAAACATGCGGTCCCCTGTTTGTTTTTTTTTTTGACCGGCATCTTGGATGGAATTAGGACCCCAGCAAAAATATAGTTTTTGCCTGGTTAGTGGAAAACAAAGGGAGCCCAAAAAAGCCAAGAAAAAAGAACTACTTCCGGGGAAGGCATATGCTCAGATGCTGTTTCACATTTGGGTGCGTCTTTTTCAGGGGAACTTCAAAATGGCTTCAGTTTCCCTCTCTTGGTTTCCCTTTTAACACCACCCAAGAAAAGGGGGTACCGAGCCTGGCCTCCAAAAAACCGACCCATATTAAGTCTACCTCAACAGTAAGTTCTGGAGCAAAGTTCAGTTCCAGCTTGCACCAAAACCATTCAACAGCTCACCACATTAAGTTCTCTGACCTGCTGAGTGAGGCTGAGTGAGTGGCCAAAGTTTGGCATTTGTTGGGCCTTTGCTGGACTGATGAACAAAGCTGCATCGTGTTGTTGTCGCAACTGCCAACCAATGGTCTCAACCCAGGGTGTGTTTCCAAGCCATGAAAAGCATCCCTTTGAAGCAAGCCCAAGGAAAAAGAGAGGTGAAGCCACGCCAAAGGGATACGTTGCTAGCCCGGGCGGCTTGAAATTTGGTGCCTGGGCTTGGGCCAGGTGGCATCGGAACTGAACTCTCGGAACCCTCCCAAGCTGCTCGGAAGCTGCTCGTGTCCCAGAGTTTCTTTGGATGGCTCTTCTTTCTGAGTCAAACGGTACCCCCTTTTAGGGGGTGACTTTTTCCGGGGAACAAAAAGCACACCCGAAGCCATTTTCGGGGTCCGACTCCGATTTTGAGACAAACCCAACCGCTCGGGACCCGGATCAGAAACCTGCAGAGCTTGTTGCTGGTGCCGCTCGTCTTTTTGGATTTGGACACAAAATGGCTTCGGTTTTCCTCTTGGCTTTCCTTCAAAACCAACCAAAATGGGAACCCTCAAAAAAACAGACTCATACTGCAAGTATCTGCAAGTACACCAATCATGCGAAAGACCACAAAAACATTGCAAATCACTGTGAGCAAGAGGACTGCCTCGGTTTGCAATATTTTGGGCATATACCGTAACCATTTTCCAACATGTTGACTCGGTACAGGCAACCAGGAGATGCCGCGATGAAACTTCAAAGCTTGCATCCAACCGGGCAAGGACCAGGGGTTCAAGTCCCCAACCCACCATTCCAAACCTCCAAAAAAAGGTTTACCTGAAAATACCTGAAATAAGGCATCTGGACCTGCAGCTTATTCAGCTCGTGTTTCCCCACGGCAGCTGGCCATGGAATAGGCAGAGGAGGTATGGAGGGTTTCTCCGCATCAGCCCTGTGAAAAAATGCGCTGGATGGGCAAGAGGGGATTTCGAAGGAAAACAAATGTCGGTTTGCACCATGATTCAAGAAACAATTCACGTCGTACTCCAAATACGTGTTTTTCCAGGACATGATTTGAAAAACGTGGCTTTCCACGATAAATATTCCTTTTTCAGTAAAGGGTTCACATGATACCCTGCAAATTGCGTACTTGGAGCAGGGGGCCAGGGGGTAGCTTTCCTTTTCGGGCGAGTGGAGATCAAGTCATCAAATTTCTAATGAACATGCGCCTAGAAGGGCCATGGAGATGGCGGGTTGGCACCTTGTCACCTTGCCCCAAGTTGGTGATTTGGTGGTTCGGGAGTCGTTTCCCATCCCTCTACAAGAGCCAGGGGCTCAAGTCCAAATCCAAGGCACCAACCAGGACCTAGCTTAGGGCGAATGATGCAGGAATAAGTGGTAACCCTTTGATTCAAGTCGCATCCTCTGTAAGGATTGACCAAAACGTAGGCGCGGAGGATGGTCTCAGCCACATTCCTTGGAAAAAACAAAGGTGAACCGGTATCACACACACACACACATCACACACATCACACACATTACACACATCACACACACATCACACACACACATCACACACATCTCACACACACACACATCACACACATCACACACATCACACACATACACATCACACAAGCATATCACACACATCACACACATTGCATACATCACACACTGTGGGTGTTTCTCAAAATGGGCTTGTCTCAGAATAGGGGAATCTTGGTTTCCCTTTCAACCAAACTAACCAGGCACCCTCATGTGCCAAATCATATAGGAGCCCATGAACTCTCCTGAGCAAACTCACCCAACAGCTTTTTGATTGACCAGCAAGTGAAACGAAACACCCTAAAAAGATGGCTGGACCTGGTCTGTGCTGCTTTTTTTAAATGGTTAGTTTTGCTTGTTTGCGGTTTTCAAGAGACACCAAGAGGACACATCTGTAGGGGTAATCCCCAACTAGGCAAGTCAGCTCGGTTGTGGGTGACTTGGGATAATTCCAAATAAAATTTCGGATGACTTCGGGCCCTCAGGTCTCAACCCACAACGACTAGCGGATTGCGGATTTCGCGGTTTACGAGTTGCAACTTATGCGTTGCGTGAAGGTTTCGAATCACGCTTTGCAGCTCAGACTGCAGACGAGGAAGAGTACCACCCGGACCCAGGAGTAAGTGGATGGCGACCTGTGGCTCGGCCCCAATGGCCACTTTGACGATTTCTATATGTTTTTGCCCCGCCAAACCAAGATCGCAGAAGCCAACATTACGATTGGAACCCTTTTCGTTGACGCACAGGCTAGAAACCTGTGATGACAGCGAAGAAGCTGGAGAGGAATGGACAGGCTTTTCAAGCTGCTCTCTGCGGTCACCAGCCCGAGCGCAGAAAATCCTGAAACTTCAGCTGGTCCGCAGCAAAGTGCTCACACTGCCACATGCGGTCAAACGTGAACTGTCTCGCGTAGGTGGACGTGCTCAGCTCTTGGCGTCTCCTGCATAGCCGCATCTTGCAGCCGCACACATTCCCGAGCTGCAAGGTACCTGTAGCTGCATGGCTACTCCAACAAGCAGCAGGCGCAGCAGACCTTGGGAAACCAAACGGAAGCCTGCAAGCCACAATTGCGTTTGTCTGCCGGGTATGTTGTCCTACTCTCTTGCCACAGTTGTCCCTGGCACGCTACAAGATTAAACACGGCCTCCTGCGAGAGCTCGCTTTGCGCCCGGCTGGGTAAGCTCGTTACGAATAAACTACACCTCTCCTTGAAACACCCCGGGAACTGAGGGGAGTCTGCTGTTAACATCTGAGAGTGATGCTCATCATAGGTGCGCTCCTCAAGAGCCCAGATGGAGCGAGAGGCTTTGGCCCGCAGAAATTCAAGTTGACATGCTGAGACATGAGGCCTCGAGTTACCGGCGTGAAGCTGGCATGACTCAATCAGGTGATCCCGCCAGCGTGCTGCAGGATGCTGATCTTGAACTTGCGCCTTGACACTCCTGGGCGCTAAATTGCGGGCCTTGGGCAAATTACGGCTTGTCTGGCCCAGGAAGGCCCAAACGATGTCGGATCCACTGACAAGATGTTTGTTGAAATTGTGCGTGAACCAAGAGCATGTGCCAAGCCGGCCGGCGAGACGGAGGCAACGTCGCGGCGCAAGCACAAGAACACATCACCATGACGCCTGGACTCATTCCGGGAACATTTCTTTTTTATGTCTCCAGTCAAGGCGCTTTACCTGAGCCGCACCCGTGTTTCCTTTACAGCCCTCTGCGCCATACTTCGCTATAGGAATAGGTTTCTTGCTAAAACAAATCTACGGCTACAAGAATATGAGCCTTTATAGCTACAACGGCTACAGGAAATCGGGAACTCCACCTAAGTCAATCAAAACTGGTACTAGATCGTGAGGGTTTTGGCTGTTGCTCGTTTTGTGTTGGGGCGCTGGGCTCCCACCGCCCGCAGGCGGACTAAGCTCTTGGCGTCAGCACTGTTCTAAGGGGCAATAAGACAAACACAGGGGTAGGGGGAAACAGGGCTTCAAACGCGGCTCCTGATGATGAAGTCCGTCCCAAGGACGCCGGCCTCCATTCGGGCCTTCTTTAGGGGGTCTGCAGTTTTTGCTGCCCGGGCTTCGCAGCTGCCCCGGTTCGTGTTTGAGCCATCTTATGGCTACGTCTGTTTCAGACTTTGCTGACCCCTTCATTACGCTTCGATCCTCCAATGTCAGAGGGTTCTTGAGGTCGTCCACCTTGGCCGGTAGGTATGACTCCGAGACGGCCAGCGCAATTTGCTGAGCCCTCGGCCCCACCAACACCTTGACCACGACGGAAACCCCGCGTGTCCTTGACCAGAGCGCAACTTCTTTGAAACATGTTTGCTTTTGCGGGTTGAAGCGCGCAGGCTGCTGCTGGCGAGAAGTTAGCGGCATCTGTGCGAGGCTGGCCCTGCGTATGGTTCACCGCGCGAAGAGGGTCAGCTGGCCGCACCATGAATGTGTAGGAGCGATTGGCTTGCCACTTTGATTTGTTCTCGCAGCCGCGTCAGGTCAGGTGTGTCGACAAAACGGGGGTTGCGTCACATAACTCAGAACGGCCGGAATGGGAGGGAGCCTTCGCAGAAGCTGTTTGCCTTGCCTGCACGGAAGTGTTCTTGCTTTGCAGAGCCCATAAGTTTTCCACACCGGCCTTCACGAGATCATGGTCTTCGAAATTTGTACTTCTGCCTTCATAGACCACCCTTGTAGCAGCTCGCTCAGTACCCCCAAATTCAAATTAATTGTCAGCCCCCTCCATGTGGATAATAAGCCAGTAAGAGCTTGCTCAAATCAGTACCTTGCTTGCACGAAACGTGTTTGCTAAGGCGCGGTCTAAGGAACTGTACAGATTGGTCCGCTCAGGGGAATGCGCCGCAGTAAGGACGCTGGCGTGGTGGCGCAAGCTATTTTGCGACAAGAAACGGCGCGGGCCCTCCCGCCGAGATTTTCCAGCTATTTCACGCGCCAGGAAATCGCTCCATAAAGTATGCGGTGTTAATTACTAATCATATGTTGGCAGGACTTAAATATGCTACGGCTTCGTTTGGTAATGACTGTTGCTTTTTTGGGAAGCCACTGGGTGTGGTAAAAGGCCCTATGAAAGGTTCGATCGGCGGATGTAAACTTCAAATGGATGCTCGGCCCCAGGCTGATGTGGTGGAGCTGTGCTTGACGAACAGAGAGGTCGTGAGGATCGAGTTTGAGAAACAACAGCTGTGTGCGTTTCGCCTGAGGGAAGCCAAACCAATGCAACCCAGAATCCGCAGTCCGCTAATCATTTGGGGTGAGATTTTGAATAAGCCAGTTTCGGTACTGATTAGTTTCCCTTTGCTGAGACCTGAAGCGGCTGAAAGTGCAAAAGCCAAAAAGGAACCCACACCATGTTTGGGGCTCCCGCTATATTGACAAATACCCATGTGTTTCTACAAGGTCCTTTTTGGGCCTTTGAGGTCACACCTTTGAGACCAGCCATGCTCAGTGGATTGGCCAAAGAAAAACAAACAACAACAAACTTGCTGCTTCCTTTGGCCAAGCCCAAAAAGCACTAAACATGTCATGCCAAAAAGGTACAAAGCCCAGCACCTCTCTTGCGCGTCGCACTGCTCTGGCCCGGGGCGATAGAAACCAAAACCCTTTCGTGGCCAAGGACGACGTTGTTTGGCCTGGCTCGGTGTCCGTGATTTCAACATGGGACACGGTTGCAGCCATACGGTGAAGCAGTTGACTCCCAACGATTCTGGTCACTTGGGAGACTTCGTTGGAAACTCACAGGTGTAAGATTCCCAAGCTCTAATCTTAATTAAGCAAATGGAAGCAACAAGAGGCTGTCAGGACCCGGAACCTTCGACGCTTTTCGCGTGAAAGCCTGGTCAACTCTCTGGCAACCCGCCGACTCACCTGGTCAGCGCAAAAGTCTTGTCTGGGGTATTGGGACACCCCGTATCGAGAAACCCAAAACAACATGTGCATGAAACACTGTTACATAAAGTAAATGACGGTAATTTTGAAGCCGACTCATATCATCTGCTTTCTAGTTGGCACATTTGGAAAAACGTGGTGTTTCATAGCAATTGCCCCCTTCTTAGCCAGGGGTTGACAAACCATACCCTTTAAACACGAACTATTGGCATCTGGAGTCTTGGCCAAAAAATGAAAAGGTCAGCGGATTCTGGCAAGATGTCTCTATTTTTAGGGTGACAAACATCCAAACAGGGAACCCTCAAACAAAAAAAACGCCCAGATCGGCATCTGGAAGGGGGGTTCCAAGACTGGCGTTGCACTCCGAGCAGCGGAGCCGGTAGTCCCTATCTTGCTCCAGAGCCAGCTCCCTCATGCCCAGGTCGCCTCAAGCGGCCAGACGAATCCCTCACTCTGGCCCAAGCCCCCAAGAATATGGCCAGGGGTCAAAACCCAAATCGTACCCTGCAGTGAACATCCCAATCCCAACTAAAGTAGACTAAAAAGGGTGGTGCGCCCACCCCAAAATGGTATCATTGGTTTTGACCCACAGCCATATGTTTACCACGCAATCGTCTTCTCAACAAAATGATTCACCTCCATTTGCTTGAGCCCAATGGAACGCACAATCATATTTCCAGTAGTGATAGATGTCCATTAAAACCAACAGGGGAACATAAACATAGTCTTAACCAATGGAAGTTAAAGCCCACTAACAGGGGAAGTGAGCTTTGGTTTGCTGTCGACCAATTGGGCCTCCTCCACAAAGAGGGAGTAAACAAACTAATGAGAGGCCGCGGCCCGCAAGTGGCGCGTTGATTTTGGGGGCTATCTCAAACCTGCCCGAAGATGTACTCACATCCCAAGCCCTCCTGCGGAGACTCTAAGAATCGGTTTACTAAGGCTGTAATTGTTCTTCCCCGGAAAAAAAAAGACCGGATCTCTACTCCAAATACCCGGGACCCGCTTTCTGTCGGACATAGTTGGAAATACGTGCATCATTGTAAAGATGCAGCCTTTCTTCGGCAGGGGTCGCAAATGCCCCAAAGAACAAGGCGGTGTGGAGTACCGCCCACTCCAAATGGCCGCTTGTTTTTCGTAAGCTATTGAAAAGCCAGCGGCTTTCCATGGTAACTTTGTAGAGGGCTGTCACAATACAATCAAAACAAAGCGTTGGTATTTGGAGGTTACGGGGGGAGTACTGAGGCATCATTCAAAAATTTACCGTCACCGGAGCCAAGAAGGTGCTCTTTGAGCGGGTCCCGGTGGGCTCGTCTTTTTGTTCCCCAAACATGGCGTCGGGGGTTCCTTTGGTTTCCCTTTGACAACAAACAACAGAGCGACCCAACTATGCAAATGGAACCCCTTTTGGCGTTTTGGATGGTAAAAGGGGACCACACGCGAAACCAACTGTTTTTCGGGGCCACTATATTGAGAAATACCCGTAATCCCCAATCTTTATCCAGACACAAACGAGCTGAGCTGACTGGCCAAAAGCCACCACGTGGCGTGGCCAGACTAAAATGAAGGGACTAAACACCCCCATATATATGTGGTTGTGTTTTCTAAAAAAATGAAGTGTAGAACACAACAACTATGCCGGCAAATGAATTGAATTCCCACACCCAGGTACGGGATAACCGCTTTTGAAGAGGAAGAAAATGGAAGAAATGTGTGGTTCCCGTGCCAAAGAGATCTTGGGGCTCCGAATCGTACTGTTTCTTCTGGCCTCCTGAAAGCCACAATGTACAAACGCGAAGTAAGAACCCCTTAATATAGACACTAGTCTATGGGGTTGCGGCTGTTGCCCACAAAAAGCTTACCTCTTTTGCTAGTTATCATAAAAGCGAGGTTCAAGACTCAACCCAACAATGTCAACCCCGGAGCAATCAACTCCAGTTCATTAATGGGGGGATGTCCCTGGGTTTAGATGAATCCCCCACCCCCGTTCGTCAGGCAGGTTTCTTAATCCGGGTCAACATTATATAAACTTCAAATAAACATAACCCTTAGGGTCCCGCGTAGCTTCTGAGGAAGTACTTCTAATTCCCGTAGATGCTAAGACCAGGTTTGAGGCCGCGTCCATGCTGAGACACTTTTGGGGCAGCGGGTGGGCATAGGGGGACCAACAACACCGATCAGTAACTAAGCACCCCGCATGGTCTGGCTTTTCGATCGCGAGATTCTAGGCAGCATTTGCCCCCAAAATGTGGCCAGCATGCAGGGAGGGCCCATACGTGCTTGGACACTTTCCGGGCCCAACCGCTCGATCCTAGGTGAGGGGCATATATCTTTCCACAGTCTAGCACTAATGCTTCAATCACTTGTGTTCAACCCATGCCTTCCTTGCGCCTTTTGACCCTTTGTTTTGTAGATCTTTCGACTGCAGTGCATCAAGTGGGTTAGAGCACGCTAGCCCAGAAATCCAACCCTACGATGCCAGTTTTGGGCAACTCGAAGAGGGGACTAGAAACAAGCAGGTGCTGAGCAAACTGTGGCCTTTTTCTTGGTTTGGGGGTTTCGTGGCTGCGGGATTTGTAGCTGGACTAGTCTCATGCAGAGTTGGAGCCAATGCGTGAGTTCATTCAGGCTGCAATCTAGCGCTTTACTAACGCGATGCTGATGTTCAGAACATGCCTCCCCGAGAAACGCTTGAGGGAGCAGCATGAATTGGGTCACTCATCATTGATAGCCGTTCGACAATGGCTAAATTGGCCTGTCCAACAACGCCAAACCTCATCAATGGTACAGCGACCCATGATGAGTGTGTTCAGCCTGCCCATGCCCCGTGACGTTGGAGCCCTGCAGGAGGTAAAATCTGTGGGCCGTCAGGACTTGGAAACCGTTTTTGCTCAACTTGTCCAGTGTGTTCTGTAAAAAAACAAGCATGCAAGTTTGCGACTCTGGAAGCTCTTACTGAGCAAGGCTTCTGCCAAGATGTCGATGATGGCCTGATGCGTGCGCCCTTAGGCGTTGCAAGTTTGCCAATTGCTGTGTTTGTGTGTGTGTGTTTTCCCGGCCTACTGGTGTTCCACTTTTTGGGGCATGTGGGCGCTGATCGGAATGCACGCGTTACCCTCGATAACTGGCAACCCTGCCCCTTTTTAAAGCAATTCTGAAGCAATATATGCCTCAATTCTACAGTGCATTAAATTAGGATCTTCTGATTTGGCCTAGTGTCCAGGGTGTGCTCGGGGATATGACGTGTGGCTGCCTGACATTGAGGTTGGTAGCGCAAAAGGCAATGTGCCCCAAGCCAGGCCAGGCTGCTGTGTAAGTCAACCGCAACCCAGCTAGCGCTGGCAGCCTCGACAGCCAACCTTTACCGCGTAGCCCTTGACCCTGGTTATCCGTGTATGGGTCCACCAGGAAGACCTAGGCCGAATCGCCACACTCACAAATCGGTCATAATCTATTCAGGGTGTACATCGTCTAGGTTTGGTGGGACCCCTTAACCTGTTGAATGGAACCAGCTTCCATGCGCGCAAGCGGCATAGTTTGGGCAAGCCGCAGTTTTAGCAGGGAGCGATGCAGTTGTCTTCGAAAACAGACCCAACCAGGCAACATATGCCTGGATTTGCAGGGCTTGCAGCTTGACGCCCCCATTTCCGGCGAGAATTTGCTTGGCACGTTTTGTTTTTCCGGGAGCTTCTTCTGACCAGTGTTCGCAACACTACAAGTTTGTTTCGCATGGGGTCCAAGTAGGATGATGTACTTCACCCCAAAGCCCTTAAACACACTCATGGCCTCGACGCCGTGAGGGGGCTTTGAGGTGTGTGCTTGTTTCCAAAATTGGACCTTTTGTTGCACCTTGGGGTGCAAAGCCAATTTCCGGAAAACATGATGAATTTGACTTTTTTCCAGACATGCCGTGTGCGACAAAGCACACAAGCCTCTAAGTGGCCCAGCCTGAGACGAGTGTGGGGGCAAGTTGCGCACGTTTGCTTCGAGACAAGACCAGCATTCTGAAGGGTTGGTTGATGAGGAATTATTCGGGATTCTGGGCCGGCTCGACCAGGCGCTCGGCAACCCTCCCGATATTTGGCCACTTCAAATTTGCATTTCCGCGTTGAGGGCTTCGTGACACGGCCAGCTCATGGGGAGTCTAACGAAATCTAACGAAATCTAACGCAAATCTAACGCTGGAAAGTTGCCCAGCACGGTCATTTAACGCAATTTTCACGAATCTAACGCAAATCTAACGCTGCTTGGTTCGCATCACCAATCAACCAAGCATTGCCTTGAAATTCTTCCTAACACCGCGGAACCGCAAAACCCACCCAGTGCAGCCCAATCAAGGCACATGTTGAGCCATTTGTCTAGACGTGGGTAGATGGCTCAACAAGGGCTTCCTGTCCCGTCATCCCGAAAGCACTGAGAAAGCCTATTCAAACAATTGTGCGAATGCTGTACATGAATAGGTGTCAGAAAGGGGCTTCCAATTCAACACATCCCAAACGCACCCGATCAGTGACTCCTGCATGCCCACCAGTTGTACATGGGCAGGTGTCAATAGAAGGTCTTCTTTCAATAGCTTCAATAGTTGCTACTTGGACCGGACCCCATACGAAACAAACCTGTGGTGTTGCGAAGACTGGTCAGGAGAAGCTCCCGGACAAAAAAAAAGAAAAAGAAAAAAAAACAACGTGTCACGCAGTTTCTCGCTGAAAATGGGGGGGGGGGCGTCAATCTGCAAGCCTTGCATATCCAGGCAGATCACCAATGTAATATATTGTCTGGTTATACTCTGGTTGGGGCTGTTTTCGAAGACAATTGCAGGGCTGCCCAAACTATGCCGCGTGCGCTTGGAAGCCGGTTCCATTCATTTAGGCCTAGCGGTCCCACCAAACCTAGACGACGTGCACCCTGAATAGATTATGACCGATTTGTGAGTGTGGCGATTCGGCCTAGGTCTTCCTGGTGGACCCATACACGGATAACCAGGGTCAAGGGCTACGCGGTAAAGGTTGGCTGTCGAGGCTGCCAGCGCTAGCTGGGTTGCGGTTGACCTACACAGCAGCCTGGCCTCGCTTGGGGCACATTGCCTTTTGCGCTACCAACCTCAATGTCAGGCAGCCACACGTCATATCCTCAAGCCCACCCTGGACACTACGCCAAATCAGAAGATCCTAATTTAATGTAATGTAGAATTGGGGCATATATTGCTTCAGAATTGCTTTAAAAAAGGGCAGGGTTGCCAGTTATCGAGGGTAACGCGTGCATTCCGATCAGCGCCCACATGCCCCAAAAAGTGGAACACCAGTAGGCCGGGAAAACACACACACACAAACACAGCAATTGGCAAACTTGCAACGCCTAAGGGCGCACGCATCAGGCCATCATCGACATCTTGGCAGAAGCCTTGCTCAGTAAGAACGGCTAAGCAGCCCCAGCTTCCAGAGTCGCAAACTTGCATGCTTTTTTTTTTACAGAACACACTGGACAAGTTGAGCAAAAACGGATTCCAAGTCCTGACGGCCCACAGATTTTACCTCCTGCAGGGCTCCAACGTCACGGGGCATGGGCAGTCTGAACACACTCATCATGGGTCGCTGCACCATTGATGAGGTTTGGCGTTGTTGGACAGGCCAATTTAGCCATTGTCGAACGGCTATCAATGATGAGTGACCCAGTTCATGCTGCTCCCTCAAGCGTTTCTCGGGGAGGCATATTCTGAACATCAGCATCGGGTTAGTAAAGCGCTTGATTGCAGCCTGAATGAACTCACGCATTGGCTCCAACTCTGCACGAAACTAGTCCAGCTACAAATCCCGCAGCCACGAAACCCCCACACCAAGAAAAAGGCCACAGTTTGCTCAGCACCTGCTTGTTTCTAGTCCCCTCTTCGAGTTGCCCAAAACTGGCATCGTTGGGTTGGATTCCTGGGCTAGCGTGCTCTAACCCACTTGGTGCACTGCAGTCGAAAGATCTACAAAACAAAGGGTCAAAAGGGCGCAAGGAAGGCATGGGTTCAACACAATTGATTGAAGTATTAGTGCTAGTGTGTGGAAAGATATATGCCCCTCACCTAGGATCGAGCGGTTGGGCCCGGAAAGTGTCCAAGCACGTGCATGGGCCCTCCCGCCACATTTCGGGGGCACGTGCTGCCCAGAATCTCACGTTCGAAAAACCGTCCTGAGAATGTGCATGGACCATGTGTAAATCAAACATGCTCATACAACGTTTCCTTGCGACCTTGACCAGCCCCTCTGAGCCATATGGCCCCAAAAAGGCCTCAGCACGCACATGGGGCCTCCGACCATGCTGGGCCTGTTTTTTGGTGAACGACAGTGCTGGAGCACTCACTTCGAAAGACCTTCCTCAGAAGGTACATGGACCCTTAGGGTAAACATTTTAGGATTCTGTTTGATATTTAGTCTATCCCGAAATAAACATAATAATCTCCTCCCCCAATTAATGAATGACCCCCATTAATAATAAATGCAAATCCGGGGCCCGAGACCAGATTTCCACTCCGCACAATTGATTTTTAATTGCGCCAATACTAAACCAATACTAAAGTCTTGGAATCCTTATTAGGGGGCACTTTTAACAAGCTTCCAGCCCCACTTTTAAGCTGCGACTGTCTCTCCCCCATACATGCTGGCTAACCTGCCTGGCTGCCAACAAACAACCAGTAAACTGAAAAACAAATAGAATGACACATGACATTTCCTTATTAAACCGCTTACTCGCGGACCTTACAATTCAATCCATTTCCTCCAAATCCTACGCGAACCCTCACATTTTTGGAAAAGCAAAAAAACCCAACCCCGAAAACCCCAATTAAAAAAAAAACCATTTTTGGGAGGATTTATTTATAATAGGGGGGGGGGGCGTATTTATTAATAGGGGGAAGAGATTATCAAGTTTTGGAGAAGACCCCAGAATGCGGGCAAACACCCAGGACAAGCTGATCTTGGGCATCGTACTCGGAATCAAGCAGAAACCCCCGCCTTCCAGCTGCAGCGCACCGGCGACAGCGTCCAGACTTGCCTCGCAAAGCGCTTCCTGTATACCCTAGAGTACACCCAATGCTTATATTCACCCAACTATGGTGTTATTGATGTCATTGGTGGGAAACCACATCCCAGGGTACAGTTGGCACTAAGGGAACGCTACCTTTCTTTTCCGCTCGCAGCCCTCCAAGAGTCCATAGCCAAACTAGGCTACAAGGTTGCTCCATCGTTGGATCGCCACAAAAAGGGCCCCTTCTCTGAATAAAGGGTATGACTGTTCCCAAAACGGGCTGAAAAAAGGGGTGCCATCATCCAACTGACCTGGAGTCTCCTCTTTACCTGAATAAGAAATGGGTTGCCATGAGCCCTTTGTTTTGGGCAATATCATTTTCAGAATGATGAAGACTCCCGGTACCTCTAGGATTTAATCATCTTGGGCTGGTCTGAGCAACTCTGAAGGCTGGAAGAACAGGCATGCGTGTATAGTCAGCGGGTAGCAAGCATGGTAGCAACATACTTAGCCCCCAAACCCTGACAAACAAAAAGAGGTATTTGCCGGTCCCCATTGTAAGATTTTATGAGACTACACCTGGGTGAAAGTAGATCACACGATTGCCGGTGGATGTGAGTGAACGGAATGACCAAACCCTCATGGAGGAGTTTTGCCATCCACTTTCACCCCCAGGCATGAGTCATGTGTGGCTCCCATCAAAACCTAACCTGAGAATATAAGGACACGTCTTCCGCCTAAGGCTTTAAGGTGTCACTAAGAGATACAATGATTGGCAGTCATGTGCCACGTCCTTTGCTTCAACACCAACAAGCAAAAACGAAAGACAACACCGACTCAGCACATGTTTGTTGCCCAGCGGTTAGAAAGGGCTACCCGATGTCTGCATTTGAGAAGTGCACATATTTCTGCTATCCTGAAGCTTCCCTTCACAAAACGGGCTCAACTAGTTGGGCTAAACTTGGACGCCATGTAAGCTCTGTTTGACGGTTGAACAAAACGTGAAGGACAAGCAACGACTTGGCCCACGGGGAAAACAATAACTCAAAATGTTAAGTTTCTCTTTCAAATTTAGTCTACCCGGACATATGTTATGGGATCGGAGACCCCAGAGATGCTTACAAAACCCTGGATTTGTACGCCCGCAACCGCGGGAGAGCCAATTATTTGTTCTTTGGTATTCTTTTTGAACAAACACCGATTTTTTCATGAACAAAAAGGCCTTCACAGGATACCCTAACAAAAGCGTAGGTAATTGAAATAGGGGTATGAAGGTAGCTGAAAGCATTCTGCATGGACCTTAGAAGTCGAGTACCGCCAACTCCACACATGAGATTGCCCTTGTACCAATGGCAAAAGGGTCTCACTTCCGAACGAGTGGACTGGCCAGGAAAAGAAACTTACTGCTTTTCCACAAAAATACATGGTCTTCCAGAAAAGCTTGAAGTCAGGAGCTCGGGAAGTGAGTTAAAGGCCAAATTCAAGACCTGCAATGCCTGAGGGTTCCTTGCCCCCAAAGAATGGTTGACCCAGTTTAGATGACGACAAATTCTTAGGTAAACACTGGGGTTCCTTGCCGGGCTGTGGTTGAAATGGATCATAAGGAGTCAGTTGGAGCCCTTCAAGAAGGGGAAATCCTGAAACAAGGGGCAACATGTGGCCTTTGAGTTGGGTGATGCACCTACTTTTTGTCTTGGCCCACATCTGGGGTACGCAGAAACTAGTATGCTCAGATTCTACTTCAGTTTTTCTCATCACCCCGCTCAAAAAAAAGACAAGAAACAGGAAAAAACCGTATCTCAAGAGACCCTATGGTCAAAAAGGCTAACGTAAGGAACCTTGCCCAACAAAGATTTGTTCACTCGAGAGCCTATTTTGTCCAGCGGTCCATGATCGATGCTCAGCCGATCGCAGGCCCATCGCCTGCGAGAGCACGTGCTCTGGGCGCATGGACCCCAAGGTGAGCCGAAGACCGATGCCGATGCCCACGCTATTGCCTCGGAGTCGAGCGTGCGTCCAAAGGCTTCTCACGTGCGAAGCGGCATGATGTCCAATTGGGATTAGTAAACGGGCCCCCCGAAGGATGGGGGCACCTGGAATAGTATCTTGAGAACCAGTTCAAGTGAGTTTTTATTTGATTATTTGATTTAGTATTGGTAGACTTGAGTTTCCATTTGAATTAGTATTGCTGGAGCTTCCTTTTAAAATTTGAAACTGAGTTTCAATTTGATTTAGTATTGGTGCAGCTTCCGTTTGAGATTTGGAACTGAGTTTCCATTTGATTTAGTATTAGTGCAGCTTCCTTTTCTTGTTTCTTGGGGGGCGCCAGTTTCGGGGGCCCCTGAAATAATGTCAAATTTGGGCTGAAGTACTACCCCCTTTGTGGCTTTGATTGTGGGCAGGTTTTAAGCAAGAGAGATGAAAGAAAAACATGACTTCTGGGGAAGCTGGACATGTTGACTTTGGGGCGCTGAAGAACAAGTTGCCAAAGATCCAAGGACGAGGTGTCGGGTCCTTTTTGTCCTTCTTGTTTCTTTCCTGTTTTTTTTTGGGGGGGGGGAGTTTGGGCGCGGGTGGCGGGTGCTTGACTTTAATCCAGGTGCATTCATTTTTTGTTGCGCCCCCCATTTGTCTTTATTACACGTGCATCGTTTAATCCCATTTGGACATTAGGATAGAACAAAGGCTTTTTACGTGCTTGCCACAAAGCGACCAGTTTTTTTGGGGTGCCCTATTTTGAGACAGACCAGCCCGAGTCATCTTTAGTCCAGGAGTTCTCTCTTGGAGTGTTCGGTGCTTTTTTGCGAGACTCTGAGTTTTGGCCCAGCTCTGTACACCAAACATGTTGCTTTCAGATGTTCATAAGTCAACATACCCTCAGAATATTGGGACCTCAAAAAGGCCATTTGTATGAAGGTTCATAGGGGAACCACTTTTGTGATGTGTACCCAAAGTAACACCGCCGTGTTGGGGGGGTCCCTAATTTAAACATGTGCTCCTTAATTTCAATACCCGTATTGCTTTAGGGGTTACTTGGAAATATCTGTATTGTTTGTAAATACTCGTATGAAGGCCGGGTATTTGGAGGTTACGAGGGTTTGTTCATCAGAAAAAACCCACCCCTACAAAATGGAGATGGGGGGATTTCGACCCCTAATTATTTCAGGGTCCATTTATGGCGACCATTTTTGTTTTATGGGGAAGGCTGGAAAAGTAGAAGTGGGTCGACCCCCCACCCCGCTCCCCCGCAAGGTAGGGTGGATCAGGGCCAAACAGCTGTTCCTCGCCAACTCAGCAGGTCTGAGGTTATATAAAACATGATTAGACTTAGGCCCGGTTATAGAATGTATATTCTATTGTTTGCTTCCCTTTGAGTCACTGGTAAAATGTAAAATGCATCCTAAGTCTAACCCAGAAATGTGCAAAAGACCCTTTACTCGGGGATAGCAGGACTCGGGGTTAACAGGGATAGTCAGCTGCTGAATAATTTGGTCGCAAATCCAATCCCTTCGGAAGACATTCCTCGTGAAAAAGTGCCCCCTGTCCACTTCCATGACTGTTGAGAGGGCACTCCTCCACGACTTTCGTGTGGTTGAGTTTGAGGGAAACCCACTCCAAAAAAAGAGAAAGGCCCGAACGGACCCCCTACTCTAAATAGCCTCTATGTTTCGAATATGATGCCAGCCCGTGATAAAAACAGGTGTTTGCAAAGCAAACCCGTGTTGACCGAACGTAAAACAAACGGGCATTCGCAGGATCAGGCGGAGGTTTGTAGGGCGGAGGTGTGGATCAGATTATTCAATCGCCGAGTGTCGAATCACCGACTGACTGGTGACGTTCACCACCTGCAGGTTCTCGCAAAACCAGGTCCTATTCTCGGCGATGCCTGCACGCATCGAAGCAAAGAAGACCCTGGAGCTCGGTCTCCACCATTAAAACAGTTGACATAACCATCATTGTGACCTAAGGGTTGTCATAGGGTCAACCATTCTTTTGATGGGGCTTGAACCCTAGGGTGCTTCCCTTTGATGCACTTGCGGCTCTTAAAGATTAACGCTCCACTGGGAAATTGCAAGTATCTTAGAGAACCTGGCGTGCAAGCTGCAAACTGCTAGCTATGCTGATGGGGAATCGACAGCGTGTCCAAGAAACATTTGGAGCGAGGTGGCATTTGCTTTGTTCTATGGTCCTGTATGTTGGATGGAACGTCCAGTTTGCACCAGCTGGAATGGATGAAGCCCAAAGGATCCCACTCACAACAAGAGCCATGTGATCTTTAATTTGTCTGGAAAAGGGTGGTTCCCTTCGTGACCTAACCCATTTAATTCTTCCAAATACCGCTATAATAGGTAACTAGGCATGTGTACCTCGCGGTTCTATACATGATGGTTTGCCCTGGCTACCTACTACAGCGGCAACTGCATGAGAGGGTGATGCTTTATAAGAAGAAATGTGGCTACACATTTTAACAGGAAATCCTCTCCACACTGCTTGCTGGACCTAAATTCCGCCTTCTCCAAGCAAACCCTAAATCTTTTCCGAGTATTGACAATAAGTAGCACAACCAAAACACACCAACCAATCTCCCAAAAAGTGTTCCGCCACGAACTCCAGAACTCGAACAAACCCCCACGCGACCGCCCGTCGCGCGTCGCCGCGCCGCCGCGCCTCCGTGGGACGGGTCGAGGCACATCTCCAGCGCCGACTCGTAACCCGCCTCTGTGGAGGGCTCCCAGGGCGCCATGCCGAAAGGCACCGAGTTCCTGGGAGAGAGCGGAGAGAGACATCTCAGCCTATGCTCCCAAACGGGGAACGTTGTCTTTTGTTTTTCTTCTTTTTAGCTTCTTGGACAACCCGTTCTTTTGTTTTCTTGTGTTTTTTTTTTGCCTTTTGTATTTTTTTCGTGGTTAGTACGTGCTAGTTAGTTTTGGAAACTCCACATACCAACGCCCCAAATTGTTGGTTTCTTGGAAAATCCTGGGCTTTACATTGACATGGTAAACATAAAACAATACATGCTAGTTGGTTTTGGCGACATCCTGGAAAAATGCCTAGGGTTGACATTCGCAACACGAAAGCTCGAGTATTTTGAGGTTACGGGGGGTACCCTCCCCCCCAGAGGCGGCAGGGGTTCGTAAAGCCGGGTAATTGCAAGCCTTGGGGTGCATTCTGAGGGTACCCCCTACCCATGTTTGTAAGGGGTATCATGCCGACCCTCCACGAAAATGGATGGATTACATAGAAAGCCTTGTGATTTTAAAAACAACCACACAAATGCATTTGGGGTCGGGGGCCTATCATTGATCCCATGATGTCAGTACCCCCCCCAAGAGGATAGGAGTCTTTTCTCGATTGGGCCCTTGAGAACCATGCTTGGGTCTTCCAACAAACCTGGCAGGTTGGAACCATGGTCGTAACTACCGCCATGGTGATAACCTAACCCAACTAGGACCACCAGTCATGTGGAAAGCTCAGTTTCTGCGAGCCGTGGCCCGCCGGTTTTGTTCTTGTTGAGACAGACCCATGGTCACTGGTCGGATGAGTTTGCCGCGTGGCGCGCGGATGGTTTTTGTCATAGCTTCTGCCGGTCCATGGCATGCCCGCGATAAAGTAGGGGCGATTCCACAACCATGCCTCTGATTCGAGCTCCGACGCGGCAACCGGTGTCTAGAAAAAGGCAGGGGCTTGACCAAAGAAGGGTGAGCCCTAAGCACATCATTTGAAATATCATGCAGGACATTCACCTAAGGAATCACCCACACTCTTGTCGAGTGCAAATTAAGGCAAGACAAGCCGGAAGCAGGGGGGGGTTCTGACAGTTTGATGAAGCTAGCGATTGCTTGCCCTTGTAGAGGGTGGTGGCGATTGGCTTCTATGCGCAAGTCAAGCTTGCTACACTCTCTGTTGCGTGGGAAGTGGGCCACTTAAAGCGTACGACTATAGAATGGAAAATTTAACCGAACCGACTCATACCACCATACAACATCGAAAGTATTCAGACTCCGCTTCATTGCTACTCGCTCTCGCGCAGTTACGCCAGCCAATTTGCTCAATCCTCGCAGATGCGATGCCGCTAGGGCAAACAGGACCTATCGGTGAATGAGACGTGCCTTCAAGAGGTGTGAAAAGGAGAGAGTTACCACCTAAAGCTGGCAATTAATGGTCACCCATAGATCGAGAGGCTTTGCTCCTTAAACACAATGGTCATTGCACTGCAAAGAGCTGACCTTGCAGCCAACCCTTTTTGTCAACTAGCAATGCAAGAAAATAGCACAGAGGAGGTCGGTGCAGAACCAACCCGCAAAAGCCTTGTGCAGGCAGGCACTTCGAAATCTCAAAGGAAGGCAGCCAAAAAGAAACAGCCGCCCCGGGCGTGTTGGCAGTACTGCTAAAAGCCAGCCAGCTCGTGGTTTTGCGGCAAAATAGATTCCCCCTGCTCATTTGCCAGTCCACCAACAACCAGCCAGCCAAACTAAGAAAAACATGCAGAAGAGGGTGTGTCTCACATACACAGCTTTTGGCATTCCTCTCAAATGGGTATGATTCCCCGAAATCTCCAATTACCAAAAAACACATTTTCCTAATTTCAATTTGGAACATCAAAACTGTGCTTGATGGTCAATACCTCCTTTCGTCGGGGGTTGACACGATACCCTCAACAACAGCCTCGGGTCTTTGGACAGTTTTCTCGGTTGCTTTCTGCTCCCCTGCTAAAAGTTTAACTTTTCGTGGTTTAATGGAAAACCCATTAGTTGGCAAAACGGTAAAGTCCTAACATCCAAGCAAAATGCACCAAACTTTTGGAGGTCTGTACATTTTGCCCAAGGGGCGTAATGACCAGCGCGTCCCCGTCCAGGATGAAGCGGGTGATCTGCACGAAGACCTCGAACCTGGCCAGCCTCAGGTAGCCCCGTCCGACTGGAACCAGCCGTTCCCCGAGTCGGTTCAACCAGCCCAATTAAAAGTATGGCCTGGGAACCCCATTTAAATGATGACAATCCTGAACGGTAAACAATGGTGGTTAAATTAATCACAGTTTTGATTTTTTCCACTGGTGGTACCCAGGGGATCTTTTCTGGGCAGCGGACGCCACCGGGGGGGGGGGGCGAAAAAAAAAAACAAAACGGGTTTTCCAACCGACTCAACAAAGCGGGTGTTGGAACACTGGGCTCCAAATTGCGGGTCTGGAGAAGCTGAACACAATATCCATCCCTTGTGTATCCATCCCTTGGCCTCCTTTAGCGGGAGATTGACCGCGATTCGCTATTTAGCACCCAGTTCTGGCGGCTCAACACCGGTTTGCGGGGTTGCTCTATCAAGGGTTGATTCGAAGACGCAACTGAACAAACAAAATGTCCGCAAAAGAGCATTGTCAAATTGGATGGGCCTCGGGTGTTGAGTCTTATGCGAGAATTCGGGTGGGCACCCATGACCTCCGAAACTATGAACACTGACTAGGAATTTGTATTATCAATTATTTGATCGCAGGGAGAATCATAATTCACCAACCTGAATCAGGGTTGTCTATGAAAAGAACCCGCATCATGGCTGGTTCATGATATTTTCTCAATTTGTCGCCAAACAAATGTGTGTTTCTCCATCAATAAGTGTCGTACATAAAGCATCCATCAATGCCTCACTCGAATGGATTTGCAAGCAATAGCCTAGACTGTTTGTTTACCAGAACTTCATTTTGTTTTTCGAGCGCGCCCCCCTTTCGGGTTGCTTTTAGAGGGAACTAAAAAGCAACACAGCCAGGTTTTGGGGTCCGAACCCACCTCCAAAATGCCACAAGTGACGAAAGTCCAGAAACTCGGGGAGCTTGTTTGAAGGTCCCCCCTAATGTGCCATACATATATATATATATATTATATATGTATACGCATACATGTTACATTTGTGTATGGTATATAATATATATATATATATACACATACAAACAAATCATGTTTCTCCAGTGAGTATCTAAGTACCTGAAACTTTCCTCAATTCCTCCACTCAGATGCCCAGTGGCCGTGGGAGCCCTTCCCAAAAACAAGGCAAAAAGAAAAGGCGCCACTCTCCAGATTAGGCGCTGGTTGGTGTGGCAAGGCAGCAACGGGCTGACCGAATCCGGCGCCAGGCCAGTCCAGTGGTCGACCACTCGCTCGCTCCAAAGCACCAGGTCGTGCGCCATGACCTGAAGCCGGCACTCACCCCGGCCGACCCGCTTCCCAAAAAACAACCTTGCGTCTACCGCCGTAACCTCAAAATGTCCTCTTTTTTATGTTTTGTTAATCCTTGATTTCCTTGGTAAACACCTCCTTTTTGGTACAGGGTTGACATGAAACCCTAAGTCAAGCGGATATTTGGAGGGGGGTAGGATATGTGTGGAAAAACCCAATGAATGGAATAACCTACCTGCGAACTGGACTTATAGCAGGGTCCACAAGCCGGGGGCAAGATTTAGAGCCTCGCAAGAGGAGCCACACTGCATCCTCTTAACTTGACTACAGTTTATATCAATGACGTTGTTTGGGGCCATAGGAAATTCAAGGCCAATGATCTTCTTATGATTCCCCTTGTGGCTCTGATTCAACATTGGACAAACGACAATCTAGCCACAGCAACCGAATATGCAGTCTTCCCTTCGCAAAACAAAGACGGCCGTCATCACTATGTGGATGGCAGCCACCTACTCGGGGATCCCTTATTTCAGGCTTGGCTTTTTCTGTTAAAAGGCGGGAAGCTGAAATATGGCCAATGGTCAAAACCCGAATCGTACTCCCAGTGAACATCCCAATCCCCACTAAAATAATTTGGTTCTAGAGTGGGCGGTGCACCGAAAACCCCAAAATGGGATCCCATAGGCAGGTCTTGACCACCACTGCCATATCACCCCCCCCCCGCTGCAAACCGGGCACTGCGCCGGGGAGTCGGAAGCCCTGCAGAAAGTTGATCCTCCTGAGACGGGATGGGATCCAAGTTGCTTCAATGCGAAAGGGTCTCATGATTCGAGTTCCCAGTGATGGAATGTTGATTCTAATGTGGCCATGGGTCAAAATCCCGTACCCCCAGTGAACATCCCAATCCCCACTAAAATAGACTAAAATGGATGTTGCGCCTACCCCAAAATGGTACCATTGGTTTTGACCCACAGCCATGTTTGCTTCACATGGACTCACTGGCAAAGTGTAAAAAGCATCCTAAGTCTACCCCAGAATTGTCGTAGCCCGCATCTAGGGTGGAGACTGTGTCCCATGTTTAGTCTACCCGAGTCTACCCCAAAGAAAAAAGAAATACACTTGGGATCGGAGACAGTGTGTAGGTGTGAGTTCCCAACCCTTGAGGGGTCTCTACCTAGGCGTCGATTCCCTTTCCTGTGGCCGGCCTCTCCCAACGAAGCTCCGTGGACCCTGGGGTTGCAATACAACGAAAATATGAGTAGATTCAGCTTCATTTTGGTCGACACCTAAAATCGCTTGATCGAAGACCCCACCTTCATTTGCTTATAAGTCCCCTGAATAAAAGCAGGACATGTCCAGTAGTGAAATAGATTCCCTTTAACACCACCGGGGGGAAGTAGACAATGTTATGAAACGCACATGGAAGACCATGTTTTTGAGGGCAGCCTTTTGTTTGGTGGTTGAAAGGGAAAATAAGGGAAACCAACAGGTAAATCACCATCTTGGGGGTCCCTTGTTCCTTCAGGGGCCTTCTGACAGCTTCCCTTGGAGTTTCGAGTTGAGCGAGTCCATATCTCCCAGGTCTCCATAGAAGCTGCTGCCGATGAAAAAAGCAAATGGGCGGTATCCAGTTGATGCTGAAGCAAGGCCTGCAAATAACTCCCCAAAAGCGCATCCATCTGGAAGAGTAGGTAGGTAGCCCTATTCCAAATACGCATTATTTCACGGTTTGAGGTCAACCCTCGACAAACAAAAACATACGTGATGTATTTTATTTTTTAAGGAAAGCCAGTGTGTTTTGCTTTATCCCCAAAACAAGCGCAGGTATTTTGGAGTAGTGGATAGTCCTTGCAACACCTGTTTTAGGACAAGTGCGGCAGACCTCCAAAAGCACCTTTACAGGATACGTAAATATCAAATGTCCGACAAGATAGTCACTAACATGGTCAGCGGACTCAGCATTTCAACCGAAGGCAATCTAACGCAGGAGCATGGCAGGATAAACCACAACACGTTTCCCAACAGTCATAGAAGTAGACAAGACAATTTCTCTAGAGGGTGGTAATCTTTAAAAAACCTTGCTGTGCACTTCCCCTGCTTTTCGGAAAGAGCGTATTTTAGGAGTCAAAAAAAGAAGCCAGGTCTCTTTCATTGCAGCGGAGTACATTTTGCAACACAAGTACACAAATGCAAAACCAATAGGGGATCAGTGAAGAACTGTTCGCTCGTTTTACCCCCCAAATGAGCTCACCATAAGGTTAACCCTGATCTGGTTCAGTCCAGAGAATATATTCAGCTTCCCTCCCTTGGTGGTTGAAATTGGTGGTGTGGAGGTGTGGGGTGGTTTCCCGCTGATTTCATTACCCTCTTCAAGGGGTTCAAACCCCCGAACCAATCCAAGCACATGCCAACAACGGTAATTAAAGTTAAAGCAATTGTCCTAATTTGGATTCATGGCGGTGCCAATGAAAAAGGCCTTAATTCAGGTTGTTGTCACGGACCCAGGGTCCCTATCAGGTAATAGCTCTTACAAAAAAGGGATCACCTAATTCATGAGCAAGCCAGGCTTTTCTCAGTCCTGGCGGTTTCTTCCGTCATCTGCGCGTCTTTGAAGGCGCGCAGTGAGATGCCTTGGTCACAACAGAGTGCGCCAAAAACACAAATCAACGGAAACTCTTCCCCCTGATCAAAAAGGTCAATCACCTTTTGAAAGTTCTATAGAAAAGCCGCGTGTTCTGAATCGGCCTTGGTCACATCAAAGAAGGCCAGCCATGAAACAGGTAGCCTCAAACCAACCCCCCCAAGAAAAAGGTTCCCACACAAAAAAGACAAACCCACATTCGCAGATGTCGGTTCTCCTTTTGGCTTCCCTTAAAAACAAACTGACAAGGGTACCCTCAAACACTCGCCTCTATTACCTCAGGAATATTCCAGGAACTCAGGGAGTGAGAACAAAACACGCACCCTACTCCAAATACCCGCTTCTTTAGGATATCATTTCGACCCTCTACTAAGCAAGGAGGTATGTACCGTGGAAAACCAGGTGTTTCAAGAAATACACTAAACACAATTTGGTATTTGGAGTATAGTGGATAGTCCTTGTAACACCTGTTTTGGGACAAGTGCGGCACACCTCCAAAAGGAAACCACTACCACACCACAAGATAGTCATAAGCATGTACTCAGTTCAGCGACCCTGGAAAAAAAGGGAACCCTTTTTGGGGAAGGCCATTTTTAGTGGGGCAGCCGCTGGGCAGCGAACCCCCCCCCCAAAAAAAAAAGAACAAAGGGTGCCACTGAACAACCGAGTGTACCGGGAGTGGGGGAAACGCACCAAGCGCCTTTCCGAGGTGCGGGTAGGTCCGCCGGCCTCCCCAAAGCGCACCAAGCTCAGGGTGACCTGCGTGGGCTGCTCGGGGATGAGGCGCCCGCCTCAGCTTCCAGGCAGAAGCAAAGTCAGCTGCCCGGTTTGAAAGCAGACTACAAATCAACAAGCCATCATGGGGGTTGGTGGGGAGGGAGGGGAGGGGGAGGGACCCAAAACAAAAACCCTCATTAAGCCCTTATTAAGGCCTTCTCTAGGGCTTATTGGGGCTCCCTCCCCCTCCCCTCCCTCCCCCCAGCCCCCATAAAACCAAAACTCAGCTATCCAGTTTCTTGCTGGTGCGACAGGCAGGGAATGAGAAATGGAATGACCTTCCTATAAACCATGCAACTGGTGGTTTCCTTTCAGGCGAACGGTGGGGACATTTCCTCATTCCCTACGCACCAGCAAGGTTTGGACCCAACAAAACGCGATCACCTTTGAAACCAAAAGACTAAACATGGACCAACAAAGCAAACCAAACCCAACAATCTAACCAAACCAACAAACCCAACGAACCAACAAGTCTCCCCCCAAGCGCCAGGCCGCCGATCAGTACCAGCCGCGAGCCCTCTGTGAGCTCGTGGCGCACCCATGGGGCGTTCACCCGGGCCACCTGGAAGTCGAAGCCCACGGGTTCGTGGATCTGGATGTCCAGCGTGGTGGCGAAGACACCTGGCTATGGGTGCCACAAGTGGAACCCTGTTGAATGGAAAGAAGGACTAAAACCTGCGGTCCCCTGGTGGTTCAATTTTGACCCATACCCTAATATGTTGGGGTTTGTTGCTGGGACCTAGGTCTGTGACTTGTCTATTTATGGTTTTTCATTAGGAACCCGGTAGAAGTGCTTGTTGCGTTGAATGCTATAGATCTGTTTGTTTCTAGGTCTGGATTGTTGCTAGGTGCAGTTGAGAAAAAAACTGACCTGGTACACAAGCAACACACATCATCCCTGAACCGCACGCCGCAACCCCAAACACAGAAAACGGAAGAATACATGGGAAACAAGCAAATAGGACAATTGCGGCAAAAAACAAAATGGGAACCCAAACAAACATGACAATACACGGAAATAAAGACATGTAAACACAATAACCCCGAAACAACGAAAGAAAGTGCATTATAATATCCGACACCCCCCCCCCCAAAAAAAACAAAACACTAAAAGCAAACATGAGCATAGATGACCATACCTGAAAACCTCCCAACAGAAACATTATACGTCTACATAGTCAAGTTTGGAGTTTTGGGAATGAATCCAGGATACCACAAGGGAAAGTTCATAACGTCATGCCCTTATTCAACACTGACAAACTGGAAGACATGACAATGCCTGAAGCTAGGGCTCCCTAAGAAAGAAACTCACGTCCACATTAGAAGAGGAACCTTGCATTTGACACTAAAATTGCCTTCCAAAGAAGTCAATCCATGAACTCATGCTGAGAAGATACATCAACAAATGGGACAGGGGAAATGACACCAGTGGAAAATGGGAACTGAATCAATGGTGGGCCATGAGAACTCCAACAACGCAGGAAAGTGGTCCTTTTCTTCTCCAAAGGGTACAGGAAAAACATAGTTTCAGGTTCTGACTCATACTGAGTCCACCCCAAAACCAAAAAAAGGTCATGCGGATCGAGACCTCAGACATGCGTTCTTGTCACGGTGAGGCCGCGAAATTGGCCAGCGTCGACGTTTGGTTTCTCCTTCACAGCCCATGTCAGATTCTCGGACAAGCCCTCAATGCGGTAGCTGTCTTTTGGTTTTGGCCATGTCACCCCAAGAATGGGGGGGGACCCAGCCCAACTCATACATGCGATACTTCTAAGATGGCTTCCGCTATGCCAAACCACTACCCTCAGGGGAGATTTGATAGGGGACAAGTTTATGCCATTCTGCACATGGAGGACTACCTTTACACACCTATTCAAGTAAAGCCAAAGGTTCTACATGCCATCCTACCAAGCAAAACACAATCTTCGACCACCTTCAGGGTTCCCGTTGCTTGGGTATACCTTACACCTATGAGCAAGTGAGGCTCAAGGCTTCCCACGGTACCCCACTCAACCAAACACATGCTTGGGATAATTGAGGTTTATATAATGGGTTGTAGAACCACTACATAGCCACTGTATAAAGGGTGTATACCTTGTTTTCCACTGGGGGGTGGTTTGGGGTAGTGGACGCCATCTTACTCCCACTTATTTTAGTTGATTTTCTTTGAGAAGCCTGGCTTTCCGCGACAAACATCTGCTCTGTTTGCAGAGGCTTGACATGATGCCCAAAAAAAACACGAGACTTGCTATTTGGCCATGGGTCAAGAGCCTTTCGGCAAACCCTGGGTTGGTGAATTCACCTACCAACCAAAATGGGATCCCACCACAGCCAATACTTGGTTGCTTTCTGCTCCCCTGCTAAAAGTTTAACTGTTAGTGGTTTAATGGAAAACCCATTAGTTGGCAAAAAGTTAAAGTCCTAACATCCAAGCACAATGCACCAAAGATTTGGTTTCCGGGCGACTTCCAAGGCGCTAGGTATGAAGTCGAACTGCAAGTCGCTCATGGCGCCGGCACGCCGCTCCGTGCCCACCAGGGCGATGGTCAAGTTGTTGAAGAGGCCGTAGATCGGCCAGCTGCTCACCTGGGACCCACAAATCAAATGATCTAAAAGTAGCTTCCAATTCCATTCTTTCCAGGGATCCGAACCCTTCTAGAAAACCTCCGGACACCCAGGGAAAATGGCCGGTTCTTGAAAAGAAGGATGGTTGAAAAGAACGGAGAATCAACCCCTAGAATAAGCGTGCAAATGAGCTTGCGGCTGTTAACTTCCACTTGGTCAAGACCCCTGGGAAAAATATAATATATATATATATATGTATGTCCAGTAGGGATAGATTCCCTTTAAAACCAACAGGGGAAAATCAACACATATTCATAAGCAAATGGAAGTTAAAGGGACTGTTTTGCAGGTTGGTTTCAAGGGGAACCAACGGGAAAGTGACATTTTTGTTTGGGTTTTTGTGTGCTGACGCCTGTTTCCCTAAGAGGGCATGAGAAAATGAGCTCAGGGCTTGTTTCAACAGGAACTTCGGTGGGCTCCCCAAACTAGCAGGAGCCTCCTCGGTGGGTTCTATTTTCCCCTGTTGGTTTAAAAGAACATCTATCACTACTGTGTTTTCCTTTTTTTTCAGAGGAACTTCAACAAATGGAGTAGTAGTATTGTGAGTGAGCTGACCGAGCAAATCCAGCCTGAGTTGGGGTTCCCGCCACGTGTGAACTTTCTGGGCCTCAAAGAAGGGTGTCGCGAGCCGAATTGGTTTGGAGATGTTCTGGGGTCGTTTCCCCATTTCTCCAAAAGAGAGATGGGGTCAAATCCCCTCATCCAAAGCACCAAGTACCCTCCCTCCAAGTAACATGGCACCTGACAGAGGGTCCGTTGAAGAGGAAATTGGTCTTCCAGGTACCCTGCCACAAATGCTATGTTAGTGGGAGGAAGTAAGGGTACCTGACATGATAGACGAAGTTCTTAGTTAAACCTTGCCAACTCAGCAGGATCACCCACTGATAAATAGGGCTGTTGAAGAAGTTTGATGGGTTTGCGGGGTACCTCAAACCACGCGCGGGGACTATTCCCAAATGCACCCTCACAACAGGGGGTTTGAATGTACCTTCGCTGAGCAAACCAAACACCATGAGGGGCTTGACTGGCCTCATGTCTGTGTTGCTTTTCCGCTCTCAAGTCACGCCTCGTGCTGTCCCGGGGCTGGGCATTCCATTCTTGAGCCCCGCCACCTGGTTCGCTCAACCTCATCCTTGTGTTTATTTCTCCCTCTTGTGCGATTCCCTTCTTTACTTTGCAGCGTGTAGTCATGGATCCTAGATCAGCTTTACGCCTTGCCTCGTTTGTGCATTCTTTTCGAAGAGGCATCATCTCTAAACGAAAGAAAAAGGACAACATACGGAAGGTCTGTGGTGACAAGGGTGGCTTTTACTTGATTGGGCCCGCTTTACCCTCACATGTTTATTGTTAAACCCTGGTTTGGGCTGTAAGACGCTTCGGCAACCTTGGTACTCACTGAGTCTGTCATCGCCCAGCACACCTTTCACTTCGCTTGGCCCCGCATGTCGGGCGCGTAGAAAAGTATATGTTAGGAGTCTGTTTCGTCTGTCATGTTGACCCCGGATTCATGAATCCGTCCTATAAATAGGGATGCTCCTTCCTTCCAACAGTGATGAACCCACACTAAAATGCTGGACATTTTCTAATCAACCAGGGGGTTGAACTTCATGCGGGGTTCCCATTCGTCTACCCCACCAAATCGAATTGTCTTCAAAAACAACTCCTCTTTTGTCTTTCTGGATCGGAGACGTCGGAGACCCAGCCCCATTCTTTTTCCAACGACAGGCCGGGCCGCGAGGCCGCCGCTCAGGGGGTAGGGATTGTACCCCCCCGCCCACAGCTCCAAGCGCCAGAAGTTCTCCACTGCCCGCGGCAGGCTGGGCCTCAGCGTCAGCGGCGCTGGTTCGGAAGAGCGGAGCGAAGCGGTGGCGTGGGGCGGTGTTTTTTGGCTTTCCTAAGGGGAGCCGCAAGGAACCATAAGGGACCCCACACCTTAAGAAACCCTAAAGGTCACCTGAAAAAATGATCAGGAACCATAATGACTTGCACAAAGGAAGTGGAAATAACAAAGGTGAAAAGGTCGGCTTTGGACAAAGATAAACACCCTAAGGAACCCTAAAGGTCACTAGATTTCCCCTTCAAAAGTTGATCGATTCACGTCCATCCAAACTGCCACTCTTGGAGGTTCTAAACGGGGACATGGAGGAAACCCTGCCTGCGGCTCTCTAAGGATGGTCCACTACACCCCTTGTTTCATTGTACCCTCCTTAGGCGCTCCACAACAAACGGGCTGGCTTTGCCCAACCCAACCGGGTGCTTCAAGCCGTCACTGGGAAAACCATAGCTTTTCTTCACAAATCGGCCAACCTGAAAACATCACCCCCAAGGCAAACTCACCATAAATGGGCTTAGCAGGTGATCCTGATGAGCAACCAAAAGGGATGTGTTGGGAGCCCGCGATGGTTAAAATCCAGCTGCGCTGTGTGTCTTCGAGCTCGAGGAGCGAGGGCAACCCTACCCGTAGGGTATACCGCTGACGTGTTTTGTTGCACCCCAAGCTCCTCCTCAGCATTGCCTGCGTCACCTGCACACAGGTCGGCCCAAACACTTGGACCCCAAAACATCGCCGGCCTCGCTGGCCTTGCGACGGGCTTCTGATGCCACGTTGCCCGACCTTGAAAAACCACTGTAAATACTGTGCAAATCGCCCCGGACAGTTGCCAGCATCCCTGCCAACATCCTCTGCATCCTCGCAAACTTCGCCAGCATCCCCGGCATTCCTGCATCACCAGCATCTTGGCGTTCCAGCATCCCTTACATCCCCTGCATCGCTCAAACCCTTCCAAAATGGCCCCCTCGGACATGGCGGGCAAGTCTGCGATCGAGTGAGCGGTTTCTCTTGCACAAGTGCGGCCGCCGCCGCTGTGCGGAAAAAATCACACATACCGTTTTTTCTTCATTTCACGGGTTTCTGTGGGGCTGGGACGGGCTGAAGGGGATGCATTTTTTGGTCTGGTTGGCTTTCGGTGTGAGACCCGCGCGGTACGCGCGCCCGCCGGACGCAAGCGCCGCACGCAAGCAGGCACACATGCACTCATGGGTGGGTGCATGCTCAGTGGGGTTGGGCAGGCAACCCTGCAGCCTCTTGCGCGTGTGGGTTCGCAGCGAGCGCGTGGGGAGCGTGGTGTGTGGGTTCGGGGGCGGCGTGGGTGGGTGGGGTGCATGTGTCGGCACAACTTCGCGGAGCAGGTCCGGAGGTCAGGCTCTGAAACAAGGTCCCGCCTAAACAGAGTTCTTCTTAGTGCTCCCCATCTCACCTGTCCGACCGGCCAGCGCAGCTGGTGATGGCGAAGCCCTAGGATATGGGGAAAGTATTACTGTTTACTGGCAGCTCGAAAGCTTGAACTGCCCCCCTGTTTAAGTGGTGGATTGCCCCTCGTGGTCTCGAATGCTCCCTGAAAGGTCACTGTTCAGTTGCAGCCCTTGTCGTGGCTCCAAATCACCCGGAGCTTCCTCGATTCTCTGTGTGTGATTGCGAGTGGTGTCGTTTCTCGTTATCGTTTGCCGCGGTCTCGCCCCAAGGGACCGAGCCGAATTGAGCCAAGGTGCGCATTGATGATACTCATCTCCAAAGTGATGACGGTCCTCTCCGGCAAGACCTAAGCCGGTGGATGAGTTGATCTAAATTGCTCCAGTCGACTACCCAAATGGCTGTGGGTCAAAAATCAGTACCCAAAATGGCTTGCCCTGGCATATGGAAACATGGACTAAAACCTGTGGTCCCCTGGTGATTTTATTTTGACCCATACCCAAAGCGCTCAGAGAAGGGCTGCATTGTCCCAGAGCCCCTGTCTGCAGTGGAGCAATCTCATGCCAGGTTGATCCGATTCGCACAAGTTGATCCCGGAGAACTTCTTCCACTTCTTCCATTTGCTTTAGCCTGAGCAAAAAACAACATATCGCCAGTTGTGATAGGTTCCCTTTAAAAACCACACAGGGGAAAATCACAGTTCACTCTTTTCGGCGAATGGAAGACTTGCTCCTCGGATCCTCGTGGGCGGATCATCTTGAGGCCTTCCACTCTGGTGGTCTCATCTTTTGGTAACCGGGATCCGATCGAAAACGCCAAAGAAAGTGACCGTTCTTGCGTCTTTGTTTCTGGAAATGATGAACAAGCCAACAATGTGCTTCCAGCTGCCACTATTGTAGGCAACTGGGTTGCTTACCTCAAAGTTGCACATACTGGTTTGCCCTGGTTGCTTACTATAGTGCCTGGAAGCATTGGCCCTACCAACGCACAACTTGAAGTTTGTAAACTCAGCAGGTACTGTAAGTAGTCGCAAATGGCCTGGTGGTTCTCAGCCGGGAAATTGTCAAGAAAAGTCAATTTTACCCATCTCTTTTGGGTGTCACCTTTGTATAGATGGCTGTCTCTTAAACAAGCGAGACTTAAAAGGATGGTATGTGCTTTAGTTTCCCTTCAAAACCAACTGAAGAAGAGAGTCCGCCAAGAAAAAGACCCACCCAAACTAACACTCATGGGCTATTTTGCACCCGCCCCAGACCAACTGAACCGTGGCTTCTTTTGCCCATGGCGCAAGGGGAAGCAGACCCTATATCGATGGTTGTCCCCGGGCTTGGGCACACCACCTTACCCCATTTGGATGCCTACCGTCCCCATCTTCCAAACGTTGCGATTCAAATCCCCAAGCGAATCCAAACCAAAATGCTTGAGCAACTGTGAACACAAACCCTTTTGGCTTCCCTTGACAGGGGTCCAAGGGCTGGTTCATCACACGAGCATCGCAAGTTTCACCCATTGACTTTTGGTTCTGTCACGGCTGTAGATGTTTGTACAGGCTTTGCTGCACTACCCATAAAACCCTGGTAGTAGAACCACCTGCTCAAATGGCTGTCCATAGTTTTGCTTTGAGAATAAATCCCGAAATGGCTTCCCTCAACACAAGCGATCCAATATGGGGGTTGATCAATATTGCTGGCACCAAAATGACCATGGGTAACTTTTCCCCATTTGGTGGTAACAGTAATCTTTCTTGGTGGTTTGTTTGATGGTCATCTCATGCAAAAGACCTTTTGATCAACCCCCGCCTGCGCTACAACCCACATCTCAGATGCCCAGTAGTCATGGGAAACAGAGGGCATCCTTTTTTGGTTGGTTGAGATTAAAAGGGGAACCCTTCCCCAAAAACAAACAAAAAGGGCACCGCTGGGCAACAAAGGCATGGTCTGGACCCATCACTCCCTCCCTTCCGCTTGCCGCGCCTCCGCCTGCCACACGTTGCTCTCTTGCACGGTGATCACCAAGCTGCAAAGGAACTGGGTGGAGTTACCTCGCTTCGGCACATCCCGCTGGATGAAAATTGGAATGCATGCTTTAAAGAGTAATTAAATACCCTTATTGACTTTTAAGTGCGCTTTTGTAGACAGGTTTGAAGGGACACCACAAAGGAAATAACTATTTTGGGCCGCTTCCGGAAAATAAGCCCAGGCGGTATCTCCAACAGCAAATGCTGGAACCCTTCTTAAGCCTGAAGACGCCAACACAGTGCATTGAGCAGAGTGACAACGTCGTCAACCCTGAATGAAGGAAATGAATATGTTCTTAGTGCATCATTTTAGTCAAGGACAAGCATGAACAATGTTAGCTAACGCTGACGCACCCCAATCATCATTGGACCCTCTACGGGAGGGGTCTTGGAAGGTTTTGGAGCTCAAACAGGGTAGGGCAAAGCAGAGTGAGGGGATTCTGCTCTGAATAAGGATTGTTTGGGCTCGCAAACTCGCCCAAAGCAGAGAGCGAGGCTCGCTAAAAGCCGCGCGTCAAAGGCGACGCGGGGTCCGCGGCTCGCAAATGCTCAGTTGCACCTAGTAACTCTGGTAGAAAAGAGGTACCCTCCCGAAAAGCCACCCTCCTTCCAACAATCGGGACGTGCACAGGGAGGTTCCCAAGCGGAAAGTAGTTGTCCCACGCTTTCCTGTCAGCTTCCATGATTGTTGGAGGGAGGGTACAACAAAACTGAATTTAGAGGGTGCCTCTAGACACCTGCACCAGGAAAATGGAAAGGGTACTCGAGAGGTCGACCCCCGAAACGGCATGCGCCCCTGCACCCGCTTGCTTTGTCTAAACCAAAAACCACCTGGTATTGACTTCAATTGAACCATTCATTGTCCTTGTTTGAGTTATTTGCTCTTCTTTTTTGAATAAGCATTAATATGCAAAAATGGCGAATGTGTTTTCAAACACGTAACCTCTACGCAGGTGCCATTGTTTGAGCGCGGGTACCCTTGCTTTTGGCGAATCTCAAAATGGAGCCAAACGAGCCACCATTTGTTTGGTGTCGTCAAGTTTAGGACACTCTAGGGGTTGATTCCCCATTCTTTTCAACCATCGTTCTTTCCAAAAACCGGCCATGGGTTTCCGGAGGTTTTCTAGAAAGAAGGATCCCTGGAAAGAACGGAATTGGAAGGTACCCCTAGAGACACAAACTTACAACTGAGCCCAGGCGGCTTCTCCAAAACAGCACCCCCCGGAACCGCTGGAGCCCTCGGCTTTTTTTTGCCTGTGAGCTGCTCCGAAACGCCCGAAAGCTGATTGGGGCAGAGACCCCAAAGCGTTGCTGGTGCTCAGCAGGGAATAAGGGGAACCATCCCCAATTTCTCGGTTGTGCTCCCTGCTATTTTGTTTTAAAACTTTTAGTGGTTTATTGGAAAACCCATTTGTTGGCAAAAAGTTAAAGTCCTAATGTTAGGTTGCGAATAATAAGTGGGGAGTCAATACACAAAAAAATAAAAATATTCACACCCCTGAAAAGCAAAAGGGGGAGTTCATACACAAAAGTTTTTTGAGGCAAAAAATCAGGAAAAATGTTCCCCCCAAAAAAGTTTGATGATTAATCCCTAGTTCAGTGCAACTCCTGTCTCTCTCTCTCTGCCCCGCCCGCCCCCCCCAACCTACCACCACCACCAACAAGGAGATGATGATTGAAGTCCCTGAAAAGGAAGTTTAACTGAGGTCCCCAACAGCCAAATTCTTTATGACAGCCCTTACTAAAAGTTGCACCCTGCCAAATTTTCAAGGGGGTAGGTAGTACAGGGAACACCCAGGAAGCCAATAATGAGATTTGTTTAAGGGGGGTTAATTGAGAAAAGTGTTTTAAGACTGGGGCCAGGGAATACTAAACCAATACTAAACCAATTCTAAACAGTACTAAGCCAGTCAACCAGAATACTAAACCAATACTAAACCAATTCTAAGCAGTACTAAGCCAGTCAGCAAGAATACTAAACCAACACTGAACCAATTCTAAGCAGTACTAAGCCAGTCAGCAAGAATACTAAACCAATACTAAACCAATTCTAAGCAGTACTAAGCCAGTCAGCAAGAATACTAAACCAATACTAAACCGATACTAACTAATACTTACTGGAATACTACTTAGGGAAGGCCCGGTCTGACCCTCATTTTGTTTTTAGGGTTTCCTCTATTGACCCCCCCCCCATTTTGTTTGAGGGGGGGGGCCTTTATTATTCACTCCCCAACATTAGCATCCAAGCAACATGCACCCTTTGCAATGGTTGACTTCAAGGGAAGCCCCATGTTCATTCCCTCATTCTCTACTGAGTCACAATCAAAACCCGGTACAAAAATGGTCTACCCAGAACCATGTAAGGAACTCAAACGGCGGCCGCAACTATTGATTTTTGGGATTGTCCCTTACCAACCGAATCATCTCCCGAATCGGTTTTGAGCACGTGGCTCTGTGCAGCAAAATGAGCCGCCAAGTCGCTGCAGTTGCACACCGGCGGGGGCGAGTAGACCAGCGGCCGGAAGGTGCCGGGCCACCGGAAATCGGGACAGGCGCCAGTGGCGGAGCTCAGGTCGAAACCTGAGATCCATCCCGATGAAGGTCAACCGAACAAGGGGATGGAAACCCTCTCACCGCTACATGCTTAAAGAGGAAACACACTTAGATGATCTTTCACTCTCAAGCACTTGGACACGCCTCAATTCTTACGCTCCAAACCAAGAGAAAGATTTGGGTCTGGGTCAAATAATTAACCACCGGAGGAGCGCAGGTTCGAGTCTATGTGTCCATTTGCCACCGGGCCATTTTGGGGGTACCCTTTTTGACCCACACCCACTTCATCCCCAGGTCAATGTGGATGTCTCTGCTTTGAGGGTACCTCCTTTTCTGTGCTTTGCATTCTATTGGTTTTGGGTTTAGGGATTGAAAACACTGGTCTGTCAGATTTATGGACATATGATATTCAGTCGAGTTTCAATCAGGACATATGGATATATTGGTTTAGGGAATTTTGGAAATGAACCAATGGATCTCGCCACAAGAGAAGGTTTATTGGGGACCGCAAGAGAAGAGAGAGACCCAACCAGATCAACACGGATCCCTACCAGTGCGCCCGATGTTTAGACTTGTTCGATGTAAAATTGCTTGGAACCAAACACATCCACTCCTTTCGAATTCATGCCAAGCCCCGTGTTGGCCTGTTTGTGCATTTGGCGTGTGTCGGATCTTCACTACAGTGCGGCGAATCATGGTCACTTAAGTGAGGATCAAATTATGTCGGACGCGGATAGGATGCGGCCAAATATTACAAGTAAAGCAACCATACTCAATAAGAAAACCACCGCAAATGTCGGTTAATGAGAGATTTGGCTTCCTCGTTCCCTTCTTGTAATACTTAGGGCATCCACCGCGGCACGCAGAGAAAGCCCATGCACTTGGGGTGTGCTCTTTTCTTGGCTTCAGGCCTGGAGGTGTAAACAGCCGGATGGTGTCGCCATTCCTCAGCTTGGTGTTGAAGCGCATGGTGACGTTGATCAACGGTGTGCGTATGCCTGGCTCGTGGTGCTGTGGATGGACGGCTTTTTGCACCAGTTGAGTTGGGATAGATGAAACCCTATCACAAATGACTGCAGGATGGTCTTTCTACACAATCACATTTGTGTTTTTAGGGCCAGGTATTGCTGGGCATTCACAAGGTTTTGAAACAACGCCGAAAGGGAAGCACCTCGAACGAAGCCTCACTCATATCCCAAGACTGCGCTTCCGTGTGCAGTGTCACGCAGGTTTCTTCTCTCCGAACCCTGAATCTTTCCGTGGGGCTGTTGCCCCCGCGCAAGGTTCGTGTTCTGTTGGTGGGAAAACACGCATCTTCCCAAAAAGCTGAAGGATGGGACTCTTGGCGGCCAGTTTGCTCCTGGATGAGTAACTGGATATATTTGGGTGTGTCTTTTGGAGCGAAATCTCGGGGTGCATTTGAAGGAAATCACCCATTTGACACACGGAGTGGCCCTTTGATCAAAAAGCCCAGACTCAAACTGGACAAACACCCTTGCTCGATGGAGCACAAAGAAAGATCTGAGGCCAAACATCGGTTGGACAATTGCGTCATTGCCATGTGTGCCATGGTCAGCAAAAGACGGCTCCTGCACTTGGGGTCAACAGCCATGATAATATATCTGGTGGTAGGGATCCTTAATAAGCATTATATCGCATTCTATTCATATGTTTCGCTCCTGGCCAGGTTTGCCGCTTATGCACCATGATGGCTTGAAGGTTGCGCTCGACCATATTGTTGACTTGAATATCTCAGAACTTCCTCAGAGGTCTTGAACCAAAGAAGTTGCACGTTGCATTCAATGATTCTAGGGGTACCTTTCCCATTCTTTCCAGGGATCCTTTTTTCCACAAAACCTCCAGAAACCCATGGAAAACGGCAAATGTTTGAAAAGAACAATCATTGAAAATAATGGGGAATCAACCCCTGGAATGATATGATATCGACCCTGCTGTGCTGGACTGGCACAGAACGCCCTCTGTGCCACACCCTCGATACCGGTCAACGACTCGTGGACCACTGCTGCCGAACGCTGGGACCCCCCCTCTCTTGGTTGCTGTTGACTCTCCTGCAAAAAAAAATAACTGTTTGGGGGTTGTGGAAAACACCACTATTTCCAAAAGTTAAAGTCTAAAGATCCAACCCAATGGCAGTCAAGCTGTAGCCTTCGGCGGTCCGACCTAAACTTGCACTGGCAACGCGCATTTGCTACGTATTTTCCTTGTCGAGGCTGTGGCTCTACCTTTCCTTGAATCGCTTGAATCAGGCGTCGGGAAGCTTTCCTTAAAAAGTGGTCTTCTTGATTGGGAAAAGCCTGAGTGCAAGTAATCTTAGGCCTAGTTGGCGCGCGGAAGAGCCAGTCTGTGCTCACTGTGGCTTCTGTGTAAAGTGGAAGGGCTTTCTCACTGAGGCTAGCAAACCAGAGTGCGAGAAGCTATCTCTGATCTCAGTCCGTCCGCTGTTGCCACCCATCAGACGTTGGAGTCGCAAAAACAACATGGCCTTGATGTGGAAACCGGGTTCCTGGAAAACCTGGCCAGCCAGTCTGGAACCCGCCTGCCGTGTACTCCTTAGCAGAGTTGGTGACCTGCGAAGTTTCTCAAGAGCGGAGGGGCCTGTCATGGAATTCTTAAGGGGGAATGGTGCAAGGGGGAGGGGTTGCCCAAGGCTTCTTTAGGAACCCTGGGGCTCTCAACTACCCACCCCCCTTGAACCTACCCTTGTCGGGGATTCCATAATCTCAATTTCCGTGCTAGTTTCTGCAGCTTGTGCCCCTATACCTCCCTGTGTCTGTCAGGGGTTGACATCTACCCTTAAAAGCCCGGGCCGGGTATTTGGAGTTATGGTTTTTGTCTGTTAGGTTCGATCACAACACACAACTCGTCGCCCAAGGCGTCGCCCACTTCACTCTATTTTGGGGGAACAGGCAGAATCAAGGCTCTAGCTTCTCAAAACCCGAATCTTGGGACCTTGAAAAGGGCAAAACTTCCAAAGAAGACCCCATTCCCGCCGCTGAGGGTTCTTTCTGAAGGACCGGAAGGGTCAAAAGACAAGCCCCAATGCATGGTCGAACATGGCTCTTGTGATACCCCAGCGGGCCATCCCCTCTCCATGTACCACTTAGGGTATTTACAGAAAATGGCATCTGAAAACCACATGGCTGGGTCTTCTCGAAGGTCACCCCACGGGTGGCTTCCTTCTTGGTTTCGCTTCACCAAGACTTGCTGCTCGGGAAATAAACCTGAGGTGCCGTCCACTTAAAGGAAACCGCCCGTTGGATGGATTCTTCGGGTCATTCCATGTCTCATTCCCCGCTGAGCACCAAACACAAAAAGAAGGAGGAACAAAAAGGAGGAAAAAACGACACGGTAAAATAAACACATGGTGCACCCAGAAATTCCATGTCTGCTGAGCACCCCCCCTCCAAAAAATAAACACGGCGCGCCCAGAAAAACAGCGTCGCCAGAGTGCCACTTCGGGCCTGAAAGGAGGGCACTGGGGCGATCATCGGGGTGCCCTTCACCAGCAAGCTGTCCAGGCGGATGCTCTGCTCCGTGGCGATGAACTTCTTGAAACTCTGCAGCAGCCACTCCTCGGAGACAGGCGACGGGCGACTTCTGCGCCCCGATTTAGTTGGGTGTTTGGAGCCCGCGGGGTTAGGGCTCAGAGACGCCCTGCTCAGCTCATTGGTTCGGAGCCCGGGCGACGAGGTGTTCGGGGTGTCAAACCTCTGCCCAAAGGACCATTCAGCAATACAAGGTTAAGCTTTTGGGACCTGTTGACTCCTTGGGATCCATCGTTTCATTAGGGACCCGAAATCCTGAAATCAGAATTCAGTGGGCTCCTGATTCATGGCCACCACTTTTCGGGTGTGGTTCTCTGTTATACTCCTGAGCCATTTTTGGAGTACCTCATAGATTTGAACTGGATGGTTGATGTCCCCAATGGACAGCCCTGAATTGAAGTCTACCTCGGGGGAATTAACAACAAGGAACCCCAAGTGGTCCTCTGAAAAATCAAAAACAACAACAACCAGCAACCACAGAAATTATTGGACCATTTGTTTGGGGTATGCTTTGTCAACCCCAAACCATGGAACTGTTATGCTGGCTCCAGCCACCCAAAACCAAGACAACGAATCATCAGGCAACCCTTCATGGTGGTTTTGGATTGGTGGCTTGGATTTGGAATTGGTTTTCCCGGGTTCTTGTAGAGGGTATCTGAAAAACCACCCCCCAAAACACCTCCAAACCACCGAGCTCCAAACCACCAGCTAGATGCCGCATGGATCCCTTCAAGAATCCACAAGCAACATCAAGCAACCAGCCAGGCTCCCCTTCGCCACAAGAGTGACTTTCTTGGCTACCTGCAGTGTAGGTCAACAGCGAGTTCTTCCAGCTTCAGCTATTTCAACTCTAGACCTCTAGATTCTATACGGCCATGGGTCAAAATCCCGTACCCCCAGTGAACATCCCAATCCCAACTAAAATAGACTAAGATGGGTGCACCTACCCCAAAATGCTACCATTGGCTTTGACCCACAGCCATATGATGGTTTCCCTTGGCTGTGCAGGAAAAGCGAACCACTGTGCCGAGGTTCTGCCGCATCGGGGTAGGTCACCACGTCTGGGTTCTTGACCACAGAGCTCAAGGAGTAGGTCACCAAAGGAAGCAGAGGCTTGTCGTGGATCAGGGTGTACCTTTCTAGGGGCAGCTTCCCCATTCTTTTCGGCCCTTTGGTGGGCATCAGAACCGGTGCTCCGGTCCACCAGTTTTGGAGCAGCACACACTGTTTGCATAAGAACATATGGGTTTGTCTCAAAATTGGAGAACCCTCAAACCATTCTGCTTCCCTTCAAAACACCATCGGTTGTCAAAATCTGACTCAAAGGCCCGGCTCGGTCAGATTCGGCTCCAATTGAGTGTGCCCCTGTCGTCTTGAGCTCAGGGAAACCAAGAAGGCACATTCAAAAAACACCGACGCCGAGCTTGGGTTGTCCTCAGTTGGGTTTGTCTCCAACAAAACATGTGAATCCTGAGGTTCTTTTTGGCTCTTGACTCTTAACCAACTCATTCCCTGCCCAGCCAACACCCCAAGAGAAACTCATTTCAAAGTGGCCTTTCCCAAAGGCGACGTTGGAAGCCATTGACTGAAACCGAGAATGAAGGGAACACTGGACACATCATAACACATGGTTGGCGTCTTATTGGTCTCCATCAAAAAATAACCATGAAAAAAAATACCGCCGTGCTTGCAGTTGCCACTGTAGTAGGTAACCCCGGTCTTTTGCCTCTAGCCTTTACATGATGTTTTCCTCTGGGTTAACTCTTTTTTGCGAACCCCGGATCAATCAACCCATCCTACTATTAGGAGGGTGTCACCCAAACGCGGACACCTCCCAATCAACGAGGGGCTTCTTACTCCGGGCTTCCCCGTGGTAGTTGGTACCACGGACCCTGCGTCACGAGTCACGATGTCTGGGGCCCCACACGTCATGGCGCGAGCGTCCGCCGACACCGTGCACAAGGAGTTGGCGCCGCTGAAGAACTCGTCGTCCCAGAGAAGCCGCTCCTCACATGGAGATACCGCTGAGACGAGGGGCTCGTCTTTTTATGGGTACCCCTTTTGGGGTGGTTTCAAAGGGAAACATGACGAACAACCACCAATTTGCAGGTTCCATACTTTGGGACAAACCAATTTGGGTTTGTGGTATTGTGGAGGGTCCTGTTTGTTGGTTGGTTCAGACGGAAGCCAAAAGCGAACAAGAAAACCATTTGGACCCCCTACAAAAACTCACACCCAATTGTTTGACTACCCCAAAATCTATTTAGCCCCAAAATTGGTCACCCATAGGTGTAAGTCCACCTTGGGGGGTAGGTTAAAAATGGAAGCTGGTTGACAAAGCCTTCAGCCGCCGCGTGTTTTCCTTACCAGATGAGTTGGGTGCTTTTCTAACCCAAAAAGTTCAACAAAGAATTTTAAACCCAAGCCCTGTGAACAAAAAAAAGCCAGGTTTTGTCTTTCACATCCACGAACACGCTGCAACAAGCAGATGGCTTCTCTCTTTTGTGGGGAAGCCTTCTTTGTTCGGTTTGGAAGGGCAGACACATGGAAACCAACCTTTCTGGTTGTGGGCCAATGGATCGAGTAATGCTCTTACGCTCAGGCGGGGGCTAACCCAAGACGTTTCATCTGAGTTCGGAGCAACAACTCCTCGGGTGGAACCCTCGCTTTGCTGGGGTAAGCCGGTAAGTTAGTTTACACAAGGGTTCTTATATGTCCCTGTCAACATTACCCAACAAAAAACTCGAATCAGCCCAAAGGGCCCTGGTTGAACTGACGGCGTGTCTAACATGAAAAGACAGCTGCAGGCGGGGAATGTTGAGACCAGGCTCCCTGTAATTCATCCTGCAACACAATTCTTCCCTAGCAAGGGCCGCTCAACCAGAGCACAAGGAGACTCACCTAAAATGGCCCCCAAGGGTGATGTTTATAACCACCAACGGGGGGCACACAACTGATGTGTATAGGGACCCCTGCCAGGTCCCCGCAGGCCAAACGAGCTCCCTTCGTTATCTGAACTGCCTCGAGCGGTAGAAAAAAGGACCCCTGATTGGGGTCGACGGAGAGAAAAGTAGGAGATTCAGTAGGTGTAATCCACCGAGCAACCGGGTGGCAGCGTTTCCAGTTGACGTTTAGCCAAGGGGTGGCTACAGGTGAACCCTTCTCACCAAGACCTCCTCCAAGCCGTCATGGTCCATCAAGCAGATCGCTTCATAGATTCAGGACATCTCCCATTTGCAGCTGGCTGCCAAGTAGGGCTTTTGGAAAAAGCCGTAAAACATACAAATCGAGTGAAAACCATATGTGCCACGGTCAAATCTCATTACTTGGGCCTGGTCATGCTTCGCTTACCAGGAACCCTTGTACTGGTGGTCTCAAATCCCTACTAAGGGTCCATCATCACGACCATCCCCAACAGCCCCAAGAAAAGGGGTGCTTCGACTATGACACTTGTGGGGCATGTAGCCTCAGGTTTAGTTCAGGGCTGGGTCGGCGTGGTTCTTTGCCTCCGTCCTTACGCTCCAAGGACGCGCCGATGCAGACCTAGGCTCGGATTCTGCTCCTCAAATGGATGTCAAAACAGAGGGACCCCAACATGGTTGCCAAAAGACAAGGGCACCGAGCCTCCACCAAAATGGAAGCTTCTCAAATTACGAACGCCTGTTTGGCATTTCAAGGGACACCGAAAGGAAGCCCGGTTTAGGGGACTCCTACTAGAAACACCAAAATGTTTAAACAACCTCCTGTTGTGTTCCCTATAGCTTCGAAGAAACCTTATACATGCTCAAACATTGGCTTAACTCCAGTAACGGGTCGGGTGGCAAGTGTTGCAACCAATTTTGAAGCTATGCATGCATGTATGTAAACTATCAATATCAGCTGCTATACCTATACCTGAAACTCAGTTGCCCCAAGGACCCAGAAATAAACTGCTGACCTTTGAGAACCTTGACGAAACATTGACAAAACCTGGGAAGCCAAAAGGATAAAAGGTCGGTTTTGGACAAGTTAGGGAATGTGACCTCCATACCTCAAAAACCTACAACTGACAATGCTATTTGCTTAATGGTTCTCACTTTAGTTTGGTGCAAAAGCAGGCGTTCAAACGCCGCAAAACAAAACAAGTTCAACGCCCCCACAAAAAACATGGCCCAACCAGTGACGTCAACAACACACGCCCAGTCGGGAACTGAGTGTGCCAAAAGGGTCTACAACACTTCCCAGCCCCACCCCCCGCCCGCCCATCCATCAACCCACCCACCCACCCAACCCCTACCCACCCACCCACCCACCCACCCCACCCACCCACCCACCCACCCACCCACCCACCCACCCACCCACCCCACTCACCCACGCACCCACTCACCTGAAAAGCTCCCCCCCCCCCCCCCCTCGCCTGGAAATCCCCAGAGCGGAAGGTAAAGCCATCGGGCGCCACCAAGACCAAGGACCCCTCCTGGCGAATTTTGGCTCGAAGGCTCCTAAGGCTCCATCCCAAAGGTTCTTGGCCATGAGAAAATTGGCCGTGGGTCAAAAATAACCAACATGGAACCCTGGTAAATGGAACATGGACTGAAACCTGCTGTGCCGTAATAGTTTAGTTTTGACCCATACCCAATGGTGTATGTGTATATACGACATATATTTTGCATTAGATTGAAATTATGGTGGCAAAGCAAGGCCAAGCTGATTGCATTGCTCTGGCATGGATCCTTACACCGAGAAGCTCCCTTCGTGCCTGAGTCTTTGAGGAGGTACCAAAGGACCCTTCTTACCCCCTAACCTGCCATCCCCGGTCAACACTTGGACCTCCTGATTGAGTTGTTTCATTCATGCCGAGCATGTTTGGCACCCTTTTCAGTTGGGTGGCGCCGTTTGTTTACACAAAACATATTGCAAATACATGTTTCCTCTTGCAAATACCTGCTGTTTTAGTCGAGGGCTCTTTCAGACCCACAGCAACCATGGCATTTGGAGTCGGGGCTTCGTCTTCTTTAAAGGGACATGGGAAGCGCGTCTCACCTCCAGGACCCCCCTCGACCCCCTCAGCGCGGTTCACTGGGCTCCCCAAGCCTGAGGAAAAGGTCGATCACCTTTCGGTGTCCTAAAAGAGGGGAAATAGATGGGTTTCCCTGGTAGATGATTAAACCACCAGGTAAACCAGGAAAACCGCCATCTCTTTTTTCTTAGCAAAACAACCAAAAAGGACACCTATGTTGATCACCTTTAGGTTTTGGTGAAGTTAATCGTTTCCGAAGGTCTCAGCTTCGCTCACACCCTTGAGACCAGCCATCAAATCACCAAGCCGCCCTCCCTGCTCCAGCATTTCTTGGGGTGTCCTTTCGGTCGGCCTAGGATCTCTCATGGATAGGCCCGCACAAGTATCCAAACTTCTTGCTGGTCACTAAAGTAGTCTTCTCACAAATTGACTCAAGTCCAGGATTCCCCCGAGAAGTGAGCAGAAAAGAAGAAAAAAAAACATGCTTGACTGAACTTGGGTGTGTGTCTGTGTGTCACCTAAAACGGGCCCCTCAACAAAAGCGGTCCCTTAAAAAAACACGGTGCTTCTTCCTTTTGGTTTCCCTTCGAAACCCCACCGCTGCTGCTCTCGCGGCCGCTCGCTCGAGCGTCCTCCGCATCAGGCGCCAGTGGCGCAACCCCACCGGTGCCCTGCAGACGCCGATTGGCCCTCGGAGCTGGCACCAGAGTGTAGGGCATGAAGTCCAGACCTGAGTCACAATCAAAACCTGGTACAAAAATGGTCGACCCAGAGTCATGTAAAGAACTAAGAAGGCGGCCGCAGCTATTTATGGCTGGGATCGTCCCTTACTAACCTGCACTTACCCAGGTTTGATTTTGGCTCAGTTGGAGTTCCAAGACTTGATGGTGCTCAGCAGCTAGTGAGGGAAGGAAACGTTTTGGGATTCGCTTAAAGGAAACATAGGGGATGGTTTATAGGGGTCATTCCATCACCTTCCATTTGCTGAAGTTCCCTGGACAAAATACAAACATATCGACCTCGAGTTCTCAGACTTGTCGGTCCCAGTACTTTGAGTTGCTGTCATGGGTGGCCTTTTGGAAAAAAATAGATGGCGCTGGTAAATGGAACAAAACCCATCTAACCAGTGGAACCTATCTATTTTTAACCAGGCTCACCAAAAAGGGACACCTATGCTGCTGGATGTTGCTGTTGACATCTGCTGACCTTCCATTTGCTGAGTTCCCTCGAAACGATATACAGATCTCCAGTAGTGATAGATGGTGCTCAGCAGGGACTGAGGGAACGAAGCGTTTTTGGGCTTCCCTTACAAAGGAGACCATACGGGATGGTTTATACGGTTTATATGGGTCATTCCATCATTCCCTGCTGAGAACCAGCACGTACTTTCACTAAGACTTGTCGGTCCCCGTACTTTTAGTCGCGGTTCAGGTTCAGCATGCATCATCTCACCAAAAATGATGCTGGAACAAGTTGCTGTTGACCTTCCATTTGCTGAAGTTCCCTCAAACAAATAAAACAGATCTCCAGTAGTGATAGAACCAACAGAGGAAACAAACCATATTCTCAAGCAAATGGAAGTAAGGTTGAGCATGTCGGATCCCAGAAACAAAGATGGAAAAAGCTTACGACAGCAATCCAATTGCGGGGTCCCTGATCTTCCAAGTGCTTCAACTTACCTTCATAACAGAAGGTAACCAGGCAAAAACAGGAGGTGAAACTAAGAGGCAAAAAACAACTGATTACCTGTTGTGGTGGCAAATGGAAGCACTGGGGTTGGAAGCACTGGGGTTGCAAGACCTGCCTTGCCCAACAACTATAATTACGCAGAAACAATGTTTCAGATTCCGGTCCAAAATTGTGGCATAGGATACAACCATCACGTTGGAGGAGACTCGAATGATGTCTGACTCCTTGTTCCCCCCCCAACAACAAATCGCTGCGTCGTACAAACACTGCGGACCTGACTCAAAACTGGCAACCAAAAAGCGATACGCCTCTGCAAGTGAACATGAAATCCACCAAAGTCCCCCAAAAGGAGATTCCTCTAACATTGGCTTCTGTTGGGCTCCATGTTCTCCAGGGACTGTTTCAATCACACAAAGTTTCAAAGGGAACTGGGACCCCTGGGCATGGGGGTGAGGTCTGGGGGTGAGGCTGGCACTTGGAAACCTCCAACTTGCTCATTTGTTATGTAGCAAAGTTTGTAGGGTGTCCATGCCTGAAAGGTTCGCTGCGTATCCCTTCGCCTCAGAGCCAGCTGATTGCACATGGCATGTAGGAAGCCGTCGGAAGAAGCTTCCATGGATGATCTATGAGATTCCAAAAGATCGGTGCTAAAGCTATTCCAAAAAGCAATCACTTCCTTAGCAATTCGTGTTAACATCCAGGAGGTCTGGTTGCCATGCCACACACTACGAAGACCATCGCCTTCAAATTCCACTTCAATGTGGGGCTGCGATGACGGCACGTGGTGTTTGAGTGACACCCTTGGAACGGGAGTTTGCCTTGTCACCCTCTTTTTGGAAACATGGGAACATATTCCGGGACCCAAGAGTCTTCAAACACAAGGGGAGCCGCACAGTTGGCCATCTTTTTAGGGGCATAAACCCTCCACCCCAACTTTGGGGCGGACGGGGGTGGGGGTACCCCCAATTCCATTCATCTAGGCTTCCCAAGAAAAAGGGAAACGGAAAGCCAAAAAAAAACTCTCCACGCCTCCCCCCTCCCCCGATTCCATTTTTGAAGGGGGAAAATTGTTTTCCAAAGGGCCAATAGGCAAACCCTTGGAAGTAGTCCACACGAGCCCCAGGCGAAAACGTAGGGCGATCTCAGCCCCACTTGACCAGATTGAGACCTGTAAAAACTCTGCACTTGTGGAAAACCACAAAGGCAAACCTTGTTCACAAAATAGTTTTCTGTCCGTCCATGTGTTGCAGGGCCGCTGTCTACGTGGGAGGGGTGCTCTTTTTTTGTTCGCAGATTCGCTTAAAACGCAGCGAGGTGCGGAATGGCATGAACTGCTGGTCGATGGTTTGCAGGAAGGGCTGGATGTGCATGGGCGATGCCAAATACAGCTCTGTGTCCTGGAAGCAACCGTACTCTACCCCTTAAAGGAAAAAACCAAACTCACTTCCGATCGCTTCCTGAGTGGATGGGCCCCAACAAGTAGGAACATTCTATTTATGGGGTCCAAAACCAAAAAGTATTAAAGTCCGGCAACTCATGGTGTGAAAACACAACAGGGGTAAATATAATCTGCTATTCCGGAGTTTCGTGATCCAAACAAAAGATGGGGGTTGAACCACACCAATGCTTCAATTCCGTTCCAGCCACGCAAACGAATGGCCAAACGAAAGCACAACGGCTTTGCTTGCCAGCAAAGCACGAGCGAGGTGCAGACAAGAAATGCTAAGTTCCAGTAATATGAGTGCATTGCACTTCGTCAACCCGAGAACGGAACTCCAAAGCAGGAGCTGTCATCGTGGGTGACACGCTTCGGTAAGTGAGTTCGCTTGAATTTGCCCTAATCTTAATTGTACCCCCGGATTCAAGAACCCCTCATCAATTTATCGGGGGGTCCCCTCAAAAAGATGATGTTCAAAACCACAACAAGAACTATAGGGAACCCTGAACATGGAATTCAAAGGGTCACCCTTCTTCAGGACAAGGCTTGGGGGGCTTGCCTGTGATACCGGCTTCTCATGACACAAGTGGCCTTAAAACTTCAAGGATTGAACATAGGATTCCCCACGTGTTCTCTACAACATCACTCAGGCAAACGGACCCTCTCTTTCAATTGGCAAAGGTGATGTTTGAAACAACTAAAAGAGGAACTACAGGGTAGAAAATAGTCTTGCTACTCTCAAAAATAAGGTATGCTCAAAACCGCCAACTTAAATGACGACAAATCCTTAGGTAAACCATGGGTGGTTGTACCCCCACTGTATTCATGGTGGTTTGAAGCCCAGGCTATAGGCCCTATCCAAATGAGTCAAGTCAAAAACCTAGTATTAAAAAGGATCTCAGAACCATGTACAGAGAAGAATTCACAAGGCGGATATCCGCACCCATTTATGGTTGGGACTAATTATCCTTAACCTTCAACTACCTGGGCTTTAATTGTGGCTCAAACCCGTGGCTGGTTCTACACCCCTTGTTTTAATGGTGGTTTGAAGCCAAGGGTAGTCCAACCTGCTTCCTTGGCTCCCCTGACTTTTTTTGCGGCCGACAAATCCTTAGGTAAACCATGGGTGGTTATACAGGGATCCTTCGAGTATACACCTGAACATTCCCTTGTAAATGGTGGCTTCCCTTTATTTCGGTAGGAAAAAACATGTTTCAAATGGTTGCAACATGTATCTTTTAAGGAGCCCTGTCATACACCCATGTATTCGGGGTGGTTCCCCAACCTGCAACTACCCGGGTTTTCAAACCGTGGCTTGAACGCCATGGCGGAACCGAACCACCCCGGACGCCTTCCCAAAGGTCTCCACCACCAAGGAATCGAAGGGCTGGCCCGCGCTGCTCACAAAGTCCATGGCCCATTGGCTGCCCTCCTCGATCTGAAGCTCCGGGTTCCTCGAAACGAAGCGAAGGGAATGGAAGCCTCCGTGTTCTAAAATTTTCTTAGTTCTGTGTTGGGGGCGGGGGGGGTGGGGGGTGGGGGGTGGGGTGTTTCAGAAACAGGTTTGTGTTTTTGGAGAGTTGGCCTGAGTTGGCTATCTATCTCGTTCTATCTCGCTCTCTCTCTCTCTCTCTCTCTACCCCTCTCTCTCTCGCCCTCTCTTCGTTATTGTTTCTCTTTGGGGTTGGTTGCCTCGCTCGTTGTTGTCTCTGCCTTGTGATATGTTCTGCTTTATCCTTTGTGTGTGGGTTGGCTCTCTCTCTCTCTCTCTCCGTTGTTATTTCTCTCTTTCTCGTTAGGAGTTTCATGTGCTTTCCTCTCTTTGTTTTGTTGTGATATGTCTTTTGCGGGGTTGCCTGTCTCACCCTCTCTTTCTCTAACTCCGCAAAGGGCACTCTTAAAGAAAGACGCACCCTTGTCTCAACACGAATTCGAGTCCTCCAGGTGGCTTGTTCGATTTCCTTTGCAAGAATGGGCGCTCCCCTCTACAACCTTCGAGCAGGCGATAATTATATTTTGAGACATCCTTCTGTGATCGGACTAGGTGGGGCCAGTTCGCCCCAACCCTCCAAAAACCCGATCCCCATCCCACACCAAACGGGAAAGCAAATGAAAGCCACCACTTGAGAGTCGCCCTATTTTGACACATATCCATCCGGGTCAGGAAGCGAGGTGCAAATGGTCGCAGCTTTGCTTGCATCACGCAGCCAGCTCAGTGCAATGCATCCTCGAGCAGAGGCAGCGGCAGCAGCAACGATGGCGGCGATGACAAGCAAAACGACAACCATGGCCACGAGAACCACAGCAAACATCACACCCATGACACCGACTGCATCCATCGGACAGCTTAGCTCAGGTCGAGCGGCCGAACCTGAATTCTGAAAGCATAGAGTCGCCCATCCAGAAAGTTGGGAGGCACCTGGCGGAACGAAATGAGGGAGGCTTGAGTCGAAAGGAAGGACGGGCTTGGAGCGTAAATTATCCCCCGGCTTGCTATTAAGTGGGGTTTTCTTGTTTGTGGGGAGTCCTTTCTTCCAGGGCACCTGAAGGTTGCATAACCTTTCGGGACCGACTCGAACTGGGGAAGGGTCAAAGGCTCGCGGCTTCATCCTTCACTGCCCAAACTTCTTGCAACAAACACATTACTCTAAGCATCTTTGGCCCTCAGGACCCTTTTGGAGGTTAAAAACCTCCCATGAGGAAACATCTATTTGATTCAAATGGACCATCATAACTTCTGTTGATCCACAAGCTTCACTGGACCCTCCATTGCATCTCCATGGTAAGGTTTTGGACCTCCAAAAGTAGCCTTTAAAGGAGGCCTTTTGGGTTCCATACTCATTTGGCCATGGGTCAAAACCCCGTACCCCCAGTAAAAATCCCAATCCCCACTAAAATAGGTTCTAAAATGGAGATGCACCTGTCCCAAAATGGTACCATGGGCTTTAACCCACAGCCATTTGTAGGGGGCCCAACCGCCGCATCGCGAAACGACGGCTCGCTCTCGCTCGCCGATTCGTCACCCGAGTCCGCCTCCCAGGTCCTCGCCAGCGGATTGGGCACCGAGATGCGGGCGGTGTGGCCGATGCCCAGACAGGCCTGTCAGTGCTTTGTCTGGTGGTTCTACAAAACTAGATCTCGGTTGCTTTCTGCTCCCCTGCTAAAGGTTTAACTTGTAGTGGTTTAATGGAAATCCATTAGTTGGCAAAAAGTTAAAGTCCTAACATCCAAGCAAAATGCAACGAAGAAATGGGGTAGTTTCCCCATACAGCCATGAAACAAGGGGCCAAAGGGAAACGACAAGAACACGAAAGGAACCTCACACAACTCCCTTCCCTTTCTCACCTCCTGTGGTTGGCCGCACAAAGTCTCCGCTTCTGGTTTGTTTTTCCAAGTAGAAAGTCCCGGGAGTGAGCCTAAAACCTTTCCCCCCCAAACCGGGGATCCGCGGGGAAACACAGGCCGCAAATGGAAAGCCGCGCGAGCCTCCAGCTCCAGTCCCTGCGGCCAGGAGGAGATGACCCCAGGGCACCAGTCCTGCGACTCGCCGCTTGGAATGGGCGTGTTGCCTTAGTGGTGTATTCTTTAAACAGACACACGCAGCCAAAAACAAAGACACACACTGAAAACAAAAACAGGCGCACACATGCGACAAAACAAAGAAACAAACAAGCAAACAAACAAGCAAGCAAGCAAGCCAACCAAACAAACACACCCACACACACACACCACACACACATATATATATATATATGTACGCACACCCTGCACACAAACACACAAACACACAGACACACAGACACACGCACACACAAGCACGCGCGCACACACACGCACACCAAATGCGCCACACGCATCACACACACAAATATATTTGTATATATATATATATGCTACCCCCCCTTGAGATACTCAGGTTTTTGGACAGAACTGAGGTTTTTGGCCGACTGGGGGTAACAAATGCCTTGAGACTCTGAAATGAACTGGACACTCAGCAGAAGTTAAGCTCAACGTTGATTAGGAGTAGCGAGTTGTGTGACCGTCACATTGGCGTGCGCAAAGTGCACTTAAAGTGACATTGGAGTATGCAAAGTGCAATTTGGCAGCTCCAGCTCCAAAAGCACAACTTTCAGTACAGGAGTAGTGCGCAAAGTAGGTTTTGCAACGCGCCTGTAGCAGCCCTATTATTTGGTGTTTATTATTTTTGTTTGGCAGCGAAATTCAGCAAAACATCAACTCGGGGAAAAGGAACTCATTCCTAATTCATGTCCTTGCGCAGTTGCATTTACATGTTAACTCGAGTGTTGTGCATAATTCCTGACATGCTAGTTCAGCCTAATTGAAACATATGTTGCAAAGCAACTATCCCACGTGTGTGTGTGTGTGTGTTGCTTGTCTAAGTTGGTTCCATCATCGCCACTAACAACTATTGAAATTCAAGTAAGGGAAGAATATCCAGTTAAAAAAAGCTTTCGAGTTCAAACCAAATTCAAGTTTACTCGTTTGCAGTTTCTTGTGCATTTCAAAAAATCAACTGGATCAGAAGATAGCTATTGTCATGGCCAAATGAATTTGGAATCAAACTCAATTTTGAAAGGGTTATTGTCCTTCGACCTCCATGTGGTTTGAACCAAGCAAGAACTGAGCCAAGCCAATGACAGGAACGTGTTTTCAATCATAGATCCTATTATTTGCATAAATGCTGTAAAACACAGTGTTTTTCAGCATTTGCTCAGATCGTGTTGCCCTGGATCGAACATCGAATATACAAGATTCCACAAACATATGCTTAGAATGTACTCAATCCTGGTCCCCAAAAAACTTGACAGTTTGTTCTAGACTCATCAAGGTTTCGCCCCCTGCATTGAAGATTGAAGATCTACCAGATTTTCTATTTGAGAATCTTCCATTCTGGCCAGCCCTCAAGTCCACACAAAAATGTAAAGGTGTCAGCAACATTCTTCCCCTGGCCAATTGCAGGCAGTGCAAGTGCACATCCACATTTTGATTCTGACAACGTGCACATACGTGCACTCCCGGTCTGCCTTTTGGATTCTTCAAATCCGCACTTAAGGCAATCCAGGATCTGGATGGGAGATTCAAGATTATCTGACAACTCTTTCTGAAATTCTCCAAATATGTACTTAGAGTAATCCAGGATGTGCTAGCACGTGCTAGCACACCCTGGATTGAAGATTGAAGATTGAAGATTCTCAGACCACTTGTTCTGGAAATCTTCAATCCATCCTGAGGACAAACTGGTATGTGCTAGCACGTGCTAGCACATCCTGGATTGAAGAATGAAGATTGAAGAATCCCAGAGAGAGTTGTCAGAGAATCTTCAATCTTCAATCTTCAATCCAGGATGTGCTAGCACGTGCTAGCACATACCAGTTAGTCCTAAGGACGGATTGAAGATTTCCAGAACAAGTGGTCTGAGAATCTTCAATCTTCAATCTTCAATCCAGGACGTGCTAGCACGTGCTAGCACATCCTGGATTGCACTAAGTACCGATGCTAGAATTTAAGTCTAAAAAGGAGTGCATTTTTTAGAGCCTGATTTTAGAAGCTGGAACGTGTGTTTTGCATGCATTTGTTCAGCCAAAATGTAAAGTTCTGTCCAAAAACTTGAGTATTCCAGGGGGGGTACCATATATATATATTATATATATATAAGCTTCGAATATCACCAAATGCTGTTGCATTCCACGTACCAAACCCTGGCGACTTTCTCTCGCAGCTCCTGCTGCGGGAAGTTGCTGGCGCTGCAGGGGAACTCAGCAGCGTCCAGGCTACTGTTCAACACCTGGACGCAAACGATCGGCCGCCCTTTGAGCAGCGTCCATTTCACCCATTGACTTTTGGTTCTACTGACAGAGGTAAAAACTTAAATAAGCCTTGCTATCCCAAAAAGGGCAACATAAATCAAACCCATATGCAGCACGGGCAAAAAATCGAACTTGCGGGTCATGGTCGTAGTTCCCTTCAGGGGAACCTTCACATTGGTTGTTTGAACCTCCTAAGAGGTTGATGACCATCCCGAAGCCCCGGTACAAAGGGCATTTTGACCCTGGCACATGTGTTAAAAAGTCGCACAACTATTTATCCGTCGCTTGAGTTACATGAGCCCGGTCCAATCTACTTGTTTGTCCAACAGGACATGGGCAATGTACTTCTTCCCCTTACTTGTGTCGAACATTCAGAGCACGCCCCCAACGAAATCTCCCAAAAAATCCATGGACAATTCTGGGCTTGTTGACCACATCTCATGGGTCCCTAAAATGCCTGGTGTCCTTTCAACGGCTTCCCTTGGAACAAAAAGCAACAACAACGGGGTTCCATCAAGATGAGAAGCACCCATATTAAGCTTATCTGCTGGTAGTTGTTTGGTGAGTGCTTGTGCTCATCAGCTTCGGCTTCCCTCGCCAACCTCTGTCCAAGGCGGCTCAAAGTGACACCAGGCATTCAAACACGTCAAAGAGTTTGCCAACCACCTCGAAGCAAACCGCTCTTAAACATGAGGTGGGCATTGCGAAATAGCTGCCTGCTTGATTACCTGCCTGCCTGCCTGCTTGCCTGCGTGCTTGCTTGTTTGCTCGTGTCTGTTGGTTATTCTCTGAATGCCCTTTTCGTCTTTCCGTACTTTCCTTTGTTGCTCGCTTCCCTTTCCAAAAGCTCCGCTGCGCCAACTTCATTCCGACACCTTCCGGTCGCGCGGCCTGCAAGCCTTCACTGCAGTCCTCCAGAAAGTGAAAGCCCAAGGGCCCCCGCAGCGAGATGTAGAGGTACGGCACCTGTCCACGGGGCACGGATTTCTTTATGTTTCGTTCACTTCAGCAGACTTAGGCCCCCAAAAAGTGTTTATTTCTTTCAGGGAAAACTAACAAATTGAGGGAACGACTAGCAAATGAGGGGACAACGTTTTGAATGGACAAACTGAGGTTGGCAACTGCGTGGAGGATCGGAAGTGTACCCCCCGAGACCTCCAATGACCCTCGTTCTCTCTGTTTTTCGGTTTGAAACAACGTGTTTGTTTCGTGGTAAATACGTGCTTTGTGTTTACCAGAATGGCCCTGGGAATAGGAATTTTGTCCCATTTACCCACAAGAACCAGGAGTTCAAATTGACGGGAAGTGATGGTTGACCCAATTTAGATGATGACAATCATAAACTGTACACAATGGTTATACTAACCCAGCCAGTGGTTTAATGGTGGCAAGTGAATCCCAGGGTTAGGCCCATATCTGGGGTGCAAAGAACTTGTATTAACTGTATTGTTTCCTTGAGTGTAGGTCCCCTAACGCAAAGAACTGGTTCGCGTCGGAAACCAAAAGAAGGCTGATTGAACAACAGTGGCTGACACGTGTCTCACATACAGTAGTTTTGGAGGAGACCCCAGCTTGGATTGGCCAAACAAGCTCTCAGCTTGTTGGCCAAACATGTGCTCACAAACAAAAAGCTCGCTCAACTGGGACACCTGCCCTTGGTGGGTTGTTGACCATCAGTCAAAAACCTGCCAAACAAGGTTGAGAACAGCAAATCAGCAAATGGAACATTAGTCAGGGGACCGACCCTTCAGGCATTTTGTAGAACCGATGTGCGGCAACTCAATTCGTTGCTCCAAGCCCATTTGGGCGAAAGGTCAATCATCAAAGGTAGTTAATGAATGGACACACCATTCGTTTGCAACAGGCCTACGTATCGTGATCCGATGAACATATCGATAGGTATGATGTGCTAGGGACAATCCCGCCACACGAAAGACCCGCAGCCTGATCTAACCCGGACATATCCAGAGATCGTCCAAGGCACGCTGTCTGGGACCTGCGGGTGCTTCTCCACCTGCAAACCATTCGGGTCTCAAAATAGGGAACTCGCCAGAAACCCAAAAAAGGAAACCAAAAGGAAACCAAAAGAAACCAAAAGGAAGCCAAAAGGAAACCAAAAGAAAGTCAACAGGGAAACCACAAGGAAATCAATGATTTGTTTGTGACTTTGACGATCCCTTAACAACGAAAACCCACAGGTGCCTCAGCATTATTGGCACAGGCGGTTGAGTCACAATGTCCACCACAGATTAAATCTGCTTAAGCAGAACCCTGGTTGATTATAATACGGGGGGCGTCTCAATTCTTTTGGTGGGGGTTCAGCCCACGTTGGAGGGGAACATCCCCTTGTAATCAACCCCGAAACCAAAAACTCAGTTGCCCTCAGTTGACCCAGAAATAAAGCGAGATCACCTGTTGGGCCCACACAAATTGGGAACCTAAAAAGGGAAACCAACAGGTCATGTCAGGTCGATTCGAATTGGGCAAGTGAGCAACAGGGGCGAAGAAAGGCGGCGACTGTGCTCACTTGGAGTTGTTTTTGTTTTTCTTGTTTTTTCTTTAAACAAAAAAGAACAAACAAAGAAAACACACTTTGTCTAGAATGATGATAATCAAGTGGGTATCCATTCAAAATTTTGGGGGGGAGGGGATGCTATGTTTCGCTGCAAACATTCCAAGCCTTTGGGCTGGGCCTCGTTGGATTTCGTAGCCTGCAATTCCCACTCGAGTGGAACCCCAAAGTTCACGAACTGTTACAGCTGTTGGCTTACCACTATGATCCAACCGCCAGTGACGAGCGTCCGAAACGGAGCAAGGAGTTCGAGAACAGCTTCAAATCATGTGTGGGAGGTGATAGCGTTTCATGGAGCTCCCCTAAACTGGTTGTTGATTGCCAACCTCCATGTTCCTCATTTGCTCGTTGTAAGCGGGGCAACTGGTCCCTTAAACCCAGCCAGTTGCAACCAGGCAACCATCCAACAACAAAAGACAAATCCAACAAGGCGAATGTTGACCCCATATTAATCAACCCCAGTATATTCATAAGGGGGTGGTGCTCCCTGGGTGAAATGTGCGGAATCAGACCACTTTTGGAGGGGCCCCACCCCCCATCCCCCTATGAACAAGCTGGGGTTGAGAAAATTATAGTGTCAACACTACTCACTTCTTCCCGGGTCGCAGTCGACTGATGAAACATGTCCTCTTTCTGGACAACTATCAGAAGGCATTTTGAACAATTGCGGTTGAACCATGTCTAAGTGGATACTCTCACTTCCGTGGATTGGCCCAAGAAAGTCTGAACTTTTTGTCCAAAAGCATTACGAAGGGACAACTAACACAAAGCACTTGCACAGCGCAACATGCACTGAGCAACTTGCGTGGAACTTGCACAGGGAAACTTGCACGCATAATTTTCGCAGCTACGACATGCTAGACTAGTGCAGCCTGACTTTGGATTCACAGAGCGCACAGCGTCTGCTTTTCTCTTTAGATGTTTTATGTATCCCCCTTGGTGCAAGACCGCCTTGTTGTGTTTGCATGCACTTGCCGCAACATTCATATTAAACAAATGCTTTCACGCCACCCATCTTCCAGGTAGTTACCACATAAAACGGTACTCCCAACAAAGGACCTCCAGGAGCGAGCCTTACGGCAGCCCTGCAACCAAGCCAGCCAAAAGAAAGGCGGCCATGAAAGGAACTGGCCGTCACCCTCCCCAATTCCACTTTTCAAGGGGAAATACCTCACCCAACGCCGTTGGCCTCACCCCCTCCCCCAATTCCATGCAACGGCCCAAACACCTCCAGCGCCTCCTCCGACCCAACGCCTACTCCCGAAGGCGGCCTTTTGGACAGTTAGATGGGTTTCCCTGGTAAATGGAACAACACCCATCTAAACCAGTGGAACCCATCGATTTTGAACCAGGCTCGCCTAAACAGGCCACCTACGGATGGACGAAATCCATTTCGCACCTAAGAAACCCTGGTTTCGGATTCGATTCCCCCCGTAAATATCAACAAACCTTATGAATCGATTCAACCATGGTTTCTTATGTGCGGTCTCGGAGTTTGTCCATCCACACCTCCGCCTCCAGCCCGCCCGATTCAACCATGGTTTCTTAGGTGCGGTCTCGGACTTCGCACACCACGTACCCCTTAAAACTCCAAGCCCTGGGGAAGTTAATCTTTTTGCAGACATATAGCCCATGCCACCCAAAAAGTTGAAAAGTTGTGTTTTTAAGACATGGCTCCAGCCCGCCCTCCGCCCGGAGGGCGCCCGCCCGCGCCTTAAAGTAGAAGGTCACCACGTTGGTCCGCGCCGGCGCGTCGTCGCGCCCGAAGGAGGGCTTCTCATAGGCCGGGGGCTGCAGGAGCCCGGTGCTCGGCAGCAGCTGCAGCATTCGGGGCACCTGAGAGACGGGGCCCTTTTTGTGGACCCCGTCTTTTCAGCCCACCAACCCGGTTTTTGAATGAGGGGTGTCCAGGTCTCTGGGTGAAATGTGGGGAATCAGACCGCTGGAGGGGAATGCTTCGCCGCGAGTTGTGGGGAATCAAACCACTTTTGATTGGAGGGGAATGCTTCTCTCTGGGTGAATTTTGGGGAATCAGACCGCCTTTGGAGGGGCCCCACCCCCTGTTAATCAACTGGGGTTGATTCATAGGGGGTCAACATGACTTGGGTCTTCGACCAATTTTAGTAAGTTGGTACCTTGGGGAAAAGCTCATAAGTTGTGGTTGTTCTTACCTGCGTACGGCAGATCATCTAAATCCCCCCCCCCAACCTTGTCGAGGGGAGGGGTGGATTCTTCATTAATTAGTCAGTTCTTCAAAGGGAAACCACATGGAAAAGCACCATCTTAAGGCAGTGCTATACAGGACTCCTATTTTGTCACAACTTACTTGCCCAAAGGACTTGGACAAAAAAAGCCTGTTTGGATCTCTGAAGCCGCGCCCCGATTGGAAAACCAAATCTCAAGTTGGCCGATTTGCATTGGGCAACTGAGACAAAGGTCCCATTTGTATCCCCCCCCACCTTCTGGGGAAGGGAAGGATTGCTTACCTTTCGGAGTTGTTTTCCAGTGTTGGTTCTCTCTCTCTCTCTCTATATATATACTAAACAAAGCAGCATATTGAGTCAAATACGAAGGTTCTTGGAGGTCCTTGCTACGCAGTGGGCCATGATCATGGTTCCTTGAAAGCAACCCTTATTGATGCTGTCCAAAACCAAAATACAAGTTAGCCCCCCCCCCCCACACACAAAGAAAGAAACTGTTAAGCAACTAAACATGGAGCCAAACATGGCATTGAAAGGGGTATCACCCTCGCTCAAAATTCCATGTTCAAACGGAAACAGGGGTCACTGGATTGCCCATTCAAAACGTTGTATCCTGGGGGGCCCAAACATGCAAAATGCATTGGATCCCGAATCCAAGAGGGACGGAATGCCAACAAACCAACAAACCCAGAAGGAACATCGACCTCCGACGTCGAAAACGACCCCTTTCGGCCAACTTGGGCTGATTTGTGGTCGCAAAACACTCGCATGGTCAGGGGGCCCCAAAGGGCACCCCGCAAAAAAAATGCACAAAGGAACCCTTTTCGCGCCAAAGTTGCTATTGGCCCCTATCGGGCTTGGGGGGGGGGGGGGCTATTGGGGGGAATGACGTTTAAACCCCGCATGCTCAACCAAACCAGAGGAGTCACAACTTCAAGGTTAAAGATCCAACCACGTATTCAGGTCCTTCGAGCTTCCGCCAAAGGGCTGGAATCATCTTGCTGAGATCTAGGACCTTGTGCTTTGGGTAGTTCTGCCTCAAGCGGGTAGCAGAAGGTCCCGAGCAAACGGGTGGGCATTTTCTCATATGTCCTCGAACCTTCTTAGAAGGGGTTCTTACAACTTAGATACTTAGATGGGAATCCGGATATTTTTGCATTTTCGAACATCGCCTCTGAGTTGCCAATTGAAAGTGAGTGTGCTTTTGGTCAGGGGATGTTTCAAGGGCAATAACTTGGGAGCAGGGCTCCATAGATCGGCCGCAAAAACAAACGTCCGAACTGCCGCAAAAGAAACGTCCGAACTCTTTGTTTGCCATGAAGATGGTCTTCCCAAACCATGCAAAGTCGAGGAACTCCGGAAAAAATACCTCACAATATAACATAGCTTTGTATAGAATAGCTTTGGAGGAGAGCTCATAACCACTTTGGGACCCTTTGGGGCTGATTTTCATAATCAAGCCATAGCTAATGGGCAGTTAATCCGTAAACTGGGGGTTCATACCAAGGGTTTAAAATGGACACAAGGTGGCGGTACAGAGCAGCGCGTTGGGGCGGTTCAAATCCTTTCAGGTACCACCGGTACTGCTCACGCCGTGCCGTGGAGACCACAAAAACACCTAGACTACCAATCTGCTTAGAGAACTCCTGGTCCTTGTAGGCAAAATTGGATACCCCGGCTCCCTTCCAACCACCAGCTAGCGGACTGAACCAGCAAATGGCTATCCTTGTCCCTCCAAAGCCCAAAAAAGGCGCACTCAAGGGACCCTAGAGCCCAAAAAAGGCCCCATGAGTCGCGTTTTAGTGGGACAACAATAAGAAAAAGACAAGTTCAGCACACAACTTCGAAGGCTTTTTTCTTTGTTTAAAAAATACACTCGACCATATTGTGGATGGAAGAAAACTTGCACCGCCTAAGAAACCCTGATTTCTGATGATTCCGCTGTAAACACCAAAAAACGCTATGGTTTCAAGCATTGCAAAGCGGTGCAGGATCATAGGTGGCCTGTTGGAAAAATAGATGGCCCTGGTGAATGGAACAAAACCCATCTAAACCAGTGGAACCCATCAATTTTTACACAACCAGGCTCACCTACAAAGGACACCTACTGTACGAAATCCTGCACCACCAAAGAAACCCTGGAATGGTGATTCCACTGTACATACCAACACACGATGGTTTCAGCCGTGGTTTCAAAATGGTGCGAAACGGACTTCGCAACCATCCACAGTATGCGCGAATGAAGATCGACCCAGTCGGAACCACAACCTCTGCCGTGGTGCAGCTCCATATAAGTCCCGAAGCTCCAGTGCCCCATTTCCGCCGTGGGTGCCAGCGGGTTCCGCACCGGGCGAAAGCGGAAGATGTGGAGGCCTAGACGGCCCTTCTGGGTCTGGTGGTTTGAAGGTACCCCATGGTGTTGTTCAAAGGAAAATCAAAAGGAACACCTCAATACCCGTTTCTTGCAGGTATACTTAGAACAAAACAGCTTGCTCATGGTAAAATACCTCTTGTTTGATACCCGAAAAAGTGGGTGTGAGGAGTGGAGGAACCCCCTGTTCAAGCCAGGGTTGGAACACATACTGTTCAAACAGTTTCGTTTTTGTATCCCTTTAAGGACCTTGGATTTGTGGTTTAAGCAGACATTTTCATCTACACCAAGGTGATACTCGAGAGCGCAATTTCTGGTAGATGTGGGGAAAGGGGATAACTCAATCAACCCAGAATTGTGCCAGTCGCTTTTGCCCAGCAGACGCTTTGTGGCCCTAGGGAAGCTCACAGGAGTTTGAATCAAAAAAATGGTGGTTTAAACATGTGGGTTTGTCTCAAACTAGGGTTTCCCTTTGCAATGGGCGGTATGTCCTTTTCCTGTCCAATTCAAACGACCCAGACAACGTGCATCCTCGCTTCCATTTGCTTCAGTGAATACTGGATATATAACTTGTTCAGGGGACTGAATCAGTCCCCTAAAAAAGTCATATAGTGCCCAGTAGTGTAGATACCCTATGAAACCAAGAGACCCATGTGTGTTTCTCACGTAGAGTTACTAACGAGATGAGACGGGCGATTGGTGACTCCGTTTTGTCACCGCCGAATTTGCAAGACCCATAGGAGAGAATGCGAAAGCCATGCCCCGGAAGTATTGTCCGCTGCTCTAGCACTTGTGGATGTACATACTGTACGTGTATATATATATATATATATATGGTCAGCCATAGACCTTTGGGCAAAAAAGAATAATTTTGAATACCTCATTTCCAGTCAACGCTTTTGATATACTCTCTTTTACAAAATAGTCTTTCACGGCAACGCCTCAAAAGCTTATCATAGTAGGACATTTCAATGAAAGTCCACCGCGCCTGCTGGGAACTGTCCACGCAGCACGTATAGCATCAGCATTGGCCTGGACCAAAAGGCGAGACCTTCGGGTTGTGTGTGTGTGTGTGCGGGTGCGGGTGCGGGTACGTATGGATGCACTCGCATGCACGGGGTGTGGAGTGGGTGGGTGGGTTTGCCGAGCAAAAGGTCTGACTTTAGGTTTGGCATCTGTTTCAAGGAGGCCGAATGTTGACCCCCGGATAATAACTCCCAGTTTATTAATAGGGGGGTGCTCACCTCCAATAGTGATAAATCTCCACTAAAACAGGGGCACTTTTTTCTATTAATCAACCAGGGGTTCTGCTTAATCCGGGGTGCCCATTATGGGACGAAATTCCGTCAACGCGCTTCAAGTTTGGCGTATGAGGCGAGGAACCAAAACAGGCCCTGGCGGCCAAGCTCGTGAGTTGAAAGCCACAAACCGCAGTTGGCTTCCACACATGACTGACGATGGGGAAAAGAACCTAAGTTGCTTGCAAAACCTTGGCTGGAATTATGACCCCAGCAAAAAATATATTTTTTTGCCTGGTAGTGGAAAACAAAGGGAACCCCAAAAAAGCAAAAAATCAAAAGGGAACTAATTCTGGGGAAGAAACTTGCAACTTAGGTGGTTTCAGTTAGCGAAACCAAAGAGACAATTGCCCATGTTCCAGGTCGATGTTGAGAAAGATGCACATGGGTGGTCGTCTTTTTGTGAGGAACCTTTGTATAGCTTTATAAAGGGAAACCAAAACAAACACACCATGTTTCTTTCTTTTCTTTGGGGGGGGTGGTCTTTCAAAAAAATTGACACCCCCACATCGACGTGAGTGAATCACAATCATTCACCGCGTTGCCAAAGAGTCGGGGTCTGGAAGAGTACAAGTTTGCCCACAAGAACTCACGAAGCGGACAGCCAACATTCTTCCCTGTGGAAGGCGCCTTGGGCTCGCTGCCCAGAACAAGTTGTGACGCTCGACTCTGCGGAAAAAGGAAAGAAACTAAAAAACTTGAAACCAGAAACGGCTGTAAACAAACCAAACAAAAAGTGGCAAAAATGGCAATCAAAAGGGTAACGCCGCCAATGAACCGCACTACCCCCTCAGGTTCATTAAAAGGGATACGGTGATACGGGCGCAACTCAGACCTTCGGGGACTGGCTCTGCAACTCTTCGCGCGTCTTGTTTTGCTTTCGGGTCCCAGGTATCTTCTTTTGTTGTCGATGTTGATGATTCACGATTGTTGTTGGGGAGTGTTAAACTGGGCAGCCTTGAAAACTGCGGCCCCAAATCATAATCCGCAACCCGTGGTGCGACACCACAAGGGAAACCACTACAATCGGGCATAAGGATTCAGGAATGGCCTTGAACAAGCGTAGCAGGTCTTTCCGGCCTCTTGTGGTTTGTGCTGATACCGGCCTTGTTACTTAGGCCCACATCTGTGGCACACACACACACCTCTTGTGTCTTATTGGTATCTTCCTTGTTGCTTCGGCCCACATCGCGCAGAAATTCATTCGATCGAAATACATTTTGTCTACGCATAATATATTTAAAAACAAGTTTTGGAGGAGACCCCAGGTTAGGGAGTTTTCAACAATCCTGCTCCACGAGTCGTCCGTTCATGTCCAAGCGGCAGGCCGGTGACGACATCATCGGACACCTCGCAGAAGCCTCGCTTGCGCGATCAACCTTTGAGAGTTGACATGACCGAACGCGGACCAAACAACTTGGGCCACAAAAGAAGGGTACACAGAAAAGAATACGTTCATACCTAGTCTACCTCGACATCTGAAATTGCTTGGGACGAGACCCCGAAATGGGTGCTTTTCCCTGTTCCCTTTAAGACCCACCACAAAGGGATACGGAGCCTCAAGAAAGACGAGCCACCAAACCAGTCCGAACTGTTTGCCAAATGGGCCCATGAAGTGACTCTTTCGTCCGAAACGGAACTCGAGTGAGCCCACCAAGTTGTTCTCCCGTTTATATATATGGAATCTTGTAGGGGTCTTGGTTTAAACCGGTTCCTTTGAAGGGACCATTTCCCTGGATTCCACGCGCACCAGATGGTAGCCAACCTTGTGGGAGAAGTGCAATGGTTTCGGGGCCCGCCTTGGTTTGGTGAGTTGCTCGCCGTTTGGAGCGCTGTCAAACCATACAAGCTGTCCCCTTGGTGTCCCTAGATCCCTTCAAAAAGACTGGCTTTGCAGCTCACCTGTCAGTCCCCTGGGGAAACAAAGGCCAATCTATCCAGTGACAGGTTCCGTTTAAAACCAACATAGAAAAAAGCAACGACCAGATCCGTCCAAATGCAAGTAGCCACGGGAACCCTGCAACAAACAGGAGAATTGCTGGTTCGATCGTCTGTTTTGTCCGCAGAGATCCGAGTCTTGCAACCACCCGAAAGGGGTAGCTCAACGATGCAAGGCGTACCCCTCAGGGCCGATCCCCGCCATTTGGGCACCCAAAGCAAACCATCCGACGACTTTGGCCCGGAAAAGGGTGATGTGTTGACCCAAGGCTTCACAATTAAATGGACCTCTGGGGTACACTGAAATCATGTGCTCAGACAGTGGGCATTGGTTGGCTGATTTTAACTGGAACCTCCAGAAAAAGCCCGGGTGCAATCCCCAACAGCAGCCCCCCTTTGCACTCCAGAATCCTTCCAGAACCCGCCGCAAAAAACTCTGAACTCCGGAGCCTGATCTGTCTTCGAGGTCGATGCCTCCTTTTACCCTCAAACAAGCACAGCAAAGCTCCAGGGTTTCAAACCACCAAAAAGGCAAATACGGGTGTATCAAAATGGGGAACCCCCATCTTTGTATTTTGGATCTCATATTGGCTTCCCTTGAGACCAACCTCACGCCCATATGGGTGTCTCTTTGCATCCCTAGCGGTTTGACTCTAGGACCAACCTAAGATGGGATCAGAAAGAAACGAGCCACGCCCATAACTGGCCATGGGTCAAAAGCCCGGCTAGCCCCGAGTCAACATCCCAATCCCCACTAAAATAGACTAAACTGGGTGGTGCACCGTTACCAACCAAAATGGGATCCCATTGGTTTTGACCCAAAGCCAACTCGGACTTCTTGCCGGGCAGCCGTTGGAGCTGTCCAGCTGGTGGGCCGTGCGTATCTCCGGCCAGCAACGCAGCAGCGTGCCGCGCGTGAGCGCGTCGCCCTGGAACAGGAAGCCCGAGTTCACCTGGTGGGTTTGGCTCAAACTACCGTGGACGGACAAAATCCTTGAAACCAACCAAGTGGGATCCACCCCGAAACCATCTTGACCCGGTACGAAAATAGGATGTTCAGATGCTGTGTCATACTGTGGATGGACAAAATCCGTTTCGCACCACTTTGAAACCATGGTTGAATCCATGACGTTTGTTGATATTTACAGGGGAGCTCATCATTCCAGGGTTTCGTAGGTGGTGCAGGATTTTGCCCATCCACAGTAGGAATCAACACCTCCAGAATTGGGAGCTTTCTTTTGGTCTCCCTTTCAAACCATCCAACATCATCCAACGAATGCCCTGAAAGAAATACACGCATATGTGCCATGGTCAAACCTAACTCAATGAGTACTAAAGCTATCTACTCAAAATAACCCAAAGCCATATAAACCATCAAAAGTGCGGATTCAAAGTATGCACCTAAACTTCAGGCTGAGCCGCTCCTTAACTTTCACTTTCAGTTTTTATTTGGGGAGTACTATAACCTCCTTAAAGCAGGCAGGAATCGAATGGCTTCAAGTGTGCCTCTTTTATTTGCTTGCGTCCCATGGAATAATTAAACATATATGTTCAGTAGTCATATCCTAGGGTTCGACCCCCAATAAAATAATGATTCACCCATGATGACAATCCTGAACGGCACACAATGGTGGTTGTATTAATTAACCCATGCAACCTTGAATGGTGGCAACTGAATCCCAGGGATAGATTCCCGATTCCCTTGAAACCTACCGAATAAAAAATGTAAATGGGTGTGGGTCTTTTTGTTGCGGCTACCCTTCTTTTGTGGCTTTCAAGGATTTGAAGGTCAGATTCCCTCTAATTGGTGGATTGGATTGGTGGTTTGGTGGTTCAGGGGGGTCTCCCATTTACCCTCTACAAGAAGCAGGGGTTCAAATTCCAAACCACCAACCAACCTGAGTTTTGCGGGTTCCCGCAAAAGAATACAAACAACTCTCTCATTCTAGCGGTTGATTCCCCATTCTTTTCAGCCATCGTTCTTTCAAACCAGCCATTTCCCCCAGGGTTTTGGTGGTTGTCTAGAAACAAGGATTTGTGGAAAGAATGGGGAAGCTACCCCTAGACACATATTCAAGACAACGAAGGGCCAACGAAGGGGCTTTAAGCCTCGCCTCCAGAGGCGAGGCAATGTGCACGTGGAACTCCATGGTGTTCTGCTCGAAGCCCGCCAGGTTGCAGAGCGACTCCACCTCCCATGGGTTTGAAATACCCCCCAACCTCCAAAATACCAACGCTTCGTTTCAGTTGGCATTTTCTGAGGAACCTGGTTGTCCAAAGCAAGATCTCATCTCTTAGTAGAGGCTTCACATGATCCCCCATAAAAGCGGGTATTTGGAGTGGGCGAAGGCCTTGGGGAACCCCTGCCCCCCAAGTAAATTAAACAAAAAAGGTTGGCGTTCCTTCAAGCCCCCGAAAGGGTTCCCCCAACCCAAAAGCAAGGCTTTGTGTTTCTGGTTGTGTTCTTTTCTCTCCAGGAGGCACCCCGCAAAAAGACAACGCGGTTTCTCGGAATTGGACCCAAAAAGCTCGCTTGCTTTGGTTTCCTAGCCGTATGGTTTTCTTTTGATTTCGACTTTCTCAAAATGGAAGGCTCTGCTTTGATATCCATGTAACTAAAGACAAACCCTAAAGGTGTACCCCAACAAAAAGTGGAACTGGACATCAGGGTTCCTGAAAGAATGCATTGAAACAGAAGCAACTTTGCGAGGATCTTGTAAATCAGCTCGTAGAAGCGGCTGCTGAACTGGCCCAAATGCATTCTTCAAGTGATCCTGGACAGTTGCTGTTTCTCAACAATGGAATTGGATCCCTGAATAATGGTCCGAGTCCTTAGGCGACCAAGAGCGCCGCCCTTTAAAACCAGTAGGACCATGTCTCGTTACCTACCATAGTGTCAACTGGGATCCACTCGTTCCTTTTGGTCTCCCTTTCAACACCATCTGAATTACATCGCCGGACTTTTGTTTCCCTGCAACGTGTATTTTCACAACCAGACCTTGGGTTTTTCTAAGGAACCGTTGAAAATTATACAAAGGCAGATTCAAAAAAGAAGGTTCAGTTCTTTAACTGTGCAAATGCGAAAGAAAGGTTGAAGCCAGAACCTCTGTTCAGATGAAAATCCGAGGCTGAAAAAGGCCCCGAGCAAACCAACAAACCAAACTAAACCAACAAACAAACAAAGAAACAAAGAAACAAAGACAAAGAAAGAAACAGAGACAAACAGACAGACAAACAAAGTAAGAAAGACAGAAAGGCAGACAAACAGAAAGCCAGAACGACAAACTTACAGAAAGACAGATAGATGGACATACAGAAAGACAGAAATACAGAAAGACAAACATACAAACAAAAACAGAAAGACCGACACAAACAAACAGACTGAAAGGCAGCAAGACAGAACGACAGAAATACAGAAAGAAAGGACCAAATAAGTCAGAAAGAAAGAAAGAAATAAAGAAAGAGAGAGAGAGAGAGATAGAGAGAGAGAGAGAGAACGAAGGAAAGAAAGCGATAGAGGAAAAACGAAAGAAAGAAAGAAAGAAAGAACCAGAAACAAAAATGAAATAAAGAAAAAAAGAAAGAAAGAAAGAAAGAAAGAAAGAAATAAAGCACGAAACAAATAAAGAAACAAACATCGAGAGAAAGAAAGCAAGCAAGAAAGAAATAAAGAAAGACAGAAAGAACGAAAGCACGAAATCAGAAAAGAAAGAAATAAAGAAAGCAAGACAGAAAGAAAGCAAGACAAAAAGAAAGCAAGACAAACAGAACGAAAGCACGAAATAAGAAAAGGAAGAAAGAAAGAAAGAAAGAAAGAAAGAAAGAAAGAAAGAAAGAAATAAAGGAAGAAAGGAAGAAATAAAGAAAGAAATAAAGAAAAAAATAAAGAAAGAAATAAAGAAAGAAATAAAGAAAACGAAAAGAAAGAAAGAAAGAAATTCATAAATGAATAAAAAAGACAGAACAAATAAACAAATAAAAAAACAAATAAAGCAAGCAGAGCGACAGAAACAAACACAATTAAGGAATACATAAATGTTAAAGACACAAATAACAAACAACAACAACAACAACAACAACAACAACAACAACAACAACAACAACAACAACAACAACAACAACAACAACAACAACAACAACAACAACAACAACAACAACAACAACAAAACAACATGAATAACAATGAATACGAATGACAAAGTAAACAAACCAACAAATAAACAAACAAGCAAGCGCTGAACCAACCAACTAACTGACCAAACAATCAAACAAACACACAACCAACCAACCAAACAATAGCCAATTGGTTGACTAAACATCCGTCGCTCGAATCTCTCGCCTGCGCTTGCGACACCACACGCAAGGGCGGCGCTGGCATGTTGATGGCCTGCAGGGGTTGATTTGGGCGACCCTCAACAAAGGTATATCCTTTTCGAAGGTCACACCGGTTTGGGGAACAAGTTTATCTGGGTCTGGTTTGCCCCATGTACCCCCATGTACTTCCATGTACCCCATGTACACCTTTTATATCCTATAGGTTGATCCCTCAGGAAAATGATGGTTGGGGCACCTGTGTACAATTCACCCCGGTGTCCCATGGACACTAAACCCTCAAAAGTTGCCGGCCCCAACAAAGGTTGCAGAATGGACTCTATGTGTCCACCAAACGCAATCCCCAACTTGAGATTCAATGGGATCTAATAAATAAGTTCATAAATACTTTATAGCAAGTGGGTATGTCATTCTTAGGAGCCCCCGCCCCCCCCCCCCCCCCAAAAAAAAATAAAAATGATAAAAAGTGGTTTCCCTTTTGGTCTTCCTTTAAAACCACCAAACAAAGGGTACCCGACAGACCCAAGTGGGGCTTTGAGTCAGGGGTTCCCATTACTTCCGCCTGTCCAAACTGCCGGAAGGACTCCGATTCGCGTCACCCAAGGAAGGATTGCGTTACAGCCAAGGTGTTCGCATGGTGGGAATCAGCTTGGGGACAATCCGATCAAAATCCTGACCAGATCAGAAATCATCTATTCTAGGCACGGTTCGAGTGAGCAAAACCCCAACAAAAGCTATGCCTCTAAGATTAAGAAATGAGGAAGGAATAGAGGGTGATGGAAGAATATGAAGGAAGCATCTCACCATTCCTCACTATCTTTTCCCCTTCCTGTTACCTTCTTCTCCAACCAATTCCTCTCTCCATTGAAAACGAGGGAATGGTACGGATAGAAGGTGATGGGAGACCGCTCTTGTAGGTTTTCAAACCGAAATGGACCCCACAGAAAAGGAGCAAAATCGGTCGTCCACAACCTCTATGAGGTCACGGTTTCCTCTGCCCACTTGAGGAATCCGTTTCGTAGAGAACCACCAAAATGGTTCCCTAAAGAAGCCCACAACTAGAGTTCTGGCTCAGAAGAACACGGGTGAGTCGTGATGAACTCCTGGTAGTATCAACCCAAAACCCCTTCAAGGATCAAAAGAGCGGCGGCACCAACTTTGGTTGAGACTACGAAGCTTCGCTTGTCAAGCTTGCTACATATTTCTGGAACAGCCTCTTGACCATGTGTGCTTGAACAAAACGTTTTGTAGGGATGGCCTCCTTTGTGCTTCACCACCTGTCTAAGGGTCCACACATGCAATAATGATCACTGGTAGCATAATCCCTCTCAGATCATGACCCAATTTGGTTTCAAGGTACCCCACAACCCCAATCCAATTCTTCACGTCTGCTTGATAAACCAGCAATCATCAAGTGCGAAGTGCATTTTGTCCATCTGAACACGCCCAGTGGATCGATCCCAGCTACCACCCTACAGTAGCAAGCAAATGATCTTCAGCCTTTTGTCTGTTAGAGGGCGGTTCCCTTTGCTAAGCTGCAAAATTGTAAGGGTTCAAGTTTAAGAATATTGTGGCTTCTTCAACTGCCAGTTTCCATCAAGTAGGTCTCATAGGACATGGTTGTTTGGATCCGTTTCCCACCATTTGTAACTTGCTTCAGGTCGGTTGGCCGCCTTTTTCTCGGAGAAACATCTTGGGTTTGAAACCACCGCTGGATCTCCACCCCCGCAGATCCAATACGAAGCTCCGGAATTGCCAGTCACAGAAACCGCGACGTTGCTTCAGCTCCATCTGACCTCCCTCCAAATGGCTGTGGGTCAACAATGGGTATCCATTTTGAAACCCTAGTAAATGGAACCAAGGACTAAGACCTGCGGTCCAATTCCTGGTGCTTTGATTTTGACCCATACCCAGAATCGCCTGCATGCGCTGCAGGGCCGTCGTCCCGGGATCGAAGCCCATCTCCAGGAAGAAGGCGTTAGAACTCCGCGTCGGAGGCCGTGAAGGCACTCGCACGCGCACCTCCGCTCGACGTGCCGAGCCGAGGCGCATCCAAAAGAGAAAGAGGGGCCGGGGACGTGACGAATTGGTCCCCCAAGTCCAGGGCAATGGGTGGGGCCCCCAATCAACCTAGGTTTCGAGTCTTCAACTTTTATGGGTAAGACAATTGGTGCCCCAATCAGTCTCGTCTTCAATGGACAATGCAACCATTGGAATACCAAAATCCTTTCCCCCAGTTCCACTGACTCCTCTGTAGTTCAATATGGACTCGAAAACGTTTCAGAGGAATCACCTTTTGGAGGGTTCCATGCTAATTTGTAGGGGAGTACAATGTCATTCAATGGGATCCCCTTGGTACAGATGAGGTGAGTGGTTTCTCTGTCGGCCGAAGGTAAAGAAAGTTGCCCCGGAGGTTTGGCGTTGTTCCCTTGTGCCGCGTTGGGGATGAGGTGGGTGGTTTTTCTGTTTGCCGAACAAACAAATGGTGGGGTGGGCGGTGTTCCTCTGGATTGTTGCTAAAACAGAAGCAAGAAAGTTTGATTGCTCCAAGTATCCTGGAGGGGAGTTTTTTGGCATGATCGCTTCTCCCCGTAGGCGATCCTTGGGCAGTTGGCTTGTGTTGTTCTCCTTTCAAAGCCACATTCCATTTGTCTCAGGCAACCTCCATTTGGTTGAGACCCCTGGATCAAATCACATATTTCCAGTAGTGATAGATTGCTAAAAACCAATCAAAACCAACTAAAAACCAGTAATATTTCCAATTAAAACCCACAGAAAAGACCCAGAGCACCACGCCGCTCGGCCTATGCTTGGCTTCGTGGGAAGGCCCCTATTGCATTCCCATACGCTTCCGAAAAGGAAAAGCCAATCAGCACGCCCCCCATACGGCAAGCGAAGATGTTTTGCGCTTCCAAAAAGAGAACACACCAAGCAGCACGGCTGGCTCCAAAGACCGCAGGCCAAAGGCAAGGCCCCGGTCAAACACGTACGGTAGTCCTTAGATGGTTTGACCCTCTCTAGAGGGAAAATGGAAACCCCCGAACCTCCTAGCCACCAATCCAAACCACCAGTTACGGGGAAGGTTGAGGTCTCCTCAGAAAAACACAAGAGCACATGTCCAATAGTGATAGTTCCCTCAAAAACCAAGAGGAAAAGACAAACACATATTCTGAAACGAAATTCAAGTGTCGAGTCGAATAGGTATACCGAGGAAAACAACCAACAGCGCAAACAACAACTCCCAAAAACGCATTCGCCCCTGAGCATCTGCCTGAAACCCATAGAGCCGGCCCATGCGCATGACCAGGTCAGGCAAAATGAGCTCGTTTTCCAGTAGGACCTGAGCAACTGACATTGTTACTTGTCTTGGCACGAAAAAAACAAAAGGTACACAGAAAACAACATGTTCAGATCATGTTTCAGATTCAGGGTCCAAGTAAAGCATAGATTTGGAGGCCCGGTTTATGCGGATTCCTAGGGTCCCATTCTATGGGCCTTCAAACATATTGTCGGTTGCTCCTCATCCGACTGGAATACTGGTTCTTTCCGTTTTGCAGACCTCTAACATGAACAGAACCGCAAAACAGGAAACCTAAACACATGCCAACAGCGAAGGGTTGATAAACCATCTATCGGCAGTAAGTCTACCTTTTGAGCCCTCTATTGGGGAAGTCGGTTCTGGTGGAAGGAACGACTCTTTCGGGTTGACCGTGTGGAGCACCAAACAAACAGAAAGCGAAACGGGTGCCTCTGAACTCGGGAAGAACAGAAGAACAGGAGGACGGCGTGGGAAAAGCGTAGAAATCTTTGAGGGTCACTGTCGAAACCCAAACTGCAAACAAATCGTCCACTTCACAAACTGAGCAGGAATCCAGGGAGCCTTCATCTGGGCAAGATCCGACACGGAGAAAGTGTAAAACAGTTTGCTGGCAAGGAAAAACGAAGGAAGCCCAACAAGGATCAACAAGTTCAAAAAAAAAAAGGGTAAGGCCTTCTTTCCATCTGACAACTCGTCCGTGTTTTGTGGGAACCAAAAAAGGGTTGGTGTCAGGAATCTCCAAAGAAAAAAAGCCAGATGACGCAAGATCCATTTCCCGGGCCCTGCACCTCCAGGATGTTTTTTTGTTTTGGGTGGGGGCTATCAGATACTCCCCTAGAGTTTAACATGGCACCCGCGGACACTCATCATTGTGTAGTGCCAGCGCGCGATTAGTACCCTTCCCCCCCCCGATTAAAGGTGTCCCCTTGTCTCTCGATGCCCACCAATACGGAAAAAAAAAGGGCCAACAAGGTTTGACCAAAACAAAGAACTACCCAAACGTATCCTCCCGCAGCCCCCAAGCCTACAAAACCTGCCAGAAACAGGGCTTTCCTTTTTGCTTAGTATTTGCTTCGTCTGTGCTTAAACTCACCAATACTAAGTCACTATTGAACCCTCAAGTTCTCCCCAAAGATGTGCTTCCCCCAAAATGCATTTTTCATTAGAGCATTTTTCTTAACATGACACGGTTTTCAAGCTCACAAAGGGGGACCCCCTTGGAGGCAGCCCAGAAAACCCACCGCGATTAATCGGGGCTCTTTTGGACTCAAAACTAAGAAACTGATGTTTCCTGATAAAGTCCTAATGCTCAGAAGGGGCCAGAAGTAAGAGGACGAGGACCGAGCAATTTGTCACGATTTCAGGTAGTCTAGAAGGGCAACCCTGGTAGGGATCAGCAGGTGGATGATCATGGCATGGACTTAATCCAAGGAGCAGGCAGGCAGGCAGGCAGGCAGGCAGGCAGGCAGGCAGGCAGGCAGGCAGGCAGGCAGGCAGGCAAACAAGAAAGAAAGCAAGCAAGCAAGCAAGCAAGCAAGCAAGCAAGCAAGCAAGCAAGCAAGCAAGCAAGCAAGCAAGCAATATGCACCACAACACACCACAGCCCTCGATACGACACAAAAAAAAAAGCAAAACAAAACACACCTAACAAACAAAACAAAACAAAACAAAACAAAACAAAACAAACAACCAACAAACAAACAAACCAAACAAACACACAAACAAAGACGCCAGCCACACAAACACAAACACCACACTAAACAAGACAACTTACAAACAAGCCGAACAATCACCAACCACTTGTTTGCTTTCAAACAAGCAAGACACATGTCGACCAATCTCTAGCCTTCAGCGCTGCGAGGCCGCCGGAGCGCCTGTGGGGTCACCACGAGCTGGCAGTACTCGCAGGTGACATCCGGGACCTCACGCAGAGGGCATCTCAGGCGCATTTGGGCAAGTGCAAAAATACTGTGGATGGACAAAATCCGCTCCCACCACTTTGAAACCATGGTTGAAGTCATGGTTTGTTGATATTTACAGGGGAATCATCATTCCAGGGCTTCCTAGGTGGTGCAGGATTTCGTCTATCCACAGTAGGGGCGCCCCCAAAACTGGTGGTTTCCTTTGGGTTTCCCCGTTCATCTGTCTCACCTGAAACCGAAATTATCGACTTGTCCCAGGAAAAAAACAAGGCGAAGGAAAGACCTGGGACGCCTGAGTAGCTTTGGCAAATGCAAGGCATTAGTGATGCAACTCGCAGGGGTATGGTCTGCTTGGATGGAACCCCCGCCCCCCCCCCCGCCAGCAGTGCAAATACCCGGCCTTGTTTGGGTCAGGGACATGATGTCTCTCATGACCCTTTCCTGGTTTAAACGACAAATTCCGTCACCTCCAAATACCCGACCCTCTTTTAGGGCATGATGTCAACGCTGACAAAACAGAAGGTACTTGCCATGGAACAAACACGTCGTTCCAATAGACATACCAACTAACATCAGCGGTTCTTCGGAGGTCACATGGGCATTTGGGCACATGTTAAAATTGGGGCTCCTTCCCAAACTGGGTGTGCTCCTTTGGTTTCCCGTTCAACCGCCTAAAAGGCAGCAGCCTCAAAAAAGCCACGAGCCACTTGAATTCGGATCGATCCAAGCGGCATGGCCGAGCCAGCCACCGGCCACTTCGGGCACCCAGACGTAGCCCACCGGGGCCAAGAGGCGCACGTTGACCAGCTGACCATCGCTGCTGGGGGTCAGCGGATAGATGGTCAAGACCTGCGGATTTCCCAGTTCCCGGGTTGGGGCTGGTCAGTTCCCAGTTCCCGGGTTGGAGGTGGGTTGTCAACCCACCAGCTTGGAGAGAAAGAGGGAGTGGGTCTGCCTAACTAAAACTGAACTGAGCGCGCTGTGAAGATTTAGATAGGCCTTATTATACTCCAATGAAACCAGGTGGCTGGGAGGGCAACAAATCCCAGACCCCCAGTGGATTTCCAATGAAAAGCGGGCACTCCTTGTTTGTCGGTTATATAGTTTTATAGTGACACCCCTTCAAAAAAACGACTTGGGGCCAGAACCACAAGCCAAAGGGTCTGATGAGGCCGATCCGTTAGAACCTGCCGGGAGCTTCACCTCACCCACTGATCCTAGGTCCTCCAGTAGAGAGGTTAGAATAAGTTGGTACCCGAATTTGTTGTTTTGTTCTTTCTTTTTTTCTGTAGTTTATTTTAGTAGGGCAACCCTCCCCCAAAAAAGAAACGGTAAAAGGGCACTACTGGGGACTACACTGATCTTCACAAAAAGCCTTGAAGTCCACGAACGAGTCGGAAAGTGCGCCATCTCCGCATATTCAACTACACCCGGAAAGGGGCTCCTGAACCGGAAAAGAGAACTCCGACTCCAACCTCAGCGTCTGCCCATATGTCGTGAACCTCAAAACGTACAAAAAGTTCAAACCAGACCCCAGATACCACTTCCAAACTCCAAAACCACCACGTGATTCAAAGCTTTGCCAAAGCGTCCTTCCCACATTGATTGCTAAGGCGCCGTGCTCATATCGAAGACCACGCTCGGCAGCAGGAGATTTGTCCCGAAGTCCAAGGACAGAGGCGTCTTGAAGTAATCTTCGTAGATGCCCCAACTTCGGTCCTTGAACAGGGGGGTCTTTTTGCCACCTTTTGCGGGAAAATGATCGACCCCCTCAAAGTGAAGGATTCCTTCTTGAGGGAGTCGCCAATTTTCTCACGAAAGGTGGCAGAAAGACACCCCTGTCCTCGAACACCACACCCAGGAGTCATGTTCAAATAGTGAGTAAACCAGTTAAGCAATTGGTAGAATTTTCGCATGGACACATACCCCCGAATTTAAGGGGGGGGGGGGGGGCGGGACGATTGGTCCAATTGACAATTTATCTAGTCCCCATGACAAAGGGGGAAAATGGATTGCCTTAAATGGAGTTGCAGGGGTTCTTTCTTCCAATTTCATGTTCAAGGGATTGTCCCAAACTAACCTTCGCTTACCCCGGTTTGAACTACTCATCTGAAGTACAAACGATTCATGTTATGTCGTTCTTAAAACACTTTGTACATGTTACATTGTTTTGCGCATATTGTACATTCCATTACATTAACCAAAAAAAAAGTTTCCTTCCGCTGCAACAACATGCTTTTTTTTTGGGGGGGGGGACCCCTATTTTGGAGATCTGTGTTTGGCCAAGCTGGCAATGTGTGCATCAACCTCGCGCCAAATTCGATTGTTTCAACAACCGCTTTTGGTGTCCCCAAGCTAAACAAAATTGACAAGCTCCAGCTCGATCACTTGTTCCAAAGTTGCAAAACATGTTTGCCCAGATAGCTGAAAGCTATACCTGGGTCTTCCATTTGGTCACTTTTTGGGGCTCTGGGCATTTTTTTTGCTCATTTCAGATTTTGAGCGGAAAACTAAAAATGAGCGGAAGTCTTGAATTGGCATGATTTGGCAAGGCGTCTCCCGGAAAATGAGCGGAAATCGGCGGGAAATGAGCGGAAATCGGCGGGAAATGAGCGGAAATGTGCGGACACGCACCAGAACCACTTTCCAATTGAGCATTTTCTTTCGAATTGAGCGTTGTTGGATGAAATGAGCGTTATTTTTGCTCGAAACGGGAAAATCCAGAAAAAAGTGCCCACGGAAGACCCAGGTATAGGATTCTTACTTCTGATGTAGAGGGGGTTGGTGAACAAAATGGGTGATGGCAAAGGAGGGTGTTGTTTGGGGTGCTGTTGCCAAGAAGTGAAAACTCCGACCTGCTTTTGGCCCCCCGCTTGGCACCGCAATGGATCCATGTGTTGGAGTAGAGCCTGCTCGCAGGGGGAGCCATTGCAGCCTCGTGCCCCAAGCATCCATTGGAGGTGTCTGGATCTCCGTTGGAAGGTCTAAGACTTCAAACATGGCCCTTCAAAGGAGTTTTCAAGATTCTCAGGGTGACAATTCTCTGCGTTGGACAATCGAACCAAAAAGGGGATGGTGGACAAGGCTCCAGCGCTTCCCTTGGCTTTGCTTGTTGACTGTAGACTCATCTTCCCATGGCTGGGCTCAAGGGGACACCCGGAACTGGTGGCTTTCCCTTTGGCTCCTTTTACCCAAGAGGGTACCTCACTTCCGATTGAGACTGGCAACAAAAAGTAACCAAACTTCTTGTTTGCCACTAAACTGGTCTTCCCACACCGTTATCAGTCCATGAACTCAGGGAGTGAGCAATCTACTTTCCAAAACAACACATCCACCCAGCTCCCTGAGCTCTGGGTCAGAACCGGCGAGGCGCATAGAAGCTCTGCGGCAGCGTGTCGATCCGCGCGGAGTTGAACTGAATCGTGTACTTCGAGCCGTCGACCTCCGCGGGAGATGGCTGGGGGGGGGGGGCGGGGGGGCGGGAATGCTCCACTGACCTCTTGTAGGTAGAGGAATCGGTGGTTTGGAGGTGTTCAAAAGGCTGAGGGTGGGATTGCACCTGACAGGGGGTTCAAATCCCAACAATGCAAACCACCAGTTTAGGGTAAGCCGGTTGTAACCATGGGACCCTCGTTGGTTCAGAAAAGTAATCCATCGAAAGGAACCGGATCCCGATGCTTGGAGAAAGGTTGAGGTTCATGTCTTCCATTGGCAGTGCCCCCTCCAAATACCCGGCCAAAATCGTGACGGTGCGATGTCAAGCCCGGAAAAACGGGAGAACGTTGGTATGAAAGCTCGGGAATCTCCACACGTATCCTACAACAAACAGGTATTTGGAGGTGACGTGGGTGCGCAGGCCACAGCTCAAGAAGGAAGCTCGTCTCAAAGGGGCACGAACATGTCCACGCTCGGTGAACAAAACACATGGACCAGAAAACAAGCTCTCTGGCCGAGAATTGGACATGAATCTCCGCCAGCGGTAAGAGATCAAACAGGTCGCACCTTTTCGGAACAGTTGTGTGGGAAGCTAAAAGGACTCCAACCAGGATGTGAAAGAAGACAACCAACAGGCAAGCCTTTGGCTTCGGAGACCTGCGAAATGGCACTCCAGTATCCTTTTGTAGCATACCTTGCAAAACTCCGGGCTTGTCGTAACAAACACCTCCTTTTCAGTGAATTGACAAATCATATTTTCCCTTAAAGAAGGTCCGGTGCTTGGAGATTTGCGGGATGTCAGGACAAAAGACTCATGAGAGCACCCCTCGCCCCTCCCCTCCCCCCCTTCCCCCCGGTAAGGCATGCCACTTGGGCCAAGGCGCCATGTAGCCTTCCGGACTCTGCACCCAAAGTCGCCAGTCCTCATGATGCTCCGCCATCCAAGTGTCTGCGTTGCGGACGCGGATCTGGAACCCGTAGTACCTGTCGACTAGACCCGACGCGCCTCCAAACACTTCCAAATACCGACTTCCGATGGAGTGGACTGGCCAAACAAAGGCAACAAAACTTATTGCTTGCCACTCAAATTGAGCTCCCAAAAAGCTCAAAGTCCAGGAACTCAGCGAGTGAGCCAATGATTGGAAGAACCGACTGAGTGTTCCTCGAAACGGCGCAGCCCAAAACGGCTTTGTATGCCGAGGGGCTTGCTGGCGATGAGGGTCCGCCCCACCCTGACCTTGGCGCGAGTGAAGTCTTGCGTGGCCGGGGGCGACAGCACCGAGCGCTTCCAGTTGTCCGTGGTACAATTCCTCAGCTGCTCTGCTACGGTCGTGATCGACCTGTGGCTTCAATAAAATAGAAATCGGGTAGGGACTGAGGCGGTAGACCTTTTGTGTGGGTATAGATTGTAGACGTCATCCTTCGGCACATTTCATCGTGTGTTTACCCTGGGTTGCCTTTGGGAAATAAAGTTACTGGAGTTCAAAATTTCCTGGGACTTCCTTTGCAGGCCATGTTTGAGGTCCAAAACCTTTCAATCAAAATTTAGGCCCCTCCACCCTCGGGTCCGATGATGCGTCGGGTTTTGAACAAGTGTTTTTGTTGATCTTCTACTTTAACCAAAGGAAGACAACATCTGAAGAGAACCAGTTTGAAGCTTTGGGCGTTTGGACAAGTCAGGCCGTCAGGCCGAGAACAAAAAACACCTCTCCAAATACCCCGGAAACCTTTATAGGCCCACATCTGGGGCACGCAGAAGTACATGTTCTTCCAATTCTGCTTCTCATAAAGTACAAAATAGTCCTGGAGGAGATCCCAACCCCTAACCAAAGAAAGTATTTACCATGGAAAAACCGCTTGGTCCAGTGCACCAGAACAAAAATGGTATTTGGAGTAGGGGTGTTGGATTCCCAGCCAGTGCTAGGCAAACCTCTGTAACCCAGTAATAGATTCCCTTTAAAACCAACCGGGAAAAACGGAAATGAAAGTTTCCTGTCACCCAGAGTGAAAGCTTCCCATAAATTGGGAAATCATGGGGGCTGGGGGGGAGGGAGGGGGGGGGGGGAAGCCCCAACCCAAATAACTTATTAAGGGCTTAATAAGGCTTATTTGGGCTCCCCCCCCCCTCCCTCCCCTCCCAGCCCCCATGAGGAAAGGGCCAAGGGAAACACAAGAACCACCAACCAGTTTGGTTCGCCTCTTTTTGGTCGAAGATTTGTAGCTTGGAGGCTTGGAGCCACCCCTCCTTTTTGGCCAACTGGTTTCTCTACCCTTCTGACGCCTCGGGGGCTAACAAAGACCTTCTGGGCTTTGACTGTTTGTTGCTCGGAGCAACCCTGCCGTGTTGGGTTCAAATGGGGAACCAAAAGGAAACCCAGCATTTTGCAACTTCCACTGGATTTCCGTTTCCAACTCGGGCCCCAGAGTGCCTTCAACAAAAAGAAGGCACTTAAGTGGTTTTGCCCGGCCACATGTGCGCCCAACAAATGTGAGGGGTTTGCTTTTGGCTTCCGTTTGAACCGGTGTCATCTCACCAAAACACACCCAAAGTAGTTCTCGAGAATTGCAAGGGTGTTTTTGCCAAAACATTGGGGATCCGCCATGAAACGAGGTAAGCCGGGGATTGCACGGGGATCGCCCGCCTATCTCTACACAGCTTTGAAAAGACAACCCCACAATCAAAAATAACCTCAAAACATACCACCCTATTGATCTTGGGACCTCAAGGCCATGTTTGACATAGCCCTATGGAAATCCATGCTTTTGGGGCAACTCAAACATTTCCAATACATATATTGTATACCAAATAACCATAGAGCACACATAATACATTTCTTTCTGAAACTGGCTTCTAGGGGAACGCTCAGATTGCTCCCCATATGAAACAGTTTCCATCGAGGCACACGGAGCCTAAAGGGCTGGTGAGCGCGTCGGGGCCCATGACGCTCTCGCCCCAAGGGAGCCCTGAAACCGCGGAAAACGAATCCATTGGGTGTCGCTCGAAATACGGGAACTCCCCTTTGGCTTCCTTTGAAAACACTCAAAAACAAGATGCCCTCAAAAAGGATTCTCAAAATAGGGGAACTCTCAAAAAGGATGGTTTCCCTTTGGTTTTCCTTTGAAGCACTCAAACAAGGGTTCCCTCAAAAACGACGCTCCATGGGTGGTCAAAAAATTGGAATCGGCAGCCTAAAACAGCCAGTTTCCTTTTGGATTCCAAAAAAACAACCACATGTCACATAAGCAAAGGAGGGGCAACCATTTTGAGAACCCTCAGATGGGTGGGTTCCTCAAATCGTTGGTTTTCCTTACCTTGCAAAGTGCTCCCAACAGACACACCATTTGCCCATTGTATGAAGTTTAATAGGGCACCTGGACACAACACTTACGAGATTCATGTCCACCACTTTGGAGGTTCCCTATTAACACTAATAGCAATGTGCTTGGTTGACGTTGAAGGGGAGCAAAAATTCAAATTTTAGCAGCTAAGCGGGGATTTCCCACTAAACCACAATAAGCAAAAATGTAAAATGTTTCCCAACAACAACCATGTGTGGGTGCGTCTCTCCAAACAAATCCTTGGATGGTTTCAGTTTGAAGTGGAAACCAAAAGGAAACACACCAGCTGAAGAGGTCCCGGATTTTGAGAAACGCCCCACATAGACCGGGACCAAGGAAAAGAATTGGAAAGAAAAATGGTGGGTTGCCTGCTACATTGGTGATGCTGGTTCGTAGTCACCGTTCAACGGCAAACCTACCCCCACAACACCCAAACGCCGAGCAAAAACAGGTGGTATTTACCATGGGCAGCCAGAGCTTGCCTAGTATACCCTTAAACAACGGGCAGTTGGAGTAAAGGGTGGGATTGAAATCTGTCCTTGGTTTATCATTTCTGTCAAGGGCGCAAACAACTCACGCTGCTGGAGGGGCATCCAAGCAAACTTTTTACAAAGAACAATGAACGGCGATGGCTCCAAAATTTCAGGGGCGACCATCTCATTTCATGGGGCGTGGGCTTAAAACAGCAGGAGCAACAAAGATGACCATGCTAATCCCATAAATCCCCCAAACATGCCCGAAAATGAAACAAACCCTACATTAAAACTGTGGCGTCCTGTACTAGGATTGGAGGACTTCTAGCCACGGAGGAAGGGTGGGACGTGTCCGTGGGTACCCTTCCTTCCTCCTGCCTCCAAACTTCCCTCCTTGTTTGTTGCTTTATGGTGTTGTTTTTCTGCTGTATTTACTACTAAGGTGACCAAAGGAAGGGGGGAGGACGGGTCCGTGGGTGAGGTGGCCCATGGCCCTTCCTGCCTCAGGCCTCCCTGTCTTCCCTGGTTCGCTTCGTTTTTTTTTTTTTGGGGGGGGGGGGGGGGGTTTGATGTGCTACCAAGGCCGCCGGGGGTGGAGGGTCCGTGGGTGAGGTGGCTCACGGCCTTTCCTCTCTCCTGCCTTCCTGCTCCTTCCGTTGGTTTTTGGGTCGTGTTTGTTTGCCTTGATTGAAGTCCTTTTCGAACAACCACTGCACTTTGACCTGTCCAGCAGCTAGAGATGCGGGAAAAGGCGAGATGGCCCGCGAGTCGAGTTTTTTTCCCCCGGTGTATTAGCCTGGCTGCTGACTTGAAATGATGATCATTGACTGATGGCAAGAGTTCGGACAACAATGTAGCTTCTAAACGGAGGGCGTGTCTTTCAGGCTCGCAGCGTGGTCTCACTTTATAGCCCGCACTTGGGGATGAACTCTTCTTCGTTTCGCAGTTCGCACCGTGATTGCGGCTCATCAAGGGGCCGCCGGGAGCGCAGGAGGGAGAGATCTAGGAGCCGGTCGGATTCGCGAAGAAAGGAGCCCAGCCCAGTTCTTCAACCTGAGTTGTCGGTCGAGGATGTCTTGAACACGGTAAGGGATGTCTGTGACCAGCTGGAGGACTGTGCTGACACAATAGGTCCCAAGGACGCAATCGTGGCCCTCAACAGGACCCTCAAGGCGATATCTCAGGAGGGACCTGAAACACCTCCACCGACAAAGAAGGACGGGGAGCTCACGCCGCACTTCACGAGAAGAGAAGTGGACGAAGCCCAAAAGGCTGTCCAAAGGTGCAAGTCCCTAGTAGAGGACGCCTTCAAACAAGTTGCCGCAGGCAAGGCAGCGGGAGCAGCGACGCAGCTAACCTTAACCTTCGACCACCCGCCCAAGAACGCCAAGAACGTGGCGATGCGCGTCAAGACCATGTTCAACTCGAATCCAGAAGTGCTCGTGGAATTCTTGGTTGAAGAAGCCGGGCAGACTTGGTCGAAGCCATCTCCGAGCACGTGGTACGCGGAAAAGGGTGGCGACAACAGGAAGATTGTGTTCAGGATCCATGTTCCCGCCAGGGCCACCTACAAGAAACCTTCTAAGATGAGCCTCCAGTACCAGGTGGAGACACGCGCTCTGACGGTCCAGAGCACCAGGATTAACCTCCTTGAGTACGCCCCAGTCCTCGTTGCCGCCGGTCGGGCACGCCGCTCCCCTCCAGTCCACTGGTCTTGATATCAACGTCATGAAGTACCTCCCAAGGGCTTGATTGACCAGTTTGATCGAGCCAACGCTGCTGCTGCAAAAGGAAAGGCGGATTGAGTGCTGAAAACAAGACTTTTCGTTGTTTGCGTTTGGTTGCAAGGGCCGCCCTTTGCCCTCCGTTTTGAAAGCTGACCTTTTTCGCCTGTTTAGGCTGGGGGGAGTTGGGATTGAGACTGTCTCTTTTGTCGCAGCTCCAGGGCGCAAGGTCTAGCGTGAATGGATATTTCAAAGGAGACTTTTCTGCTATGGTGCAATGAAGACTCTCTTGCGCGGGCCTGTGAGCAACTTGGATTTCTGCTTTCGCAGGATTTGCCGGGGCCCCCGGATGAGTCACCAAAGTGGAGGCAATGGAGGGCTTTGAGCCTGCGTAGGGACATAAGAGCACTGCTTGCAGCCCAGCCTGCCCACGGGCTGCAGGATGTGCCTGTGTCCCTCGCTGGGTTCTCGGCCTTCGACGCTTTCCTCCACCGGGCGTTAAGGACTTGCGAAAGGCGCATGGCCCGCCTTGCAAACAAATTGCCGCTTAACATGGCTTACGGGCCGTGGGAAGGGGGTCTTAATGCCAGCGAAGCCCCTCCCGACTCCGACGCAGCAGTGCTGCCCCGCTCCCTTGCTTGTATTAACGCTCGGGGGTGCTTGGCCACTGCCCAAGGAACTGAGGCAAACCATTTGCTGATCATTAAGCTAGTTGCTGAACTGCACGGCCGTGGGGTTGTGCTTGCATGTGTGTCGGAACCACGACTTCCTCCAGGAACCATTTGGCCTGACCAAACCGGTTACACCTTTGTGGGTGAGAAAAGTTCCTCGCAGACAACAGTGGCGGCGCTCGTACTCCACGAAGCCGCCACCACAATCGTCCCTGTTCCTAACCTTGGGGACGAGCGCAGCATTTGGCTAGAGTGGCCGGGCCACAGGAATGCCCCTGGTCGACGAGTGGGAGGGAACTGCTTAGTCCTTTGTGTTTACGCGCCACATGCAGGATACCCCGTTGCTGTCCGTCGGGCTTTTTGGCAGGAAAGACGCACCGAATGCTCCCACCTGAGAAACTTACCTAGGTACGACGGTTGGGAGGTGGTTGTTCTTGGAGATTTCAACGCTCATTTTTCCTTCTTGACAAGTGCAAACGCCAGAGTGGAAACTAAGTTTGACAGAGACCTGCTGGCATGGCTTTCGGACCCGCTGACTTTCAATTGCAGAATCCACAACCCCCAAGGAGTGCCAACCCATATTTCAGGTACTGCAATTGACGTGGTTGCAGGTCCTAAGTTGTGGCAGGTAGCGGTGCAAGTCATTGAAGCAGGAGTCTTGTTCCGTTCGGACCACGCGGTGCTGTTCTGCGATTTGCCTGGCACAACAGAACTTTTCTGCAAACAAAATGTTGGCGGATCTTGCTGGGACCCTTCGTGTGACTGGAGCGGTATTGTTGAGCTGGCCGACAAGGCGCTGAAGTTTATCACAGGGTTTGCTGCAACTGCAATGCGCGAGCCTCTCTTGAGACAGTGGGTTGAGTTGGGGCGACGGAGGGGAACTAGGCAGGCCTTACTCGACCGCGCTGTCTGGTACAGGGCTGTCGTCTTTGACTTGGCTGGACATTTTAGCGGTTTTGCTCTTACCCGGCCGCCTAGAGGAACAGGTCGTCGGATCAGCGACAAGAAGCAACTGCTGGCTTTGCTTCCAGAGGACCCAGGTGCGAGGAGGCCTGGCTTACTTCTCTCATCCAGCCTAAAAAGGCGATTGTGACCGCTTTCTTGGATCCAGAGGGGCAAAAACTGGGACCCGCTGATATGTTGGACCTGCTAACTCAAGATGTCCTTCACCGGGCAGATGGTGTAGCAAGCGCTGACAACAGCTTCCATCAAAAAGTTCGTGACGAGGTCCGGAGAGCCAGGCAGAGAGCTCAAAGAAACACACGGGCTGAAGTTGATGACCCCTTTTCCGCCCAGGAAATTAAAGCTGTTTTGAACGAGGAACGATGTTCCAAGAGGTCATTGCACTTCCCACGCGCAGCGGTTGTTGCTGACAATGAACTCCTCTTCCTTTTGACTTGGGCCTTGACCAACTTGGCCGCTACCCTCGGACTAGTGCCTGCGCTGTGGTGGAGGGAGCTTACCCCCATCAGGAAGGAGGGGCCAGAGGTTGTGAATGATCCTGCCAAGCTTCGCCCAATTGGGTACACTGACGAGCTGGCAGGAGTTTTTGATGCCCTGTGGCTCCGTCAGGCTCGTCCATGCCTTGAGCAGTTCATGGGCAAGGACAGGCTGGTGGAAGGTTAGCTTCTACTTTAATTGCGGTCGGGGTGCTCATTGCCCTTCAGCTTCGCCGCAACCTTGAGCTGCCTACCTTCCTGGAGAAAGTTGACTTGTTGCAGGGTTTTGACCTCGCCTGGAGAGATGGCATTAGGAGCTGCCTCGTGGAAGCAGGGCTTACTGGGAGGCTCTGGCTTGCGGCCGACGCAGCTCTGGAGACTGACAGGGTCCGAGAGTAGGCCCTCTCGTTGGGTCTCTTGTTGAGCTGACGGAATTTGGCATTGGGCAGGGTAAGCGTGCTGCGGTCCACCTTTTTGGCATTCTTGTCTCTAACTTGGCGCTGGAACTCAGGAAGGTCTCTGGGGGGATAGGTCTGAATGTGCCAAGGCCGCTTTGCAGAGCTTGTCAGTTTGTCACATATGCAGATGAGCATGAGGATCAGAGCACCTCATCTTCTTGTGAGCCCTCCAGACTGGCAACCTTTCTTTCAAGGTGCCACAGTGAGGAAGAAATGGCGCGGCACCTTGGAAAATTGTCCTTTGCTGACAGAATGTCAGTACTTGACTGCTCTGCTCAGCATCGGATTCTCTTGACGCAATTTGTGGATGACGCCTTTGTGTTTCATTCCTCGCTTGCTGGGCTGCTGAAAGGAAATCGTGCACTTGAATCCTTTGCTGAATCTTGGAAACACATGTTCAAGGGTGGCAAGAAAAGGGCCGCAGTTCTGGCGGCCGGGGCAGCAACACCCGCCGCTGAGGCTTTAGGAACTTTACAAGGTGAACAGGTCAGACCTGCGCAGGCGATAACAGTGCTCGGACCTACCTTGGACACGGCATTGTCCTTATCGCCCCAGCTTGAACTTGTTTGTTGCCGTGTGCAAACACTAACGCAGCAGCTAGGAGCTGCCCTGTGGGGACTTGGCTTTGGCATGCCGCAATTGGTTGCCCAATTCTCTAGCAGGGTTGAACCGGCCGTGCTTCATGGCGCTGAGATTTTGGCAAGCCATGTCCTGGGCTTCCCCTACGTTTGTAAACGCATTAATCAGGCCCAGTACCAGGCTTTCAAAGCGCTTCTTTCTGCAGGGCGGGACTTCTCTTTAGGTGCAAGCGGGCAGGCAAAGCTGTTTGCTTCTCTTGGGGTCCAACTCAGGTTAGGAACGCGCCTAGGAATGCGAATTTGCATGACAAGGGCGCGGCTCCTAAGTCTGCAGAGTGGGCACCCAGTGGAGGCCGCCCTTGAGGCAGCCCCTGCTGTGACGGGCGCAACGTGGCTGGATCATGCTAGGCTCATTGAGGCAGAGTTTTCAGTGGCTCCTGGGTGGGAGGTTTTTGCAAACGCACATCCGGCCCCACACTCTGCAAAAGAGGCAAAGCGCTTACAGGCCAAATGGAAGTTGTCTGTGCTTGGGCCCGCAGTGAAGGGTTTTGAGGCGGCTTGGTTTCAGAGGGAACTTGTGGGCGCTGGACTAAGTCAAGCTTGCTTAGGAGGGCCTGAGTTACAATGGGCGCCTTGGTCAAGACTCAGGTGGAAGTTCCACAGGGCTTGGCTCTTGTGCCGATTGACTTCAAGCCTGCCCCTCACCCTGTCGGGACTCAACTCTGATGTAGAGCAGCTTGCGTCCTGCCCACTTTGCTTCGCGTCGGCAGTTGACTTTCATCACTGCCTCTACGAGTGCTCGGCCACATCTGTTTTGGCTATGGAATCTGGACTGCTGCTTGAAGAGGTTACTGACTGCTTGAACCCAGTTGGTCTGGACGAAGTAGTAGCTGCAAGGGTTTTGTTCACCGGTAAGGTTTGTAATGCTTTTGCTGGGGCACTCAGAAGGTAAGAAAAAGTGGCCTTGGACTCGCTGCTGCCTTCTTTTTTTTTTTTGGGGGGGGGGGTCTTCTTTTTCTTGTACGAACAGAGACGCCCCCTGCATGCTGGCCCGTGGGCCTTCGGACAGTGGCACTCATGCAGGGTGTCTGCCGGGGGTTGAAGCGGGCTGCCCCCTCAGACCCGCTACCGACCTTTGAGCGGGGAGGGGACCCTGCGGGGCCTCAAACCCCAACAGCGCAATCTCGCGCTGGTTGACTTGAACACAAGACACAAGACACAAGTACTAGGATTGGAGGACTTCTAGCCACGGTTGTATCAATGATCCCCACTTGGATGTTGGGCCAAGTTAGTGAGTAGCTAGCCACCTGTGTTAAAAACCCACCTATGGGTTTCATAGGTGGAGTTAACCCAAGGTTGCAAACAACTTACTAAGTCAGCCGAACACAAGTACCAACCCCAAGGTAGGTTCTTTGACCACAGGGAAACTACGATGGAGAGTGCTTTTGCAATGACCCAGGATAAATCAACCTGGCGGATAAACAAAATGTGGCTCCCCTCAAAAGTGATCCGGATTCTCTAAATGGCACCAATTGTTATACTCATCCACCATGGTGTTTGCTTGGTGGGTTCCTATACATATTTAACCTCTTGGAGAAATGGCCAATCTAAACCAGTGGAACCATCCATCTCTAACCATAATAACCTAAGAACACCTATGCTCCCATTCCCTGGCGCAGAATCCGCCTTGCCAGTCATAGTAGTAGAAGTCCTCCAGCGGCAGCACCTGACGCTCGGCCCAACAAGCCGTGCGACGCTTGGCCGTGCTAATCCAGTCAAACCCTTGCGGCTGGAAGGAACAAGTCGCAACCATATCCCGCGGGCTTGACGAAAATGGACCGCCGGGAAGTCCTGCGGCTTTGTTGTTGACTCCCGGGGTTGGTGTTCTTTTGAGTTGTCTTCAATAAGGGAACCCCGAAAATGCTGGGCGTCGTTTCTCGCTAGAATGTGAGCAACCACGCAAAGGCGGCACTTTTTTCAAGAGAGCCCCACAAGGAAAGCGATCTCCTTGCTAATCCCCACCCGGACCCAAACCGTTGCGTTTGAGCTCAAGAACACAGAACTCGAGACTAAAGGTCTTCCTCCCCCCCCAAAGGAAAAACAAAACAAGTTATTTGGCTGTGGCTCAAAAAATCGGCACCAACATGGATTGCCCTGGTATATAAGTGGAAACAAAGGCCAAAACCTGCGTAACCCCTCCTGTTTAAATTTGAGCCACACCCATTTTGCAACAACGGCCAATTTGGAACTGCTGCGCACCATGTGGGAATCCTTGTGGCTGTCTAAGCCACAATTCAACAGATCCACGACCGTCCCCACGAAAGGTCGTTCGACCATGGCACATCTAACGGTTTTCATGGGACACTTTTCGAGGTTGAAGCTAAACAACTGGGCGCTAAACAATAAACCTTTGTGAAGTTGGAAACAACAAGAAAAGAAATTGTCCATCCCCTGTTGGATTCCCTTTGGGCAAATTTACATCCCAAGGGACGCTGCAATTGTCGGTGAAGTCGAAGCCATCTGGTGCATCCAGCAGGATGTAGGAGTAGGCAGGCATTGCGTGGATGGCCTTGCCATGATAGGTGGCCCTAATCATGACACAAGGGTATGTGTCAAACCAGGGCGGACGCCAAAACTAGTGGTGCTCCTTTGGGTTGCGCTTTGAAACCCCAACTCTTACCCTCAAAAAACACCCAACCACAAAGAGTGCATAAACGTGCATAAAGCGTAGGCAAAAGGGTACAAGAAGGGTACATCAAGGCTACGCACAAGGGCACACAACCCTAGCAGGGCGGACTCCAGCGCTACCCAGTGGCACGCTGGGCTCTTAGCCTTTGCACCAACACGGTCCGTAGATCTCGTCACTCTCAAGGGAAGCCCATGGAAACTTTCAACTGGGACCAAACCTGATTCCCCAATGGAGCAATTGGCATCTACCCTGAATATAAAATTGTCTTGGAGGAGACCCCAGCTACAATTGCCCCTTGCAGCCTTGCAATATCGGTTCTTTCACACGAGCGGATCACTGCATCTTGTCTCCAGGTTGGCTGACGTTTGGCTTTAACCCCCATGATGAATCAAGCAACACCTCTCGCTTTCGATCGAGTGGATTGGTCGGAATAGTCCGGAATCTTTGTTGACCACCAAATCTCGGTTGCTTTCTGCTCCCCTGCTAAGAGTTTAACTTTTAGTGGTTTGACGGAAAACCCATTAGTTGCAAAAAGGTCAAGTCCTAATCATTCTCCGCTGAGTCACAATAAAAGAAAGCTATCTTCCCAAGTGAAGCCCACTGACTGAAGCACGAGCTTTGTAAGGCCACCTGAACCAGGCCTGGGGCCCTTCGATTTCCTTGGGTTGAAACCGCCTGGGGTCAGCAAAGCCCAAAAGGGAAAGTGCTTCGTTGGGTTACAACCCCCCCACCCTTTTGGGAAGGAACGCCTTAGAGGGACCAGTGTCTTTATATTAGTTGGGAGACAACCTTGCTTTGGGAAAAGACAACGAGCCAGAAGTGGAAGTGCCCTTTTGGTAGGGTTTCACCGGGTCCGCCCCAACAGAGATGTCCAATCGCTCGCCTCGAAGAACACGCTCAAATAGTTCTCCGCCCCTGCAGAGAGGTTGGAGGGCTGCAGGGACTCTCCCTCCAGGGGCGTGAGAACCGCCAAGTTGCCTGGCGCCAAAAATTTTGTCCAACCCGAGCCCTGGGCCGGGGGAACTCACAGAAATCTTTGGGTCAGAAAGCAGATCTTTGAAACCACCAAGCGAAATTTTCTCGGGATCCAGGCATGTTTGGGGTGAGAGTGAAGTACGGGGGCTGGACTTCACAGTGGAGAAGGGTCCTTTGTTGGTTGAACATGCTTTGTGTTCAGGCTGCTGTTTCATTTTGACCATACCTTGGACAAGTCTGCGCTGAGCTTTCGGGGGTAACCCCGAGGTCTTCGCCCCTCAGCAAAAGGGTGGATCACTTTTCCTGACCCTCCAAAAGGTCCAAGGCCCATGCGTCCTGTGCACGCAAAGAGACGTGACACCCACAGGAAGGCAGCGGGGGAAGGCTCGTGGGCCTTTGGCCTCCAAAGAACTGCATCGAAAGGTCCCGAAGCGAAAAACGGGTGGCTCTCTGGAAAACGAACAAGCCCGGAAGTCCACAAATCGGGGCTTGAGTTTTTGAAACATCTCTACTCTTGGTATGGTAGCAAAAAACTTTGATTTTTGCAGACCCCCAGTAAAAATGAACAGAACCAACAAACTAAAAACACAAAAAAACATGCCAAGAACAGCAAAGTGAGGTACTCTTGCTGGCTTGTGCAAAGGCAAGGGTCTCTGCACTTCACATGTTTGGTGGGAGAGCAAATCGTCGGTAACATCCTCATCACACAGTACAAGGACCCCAGGGAAGGACCCCCTGGTGTGCACATTGCCCACCTCCTGCCTCTCGTAGGTTCCCTTTTGGTTCCCACGTCCCACGTTGCTCCGAGCTCACACTTGGCCCAAAAGATCTATCTCGCGATCCCGCCCGGCTGTCCCATAAACACTGAAGGGAGGGTTTGCAGCACAACCTCTGCAAAGTGGTCAATTCCCCGAACCAAGGTGGCGGAATAGACTCTATGTGTCCACCTTGAAGGCCCCACAACTTTTGGGTCACCCTGAACGGGTTCCAAGAAATGGGTCCTAAGATGCCACACTCATCATTGTCCTTGGGTGTATCTGATCGGAACACGTGGGATCCTCTGAGGGAATGTGGGAATGAACTTCGCAGTGCCCTTAAAGGAAACCACCAGTTGGATGGCTTATAGGGGTCATTCCCTCATTCCCTGCTAAGCACCGGCAAAATAAATGACTTTGATTGAACTACTAAACATGAAGTTTGCTTTGACTCCATATTCGTCTGGGGAGTCACTCCAGCCGAACCCCGCGCCTGCCCAACCAGGGTATGCTGCTTCCTGGCCAAAAGGTCAATCGGATTGTCCGCGAGAAGAGGTACAGCGAATTTACTTTCCTACTCCTGCAGATTAACCTGGACCCCCCCCCAAAAAAAAAAAAACTGTTTTTTCCTTTTTCGAGGGATCCCCTTTTGGTGCCCCCGTTTAAAGGCTCCATCTTCGTCGTTCGGGGGGGACGGTCCCATGTTTAGCGCAGGCACGTCCCAGGCCTTCGAGGTCCAGAACCCTTGCTTCGGGCACCCCGAATCGAGGCCGGACTGTTTTTTTGTTTTTCTCAACAGCCCCATCTTTTTGGGGGGGGTAATTCATACCCAAAAGATTCATCGACCTGATGGCCAGCCGCAAAAAGTCATCGGGAGACCTCAAAGGTTTCAGTCATCCTGGGTTCCCTGCCCTTCATTCGAATGCCTCGAATGCCTTGAACGTGCCTTGCCCAATGCCCATGCTTCATTCAAATGACGCCTCTTTCCGCGATATCCGCGAAACCTTGACGGGAACTGGGCCCCTCCATGAATCAACCAGGTTGACCAATCGCCCTGCCTCCTTCCCTTTCGCAATGCCCCCCAAAAAAAACGGGGCGGAAAAACCCGACATGAGTCAATTTACCCGCCAGGAACAAACAACAAAAATGGGGCAATGCACCCCAAAACTCGGTCAATGCCCCCCAAAATTGCAGGTCATGCCCAACTAGGTCCTCCAGTAGAGGTTAGAATAAGGGTACCCTTTTTGCCGTAGTCTTTTTTAGTAGGGAACCAATTCTCCCCAAAAAAAGAATCGGTCAATGGGCTAGCCAATGCAAACACCACGCATCTCGGCTTGCGCCTCTTCCAGGGAAATAAAGTTCACCAACTCCCCCAGCAGCGTGTTGTTGGCCCCGGCGATGCGGATGCGCCACACGTTCGCCAGGTCACTCCGCAGCAACGCCTGGCTCCAGATCCGCAAGTTGTTTTCAGGGCGGCCAGTCCAAAAACGCACGGCGGGAGGGAACATTTTGACGGGAAATGGTGGACATCAGAATTCGGTGGGGATAAGGTCCAGCAACTACTTCTGTTTCTAGGGAAACGGGTGGACATCTGAACTAGGCGGGGACGAAAAGGTCCACCAACCACCTTTTGAGGTGTTTCCGAGTTTCCAACGCTTGAAATCCGTTCGGAGTTCGCCGTGCTGGTTTCCTTTTGGCTTCCGTTTGGTTTTCCTTCGAAACCACCCCAGAATTGTCCAAAACACCAAGCTTCCCCTCTCAAACATCCCCCCGCTCCAAGTCGCAAAATGTGATCTTGAAAGCCAGCAAGAAGGAACATTTGTACATGGAACCCTGGCTGCCGATGCGTGTTGTGCTTTTTTGTTTCTCTGTTCTCGTTTTGAAAGAAGATACCTGCAGCCACTGCAGGGCTGCAGGGACTAACATGGGGATGATTGGCTCCATACATGTTTCCCCGGGCTTTCATTTTTGATTCAAAATGAACGGCCGATTTAGCACCCAGTCCCATGCAAAAAATGGGCTCGTGACTCACGCACTTCTAGACACTCCTGGGACAAGCAACAACAAACCTTAGAACCTCCAAAAAACTGTTTAAGCACATCTTCACATATGGAAACTCAATCAACATGGCTTGGTCAACCTTAAACCCAAAACCTAGGATATGTACGTGTTTATCTATGTCATTTGCTTAAGCCCCCTGGAGACCATGAACATATTTCCAGTAGCTATAGATTTCCCTTGAAACCAACAGGGGAAAATAATGATTAAAAACACAAAGCGCAAATTGGAAACTTTGCTCATCATTGTAGCCGAGTGCAAAGATGTCTCAAATGTCCGCAAGTTTGATCCAGACTCAAGCACTCAGACACGCCTCGCGTGGGTTCACGGAACCCCTCCCCATTTTCGGGTTCCGAAGCTTCGCCTGAACTTCATCTTAAGTACACAACAACAAATTGAGTACCTGGATCCTCAAACGACCCATATCATAAGAAAGGGTCATTGTGATCAATACCCGCTTTTCTTGTAGTTGGAGGGTCCAGGTGTTTCAGATTCACACTCATATTTAGCCTACCCCCAAGAAGATGAAAAGAAACGTTTTGGAGGACAGTCGAAACCCGGCAACCCCTCCCATGCTCGTCATTTCTCTCCGGTGACGAGCAAGAGACTCCCCCGCCTCTCGTGGGTTGTTCACGGAGAGGCGCACATAGAAGATCTGCCGCGCGAAGACGCTCGCGGAGTTCTGCAAAGTGAAGGTGCACACAGGGCCATCTGCGGACCAGGCGCCTGGCCGTTCTGGCGCTTTCAAGTTCAAGGTAGAATTGGTCAACTCCTGGCTACAGGAGACATGTATGATAAAACACAGGTTTTCCTGAATATACCCTGAAGACTCGAGTATTCGGACATATCCGAACATTACCCCCAAATTGTTGGTTTCCTTTTGGCGTGGAACTGGTCATGTCTTAACCTCCATTTGCTTAAGCCCCCCTGCAAAACGGTAACCATCTTTCCAGTTATAGCATCCCCTTTCAAACCAACAGGGGGAAAAACATAGTCTGAAACGCAAATGGAAGAGGTGGGCGGTGACCAAAATTAGAAGGACACTTTGTCACTATATGGGGCTGCAAACCATTCTGACCCGCAAGACTAGGTTTGTGGCTCAATCCGAGGGTTTATGTAGGTAACCTCCAGGTTTGACATGGTTCCGATTGGCTACAAGCTGGAAGCACTGGGCTCAACTGAAAGCGTCAAATTCGTTCGTTGGACTTGCTGACTCCCTTGCAGTAAGACGTCCTCACATCGCCAAATTCGGTGGTTTGAAGCAGAACCCCCCGAAGTACATTTGAGAGAACCGGCACCCGCTGCACGGGACCCAGGGCACAACTTGCCCCACATCTGGGGTCCACAGAGTTGCTCAGATTCTGTTTCATAAACAAAATGCAAAACCATGCTAACCTCGGAATATTCCGGGGCACCCAACTCATCGCAGGCCCAAAATCGCCGAACTGAAAAGGGGCCCGGGGTCCTACGCTCCGGCCAGATTCTCGGCTTCTCCGAACAAGATCGTGTGATTTGGGAGGCCTTCAGAACCGAGAACTCCGAAAAACGAAAACAATCTCCTGAGAGCACCGTGCCCATGGGGTTGTCCACGTAGCCGTCGGTGTTCAAATCCCGCACGAAGATGTCCGAGGAGTTGTCCGGGTCCGCGGTGCCGTTGCCCACCACTCCTCAGAGAGAGAGAGGGGAGAGAAGTGGCACTCCAAAGCATCACCCGCTTGTTTTTTGTTGGGGGGGGGGAGGGGGGTATGTATGCATCGGAAAAAAGAACAACAACACAAAACAAAACAAAACGCAGGGTAAACACCAAGGGTTTGACATCATACTCTATCATAAACGGAAAGAGTGGGTAGAGTGGGTATTGGGTGCATGGGGTACGTTGCTCCACAGCCCCCGAACGAGCGAAAGGTCGATCATATTATGTAGGCTTAATGAAAAACCAACTGGTTTGCAAAAGGACTAATTCACAACAACGACTAATTCAGAACCTCACCCTGCACATTTTCTCAAGAGGCCCCACCTCGACTCCTTCTTGGTTGAACGGTTTTACGGAGTCCAGAGTTTTGAACACCGATTGTGACCCAATACCCTCCTTTCAACTATCATGGAAACGGACCAGAGGCCTGCTATCGGCTTCCATGGTTTGCACCCGAATCGGTGTTCGGGGGTCTCCTGTTTACCCTCTACAAGAACCCCGCGGTCACACGCCAAACCACCAACTCAACTACCAAGTAAGGTTTTCGTGATACATTGGGTGCACCCTTCAGAGCCTTCACTTGGGACCCTACAGTGTCTTCTTCTAGGCAACCGTTTTAACTTCCCTTCGCTTAAGCCCCTGGAACAACAACTTTCCAGTAGTGATAGTTTCCTGTAAAACCAACAGGGGGAAATAAAAAAGCCAATGGAAGTCAAAGGGAACCCCTGCCAAGCAAAAAACAACAAAAATGGTACCACTGCGCAACCGGGACTCTGCAGGTGTAGTCAGGCGGCAGCAAAATTTGCACCACCGGCCGCGGGACGTACTGCAACACCTCCTCGGTTTCCTCAAGCGAACAAGGGACGAAAGCGCGAGACCGGCGATTGCACTTACTTCCTGAGTGGGCTGGCCAAACACAGTAGCGGACTTTTTGCTTGTCACTAAAAAAAAATGGTCTTCTCGAAAAGTGACTCACGTTCGAAACAGAACTCAGGGAGTGAGTCCACTTCCCAGAGTAGGTAAGCTACAGGGATCGAAAATCCGTACGATCACTTTTGACTCCCCTTTGGGTAAATTGAACATTGTGGTTGCTATTTAGCACCAAGCACCCTTTGAAAGTCAAAACAGCAGCTCCCAAAACCCATAGAGTTTGGCTTCTACCAACCTGGTTCTATGTTTACATAGGCCATACTATAACCCCCCATTGTACAAACAAACAAAAAACAGGTCGTAGAACCAGCTAAAATGGCCGACGGCGATTTGGTGCGCTGCTAAGAGCAAATGTCTGGCTACTGGCAAAAAGATGCCAATCCACGAAACAGGGGCGACGTGGACGACACCTCGACCGAATTCTTCGACTCCGCTTTTTTCTGCGCCGAAGCGAAGTGGGAGCGGCGCGGACCCGAAGGATTTGCCAAGACCTGCGACTTTGGCTCCGATTCTACCTGTGGAAAGGAAGGATTGGATGAGAAGTAGCTACCACGCGGGTTATACAATCTTGTCTGTGAGAAAAATGTGTATATGTATATATATACAGACATGTATGGCCGGGTTTTTTTGGTGGACAGCAATTACGTGGGGATTGATGTTCACCACCCACCCTAAAAGGGTTCCTCTTTGAAATGCGCAGCCATATGCCATCCCGCTAAAAACAACTGGGTGTGGCTGTTTTGAGGCTACACCTTTTGTGAGGTGAAACCAAAAGGAAAACCACAATGTTGGGGTCCTCCAAAAACAAACGCACCCATGTACCAAAAACAAGTGCCAATCCTCTTTTTCCCATGGTCACTGGCAGCCCTGCTTTCCTGAGCTCACCTTTTAAGACGATTTCAAGATATAGTTTTTGGAGGAACTGTGGATGGACGAAATCCCAGTCGGTAAGTGGCTTTTCCAAGTTGATCCCAGTATTCATATGGTTTCATCCATCTCCACTGGTGGAGTTTGTCCTTCCGCTGTATGGGTGCACCACCAATATAGGCTTGAAACGCAGTATTGCCCCTTTGCGTAAGTGGCTTATACCCTTCATACCTCCGACATCCGTACTTGTTGCGAACACGTGTGTGTGTGTGCGTGTCGAAATGTTGCGAACATCCGTGTCTGTGTGTCTGTGTGTCTGTGTGTCTGTGTGTCTGTGTGTCTGTGTGTCTGTGTGTCTGTGTGTCTGTGTGTCTGTGTGTCTGTGTGTCTGTGTGTCTGTGTGTCTGTGTGTCTGTGTGTCTGTGTGTCTGTGTGTCTGTGTGTCTGTGTGTCTGTGTGTCTGTGTGTCTGTGTGTCTGTGTGTCTGTGTGTCTGTGTGTCTGTGTGTCTGTGTGTCTGTGTGTCTGTCTGTGTGTCTGTGTGTCTGTGTGTCTGTGTGTCTGTGTGTCTGTGTGTGTGTGTCTGTGTGTCTGTGTGTCTGTGTGTCTGTGTGTCTGTGTGTCTGTGTGTCTGTGTGTCTGTGTGTCTGTGTGTCTGTGTGTCTGTGTGTCTGTGTGTCTGTGTGTGTGTCTGTGTGTCTGTGTGTCTGTGTCTGTGTGTCTGTGTGTCTGTGTGTCTGTGTGTCTGTGTGTCTGTGTGTCTGTGTGTCTGTGTGTCTGTGTGTCTGTGTGTCTGTGTGTCTGTGTGTCTGTGTGTCTGTGTGTCTGTGTGTCTGTGTGTCTGTGTGTCTGTGTGTCTGTGTGTGTGTGCGTTTCCTACTCATCAATAAGAAGTTTTACTTGTCGCACAGGGGGCACGCTAAGTGAAACCAAAGGCCAATCACCATTTTTGCAGGAATCAAAAGCATAGCTGTCCATCCCCCAAACCTCAGGGAGGATATGGGTGTTGCTCAAAACTCAGCTGGGGTTACGCAGGTTTTAGTCTTTGGTTCAATTTACCAAGCGGACCATTTGGGTACAATTTTTAAGGGGCAGCCATATGAACCCCGAGAAAGCTTTCACCGGGCGTCGTTGAACTCTTCGGCCGGCAAAAGCTCATCCACGGCCGGGCTCGAAAGTGTGACACCCACCTGGATGCGGACAATGAGGATGTTCTGGCGCTCAAAGATGAAAGGCCTCCAAACCGAGAAGCTGCCTGGTCCCCTGCTCCAAATACTCGATTTATTTTAAGGGTATCTGTTGGAAAACCTTGTTGTTTCCCTTGAAGGGAAACCGAAAGGAAGATGTGTTTGGTCAGCCCTCAGAATCTTGGGCCCTCAAAACGGCCAGTGTTGAAATCTGAAACCGTGCAATGGAGATCCAGACGTCGGCAATGGAGGGTCCTTTCCGATGCTGAGGGCAGAATTTTAAGATGCTTTAAAGTTGCTCGTGGTCCAGGGCTGACTGAAAGCGTCAAACTTCCGGCGTTGGACTTACTGGGCCGATTTGAGTAAGACATACAAGTCAGCATCCAAGTTCTGACCAGACATAGACCGGGACCCTGCACAAACGGTTTGCAACTTGTTGCTGATTGAAAGGTAAAATGGAGGACATGCAAGGCAAACAGAGAAAAGGCAAGCCCTCTGCCTGGCAACATAATTGTGGTTTGAAGGGACCAAAATCAAAAGAACAACTAATGCACACACTGGATGTGACCCCCTAGCTTGGCTCAACTCCACGCAGATAATCTGTCAGATTCAGTTTCATATTTAGTCAACAAAAAAGCATAACTTTGGAGGATATTTCGTGTTTCCTCTTGGTGTCCCTTTCAAGCTAACCAAGAAGAGGTCCGACTCCTTTCACGTCTCTGATAACATATGGTGTACCCGAAATGCCTTGAAGATGTCGGGTTTCCTTTGAGCTTCCCATCCGAACTTCCGCCCAAAAACCGGCCACCGGCTTTTGAAAAAAAAAAAAACGCCCGCGGTCGCCTGGGCCCGTTCCCCGTCTGCCCGTCCATGACGATGCGCCCGGTGGTGGTGCCCGGCAGGGGTGTGCGCTTGAAGCTCGGCACCACCACCGCCTCCCGGGGGAAGGAGACATCTCGGTCCTCAGAGCAAGAGCTCGACCCGGATCCGAAGACTTGGGGCGGTCGCCTGGAACTTTCTGGTGAGGAAGAGGCGCTTTTTGTTTCCCCGCCCACCAATTTGGGGGGGGTCTTTGTTCAGGGTACCTAAACCCTAAACCCTTTCTTGGGTTGGTGTTAAGGGAAACCAAGAGAGACCTTGCACTTTTGGGTACATGTGGGTATGTCTTCTTGAGTCGAAGGCTGCCAACCAGTTGGGGCTTTACAGGGAAACCCCCAAAAAAGTTGGGTCCCGGCTCCCCCAACAGACACACCCATGTTTACTTTTCCCACCAAGAACGGTAAGGATTGGATGCAAATGAATTATTGTTAGTTGATTACTCCTCGGCAGCAACAAGCGCCCAAACCCAAGCGTAGCTGATCAGTTGGTTTGGCAATATCGACGGAAGGTCACCACCTGATATATGTCACTTTCGGCGCTAGTTGCCAGTCGAACCTCACTTGCTCAAAGGGCCCTCTACCGTAAAGGCTTTACCTTTTGGAACTTTGACTAAACAATAGACCAAACGGGAAAAAACGCAGATCAACATCTCAATTCACTTTGGACAGGTGAGGGACTGAGAAAGGCCGAGATTCAGATTGGTGCTGGGGCTGTTCACAGGCTGGTAAAGGTCCGGTTTCCCACGATTGGGTTCTTGGATCGGTTGGATAGAAGCAGCTCCTTCCACCGATGCTACGTTTGGTCCAACCACTGTGGTTTATTCATCGCCCTCTTCTCGCTCAAGTTTTTGGCACCCACTAGGTGGACGGGCAAAGACACAAGGCCAATGCGGGTATGGGTCGAAATAGGGGGACACCCCCAGAAATGGGTTGCTGTCCTTCTCGTTTCCCCCAAAAAACAAGGTGAACAAGACAGCCCCCAAAAACACCCATGTATGGATGGCAAACCTCGTCAACGCTGGGATCTTTAACCTGTAAACTTGTCGGGGTGTGTTTTCCCACTAACCACAAACTGGTTGTAACTTTATGTCCAGCAACAGCCAGATAGGATGTGCAAGATGGCTTTGTGTTTGCTTCATGCGTCTAATTCATTTGACACGACACGGTTTCGTCATGTTCATAGGTAAAAGGGCAGTGATTTCACTGAGCATGCTCCGTGAAGGGACTAACAAGCCCAACTGTTACAAACCAACTTGAAGTACTAGAACACATCCACCTTTGGAAGTGCCATGAAAAATGCTTCCCTGCCAAAAGGCATCTCTACAATTGCTAAGCTGCGGAGCACAAGTTGGACACTCACAGGGCTGCACGGAGTGAGGCCGACTCCCCGCTTCGGACGCCCAAATCAGCCCCGCCCACTCGCCGGGTCGCCAGGTACTGCGCCAGCATCTGCATGGTGAAGAAGCCCTCCTGGAGGGACGGCTGATAAGGGTCCCAGGGAAACGGATGTGATTACGCCAATCAGACATTGATGAAGTAGCAAAAAGAACGCCATAACATGCTGTTCATAATATCATTAATGATACATAAGAAACATGACAATGAAACAACGGATGAGATGAGTAAGAATGTGTGTTCTTGTTGCGAGTACCGTTCAACTTGGCGTTTTTTAGGAAACCAACAGGAAACCACCGTGGGTGCCCCATTTTTTTGACACATCACGTGGCAAAGGCCAGCTGCACACATGAAACTTAGTGTTGGTTTGTGGGGAAGCACATATGTTCAACAAACAAGTCTTCAGGGTTCAAGATCCCCATACATGGATCTAAGTGTCGCTCTTTGTGGGTGGGCTCAGTAAGTGGATTAGCCAAAGAGCCAAGCAGCAATAATGTACTTCACATGTCCCTGAGGAGGAGGGGCAGGCGTAATTGCAGGCCTACTCAAGTCTTCCCAAGAGGGTTCTGTTTGATGCGCCCACATCTGTACACAGCAAATCATATGTTGCTTCTGTTTCACATTTCTGCTTCTAATCACGGCTCCACGTTTTGACGACTTGTTTTGGGGGGAATGAACCAGCAGTCACAAAGTGGAACCCTGATGCTAAATATTAAACGGTTTTGGAGGAGACCCTGGTTGTTTTTTGTGTGTTTTTTTTCTTTTTCCGTGGCGACCTTGAGATTCGCCTGCCAGTTTTCCACCTCCCTCAAAGAAGGCGCTCTTTGGAGGTTCCGGGGATTGAACCACATGTTCACACAGGTTCCACAAGAGGCTGAGCATTTGGATGCGAATTCCAGTCGGGACCCTCTGGTGGACATTGTTTCTGGGGATTGGTTTGTGTCCACCAACCATTTCAATTTGTGTAGTTCATCAAAATGTATAGCCATTCGGAGATTTGTGGGGTCATGGTCTTGAAGTGTTCTGGTGAGAACAAACACCATCAAACACCCCTCTTCGTTTGAAAAACCACCCCGCGACATCTGCAAACCCCCAATCCAAACCATCAATGGGAGTCCGGGAGGGACGCATACTTGACTTTTGACGTGTGTTTTTTTCGCGGGCTCCCTTTTTTGCCGTGACTTCCAAAGACACCAAAACCTCCCATTGCTTAAGCCCCCTGCAAAACAACACATTTCCAGTGGTGATCGTTTCTCTAAACCAGGGACAACTAAACATATGGCTGTGGGTCAAAAGCCGATACCCCCAGTGAACATCCCAATCCCCACTAAAATAGACTAAAACGGGTGGTGCACCTACCCAAACATGGTACCATGGGTGTTGACACACGGCCATATGTGTGCGGCTCAAAACTTAGGAGCCAGTGGACCGCAGGTCTGGGTCTACGTTTCTATTTACCGGGGTTCCTCTTTGGGCCCTCGGTTTTTGTGCCGCACATAGGATACATATGGTGGCTCAAAATTAAGCAGGAGGGGTTACGCAGGTTTTGGTCCATGTTTCCACTTACCAGCGTTCCATTTTGGTTCCGGTTTTCTGAGCCGCAGCCATATATCATTGAGCAAACTGTTTTCATGGTTGTCTCAACCCTCAGACAGGGCTCCCGAGAAGAAACCTTTTTTAAACATCCCCACATCATCCACATAAAGCCAAAAGGATTAATAGACCCAGGGTTCGCAGGGGTATCCCATTTTAGACCGACCCCTTGTTTGGGGAACCCCCGCTTAATCCGCCAGGAAGCCCACTTTCAACTGGCCACAGTTTCTGTGAAAAGGTGATGACTAAACCAACCCAAAGTGGAAATATCAGGAAAACCCACCCATTTCTTGGGCCTTTCAAAGCGCACAAATATGTCGAACCCTGTCAGGTTGAAACAAACAAATCGGGTTGAGACGCTTTTGGCGCTCCTCTGGTAGCCTGAGCTCTGTGATCTCCAACAGGTGTGCCTCTGAGGCGCGAGTGCTCGGGATCTCGTCCATGAGGGAGGGGTAGGACAAGGACAAAGTGTTCCTGGCCATGCTTCGTGTAGGAAAAGCCAGGTACCCCTTGGTGGGTCCCCTGGTATCTCTGAGGTATCCCCCTGCTATCCCTCGCTTTTTCTGGGGTATCCCCCTGGTGGCCCCCTGGTGGCCCCCTGGCATCCCCCTGGTAAAATGTGGTGTTTACCTTGGATTCTTGGTTTGGGGATGAGAGAATTTGGACATTAGGCGTGTTGCTTACCAGGCTTCCCTTTGGCTTGACAGGAATGGGAGGGGGTTAGGGTGTGGGGGGAGAGTTGGATACTAGGGGATTTGGATGTTATGATCTTACCCTTCCTGCCCACACAAATGGGGAACAGAAAAGATAGATTGCCAGGTGTTTGTCTCATGTTTCGTCTACCCAAAAAGCAAACCAGTTTTGGAGGAGAACCCATAATTAGAGTAACCAAACAATTTCTTTGTTGGGAGGGTTGCCTTGGCAAATGGAACACCCACACCGTATAACTTATACCCAAGCCTCCTTTCCATTTCACACCGGTTCTCCGGTCTCCGGATGACCCCAAAGTTGTCATCTCCCAGTGCTTCCAGCATCATTTATAGTAAGGGACCAGCGGAACCATCATGGAACAGCTAGAGGTAGAAGACCCTGAATACTTACCATAGTTGCAATTAAAGCTTTGGCATCTTGCCAGGTTGCTGATACCTTCCCTCCCTTGTCAACCGCAAATTCGAAGCAGGTGCTAAACTGCTCGTTTGTCTTTGAACCGACACGACAAAAGACAAACGACAAAAGTTCTTCGAACACTCTTTTAGTTCCTTTCGACATGCGCGTGCGCGTGTGTGTGTGTGTGCTTTTTGTTGAGGGTAGACTGTCTGTGGTTGCTCTAACTGGAATTCATATTGAAGCCACCCGTTTGGGAGGCAACCCCAAGTCGGTTGCAATGCCTGCCTCTGCATGGGAATGACATTCTCGAAAGGAGTACGGACCATGGGCCGGATGGCGCAGTCCGCGAACTCTCCTGACAGTCTGCAGTCCGCGAACTCTCTGACGGGCTTCCTCAAAGGCTACTCCCTACTCCTAATACGGCTATGAATTTTAATAGGGAACGCCCTGAAAAGTGGTTGGTGGACATACAGTAAATCCCCACCCGAATGATGTCCACCATTTCGGTCCCTAATTAAAATTCATAGCCATATCTTCTGGTTTTGAATGCACATTTGGAAGACACTGGTTGTTCATTGTAAATTCATCTGGGGATGTCAAGATGACATCACACACAAAAGAGGGTGTCTGGAGTCCGGGAGGCATAGTTGGTCCAGAACAAAAGATACCACCAAAACCCGAAGTGGCCATAGCCATGGAACAACAGACACCCTTGCTTTGATAATTGCTTTTTAGAAATGGGGTCCGCCCCCTCCAAACAAAGGTGAAAACAACGGAGACCCAGAACATGTTGCTTATAGAAATGAGATGTTGACATATCTTCTATAAATAATTGGAGTTCTCCAGTCAAGGCGCATCCAAACTGGACACTGCGAAATGCCTCTAGAAAACGGTTGCTTCTCTAAGAATCTTGGGACCTCCTTGAAAGGCCATTTCTTGAGACCCAAAGACTTCCAAGCCAGATCCAGACCCCTATGGAGGGAACAGGTGAGAGTTGGCAGCTCCTGGAGAAGACTCTGCTGGACAAATTCGTCGGACTGAGTGAATGAACACATGGCTCATACATCTGATCATCTGAGATGCTACTGTGGATGGACAAAATCCTGCACCACCTAAGAAACCATGGAATGATGAATCCCCTGTAAATACCGATACACAATGGTTTCCCATGGTTTCCAAGTGGTGCAGGATTTCGTCCATTCACAGTATCACCAACAAGACTGGGTTCTTTTTCCATCTGGCGGAGTAGAAGCAGACGGCTTCGCTTCCTACATGTCCTCACTTCCGATCGAGTAGATTGGCCCAAGGAAGAGACCTCTTGTTGGTTGATCCACCGACATGACCTTCCCCAAAAAGCGTAAAAGTTCACTATCTGGGAGTGAGACCCACAACCCCCGTGCGCATGTGGAAGATGTTTTAACCAAAGTGGACCCATGTCAGCCCCTCAAGAACAACTCTACAAGTGCCAACAGCTTAGATTGATCCGCTCAGAGTCCCAAGCTTGTTGGTTGCCACTACAGTGGCCCAACCCCAGCACAGCTTCATGTCCAGAAACTCAGGGAGCCGGGGAGAGGCCATGAACCGGAAAGGATGACGCAGCGAAGAGCCAAGGAAGCGCTCGTTTTACTCACGAATTGGTGAGCAGCATTGGATGACAGCCCTTCTATTCAAAGCAATCAACGGATTCTAGGAACATTGGGGGAGAATAAACCATCTGTTTTTGCACTTCACCTTTTGGTCCAAGGGGGATGTACTTCCCAGCCCTTCAGTGGTTGCAATTGAATTGTCCCTTTTTGGCGGGGTTTCCTTTAAGATAAACCTGCCAGCCAAACAGAGTGCCGATTCCTGTCCCATGAAAATCCACTGGGCATTCCCTGCTAAACGTTTAGCTTTAGTGGGTTAAATGAAAACTACCACCAAACCCTAAAAGCCTAAAAAGCTAAGGGGATGGCTGGGAGCCACCAAGCAAAATGTTCAATCTCCAGGAACTCGCAAGATGAAGGGAAACCTCACTGGCTTGTGGTTCGTTGATCCCTTGCTGAAAGTTCACATCGATAAAAAGGGATATGTCATAAACTCAACTCGTCTACGTCAGGGCTCCCTATATTTCCCCTTGAAACATCACCCTCACCAAGGGACGCTCCCCTTTCATGGGCCAAAAAGGTGATGTTCAACAGCACCAAAAGGGGAAATGTAGGGACCCCTGTAAGTGGCCGGGGAAACCCGAGGAAACACGACAAAACTCAAGAAAACCCGAGGAAATCCCGAGGAAACCCGAGCAAACCCGAGGAATCCAGACAAATCCCGCGAGAACCGCCAACTGCCTTGCCTTTTTTTCTTCGTTTCGACTCTCCGATCGGATGCCTCCGCGGCCGTCGCTACAGGAGAGGCCCGGCGCGGGGATGCAAATGGCGCGGCCTCAGCCCGCTCGAGCAGCTCGGTGGCGCCTGGTTCTCAGCTGCCCAAAGGACACAGGATTTCTTCGACTCAGCTGTTGGGGCTACAAATGGCTGCCCAAACAAGTGGGAAGATGGCACCTTGGTGAATGGAACCAAAGACTAAAATCCGTGTCACCCCAGCTCTTCGATTTTGAGCCATACCCAAATGGACCATGGGAAAACCAGGTCAAAAGCTCGACTCGCTTTGGTCAAGCGAGCTTTTTGCGGCGAAGGGTGCCCTCTTTGTAACGTGTTTTTGGGAGCAAAGCCATGCATATAGCTTATAGCTTCCCTGTAAACCAAGCCTCAAAAGCCAGCACCGTGGCCAGTTTGGTGAGGCCCCCCGAGCTTTTGCTTGGGGTAGTTTAGTGCTTCTCCCATGTCCCTCCCAAAAAGAACCCATAGACTGCTGGGAGTTTTGAGCCAACCTCATATACGGGTAAGTGACCAAACAGGTTACCCCACAAGATGGTAGCGGTCCTATTGAATTTCCCTTGTATTTAACCAGCCCAAAATGGGCACCATATGGATTTGCCTCAATAGGTACCGTCAAAGACACACCCGAATGAGCAGAGCCCGAAACCCATTGGTCGTTGGTTCTACTGACACGGCTGTTCAGGTCAAATCGACTTTTACTAGAACCCCAATTACAACAGGTAGTGGAATCACCTAATAAATGGCCACTGGGGCGTTGGGGCGTAGCTCGCATGATGTCGACCAGCGATTGTCAAGCTTTCAAAAGGAAAATAGAGAGGTGATCTGAACTCTCTTAGGACCCCTGACAAACGAGGAGGGTTGAGATGTTTTACCCTTTTGACTTGCGAAGATCGCCCCTGTCCAAACCAAGCACCCCCGATCGAATGGAGGAATCTCGATGAGTTGCTATGGGTGTCTCTCAAAATGGACCTCCCTTTTCGTTGGTATCAAAAGGGAAACCAACAGGAACCAACAAGTTGAAGGGCACCGATTCCTATTTTGCGGGAAAAACAAAAACATATTCGGACGCCCAAGAAAACCCTGAATCAGCTTCCCTCCAATTCGTGGTTTGGATTGGTCTGTGTCCAAACCACCAATTGAGCAGCACAGGCCATTGACTCTTGGTTCTACTAAGATTCTCAGTTTCGTATCAAAGTTTATATCCTCACTAGAACCGAACTACACCAATGGCGCCAATCTTTGTGGGACTCGGCTTCGACGGTGCTGCAACCCTTTTTTTGTTCCGGGAAAACCTACTAGGTCCTCCAGGAGAGAGGTTAGAATAAGGGTACCCGATTTTCTTTTTCTCTGCAGTCGATTTTAGTAGGGGAACCCTCCCAACCAAAAAAGAAACCATCAAAGGGCACGTAGCTGGGGGACCTAGCGCCTACGACGTCTTCGAGCGCAAATCGCTCGACATGAGCCCCGAGGGCTCGGCAGAAGGCTGCGGCGGAGATGTCCCAGAGCGTGAAGGGGCGGAAGAAGATGTTGAGCTGGCCTCAAGCTGGTGGAGCGCTTTCCCTGTCAGAACCTGCAAAACAAAGGAAGCCGGTTTAGGCTTGTTGGTTTGGAAAGCAGAAAAAAAGGGTGTTGCTGGGGGCGCGTATGGGGGCGTAGATAGGTGGGTGGATGGAGATGGATGGATGGGCTGGAGCACTTTCCTTGTCCAAAGGACTTGCCAAACAAAAATGTTACGAATTGGGGCCATGACTAGGGGTGAAATATGGGAAAACCAGCCGGTTGTTTTTGGCTTGAACAACCTTTTAAAAAACACAGGGTGTTTCTGGGGGCAAGTATGGGTGTCTAGATAGGTGGGTGGATGGATTGATGGGAGGGAGGGATGGATGGATGGATGGATGGATGGATGCATGCATGGATGGATGGATGGATGGATGGATGGATGGAGATGGGGTGGAGCACTTGCCTTGTCCAAAGGCCCTGCCAAACAAAAAGGTGAACGAAACTGGGGCAATGACTATCAGTGGAACATGGGAAACCCGATCTGAAGCGAATTATCCCCTTCTTCAAATCACCAACACGCGTGTTAATAAGTTATGACCTTCAAAAGGTCCCCTCGGATGTTATGGCCTTCAACAGATGTGGATCCCCTTATTTGTCAGGACCTGGAAAAGAGGCGATCACCTTTTCGATGCCATGACTAAATGTGGAACATGGGAAATCCGGCCTGAAGCGAATCATCCCCTTCTTCAAGGTCCCCTACTTATCAGGACCTGCAACTACAAGGTGATCACCTTTTGGGCCCATGGCTAAAAGTGGAGCAAGATGGGAAAATCAGAAGGTCAATCTTTTGTGTGTGCGTGTGTGCGCGTGTGTGTGTGTGTGGCTTTTCGGGGATACCCTTTGGGGGCGGATTCAATTGGAACCTGAAACCACAGCACAGTGGGTGCACAAACAATGAGATTGTCAGAATTATGTTTCATAGTTACATCTTGTTTCGGTGTGTTAGTCTTGGCGTCGGAGACCCCTGATATTTTGGGGATTGGCCTTTGTGCGGCTGCGGGACGTGCGGGACGCGCGGGACGTGCGGGATGTGCGGGACGTGCGGGATTCCCGGGGCGCGGGACGCCCAGATGCCCGGGACGTGCGGGACGTGCGGGACGCCCGGGACGCGCAGGACTTGGGAGACATGCCGGACAAGCGGGAAACGCGGGACGTCCGGGGCCTGAGACGCTGCGGCCCGGGACAGGACACAGTGACAGGCAGTCAGTATGAGCAGCAGCCGCCAAGGCCAGGATCTTTTGACCTGAGACGCAGCGTGTTTGTTGATACAAAACTTCGCGGGGCTAGTGGCAACTTCTCGCATTGGGCGACTCAGATGGCGTCATCTGCAACCTCATCCTTTTCCGCCTTTCGCTTCTTCTCTGGCTTTCCGAGCTCGAGCTCCGTGGAAAACTTTCGCAGGCTAACCTGGCAAAGGTCCACGAGCATGTTGTGAAACTCGATGCGCGGCCTCTGCTTCCGGAATGGCGCTGAAGCATAGGCGGCACTGATTGGTGCCCTTGCCGGACAACTTGCCAATGGGGTACTTCTGAAGGGCTGCCTCGACCACTTGTTCCCAATTCTCCTTTGGCACGCCAATCTTTTTTTCTTGCCATGAGGCTGGACCTCAACTTTGCGGAGGCTTAGCAGCACGGTACGCCGCATGATTTCCTTGTTGGACAGGAAGGAGGGCGGGGACTGCACAGTGGCCCCTTGTGGGCCATAGCCGATCTTCATGAACTTGTCGATCGCCTTGCCCCCCAAACACTCTTTGACTGCCGGCAGTTCGCCAGGCCCTGGCATTTCCGGCTTGGCAGCACCCGGCTGCGGCGGGGAAGGCTCCATATGCTTGGGCAAGCGGACAGCTGTGCTCGCGGAAGCCTGAAACAGAGGGGTGGGGGGAGGGACCACACCATCTTGCTCTGATATGCTCCAGAAGTTGCGCATGTCGTGAAGCAACCGAAGTAGACGCCAAGCTCTCAAGACATGCTCCTTCTGCACCACCACCTTCACACGGGAAACGTGTGTAAATCCGCTTGTTGCTCTTGCGCGGGTTGCTTTCTTACAACAAGACCGGAGCATGTCGAATGATCTAGACGCACTTCTACTTCCCAAAGCCAACCCTTTCTGCAAACCCAGTGGCAAGTGGCAAATACTGAGCGGGTCTCACCATCCCGCCTCCCTGTGCAAGCATTTGCCACTTGCGAAAATCAGCACCATTCCTGGAGAACCATTTGGCTATATTTCCTGGGTCGTTGGTCGTTTGGGCAACTGGCCGTGAAAAAAGGCTATGGCCGTGAAACCGCAGCAGCACGCTGAATGGCCGTGAAAAAGTGAAAAGGCCGTAAAAAACACGTGAATGGCCGTGAAAAACGGGCCGAAACCGTGAAAAAACGTGAAGTGCAAGCAGTGGCCGTGAAAAAAGGCAATGGCCGTGAAAACCGAATTTCATGGTAAAACGGGCCGAAACCGTGAAACAACGTGAAGTGCAAGCAGTGGCCGTGAAAAAAAACAATGGCCGTGAAAACTGAATTTCATGGTCCTGAGCAGAATGACCCCGTGAAAACTGGTAAAATGGTTGTGCAGGTTTGCAAACCCCAAACTGACGAAAGCAAGTGCAACATGCTTGAGCGGGTCTCACCATCCCGCCTCCCTGTGCAAGCATTTGCCACTTGCCAAGACCAGCCCCTTGCGCAAACCCAAGAAAGCAAGTTGCAAATGCTTGAGCGGGTCTCACCATTCCGCCTCCTGTGCAAGCATTTGCCACTCGCCACGCCCAGCCCTTTTTGCAAACCTGGATTCAAGGGAGCAAGTGGCAAACGTTTGAGTGGGTCTCACCATCCCGCCTCCCTGTGCAAGCATTTGCCACCTGCCAAAACCAGCCCCTTCTCCAAACCCAAGAAAGCAAGTTGCAAACGTTTGGGCGGGTCTCACCATTCCGCTTCCCTGTGCAAACACTTGCAACTTGCCAAAACCAGCCCCTGGCGCAAACTCCAAGAAAGCAAGTTTCAAATGCCTGAGCTCACCATCCCGCCTCCCTGTGCAAGCATTTGCCACTCGCAACTTGCAAAAGTCAAGAGCCAACCCTTTCGTTACCCCTGTTGGCATCACTGCTATCCCGTGCGACTTGAACCATGGCGCCTTGCCCAACAGAGGTACGACTGCGCGCCCACGAACACAAACAAACCCATGAGGACGGCAAGGATCCCCAGGTGCGGGCAAACTACACACTGCATGGCTCAGCCTTTGCAACGGCATTAGCCTTGACGTTGAGCAAGATCTGGTACCCGAGGAACGTAGCCCAGGCTTGCGCAGTTGGAGCTGCGCACACGCGGATAGCCAAGTCTGGGTCCATCTGGATGCTGTGGTTGGGCACCCGGAACTGGGCAACGCACTCACACCGGAGCTCATGTTCAGGCATGTCCTCGCATTCCATGTCGGCGGCCCTCTCCAAGCCTCGCAAGTCGAAAGCAAGCGCTCACACGTGTCATGTGTTTAGGGAAAGGCCCGCCAGCCTGAGGCAGCTCTGTCCAGATTGGCGACGATCTCCTCAAGCCCGGCCAACTGCGCAAGCTCTGGCGGGATGTCGGTCCACACAAAGCGGGGGCCGCTGACTTTTACGCTCGTGGGCACAGCCTCGTGAGGCATGACGCGAGGCGCGGTGAAGAACAAGAAGCGGTGCAATCTGGCATCCAGAAGCGCCCTGCAGCATGTCCAGGGCTGTCATGGGGTGAGCATTGCCCACCAGAGCAAAACTCACTGTCTGAGCACCTGCTCGTCCATAGGCGCCCGCACTGCGTGTAACTTTTCTGCTGCTACCACCGCTCTGAAGAAGGTTTGGCATACAATGTTCAGGACACCAGCGGTCCACGTGGGCCGCGCTGTTCAATGATGAAGTGCAGCTGCGGCTGGTCAGAAACCATCGGCCATGAAGCGCCGCATGGCAGCCATCGTCATGAACCACTTTCTTGACATCTGGAAAGCGGTCAATGATTCGGGCCACAGCAGCTGCTCTTTGTGTAAGAGACTCCCCGCCAAAGAGCTCCACGGCATCCATCACGAGCCCTTGCTCAGAGCATGTCACACGCCAACCGCCGCTTCTGCGGTTGACCCGCTTCTTCGTCTTGACAGTTCTGCATGTGACGAAGTCAGCAGCCTGAACAGCATCAACATCACCAGTGCGCTTCGAGTTCTTCAAAGACTCCACTGACTGTTGGTGCCTGGCACTCGCAATACGCGGCAGCAATGGCCAGTCAACCTTGCCGATGGAAGGCGCTGCTTGCAGCAGATCTTGCGGAGCTGCGCCCACGCAGGCAGCCCGCCTCAGCCGAATGCCACCATCACCACCTGGGCCAAAAGGCTGCTTTGTGAGCAGGCGTGCTGGCACAGTCTTGCATGAAGCACAGCGGGGTGTCTTTGATTCCGTGCACACTCACCATGAGCTCTGCGCAAGTTCTGCGGGTCATCTTCTGGTTGCCATCCAGCACCACTGCCTTGGGCGTCCCGCAGGAAGCGGCAAATGCATCGGCGACAAAAGCATCGTAGCGGTCTCGGCAAGAAGCAAGAAGCTGGCCGAAAGGCTTGCTGAGGGGGAACGGCCCGTCCGCCACACTCTGCCACTTCTTCAGCAGCTGGAGCTTGCACCAAGCCTCCGCCACCTTCTTTTTCCCCTTGTCCAGGCCGGAGCCCTCAAGATCGTGCGCTTGACTCTCTCCCCAAAACGATGCATGATGGTGGAGCAGGCACCGTGAGAATTGGTCGTGCCACTCCCAAGTCACGCCCCATGCGGGGGCCAGCATGCAAATGTCTGATCTGCTTGGAGCCTTCGCAGTGTGAGTGGCTGCCTCGGCCATCGGAGCAAAAATTGCTCCACACCCACTTGTTTCTCCGTGGACAAGCGCATGCTTGACACCTCTTGGCCTCGTGCGTGGCCCCTGTGACCCCAGCACTCCTGAGAATCTGACAAGCAACCACCGCGGCCGAAGAAAATCACGACCACACCCACAAGGAGAAGCGGCGTGCTGGTATGTCTCGTAGCCGAAGCTGCACGAATCTGTCCGGGAGCAGCCCGGCAGGATCCAAATGTTCCAGAGCCGCGCGGACATCTGATTCAGATGGCTGCAGGGCTGATTGCTGCATGGCTAGAATCTAGAACTCATTGCGGCCACCGCCTGAGGAGCCAGACTAGCACGCGAAAAGCAATGCAATTCTGTTGACAAGGTCACTGGCTGCATTCTCTGCAAAGAAACCACTAGGAAGTGAGGCTTGAAGGATGTGCGGGACATGCGGGCTGTGCGGACGTGCGGGACGTGCGGGACGTGCGGGACGTGCGGGACGCCTGGGACGTGCGGGACGTGCGGGACACCCGGGACGAGCGGGACGTACGGGACGCCCGGGACGTGCGGGACGCCTGGGACGTACGGGACGCCCGTGACGTGCTGGACGTCCGGGACGTGGCGGCTCGCCCCAATCCTCACCAAGGCCTATTCAGGATATTTTTTAGGGTTGCTGCTGTTTGACCTGATCGGCCCAAAGGTTTGAAGGGACACAGGACACCAAGCACTTTTGTCTTTCTCGGCTTTGGTTGGCTGTTTGTAGCGAAGGGAGCAACGCTGAAGCCTGCCTGAGCAAAGGGTTGTTGGACCTTTGTCGGCTTAGTGGAAAGCTAGTTGCTCCGGAAAGGTCTGGGGGGCGACTTTGGTCACACCAAAGACCAGCCCTGGCCCTGGCCCACAAAAGGAGCAACTGTGCCATAGTCAAACCTCCTTTGTGAGGGCTCTCTTGCTAAGAGTTTTGATTGTCTCACTTCCTGAGTGGACTGGTCAAAAACGTAACTCAACTTTTTGTTTGCCACCAAAATGTTCCACGAACGTCCATGAATTCAGGGAGTGAGTCGTCAGAGTGAGTTGTCTAAATTGCCGCCCCTTACATTGGCTTTATCTAGTATTCCCCATAGGGAGAATGGGTTGTCACAAATGGAATTTAATTAAAGGGGTCGAAATCCCCCCCTGCCCCAACTCCCATTTGTAAGCAGGTGAACATCTCAGACTAAACAAGAAACCACTTTTCCGAAAATCACCCGCCTCCACGCTCAATGGGCTGCGAGGCATCTTCCGACCAGGCACGTACGCCGAAGGCCAGAAACTCCTGCAACAAATTCGAGGTGCGCAGAACCACCTTGAGGAAACCACCCCCTGCCATGAGACGGTTCTGAAGGAATTCGTCTTAGAAGGGTTCGTAAAACCGGTATAAACGGAACCTAGGTTTGGTTTATAGAGGTTCTCCAAGGGTCCTACCTACAGTTTCCTTCATGGAGGTTCTTACTTGGATGTTCGGCCAAGATTCCAACAACTCGGTTTGCCCACTCATGAGGACGTATGAATGGGTTATCACCCAACAACTTGCGAACTTGGCCGAACGCCCAAGCAGAGAAACACACCAATGTAACCCAGTGCTTCCAGCTTCCCCTGTAGTAGGTAACCCTTCGGTATTTGGCAGCATGTTTTGATGAGGTTTTCCCTGTTTGCCTATTGTAATTGTAACTGAAAGCACTGGGGAAGAGAAGAAAAGACCCAGTTGGCCAACAATCCTCATGGGCTCGCAAACGCCTATGTGAATGAAGACCTCCTTTTCCCCTCTCTTCCAGTGACTTGGGACCCCCGGATAGGTTTGCCTCAACTGGACCCCAAACAGGAAGTCCCTTTAAAACAATCCAAAGCACGGTACCCTCAAAAAGAGACACACCTTGGTACGAGCACGGAACCTTGGAGGCTTCGCTAAATCTGCCTCAGGCGAAGGGTGTGGGTGCCGAAACGACAATTTACCAAGTGGTGGTCCCAAACAGGGATCCTTACATTTTACACCTGAACATTGCCTTGTAAATGGTGGAAAAAGCCATGTTTCAAATGGGCAAAATGTATCTTTTAAGGAGCCCTGCCAAACTGCCAGCGTCCATCAAGCAAATAATTGGGTTGATTGGGATTGCCGGGAGACAAGGCACTGGGATGGTTCTGGGACGAGTCGCCAAACTGCGTTCCGCAGCAACTCCATAGGTCATCCTTGTGCGATTTTGATTTGGCAGAGTGAATTGGGCTGCCATTGTTGTAGGTAAGCGCCAAGATGTTGCTGCTGCGCTTGACCGAATCCGAGAAGAACGAGCACCAAGCACATCATTGCCGTTCCTGTTGCCAAATCCAGCCCGAATCGCCATAGCGTCCAAGTCAGAAGCTCTAATTAACCCGACCACCACACTGACAGTTGTTCTATTCGTATGTGCGGCATAGGTGCAATCATTGCCAAATGTTCAAGAGGGCAAACATTAGGAGTAGGTCACTAGTTGGGTTTGGTGCAGTTCCTTTGCCTGCCTTGTTGTGATAGATAGAAGGCCCGGCCCATGTTAGGGAATAGTTGAACCACGTAGAAGAAGACTTACAGGGTTCCCTTTTTTGTATCCTGTTGGTCGTAAAACACATCCCATGTTGGGCCAAACTTTAGAGTGAATGTCTTTTATAGGGAGCCCTGCAGCAAGAACATTGGCTACCTGTGGCTTGAGGTGAACCGGGTATCCACATTCATCACCTTCTCCCCATCCGGGACTTGGGAGACCAATCTTCGGATGGGTCCATTGCCAAGCCGTTTTCACGTCGTGCCTTCCCCTGGCAGGCGACAACTTGCCACAATCGAAACCCGGGATTAAAATGGTCGACCCAGAGCCATGAAAAGAATTTACTCAGCTTCATCTACCGTTTTGGTTGTGGCTTGGGCTTCCTTGACTTGACATTCCCGGTCCAAACAGTCTGAGCTGTTTGGAGTAAACATCCCAAGGGTTACCTGACAACCCACTTTCCGGGGGGTTCCATGTAAAGCCATCTTAGCTATATGCTTGGATGTTCGGCCAGGATAGAAAGTGTTTGGCTACTCGAGCTAAAAAAAACTAACAACCGGTTTGGTTCACTCGTGGAGACTTGAGTGGGTTTTATAACCCTTGAACAATTCCACAGCCTACGTCTCCCTAATCTTCTTTGCTAGACGAGGCCGAGCATTGGACAGTTGTTGTTCACCCACTCCCAGCTACTTTTGTTCAAATTCTGATAGTTCATGATGAACGTGCCTGGATCTCCGGTCAATTCAAATGCCCAGCCTGACATAGATATTCAGAAATAATAATAACGTTCCCTCTTCATCTTCCCTCCCAAGTTACCAACAACTTCCTAACTGGTCCAAACACCCAAGTAGGGTCCCTTTGCATTCCATGGAACTCCAACATGAGGTGAGAAGGATTTAAAGCCTCTCGGGGGGAAGGTGTACACCCAAGAGAGTCAAACATGGTACTGAAATGGTCTACGCAGAACCAAAGAACTGAGGCGGCACCCATTTCTGGTTGGGATTGTCCCTTACCAACCTTTATCGAATCTACAAGGGCTTTTCTTCGCAAGTGCCTCAGGTGGTTGAGCAATTGCCTACACGGGGGTTCCTTCGCAAGTGGCTCAGGTCCCAGTTGGGAAAATTGCCAAAACCACCCTCCGACCGTCAGCTTCCACGGTACTCGGTTGCTTTCTGTTCCCCTGCTAAAAGTTTAACTTTTAATGGTTTAATGGAAAACCCATTAGTTGACAAAAAGTGAAAGTCCTAACATCCAAGCAAAATGCACCTCTTAAACAAAACCACCTGCACCTCTTAACATCCATCCTGCCAAAACGAACCTGTTGTTTACCAGCACAGTTGACACCGCCAGCACCCCCAGCATTGTTTACGTTAATACTGGTTCGCCCCAAACCCGCGCCTCGGAATTTTCGCTCATCGACGGCAGCAGCTCCAGAGCCTCTACCGAGGGTCATTCCCGAAACCCACGGGTCTGGGAGCTCCAGATCTGTGGTTCTGAGGGCATGTTTTGGGAACCCTTGACCCAAACAAATGGCATTTACCCTCCCACCAAGACATGGAAGTGCAAAACGGCCCTTTCCAAGAGGAAAGGTAGTCTTTCTACAGGGGTCTGTGCACTTCCATGTTAGCTGGTGGGGAGTAATTACCGCGAAAAGCAGCTGTTCTCCGAATTTGTCCCAAAAAAGTGCAAATTTGGAACAGGGGGCAGTCCCAAACAGCGATGTTCTAAATACCCAAACTTGGCCACATCTCAGCTTCCCTCCAGTTGGTGGTTTCGCGTTGGTGGTTTGAAAGTTGGGGGGTAGTTTCCCATTTACCCTCTACAAGAACCAGGGTTTCAAATTGGGGTACACAAACAAAGACTACGTGATCGTCTGCTGCTGATTCATATTGTGTCCCTATCACAAACAGGCCCGATGAGTTCAAGTTTGTCAAAGCCACCCCCTGGGTAACTTAGGTTGAAGGGAAACAACCAAAACCAGTTTCTGACTTTACATCCTCAGAAACACTCAAATATTATCTGAGACTGCGGGAAAGGTGGAAGCCTTTTCCGGAGTTGACTCCAAACCTGAGAATGACACGCCCGCAAAGAAGCCTCTGGCTGGATTCTGTAGGAAAAAACAGCTGGGACAACCTGAAGCCTAGCACCTTCCAAGGGAAAGCCCAACTCGACCCATTGCCCCCCATCAAACACATGTCTAACGCTGGTCGTTATGATTGTGGGCATGTGCCAAGGGGATCCCCAAAATGGTGGGGGCGCCTCTAGGTTTCTCCTTAAACCATGCTGAAAAGGGTATCCTCCGAAAACACGGAACCTTAGAATGACATTGTGCAAGAGACAGGTGTTGTTGCGCTCACACAGAGGGAACCCCCAGATTGGATGGCTTGCATTCGAAACTTGAGGACGATTCCCCCCCGCCCAAGAAGCCCTCTATTTGCAGGTTGGTGGGAAAATAATAGTGTTCCCCACAAACATGCCAAAAAAATCCCCGAGGTTGAAGATCCGTGCGAATCTACTAACAACCCAACTCGCCTCCATGGCGTGTCCGTCCAGACCGCGGGAGCTCAACTCGCCTTGGTCTTTCCACAGGTGCTCTGAGTATGTTTCATACTGTGGATGGTTGCGAATTCCATTTCGCACCACATTGAAAGTATTGGAAACCAGTGTTGGTTGGTATTTACAGGGGAATCAAATCATTCCAGGGTTTCTTAGGTGGTGCATGGAAGTAAAAGGTGATTATCGTTTAGGGCCATGACTAACAGTGCACCAACATAGCACAAAGTTCAAAAGGATGGATTTGGACAAGTGGTATTTAGTCGATCTCAAAATATGAAGTACGTGTCAAGGAGACCACTGTCACGGCATAGTATTTCCTTGTTTGTTGTGTTTTGCTTGAGTGTTGCGAGTTTGTTTTCTTGTAGTTGGTGTTGTTGTCTAAGTTTCTATGTTGCTCGTTGGCTGACCCACGGAACATGTTTCTTTGTTGAAAAATCACACATACCTGTCATCACCATGCCGGTGTGTTGCTCGTTAGCCAGCGAGTGTCCGCAAGACATGTACTGCAACTTAATATCCAGAACTTGCAAAACACCAAACAGCTCAAAACCAACTCATGGATGAAGCCCCGGGGTACACCACCTACCAACCGTTGCAGGACTTTGTCCACAGTTAAAGGTTAAGCTTCACTTGATGGTGCTCAGTAGGGAATCGGAATGCGAATGAACCCAGGGCTCCTACAAAGGACACCACAAGGCTGGTTTATGGGGATCATTCCCTTATTCCCTACTGAAAGCCAGCAAGAATAGCCGCCAAGCTGGTCCCTCGGACATTCCTCCGGTGAGTCAGCCAAGTTGCGTGCGAGGTTCAGCGGCAACAGCTCCACCCGGATCTTGGTGCTATTCACCTCCCCGGATGCGGTGTCGCACCGCCGCGGTTGGTCTCAAACTGCTACCCCAAATACACCAAATACACTAAGTTTGTTTTCCTATCTTAGTCGTCAGTTTTTTTTTTTTCCGGATGGGGGTATGATGGTCTGATTTAGGATCTGGAAAAACCCAGGCTTGAACCACTGGACGCGTATGCACCTCCGCTGGCAGCGTGGAGTCTGCAGCGTAGGCGGGGCCATACTCCAGCACGCTGTACCGAGGCCCACAGACCTACGAGGCGTCTCCAGGTTGGCCAGGGATGTGTCACAAAAAGGAGTTGGACCCCCCCAAAATGCCTTTTGTCTGCCCTGCAAGACAGCCTGACAAGGGCAGCCTCAACAAAAAAACACGGCCGGCCAGATGAGCTAGGTGCCCAAGGAAGCTAGGATGCCTGTTGGGTTCATTTAAAGCGAGTATCCCGCCATTTAAATCTCTGCTCAAGGGTTTGATTTTCTAAGTTGGCTCCCAAGGCCATTTTGTTTGATGAGGTCAGTCATAGGGCAAAGGACCGTGCCCCTCCAAACAAGGGTTGGTGCGAATCACAAGGGTAGGCAAAAGGTTCCCGGAAAGCAAAAGGTTCCTCCGGTCCCATTTCCCGACCATGATCAAAGTCACCCCCTTGGTAGGTTGACTGGAAACAGCCCCATGTTCTGACTTTGATAACCCCCCCCCCTTTCTGAACACACGGGGGGTTGGGCGGTTGGGTGCGGCGGGGAGGGGGGGAAAGGGGGGTGGGGGAGGCACCCTCTAAACCAAATCGAACAAACTTGGGATCGGTGGGGGGCGTGACCGTCTGATCAACATGTCCCAATGGGTAAGTTGTTGGATCATGCGCATACTGTATCGAACACATATGTGTGACTAATAGCCTAGATATGTGGCTCTGCCTTTCTTGAGGGACCTCCCGTTGGTTCCCCTTTAACCCCAACCCAAAAAGGGTGGCCTCAAAAAAGCACACCCATTTACTATGGATCAGAATCCAGGCGAAAGCGGGTGAGCCCAACCGGCAGCCACGGCGCTGTGGCATACCCCGACTTGCCGGCGCACTGGGTGTAGATGCCGATCACCTCCCGCGGGTTTACCATGTTGATCTCCCCCACACGAGCGTTCAGCGCCAACCTGCGTGAGGTTTCTTCTGAAGTTGGGCTACCCCGCGATTTTCTTTTCCGGGATGAGGAATCAATTCCAGGTGTTGGACTCGTCCCTGGAGTGACACAATCCCCCCTAATTACGTGTATATATATATATACATATGCATCAGTTGCCGCACGCACACACAACCTCGCTTCCTGCTAGGATTGGCCAACCAGTCCGAACGATTTTTTACTTCGCACCAAACTGGTCCAACCCCAAAAGGGTACGTCCGAAACGGAGCTCAGGGAGTGAGACACACCGTGGAGGCTTCCCCAAGTCTCATCATGAATTCTGCTCCACAGGATGCCTGGTTTGGGAGGAAACCGCCATTGCGTGTTTTGGATCGGGCACAGGTATGTTGTGGATGGCTTGGATCCATGATAGCTCATCTGGGAATTGGACAACAAAAACAAAAACCAGACAGGGGTGTCTCGAAAATGCAAAGCACATCCCCAAAGGGAGGGAATTCCTCCGGTGTGCGCTCAAAGCTCTCCTAGAACCTTGTCCCAACGAGTTGGCAGCGTTTCTCATGGTAGAGATGATTGATTCAGACCTCAGAAAAAGGAGCTACGAGGGCCAATCATGTACCGAGCAACCCCAATAGGTTGCCGGAATTGAAATCCGAGAAAAAAACAACTGGTTGAGACAGAGAACACAAAAGGCTCGAAAGGGCTGAAGTAGGTTCTAAGAGGAATTCCACTTGAAAGTGCTGCCTAAAAAACCTAAAAAAACAATTATTTGGAGGTCTCAGGCTCTTGGCCATGCAAGACTCTGAAATAACTGTCTTTGTGCTTCTTCTTTTTTAATGCTTTTTAGGGACAGTACAGCACTTTTGGCTTTCCAAAGCAACAAACTAGGGACAGTACAGCACTTTGAGCACCATGACCTTCCCAAACAGAAAAAAGTGCAATAACACATGTTGTGTTTTATTATTATTATTATTATTATTATTATTATTATTATTATTATTATTATTATTATTATTATTATTATATTTTATTTTTTAATTTCAACACACCTCAATCACAAATCATCTGCAAACTTCTGCTTGCCTATCCTTCTTCGGGCTCAAAATTGCTGCGAATACCATATGAAAATGCATATTCAAACCAAAACATCTGCCAGCATCTTGTCCAGGATCAACCCATCTGACAAAAACAATGCCAAATCTAAACGAAATCTGTTTTGCTTTTCATCTGCTTCAAACATTTGAGAACTGCTCAAAACACATCTTGGGGGGGGGGCGACCATACACATATATATATATATTATAATATATATGCAGTTTCCCTTCAAAGGAAAACAAACAGGGTCCTCGACAAAAAATACTCATGCACACGCACGCACACACACACACACACACACACATCCATTCGTAGGAGAGTACATAACGCTTTGTGGAAGCTCCCAAACCCTTCTGGAGCAAAGACTCTTAAGACTTGTTAAGGGACTTTTTGATTAAGACTCCCCAAATTGTCGTGTTTAAGGGGACCTTTTTAAGCCAAGACTCCTAAAATGGTCGTTCCTGATGATTGTCCCTTTCAGACCTCTCCCCCTCTTTCCGGGGTTCCCTTTAAAAGGAGCCAGCTACATCTGCTGGCCCATGACAGCTGAGACCTAAGGCACGCACCTTCCATGTCCTTTGGCCTATGCCAAATGGTTTGGCCAGGCCTTCGTGAGTGGGCCAACAAAACTGCTGGCAGATGAAATGGTCAACCCCCAAAAATTGAGAGACTGATCCGACCCTTCAAGGAGAGAGGGGCGCGGGGCCTTTGATCCCATGTAATTAGTCTTCCTCAAAGGGAAGATGGAAGTAGAATTCCGGGGGGTCACCCTCCCCCACTTCCATTCTTCAGCAGGTGGGGACGAGGAACTGTTTGCCGGAAACGGAAGCAGAAGGAAACCCAAAAGGGCACAACGGGACGGGACCCCCAGTTTTTGAACCAACAAACGCTGCCGATTTGTGAGACGCACCGAATCGGACCCCAACACCATGAAGGGATATCCCGTTTTCATGGTCCAAGGGCCCCCGGTAATGTTGACCCAGGATTAATAAACCCGTCCCATTCTTGGGGGGGGTGTTCCCTCCCAAAAATTGTTCTGAATCCCCACGAAAAGGAATTGGACCCCCCAATCGAAATCCACCAGGGGTTCTGCTTCCGGGGTTAACATTCAGGGGCTCCTGTTCCAGCCCTCAGCCCGAATTGCACCGCTTCTGGTCCAGCGGACCAAAAACGAAACAGAGCTGGTAGGGGAAGAGCTCCCCGAACCCAACCGAACTGAAATGGTCGACCCAATGATGACGACAATGGAAACCATGGCGGTTGTATAGACAGCCCTTGTTTTAGTGATGGCTCTTCGTGTAAAACTGTCTTGCGCCAGTGACTTTTGTCTTGAAAGGTTGAAAAGGCCCAGCCGAGCAGAGCCCAAAGCACTTGCTTCTGTTGCCGAGCAGCTGGTACACGCAGGGCGCCAGGCGCGTGATGGGGCCCTCGGTCAAGGTGCAGACGTCCTTGATACCGTCCTGCGAGGCTCTGTGATTTTGACTAGGTCCTACAGTCGAGAGGTTGGAATAAGGGTACCCTTTTTCTGTGGTCTACTTTAGTAGGGGAACCCTCTCCCAAAAAAGTTGATAAAAGGGCACTACTGGGGCATCTAGTTGAGGCGTACGATTTCACCGACGGGAAACAACAATAATAATAAAAACCGACACCCGCGGGGTCCAAGTCCCTTTGGCCCTGCACTTGAATGAATCACCTGGGTTTCAAAGAACATGTCGTCGATTTCTGCTGCTTTTTGGATGCGCCTAAGGTGCCAAGGTGCCCAAACAAGATACCAAGGGCCCTTAATTGGCTATCCCCCCCGGCTGTACACCATGAGCATGGGCAAACTAGAGAGTCCGTCAGTGAACCAAGCCCAACCACAAAACCCTCGTTAAAATGCAATGGAATTGCAGAGTTCCACAACTAAAAGAGGGTCAAAATGGTGGAGAAACTCCCAGATGAGTTGTTCCAAGCAAAAGTCATTTAGCTGGCCTGTCTGCATTACCCGGCTGACACCCTTCTGCTTTGGAGTCCTCAATAACACCCTGCAAATACCCGGGCACACCCCCTACTCCAAATACCTTTTTGTATGTTTTGAACACCCTGGTTTTCCATGGTGAACACCTCCTTTTTAGCTCTTAGAGGGTTGACATGATACCCTCACAACGCTGGGTAATTGGCGCAGGGAGTATGTGGCAAAACCTGGTTTTGAGTCTATGAGCCTGTTCGGGTCGTGGAAACCAGAAGGAGATTCTGCAAGAAATTAGCAAACCACTCACCAACAAGGGGACTCACTTCGTGACTTGACTCGCCAACAGAAGTCTAAGCTTCTGCCACTCGAATGGTCCAATTCCACAAAGTGACAAGAGTCCGACACGGCCTAAGGCTCCGAATCAGCCAAATGACCCACCCACCTTACCCAAGGGGGCAGAGGGGATGCAAACCTGTTTCGGTCTCGATGTTTCAGGCCTCAAAAAAAGCGGCGCTTTGTCATTGGAAAAATCAGCCTGCACAAAAAGTTGAGAAACAGTTTGGCTGAGTTGGAAACCGTGTCGAGTCTTCTTGGCCTCACAGCAAATTGCCCTAAGCCACTAACATCCCCCCCCCCGTGCTCCAAATACGCCTTGTTGAGGGTGTGATGTCAACCTCTGCAGAGAAAAGGAGATAATTGACAATGCACAAACCGCTTTGAAGCAGGGTACCAAGCCTTAAAAATCGCAAGCCCAACCCAACGTTTTCCCAGTCGAGCGAGCGGGCGCCTTCGGCTCGAAGATGATGAAGTATTCCCGATAGGAGGGCCGCGGCGCCTCGTTGGTGGACTCCACATCTGTGTAGAGTTGCCCGTAGTAGCCTCGGTGCCAGCTTCGTTCGCGCGGCGATTCGCTTCGTTCTTCCAACACTGCTTTGTGACTCTCTGCCTACCTTGTGTTGGGGTCCAAAAGTTGTTTCTTCAACCAGCCACAGCCTGCTTTTAGGCTCTCTACCTGGTGTTGGGGTCCAAAAACAGGTTTGGCAGAAACAGGGTTGCCCCCTTTGGGACAAGTGTTGGTCCATACCTCCATGAATCCGTGACCGCGTTTTCAGTTTGGGGAGCGAACTATGGCATGTTCTTCCAGGAAGGGAGTCTCAAAAGGACAACCGGGTTTGAGCTTTTGACAGACCTACCAGTCTACAGATTGCCCCGATGCTTCCTTGGTCATTGGTTGAGGACCAGCCCTATCCGAAAGTCAACTGCCCCCTACTGCAAATACCAGCTTCTTCTAGAGTTTGTTTGGATGAACATGCAATTTTGTTCTATGGTAACCTCCTTTTTTGGGGTTGACATCAGGCCCCAATTCACAGGCAACGCAAAGTAATGACATGCGAAAGACACAGCCCCGAACAGCACAATGGCGAAGTGCTCGATGGAACAACAACAAGTTCCACTTTGGAGGCAGGCCATGTTATCAAGTTGTAAGACGTAAACCCAGGAAACGCCTTCATTTTTAGCCAGAGGCTAACGCGGCTGACATCATGCTCCTAAGCAAAAAAGTGATACCAAAGCCGCCGATCCCCATAAATGCTTTTACGGGAATCCCTTGGTATCACAGATTCTGGCCTCAAGACCAGGGATTTCTGTGGGTTCCCTAAGAGACAAACTCATGTCGCGCAAGCATGGGTTGCCTCCCCAGCGGCTAACCTGGGAGCAGGGGTCAACCATTAAAGCACGAATGTGATTGGCTACAAGAGAATCAGCATGCAGAACTGAAGTTTACTCACTCCAAAAATCAAACTGCGGTCTGGAATCCCAAGACTATATATGAGTTATATTTATTCTGGGGCAGACCAAATATGCAACAGAATCTGAACATAGCATTGTCTGTGTACCAATGTGGGCCAACGAAAGGTTATCTTTCATATCTATGTCTTAGTCAGGCAGTTCCACATGTCCACTGATCCCTGGGTGGAAAACCACAAAAAGAACAGATCAAATCAGTTCGCAATTCTCTGAATGAACCAACCGGTCAAGCAGAATATCGCATAGAAATGGCCATTGTCACGCAAGTAATCATTGAAGACGAGTTGCTGCTGTTTAGTTTTTCATTCTTTGTTTTCAGTCTCTCTCTCTCTCTCTCCATCTCTTTCTCGCTCTATCTCCCTCTGTCCCTCCATCCCTTTTGCCAGTAAAATGGTACAACCCCCAAAAAGCATCCAAAAGTGACCAAAGTCCATGAACTCAGGGAGTGAGTCCCTCTCTCTATCAACGGCTTTCGCATTTCGCCAAGTAGCAACCCCGAGGGAAAGGGAACCCCGCGTCGTCATTGGTCCACATCTCTGTAAAGAGCTGTCCGCAGGTCGCCTGCGTTGCATTCCTCGGCGAGGAGAAAAAACACCGCCCCGCTACTTGAGTGTACCTTTTAGAGTTGATACCCCATTTTGGTGGTTTTAAAGGGAACACATGCAAAGAAGATGCACAGCTTTGCTGGGTTTAGTGTTGCAAAAAAGTGCAACAAGGGACACCAAAAGGAAAACCGGAAATCATTTTGCGGGCGGGCGCACCAAGAAAAGACACGCCCCAACTAAAAAAAGAAGAAGACATCTTTGGGGGTATACTCAGCAAACACGGGTTGTTAAATCGACATGTTTGTGGGAATATTTGGGGAACATATGGTCGTTCATGGTAACTACGTACGTTTTTGGTCAGGGGTTGACATGGAGGTGTCCTTTTTAAGGAACCATCAAAACCAGAGTTCGGTTATCCTTTTGGTTTCCCTTAATTAAAACCACAAAACTGCCCACATCACAGCCAAACAAAAGGCCAGGAATTCGGAGTGGGGGGGGGACCCCATGCCGCGTTCGGAGTTCGGCTCGCGTCTTTTTTCGAGGCGCTCCATGGCTATGGAGGCCTCCTCCGGCAAGGGCTGCGGGTCATCCCCGCTGAGCAGAGGCTCCATCATGAAGTCCACCTCTTTGAAGAGGAGTCGCACCTTAAAGGCGAAGAAAGTCAGTAAGGGGCTTGGGTCGAAAAAATGGAGGCCCGCGGGTGTGTCAAACTAGGGGGGTTGGTTTCCACCTCGCCGTTTCGCACCTCAGTTGTTCAGTAAACTAAGGCTAGGTCCTCCAGTAGAGAGCTTAATACAAGGGTCCTCCAGTAGAGAGATGGTGTCCTACTATTCCGCTGTTCAGTGACCCTGGAGAAAGAAGGGGAATCCTGTTTGGGGAAGAGCATTTTTAGTGGGGCAGCCACCAAAAAAAAAGGGGAAAAGGGTGCCACTGAAGAACTGAGGCACCCTAAGGGCAAAGAAATTCAGAAACTAAGGGGTTTGGGTCGAAATTGGGGAGTCTGCACCTTTCAAAATGGAGGCCAATTTGGTGTGTGTCAAACTAGGGGGGTTGGTTTCCACCTCGCCGTTTCGCGTGTCGCGTGCCATGCGTATTTCAGGCAACAAAAAGGGTGGCTCCGGGCACCCCACAAAGGCCACCCCAGGTTTCATGCCCCGCTGGGTGCTTAGGGACTCCTCTCAGCCTGGTCTTGGTTGACGTTGGAAGGGGAGCAAACATTTAAATGTTAGCAGCTAAGTGGGGATTTCCGCTAAACCACAACAAGCAAAAATGTAAAATGTTTCCCAACAACAACCATTGCCTCCCCCTTACTCCAACTACCCGCCGTTTTCAGGGTATCATGTCGACCCTCTGCAACAGGGATCTGTATTTACCATGGAAACCTTTGGCTCTTCTAAATATAGCAGCTACAAACAGAGGGTATTAGGCAGTTTCCTGATCCGATCCCCGGCAAGACTTGTTTCTGGCGAGAAAAATGATGGAACGCCAAAATGGTAAGCCTATGGTCAGGCAATCGTCAGGCGATCGTCAAAGGGTTTCTTTCGAACAGGCGGAAAACCAAAGGGCCAACCTCAGCGGTGTTTTGAGGAAAACCGTCATGACACACACACACACACACATGTTGTTTGTTTGCGTTTTGAATGTTTTTCCTCGTCTTTATTTGTTTGCTTGTCTTGCAAACTGAGCTATATATGAGCTATTTGGCAAGCAGGTTCCACAGGAACGGTCTTAGGGCTAGGAGGCTCTTAGAGGCCCTCTTACATACGGTTGAAGCCCGAAATATTGCAAGTGCGGAGCAAAGAAATAATGGCGCCTGTCACAACAGGAAGCACAGCAACATGACGTCTGCGGCCCCCCTCCCCTGATTCAATGTTGAACTTGCAATATATTGGGCCTCGGAAGAGGGGCTACGCACTTGGCTTCAACATTGTACCTGGGGGTGCGGGGTCCGCACGCAGCGGGCGATGCCATAGAAGTGGTGTCAACATCCCATGTGGTGGTACTTGCAATATTTAGTGAGCTCTTTCTTCTGTTGGGGGGTCCATTTTTTGAGGACGCGGGGCGTTCCTCCGCAGTCATGGCACGACCAGTGGAGTGTGGTAGGCCTTGTAGAAAGTGGTGCCTCGCCGCGGGAATGAGCCGTGATTCTTCTATATGCCCCCAATGAAAGTCAGAACAAATGCAATATGTTGATTATGGATATATAAATGTATATATATATATATTAGATATATATATATATATATGTATTATATATATATATATACATATGTATTATACTTGGGTCCTGCTTATTATCCTCAATCAACAACATGTGGACTGCAGCACTGCAGAGCATACCGGTCCCTCTCGGCCGAAACATGCCTTCCAGTTGTCCCGTGTGTGTCGGTTTGTTAGGGGACAAGAATCAAAAATGGGTGGTTTGTGGGTCCCCGTTTTGTCCCAAGATGCTCCTGCAACAAATCCTTCCATTTGCTTGAGAAAAACTGCATACTTTTTGGGGTTTGCTTGGGACTCATCTCACTGGCACTTCTTAAGCAGACCTGGAAGGCAAAACCCCAGATGAAACCAACCAGGGTGGCAACTTCGAAAGGTCGACTTTGGAGCGAGTCCATTTTTGGGTGTCCCCTAAAAGCCAGCCACGCCTGCACGGACCCAAAAAACTGAAAACCAATGGACAAGCGAGTCCCAGGGCGCCTCATCTTGGGACAAAAAGGGCAAACCCCGCCCATTTTGGGGGGGTCCCCCAAAAAGATCGCCGACCAAAGGACTGGAAAGGAATGGAGCGAGCGAGTCGTGAGTTCCAGGCGCGCTCGCTCGCGCCTCGCGTCGGGGAGAAGGAGATCACCGCCATGCCCAGAGAGCCCTGGAGGCGGCTGCTGAGGTAGACCCCGGCGTCCGCCATGAAGGTGGGAGCCGAGAAGGCCAGAACCCCCGCCTCCCCGTAGTACCTGGGATGAATGGATCCACCGGTGGTTTGGATGTTTTAACGACTGGAAAAAACATAGGGACTTGGACCACGCAGAAGTTGGATAACTCGCAAAAGGGGAGCCTTTTGTTTCAAACTTGTTTGCTTCCAACTTGTGGGTTTAATCATCTTGAACCAGGAAAACACTATGTGGGTCTGGCTCGTCAAAATAAGGATTTGGACCTAGAACATAAAAAAGAGGGGGGCGGTGCTTGTGGTGTTTTCTAAATTGAGCTGCAAAGGGCATGCCTCAAAAACCACTCCGGAGTCCGAGGGACAGGGCCCTCCATTCATCCCCCTTTGGTTTACCGCCAAACTTTTGAGATCCTGGACCTTAAAAAGGTTCTTGCCCCCAAATGCTTTTGGGGTTCTCTTCTTGCATGGGTAGGTTGAGGGTCCAGGCTAAAACTCACATAGCCTGTGAGCGGTTCGATCGGGGAATGAGTTGAACCGAATAACCCATGAAAACTCGCCAAGTGTCCTTGAAAGAGATCCTTTTCCGGTTCATTCTGAAGGCCCCTCTTGATCCCTCCCAAACCCTGGGTGTGTCTTTTTAGAGGCTACCCTTTCTTACTGGTTCCAAAGAAAAACCCAGAGGACAAGGGGGAAGCAGCAAGTTGCATGCCTAAAGAGACATGATCGCGTCAGGGCACCTGGGCATCAAAGGTGATCACCTCTGGGGCCCTTGACTATGGGCAGACTTAGACCGGCAGCAAATGGTTCAAAGGAAATATGGCTGTGGGTCAAAACCAATGGTACCATTTTGGGGTAGGTGCACCACCCATGTTAGTCTATTCTAGTGGGGATTGGGATGTTCACTGGGGCTACGGGATTTTGACCCATGGCCATATGAAGGACGCCTAGGCCCAAACGCCCAGAGGACAGCGCACCAGGTGAACCAAATAGGACGCAGGGGTCTGATAGACCAAACACATGTTCAGATGCATGTGTGCGAAAACCCAGTCCTCCCAGAAGCAATCAGCGAGTGACCCTGGGAATTCGAAAACGTAACCGGACGTCAACAAGCCTGTTTGTTGGCTCACTTTTAGAGGGAATCAATCTACAGGGTGCCAGTGCCACTGAACTGGTTTGGGGAGGAGTGAGGGTGTTACCAGGTGAAAACGTTGAGGTCCTTTTGCTGGTTGACAAGTTTGGGGTTCCATAAAGAGGAAGCTGATACCATGATTGGCCGGGGGAGCTCCAAGTGAGTGGTCTTCCGCCCCTCAATTAGATTCCATGGCGGGAAGTAACGAACCCGAAACTGAGTTGCCCAAAGGATTCAGAAGGAAGAGGTTCACCTTTTGGAACAAATCAGGGACCCCACAAAGCTGAAAGGCTCGGCTTTGGGGAAGTGAGTTGAATTTCTTGGCCCCTGCCAGCTGGACAGGGCGCTGTTGGCGGCCGTTGTCAAAGGCACCCCAACAGATCTTCACCTCCGCGGCTTCGTCCACCTTGATCTCCTCCTGAGAGTCAGAAAGCCGGCGCTCTCGGCTCGCTTCTCGGCTGGCCAAGGTCCGGGCGCCCGGGAAGCTCAGGTACTTGAGCAGAGGGAACCAATCTCATGGCAAGCCTGGAGGTACCTAGAGTCTCCATGAACCTTAAAAAATGGGGTCATTGCCCAAAATAATGGGGTCATGGACCCATTTTTGTTTTTTTTTGAAGGGTCATGGAGAGTCGAGGTAGAAATACGTGTTGCCCGCTATGGATTGATTTTTAGAACTGGGTAATTCTACCCCCTTCAATGTCGGCATTGGTGTGACCACATCTGCGGCACCACTGAAAACAATCCCAACAACGAATCCCACTAGGGCCCTAAGAGTCAAGTGTCTTGTGGGATACTCAAAAGAAGATGTGGTTTTCCATGAAATGTGGCTTCGGGCTTTTTTGTTTCTTATTTTCGGGCGCTAGAGCTCAAGCGTGTCGATCGGTTGACCTGGGTCCAAAGGTCTGCATCGGAGGGGTGACCGCCCTTGGGGTCGTCATAATCAGGTTGCCCTGAATCGGTGGCTTGCATTGGTTTGGGGGTTTGAACCCCTGGTTCGCGTGGAGGGTAAATGGCAAACCAGCCTGGAACACTCCCAAACCACCAATAAATAGGATGAAGGTGTACCCAGGCGCTCATTCCACACGCTTGGTCTCCAAATCGGGTTCCGCTCGGAACCCCGCGAAATGAAAGATTTGGACCTCAAGGCAGTGGTCCAGAACCTGGCAGAGATCCTGAGAGTCCTTTCTGTTGCTCAGGAAAGCACAAGGAATAGAAAACAAAGGTTCACCTTTTGGGACCTTTGCTAAAAGTGGAGCCAAACATGGAAAAAACACAAAGGTCAAAAGGTGGGCTTTGGACAACTGAAAGGGTCTGCCTTTTGTTGAGGCTTGACTTAACCCCTTTTTAGGTTTCAAAGGGAAACCGAAAGGAAACCCCAAACACAATGACACTCCCGGACACAACCATGACACTCCCGGACACAACCGCAAAAAAAAAGCGAGCCGCCGGCCTGGGTCTGCAACCGGTTCCGGCGGTGCCACTTGCCCTTGCCATCCACGAAGCCGAAGTCCGGCACTGAGCTCGCGGGGAAGCCCACCGGGATGCTCAGCCTATCCGCCGGGCTGTGAGAAATGGAATCCACGAATCTGTGATGCAACAAACAGGGCCTCCCAAAGCAACAACCCACATAAAGAGGGGATTCCCAAAAGTATCACAGAAGTGGTTGGACAAACCCCAAACGATCCCACAACCCTGATCCGAGATGTTTTGTTGAGGCCCTGGGAGTCAGGTCCCACCAAGTGACATGGAGCCGAACAGGTCCCTTCAGAAGGAAACTGGCCCGAACCGGGACCCCAGCCCAATGCCTCGTTTGACGCCTTTGCGGGTCCCAGATATTTGGGGTGCTGGGCTCCCAGCATTGCCACGAACCTGTGCTGCGGGGTACCCTCCCACGCTTTTCACATGGAACCTTTGGGACCCGGGTCCCTTTAAAGGCAAATGCTCCAAACCAGGACTGATTCCCCGAACGGCAGGTAGCATGGTACTTGGTGGGTACCACAACATGTTCTGCAGGCTCAGAGGGCTCAGAAGAAGAAGCGAACACCTTTCTCTTGAACTTACCTGGGGTACCGGCTATGCGAGCTCAACTTGGAGCCTCCTTCTGACCCTTTAAACATGGGGGTGAGTCATTGGCCAAAAGAGAAAGGGGGTCATGGCAATCAATTCTTGAGGAGTCAAATGAAGACTCCAGGTACACAGGGTGGGATATTTCTAGGGTTGCCACTTAGGATTTGGTCCCCAAAATCCCGCAAGGAGCTCAATGAACATTGACAAAAGAAAGGTGACTGAGCGATTCAGATATCACCATTCAAACAATGGTTGGGCTAATATGACCAAACAAAGGGTTAGTTTCCTTGTATGGAGCTTCATCATCCAAATTGGGTCTTGTTAATCCCTTGCTAGCTAACTTGTAGTGGGATATGTGCGAGTGTCTTGTTTAGGGGACCCTCAAAAATGGTTTGCGTCCGTTTGGTCGTCCTTTAAAAACACTAACAAAAGGATACCCTCAACAAAGACACCCAACCGTCACATGTCATAGATCCCTCTAAACTCTCAAAAACTAAAAGTCTAAAGAACCGTATGACTGGGAACTGGCAAGTTCACGGATCATTCACAGAAAACGGTCAGAAACCCAGCAATGGGTGGTGTCAGAAGAAGGGTTGATGCAAAGAATGGATAACACTTCTCCATGTCCACTCGCTTGGGACCTGACTGAAGGGTCTCGGAAGACTTTTTCCTCTGAACGGGACCTTGTGGCGGGTTCCGTGTTCGCGGAAAGCAGAATAACCCTTAGAATTGTCCAAAGTAAGAGTGTTCCAAGCCCCTTCGGGCCCAACGGTCGAAACGCCCAGGTTGATCGCCATCCCCCCAGTAAACTGGCAGGGTGAAAGGGCGCAACTTCTCTAGTGTTCCGGCGGACCCATATGGAACACCAAGCAAAAGGCAAGCCGGACAAACATTTCTTGAGTTCCCATGTCCCTGTTAAACATCACCCCAGCAATCAACATTGGCCCAAAAGGTGAGCCCTGGGATTCAAACTGAATATAACCATGGCTTCAGGAGTTTCATCAAAGTTGCGTCCCAATGCCGTTCCTTTTTGCAGAAAAGTTGCGCCCTAGACATTCCTCCGAGCCCCAGTTGCCAAAGAAAGAAAGCCATCAGCCGAATGGGAAAAAGACAAAGAAAGAAACAAAGAGGAGCGATAAAGGAACGAAACTACATTCAAGAAACCAAAACACATACACAGCTTCCTGCACTTGGTTCTGATCGGTGATCTGAAGAGATGTCCCTTTTACCCTCTGCAAGAACCAGGGGTCCTGACGCCACCAATCTAAACCACCAACCAATCTAAACCACCACCACCACCAATCCCACCACCACCAATCCAAACCACCACCACCAAACTCTTCAAATCCCACCACCACTCTAAACCACCAGCCTGACAGCTCACCCTGACGTCGCCCCCCCCGTTCAAACGGAGTCCGAGGCGCTGGTTGTTTTGGGATGTGTAGGACACCCGGTTCCAGAGCATGCGCTTCACCTGGGGGTGGTCAAGTGAGTGTTTTTAGGGTAACCCCCGTTTGGGCATTGGTTTAAAGAGACACCAAACAAAACCCTTTGTTGGTTGTCCCTCTATTCTAAGACATGCCCGTATGGTGTTTACCTGCTTCAACATGATTAAACAAAAAGCATTCAAACGAACTGGTTGAAAAAAAACACACAAAACTAAAAAACACTTAAAATAGGGAACCCCATTCTAGATTGTGGTTTAAAGAAACTCGAATTGAAACCAACCTTTTTGGGGGTCCCCCCATTTTGAGCCACGTCCACATATTTAGCCTAGGCAACCAAGGGAGCCCTTGAGCTAGAAGCAACATGGCTGGTCTATGGTGGGAATTCGGATCGAAAAAAATCGAAACACTCTTTGCACCAATCTCGGTTTGGCCTGGTATGGCTCTTTAAACCAATAATTGCTGTTGGCTTCCCTCTAAAGGTGGTCAGGGTGTGGAGGTTTATACCAATGGTTGTCATGGATTACTTCCCCCCCCCTAAGGAGGGGGGTCCCCAATTTTACCCTCTTACTCAGCTTGCTGAGAACGGCTTTTTCAATAAGGCCGTAAACTCAAAGGAGTCAGGCCTCAGTAGTGCCTCAAAAATTGCTGGAAAGAGGCCATGTGCAGCATTTGATGCTCAGTTTCCCGTTGAAATAACAAGCATGGTTGCGGCTTAAGCTGCATTGAACATAGTTTTCTGATACTTGGCGTCCAGGACACAAGGCGAAACTGGTTTTGAGGTGCCACCGAGTGCTAAGTGAGCACCGTGCAGCCTTACCAAGACCTCAGGGCTCTCAAAAGGAGAGGGGGGCAAGTATATAATGCACGAGGTTGCCCCTTTCAAAGGTCTGGAGTCTGGCCGTCTAAACCGACACCCTACTGCAAATACACTCTTTTTAGAGGGTATAATGTCAACCACTGACAAACAAAAGAGGACTTTGCAATGAAAGCCCGTGTATGCCCAACCAAAAAGGCCGGGTATTTCGAGTAGAGGTGGGCCCACACCTAGGGAACCCCAAGTGTGGGCAACTTTTGAGGGCACTCCACATGCCTCAAGAACCTTGGTTCTCTGCGGAAGTCGGATTGATTGCCTTTGGGTAGAAACAAAACAGGGTTCCCTTTATGGCTCTGGCTCAAAAAACCGGTACCAACATGGCCACCTTGGTAAGTGGAACCAAAGACTAAAACCCGCGTAACCCTAGCTCCTTCAATTTTGAGCCACAAGCATATTTGCCCTTTAAGCATCACTCCACATGGAAACTCACGTTACATTGGCAACCCTGAGTTGCTGTTGAAAACCGAAGAGTTCATGTCGCACGCAACGGTTTCCTGCCTGGGGCTCGTCTGCGTACCCGTAAAACCCAGTGAGCTGTGCGACGGTATGCTGCTCCGAGATGGTCCAGGTGGTGTAGTTCCTGCTATTCGCTCGCTTGAAGTGACCGCCCGCAGCACAAATGCATTGACTTTCGGCTCTACTAAGATGGTTATAAATGTTTACGTAGGCCTTACTAGAAATCCTTTTCAACCCAACACAGGAGTCCCAAACATGAATTGGTCTCCTTTTGCTTTCCTTGTCTTTTTTCTCTGTCTCAAATCAGGGGTTCCTTTTTGTATAGCTTTGAAATTTCATTGTGGGCCCCAACCCAAATGGGAATTAATTTTCTTTGGGGACCCTTGAGCGGACATTTAGGTTGGGATTTATGTCCACCAGCCACTGTTGCGGGGCTTCCCAATATATTGCTATACAAATACGTTTTTTTCAAGATAGGAGTCCCCAAAAATTGTAAGGGTAGCTTCCCCATTCTTTCCAGGGATCCTTCTTTCTAGAAAACCACCCAAAACCCTGGGAAATCAGCTGGTTTGTGAAAGGAACGATGGTTGAAAAGAATGGGGAATCAACCCCTAAAATTGTTGGGAATCAACCCCTAAAACAAAACGGACCTCTCAAAACCAGCACCCTGTTTGGAGCTTCTCTGCCAACAGGGGCGTGGGGTTTCAGGGCACCAAACCTCCGTCCAATCAGGGAATCACTTTCCAACTGAAGTGAACGAAGCGTCCAACTGACTCTTCCAAGCAGTCCCAACCGGGCTGTAGCCAAGTTGCAACCTGAAGAATTTCTCAGACAATGAGACATGGTCTAAGGGTATGATTGTCATTGTCCTTCTGAATTCCATTTCAACCAACCCAAGGAAAAAGAAGGTACCAACTCCGAAAAACAAACACACACACACACATGTTCCGACCCCGCCCAAGCCCACCGCTTTCCCACTTGCCAGGGCAGTTCCCAGGCACCAGCCATCTGTACTCCATCGCTCCTCCCGTTGAGCAGCAGCGAGGTCTCGTCCAGCGTCATGGCGTCGCCGTCCAACACCTCCGCCGTAATGTCCCCGTTGAAGGTGAGCACGGAGGACGCCTCTCGCGGCGGGCGATGGTTTTTTCTGCGGCGAGTCACATGCCAAAAACTGGGCGGGCCACTGACTCTATGCTTCTAGGGACATGGAACCGCTGGGGAAGGGCCAGAAAGGGGCCAACCCCTTTGAACATGCTTAACCCACTTCTGTTTGACCACCCTCCTTTTGGTTTGCCGTTCAGGGTTTCTTGAATTGGCCCAGTGCTTCCAGGCAAGCCACTCTAGCAAGTAAGGTATCTTTACCCCACGGATGAGATCCCCTTAGCGGTGGGCAATTGGATTGGCTTACAGATGTGTGACCACCATGGGACGAGTTCCACCCAGTTCATGTTGTCTATCGCCAGTAGCACAACATGTGGTTGATTGAAACCAGCGGTTTTCTCAGCATGACATGTGGGGCTAACACAGACGCACAGAACCCTCAACATTCAAACAACCATTGGCACACCATGACCGATTCACGACATATTTGGGTGTGTCTCAAAATAGGGAACCCAGAAACGGAGGTTGTCATTCTGGTATCCCCTAAAAAACGACACAGCCATTTGTTCCTGACCCCTAGCCACAAGAGATGACATAGGAGTTCATGTTGTCACGCGGTCATTCTACAACAAAGTGATCAGAACTAGCATGGGTACTATACATCTCCATGTTTGAGAGATGAGGCAGACACATCCATGGTCGACAAACTATGTGGCCATGCGCCCCCCCGGCACGAAATGCTTTGGCTTTGGTGGGGAAACACACGAAATGCATGTTAAAAAATACATGATGAAGAGATACACTCCTTTTTAACAATGATGGAGAATCCGCTTTTCTATGAATTCCGAAAGTATGAATGAATCCAGACAATAAGATCCGACTGGCCGAGGCGGGCAATCACACCCAAAAGGGAACCGTAATCCAGAGTTCACATCAGCTGGGTTGGTTATTTGAAGCCTCCGTAGGTGGGCTCGTAAGTGGGTCCAAAAATGGTCATTCCCTGCTCATGTGCGATCCGTCTCGTAAACCCACCCTGCTAAAGCCCACACCAAAAGCCCAAGAGTGCAAACCACAATTTGTTGAATTCGGACGAATATAACCAACAAAGGAGTAACTCATCATCTAAATCGGGTTCCTTGCCGGACATTCTTTTGGTGGGAATCGGTTGAACCCTAGGCAGCCAAAACGGCCTAATGTTGACCCCGGATTAATAAACCCCTGTTGGTTCATATGGGGGTGTTCCCCCCAAAAGTGACAAATCCTCACTAAAACCAGGGACACCCCCATATCAATAAACAGGGGTCTATTGATCCGGGGTCAACATTACCCCAAAAGGGCGCGGCTTGGCTCGGACCGGCAGACCGCCTCCCCAATGGAGATATCGGTGATGTAGAGGCCGGTGATATCCTCATCAGCGGAGATGTCATTGGAATTTGGTGATGAGCCTACATCCATTCGTGCGAGTATCCGCCAACGCATATGCGACGTTGCCAGCATGCAAAGGGACAAATGCCCCGCAACATGCCTGCGACTGTTGGGCCTCATCTCCGTTAAACTACAGTAGATAATATTGAAAGCCACGCAGCATAAAAGAAAGCCTCCTTGAGGATCGTCCGGGATCGCATTAATTTGCCAATACGTTTCTGCCAAACGGAATTTCTCCCACAACAAAAATGGGCAAAAGGTACCGTTGATTTCCGAAACAAAATGCAAGTTGGGAACAGCTTTACTTGCAATATTTGGAATGCGGATGGCAAGCGAGAAAGCAAGCAAAGCAGAGCGAAGCAAAGCATAGCCAAGCATAGCAAAGCATGGGCAGGAAGTCAAGCCCAGTCAAATCCATTTTGCCTGCCCCAAGATGTCGCAGGCACATACCTGAAATTCCCTAGCCTTGGAATTGAGGCCTATTTGCCCAGCTCACTTTGTCTTCAGGCGAAATTGGACATCCACTTGCTCGTCGTATAAGTCTGCACGCGCAAACCCCAACCTGTCAATTTTAATGCTGCTTGAGGCTAAAGGCACAATCCCCATCCAACCTGCTGACGCGCTTTCCTGGTCAAGAAAGCCCACTCATGTCTTTGCAATTTTCACTGAGGCCTGGACGGTCAACCTCTTCTCGAAGGTGTGCCACCATCTCAAAAATAATCAGTGATCAGGCAGCACCGGCAAACAAGGTTCTATATTTCCCGTCTAAGATGACCCCCAAGAGAAAGCAGGTCAACTTTACCCCACAGTGCCCTACCGGTGATGCAAAAATTAAAACCCCTTTTAAGGGGAAAAAGAAGGACCCTGGCATGCCCACCCATTCGACGCCCGAGGCACGGCTGAGATGACGTGCACGGAGATGTCCTCCTTCTCCTGGGGCCTGCAAGGGGACCTTTCTGTGGTTTCAAGCTGCTAGTTTCCCTCCAAACTCACCTCCCATCGAGTGGATTAGCCAAAAAAGGTCCAAGAACTTCCTATTTACAAGTATTAGTATGAAGCGCAACTCAGGGAGCGCGTTTCCCTTCAAGCCAAGGTGAACTCAAGCTAGCCCTAAATGGGTGTCTCTCTTTTTCGGGGAGCCCGCAAAATGGACTTCGGGTGCTCCTTTGGTTTCGCTTTAAAACACACCCCAAAAGGGGGTACCACCATAGGTGGCCTTTTGGAAATATAGATGGGTTTCCCTGGTCAATGGCTCATAAACCCCATCTAAACCAGTGCCATCTAGCCCTGGTAAATGGCTCATAAACCCCATCTAAACCAGTGGAACCCATCTATTCTTAACCAAACTAACCTATAAAGGACACCTGTGGGTACCACCCAAACATCAAGTGGAGGTTTGGATGGGCGGGATTTGAACCCCTCTCAGACCAGCTGGTGGCTTGACCTTTTGACTGGAACGGCCAAAACGAGTCGAAACACCAAAACTTGGGCGTGGCTGTTGTTGAAGGCACCCTTGTTTTAGTGGTTGTAAAGGGAAACCGAAACGCAATTCAAAAGTTATTTGTGCTTTTTTTTTTTGGGGGGGGGAGGGTCCCTAAAAAAGACACAATGACCTCTTTTTAACTAGCAAGACCAAAGTACTCAGTGTTGCTTCCCCTGTAGTGAGAAGCAAGTCATGCTAGGGATCGGTGAGCTCCTTCAATCCCGACCCGGCATGGCTGGATCCCAGTGAAAAATTCATCCGAGCCACGGTCAAGAATTTGCCCAAATGACATTGGATGGTGAGTCATCTCCATTCACCAATGGCAATACGATGAGAGTACCCGAGGTCATTCAATTGGCTATCCTAAACGACTGCAAATCTAGAAACATGGCTGTGGGTCAAAACCCTGTACCCCTGGTGAACTTCAAAATAGGTGGCAAATGGATGTGCATCCACCCCAACATGGAGCCATAGGTTATGCCCCATGGCCACATGTGTGCAGATTAGCATAGATTGGTCCGAAGATTTCCCTAAGCAAGGAACCCTCGTGGCTAAGCTCGTTGTAAATTTGAGGAGCACCCGCCAGATTCCTCTGGGTGCAATCCTTGCTCTGGGGCAACAATCCTGACCGCGCCATAGGGAAAGTGATTGGCCCCCCCCCATTATCCTCCAGAAAGGTTCGATCTCAACCCTTCGATCAGAACCTCTTTTGAGAAGGTTCCTTCTGTACTTTTTTTTGGTTTCGTTCCTAAGGGAATCAGTGGTCAATGGGCATGTGTTAAAATACGGAGACCCCCAAAGTGGTGCCTCAATTTCGGCGTCCAACTCCACCCATTTCCAAAAAGGGAGGGTACCAACTCTCAAAAGACACACACACACACACTTCCACTGGATGCATATAAGCCATGGTATTTGTTGCGTCCCAACATGGGAATTGGGGAGTAGGCCCAAATGCCTGATGGTATTTGGTGACCTTGCCCACATCATTCCTGTACTACAATAAACTTAGAGTGACCGTTGCCAAATGGCTATGAATATCAATATGCAACCATCTCAACAGTGGTTGGTGGACATAAATCGCGATGAACATGACGTCCACCATTTCGGATCCCTGATTCAAATCCACACCCATAGAATAAGGGGCTAAATGATTCGAGGAGGTTGCGGTACCAGAAAACGAAATCAAGTCGTGACCACAGGAGAATCGTGTTAGTGACTGCTCAGTCCCTTGTATGTGCATGGCTTGCTCACTCGTTCCCCAGTCATTTCCGTCCTGCGGCAGCTGGACGCGTTGAGGCCAGGACACCCCAGGCGGTAGACCTGGCCCAAAACGGTTGGTTTCCTCTCGGTTTCCCGTTCAAACCCTTTAAAAGCGGTTAACCCCCCCCTGGCAACAAAACACGCACACACACACACACAAAAACACACACACACACACACACACACACACACAAAACACACACACACACACACACACACACACACACACACACACACACACACACACACACACACACACACACACACACACACACACACACACACACACACACACACACACACACACACACACACACACACACACACACACACACACACACACACACACACACACACACACACACACACACACACACACACACACACACACACACACACACACACACACACACACACACACACACACACACACACACACACACACACACACACGCACTCACGTGCTCACTGTTTTGCTCAGGGTCTCTATATGTCCAAGCTAAAAGCCGAACCCGCCCAAGGAAACTCACCTGAAGCTTGGTTAGGTGATGTTTAAGATGTCCCTGTTCTTGAAACATGGGTCCGGAAGACAAACCACTGTTTATTCGAGGGGTTGACTCCCCATATCCCTGGAAAGCATGGGGATGGAATGGGATTTCACCTTCTTGGCCCACATCTGGGATACACAGAAACACATATGTTTAGATTATGTTCATATGTCGTCCACCCTAACATATAACATAGTTTTACAAAGGATAACATGGGTTCTAAGGTTATCTTGCCTGAAGCCCGGACGCAAGGACCGCCTCCGGCTTCCCAAGTGGATTGCTGTTTGTTTGCCACCCAAAGGCTTCGTCTTCTCTAAAAGTGACTGAACCACTTGCGTGTGTGGTGTTTTGAGGGTACCCGCCAAACAGATGGTTTTCCTTGTGGTTTCCCTTTAAAGGCCAACCCTCAAAAAGTGTACCTCAAAATCAGACACACCCATAATGTGGCAAAAGGACCCCTGCGCAAAAAGTTTAACTGCTCCCCGCGACGATCTCAGGAAGGTCACACTCGTATCTCCTGGTAAGCTTTGGCGCTCGTATGGCCCCGTGTACCTTTATGAAAGGGGTAGAAGCAACAAAAACAACAACACATGAGCTGATTTTAAATGCTGGTTGGTGGGGAAAACACATTTCCGGAATAAGTAAAAGGTTAAAGACCCAACCATAGATGTCCTTTTGGGGCAAATAGATGGGTTTCCCTGGTAGATGATTAAACCACCAGGTAAACCAGGAGTCGCCATCGATTTTTCCACCAACACAACCAAAACGGACACCTATGGACCCAACCCAATTGCCTTCAAGACCCCCCCCCCGGCCACGGGGGCCCTTAGGCGGCCTCCACGCCCCGCGGGTTGTTGGCGTTCTCCCGACACCTGAGAATCAGCTCAGGCGCGGGGGCTATATGGGTTTCGTGTTATTTTTGTTGCTTTATTTTTATTTGTCTATGTTTTTGTTGTTTTTATTTATTTATTGTTATTATTTTATGGTATTTATTGAAGGGCACCTGTTTATAGATCAGTTTGCATGAAACCACAAAAGGGTTCTTTAGACTGGCTGTTCAGGTGGGTTTGAAGGGAAATCAAAGGAATGACGCCCATTGGGAGTCCTCCAATTTTGACTCATACCCCTCTTATTAGTAGATCCATGTACCTGTTTACACATCGGAACTGTGGGTTCTACTCAGTGATTCCGTTTGTCTAGGCGACCATCCCACGAAGGGCTTGGAACCGTCTAAAAGCAGAAAGGAGAATTGCGAGTTGCCGGCATCTGGGATCCAATAGGTTCGAAGACCCCAAAAGAAACCTCCAACTTTGGCCCAGAAACGTAATCTTCTGCCTCAAGGGAAATACAAGGACAATGTCCGAAGTAGAACAATTCGACCATCCTGATTCCCAAGTGGGAAAAGCCTGGCCATATTGCCCTCGCACACATCCCCCATCCAGAATAACTATGTATAAACTGCGACAATATCTTAGGCAATTGACTATGATTCACATCAGAAACAAGAAACGCCCAAAGCCATACGAACTTCACCCAAACCTCCAGTGGCCATGGGAGGAAAAGAGCAAACTTTCTGATCGCTGGTTTTAAAGGGAAGCCCTCCAAACCAAAAGGAACACAGGACATTACTGGAGGTCTGGCATCATCTTGGGTGAGAGCTCGTTTCACATAGCTGTTAATTTCTGACCTTGATTGATTCGCACCTGCTTCGTTGACCAAACTTAGGCACCTTTCACTTCTTGCTAGCTGCTAGTTGAAAGGTAAAATGATGAATCAACAAAAAAGGCAACACATCAAACACTTAGCTACGTCTGGTCCCGGAGCTGGCCCAAAGGCCCGCCGGGAGCAGTGCCAAGGGCAGCATTTCCCTGTTCAATGTTGACTTAGACCGCTCAAGACAGCTGTTTTCCGGCTGCAAGGAAACATAACGGAAACCAAGAAGGGCAAACAAACAAAAAGGTTTGTAGCGTCTGGCAACGAACGTGGTGGTTCCGGTGAAAACGGCGATTTTTGGATCTTGGAGAGGCCCACCGCAAGGAAACGCGCCAAAGGGCACCCCTGGTCCTCTCAAACATCATTCCAATGAAAGATTGCTCAGCGATATGTTGGGATGAGTATTGTTAAAACCGTTCAAAGGAGAATCAAACAAATGAACAGAGCTCCTTGTGTGTCGCCTTTGAATATCACCCACAATTTGGAGACTGGACCTGCAATGGCCAAAAAAGACATGGCAAAATCCGAAAAAAAGAAGAACACCCCCCAAAAAAAAAACGTTTAACACCCCGGGACCCTGAGCCCGTGTCGAGGCACGTCTGGGTCATACTGATGAGCCGTATGGAGTCCGTGTCCGAGAAGCCCCAGCCTCGTGGCAATGGGGGCTACGGATCCGACCCCTACAAGAACAAGTGACGTGCTCGGTTCAACGCAGGGTTTCGGGAAAGGCCCACTTCTGTGATACCAATTCGAAATGACCAATGCTGCATTTAGAGGGAAAGTCCCTTTTGGCAAGGTGTCTTGCAAAGGCTTTGGGAGCTTTGGGAGGATGGGGCAGGTTCCAGAAAAGTTGTGGGCGTCCATGATGTTATACTCCGATCCACCATCCAAATCAAAGTGGTAGGTTTGTAGCAGGGAGAATCGCCCCAGTTTCAGTGACCCTAGAAACTATATTATGGACCAATTCAACTCCAGCAGTGGGTACATGAGCCAAGACACCACCCAACATGGGTTTGGTTCTCGAAAGGCATCCAAAAACGCCCCCCCCCCCCAAAAAAAAAAAAAAAAATGGAAGACAACACACGCCAATATCTGCGTTGGTGTCCGTTTGCTGTCTTCTCAAGCGTCATGCGACGGGGAGGATGCCCACATGTACGTCTTCGCCCCTCATGAGAAGCTTCGAATCCTCGTGGTCAACGCATCTTGGAGTTCCATTTTCTCGCGGGGGAATTATTGCGCAGGGACCAAGTTCGTAAGCTGTGGGTTTCTTGGGTTACAACCCTCTCATAAATCGCCATGAGTGGACCAACCCGGTGTTACTGGGTTTCAACTCGAGTGGCTAAGCAACTACTACTTGGACGAACATCCAAGGACAACCTTACCCAAAAGACCTTCGTGCTGAAGCCTCAAGGCGCAAGGGTATCGATTCGGACCTTCCATGTCCACAACTCGAACACATCAAGAAAAAAACAGCCAGCCCATGTTTCAGGGAAGTCTGGGGCTTGGAGGCACCTGTTGCGGGGTGGCTCAAAAAACAACATCCGCAAGCTGGTTCCACTACCCCCAAACCGAAGCTGCCCCCAGGGGACAACAGAAGAAGCAAAAACCGGTGGAAACTGGATTCTCAAAATTGGGATTCAGACCCCTTTTGGGATGGTTTCAAAGGCACAAGGAAACCACCCATTTGAGTACCTTTGAAACACACCCGTTTTCATTTTGCGAAACACCCATTCTGAGAAACACCCGTTTTGAGAAACACCACATGTTTTCGTCACGAGCTCACATCTTCCCCTAAAAACCAGGTATACCTCCATTTGCCCTGGAAAACACATGTTTTCCAGTAATGATAGCTTTTAAGGGGAAACACTTGAACAAACTCAAGCAAATGGAAGGTGTAGGTAAGACCCACCCACTCGACACTCGACCCACTCGACTCGGGGCTCGGGGCTCGGCCTTCGAGGTCGATGCGCACGACAAAGCTCGTGGGCAAATTCAAAGAGACGCCGGTCAGAGGGCCCCGGAACATCAGCCTCTCACAAGTCCGGTGAGCACTCAAAAACGCGGTATTTAAATGGTCTATCCCTTAAATGCCCAGTGGCCATGGGAAAAAAAGGGCACCCTTTTTTTGTTGGTTGGAGCCCAAAGGGGCGCAACAGAGGGTAATTAAATTGGTCCAAGAGAAGGCAAAGAATGATCAAGGCGGGGCCCCGCGCCCATTTTGGGCGGGGATCGTCCCTTACCCTTTAACTAGCTGGGTATTTATTGGGACTCAGGTGTCTCCCCATACCCAACACTCATCGAGGGTATCACTACATGGCATGATTCCCTTTAATGCCTTGCTCTAAGACCTAACCTGTTCTAATTTGCTCTCGCCCCTCGAGCATAAAGGCAAGCATAAAGGCAATGATCGAGCCTTGGTATGGAAAGCCATTTCTGTCCAAAAGATGCTTCTGGGGGGAATCAGTCAAAAAGAGCAGTCGAATCCTTGCTCTTTCCGTTTCCAGGGGATTTGGAGAACCAAAGGCGGCTTGCGACCTGAAGATTCCTTTCGCAGGGAACCCTGATTTTAGTTCGGTGAAGCATTCTTCAGCTAGAATCTAGAATAGGAACAGGCAAGAACTTTGAGTACCCCCTACCCCAAATATATGCCCTAGAATAGGTACGGGTTGTTCCACATATGCCCCTAAAACTTTGGGGGTATTTGGAGTAGCGGGCACTTTCTACGGTGGTTGGGTTTGGGTCTTCTGGAGGCTCGGAGCAACGCTGCGCTTGTGTCAACCAAGGCAAGCGAACATAGTAGCCAGACATACTACTGGGTTCCTATGATATTCTGTTTACCTCTGGTGACCAGGCTGTACATGATGGGTTCCTTGGTTGCTTGTTCACGCGATAAATTGCTGTAGCGATGAATTGCTGTAGCGGAAACTGGAAGCACTGGGTTTGTGGCAAAATAGGCTTCCCCACAGGATATATCCAACGACATGCTGCTTTACATGGAAATTTCTCTACATCTAAAAAAACACATGCTGCTTTACATGGAGATTTCTCTACATCCGTTTGGCATTCGGGTGATGCTTAACTGGCCCAAATGTATCTGCAAAATGCAGGGATCCGCAAGTAAAGGACCTGCATCGTGGTGAGCTCAACCAACCCCCAGTGAGCTGGCTACAAAATAGGCAATGATTCCCTTGCTTGCTTGTTCTTAGGAAATCTGGATTCTGTTGTACGTAATAGTTGCGAGGTTCTTTCCAGTATTCCTTACTAAGCCCAGTTATATATTCCAGCTTCCACTATAGTAGGCAACCAAAGCAATTCGAAGGCTCTCTACTCTCACTCCTGAGCGGACTGGCCAAGGAACGTCAGACCCGTGTTTTACCCCAAAGCCGGTGTTGCTAAACAGCTTAAAGTTCATGAACTCACCCGATTGGAAGTCCTCTGAACCCATTGGCCAGAACATGTGAAACAAAAAGAAAGGTGGTAAAAACGAAACCAGTCCATGAACTCAGGGAGTAAGACCAGTCATGGGGTTATATTATTCCAAGATGTGCCTCGTCCGTTGCAACATTGTTCTAGCCGATTGATCGACTGGCGCAAAGATTTTTGGCGTTTCGCGGCGAGCGCCATAGCGCCACGAGTTTCAGCTGGATGAGTTCATCCCGGGCCTCGCGGCGCTGATAAAGTAGTCGGGCCTGGCGCACAAATCCTCCGCGTCCAGCATGGCGCAGTAGCAGACCACGAAGATGCCCGCCTCAACAGGAACGGACGGACACGTCGGGATGCCCCGGAAGCTCCAAATACCCGTTGTGCTTTATTATTATTTATTATGTTTACTTTTTTTTTTTTGTGGGGTGCAGTTGGAACGCAACTTGTTTTAACAACCCTCTGTTTTAGTCGTGGATAAGCGCCTCTGAGGCTGCCCCAAAGTTTCCAACTCCGGAAAAAGACCATCAAACACCGATACTGCGATCATGTTGTCCGCTGTTTATATGCGCCATGATCGAAACTCTTGAATGGAGCTCTAAATTTCTGAAGGGGTTGCTGACCGACTGCATGCCTGATTTTGAAAAACAGGTGCTCGAAACGGCAAGACATCTCACATGCACCCCGATCCCTTGATCCCGAAGGTGTCGCGGCGCGACCCAAAGGCGACAAAACGGGGAACATCTCCACATTCGCCCTTTGCCCCGGGTTTGTCTCAAAGAGGACCCAAATTGGGGGTGTCCCCAACACGGTTCATGCTTGTTTAATTCCTCAAAATGAGTCGCTCTGTTTTTGGTAGTTGAATTTCAAGGGAAACCCCTCCAAAAACCAACAGAACAAGCGCACTCTTTTGTTTGATACTTGATGTTGAAGGGCGTAGAATAAAAAAAGGCCCATAGAATTTGCATAGTCCAATAGGTAAACCACAGAATCCGCAATCCGCTAATCATTGGGGGTTCGGCTTTCAACAAGCTGAGCCCTTAAAGACCGGCATGCCCCAAAGTGGGTCGTCCCTGTGGCTTCCCATAGCAAGCCCAAACAGGATTCCTTCAAAAAAGACAATTTCAGGAGACTTTGATCATTCTCGCACAACTTGCCCTCCGCCCCCAAAAAATATAAAAGGGAGCAACCCACCAATGTTAAAGGGAAACCCTCCAAAAAACTGAACAAGGGCACCGGTGGAGGTCTGGTAAAAAAACAACAACACAAACCCCCCCCTTGCCTGCGCCTTGCTTCAATCAGGGGGGTTGTGACCCACAAAAGTCGGGGACACGCCCGATCAAAATCAACCAAGGGTTCTGCTTTGATCCGGGTTTAGCATGATGCCAAACGGGGGTGTTGTTTCTGAGGCTCTATATCCTTTCTTGGGTGGTTTGAAGGACAAAGGATTCCCATCAGGAACCACACACCCCTTACCATTACGCGTCTTCTCCAAAAGCGAAAAACAAGCACGCACACACACACACACACACACACACACACACACACACACACACACACACACACACACACACACACACACACACACACACACACACACACACCTTCTTCCATAGGGAACCAAATGGTCGAAACTCGAAACCGTCAGTTTCCATCTGATTGTTGTAGGGATTAGGGGTGGTTTCCTATTTGATCTCTAAAACGGGGCTTCAACTCCAAATCCAAATCGGGCTCCAACCACCAAAGGGTTGCCTGAAACCACTGTGTCAGCGGGGGATATCGGATAAAGATCCAAGGGCGCCCTTAAAAAACACACACACACACACACCATTTCCATGAAGTGAACCAAGCAAACCCCTCATCCTTTCAAAGGGAGCCCCAGGACGGAAAAAAGGCGCGTTGGGTGTCTGTTGGGGAAAGATGCAAGCCCCCTGACCCGCGCTGGCGCGAGCCCCCAAAGGGCCTTCCAGGCGTTGAAGCTCTCATCGTTCTCGATCCCGCTGAAGGGCAGGTAGTTGCTGGCGCCGGAGACGTAGGCCAGGTACTCGCGCGCCAGCTCCTCAGAGCCTTGGGCGCTGAAGGAAATCAAGGCCTGGGGACTCTCAATCCACACCCCCACAGATTAACATGGAACCCAAAAACCCGTGGACACTTCCTTTTGGGGTCCCACTCGTTGGGTTTTCTGTTCTTTTGCAAGGGAGTTGCTTCATTCTGTTCAGGAATCCGTCTCTTCACCAAGTGGGGCCAATCCCGGCAGAAAATAGGTGGTTTCTGAAGAGTAGCATGTTGCGTCAAACCTGAGACGAAAGGGCGATGTGGGCCTAAAAGATGTCGTGCAATTACCCGCAGCGCGAAACGCGATTCGGGTCTGCAGGTTCAGCCGAACATCTCAGTACTAGTACAAAGCAGACCCACTCAAGCGCGTTCGCGCACACGCACACACACACACACACACCTGCCACACGACAAGCACACCCACCGCCCTGCGCAATCGCCTGCCAAATGATAAGTGCGCCCGCCAAGTGCGTCTGCGTAGCACCGCACACAGGACACACGCCTGCCACACGATAAGCGCACCCAAGTGCGTCCGCGCAGCCCAAGTACGTCTGCGTAGCACTGCACGCACGCCTGCAAAATGACAAGCACACCCCCATACTTGCGTCCGTGCAGCTCTGCGCACACACACACACATACACACCTTCCGCATGGTAAGTATATCGGCTCAAGTGCGTGAGCATAGCACTGCACACACACGCACGCAACAAATTGTCACGACCTCCTGGCCAGCACAATGCGTACCAAAAGCCACACTAAACACGCCACAACAGGTTCTGGTCGCTGCTCAAATCCTGGGTCTAAACACGGTCTGCCCACGCCCACCAGTGCAAATAATGTAAAGGGCGGATATCCGCACCTATTCATGGCTGGGACTGCTCCTTGCTATCCGTCATCTACCCGCGTGTTGATCGTGGCTCGCCAGCCTGCCAAAAGTATCCAGCATTTGGAGAGGAAATAACTATTTTGGTTGGTAACCAAAGCATTGACATGGAAACCATCTGTTTTGGTGGGTTGACAAGTCGAAAAGTGACAGGTTCTTCTGCTTGAAAGGCTAAGGGCTAAGTCTGGCCAAGGCAAGCTGGAAGGTCTAGGGGTGGTGATCCAGGGAAGCCACGCATTGTAGGTAATTGGCTAAAAGGGCAAGAACAAAAGCCTTGTTCGTGGGTATCCAAGGCATTCAAGTGGGCACCCGAGGAGAAGCCCCCCTGTGTGGTGGGTAGACAAGGGAAAACCACCTAACTATTTGTCAAAGAGGAGGCAGACTGCTTACGGGACAAGTTGCAGGGACAGTGGCATGGGAACAACGCCGCACAAACTTGGTCATTGTCAGGCGCCCTTTGTAGCTCAGGTATAAAACCCTTATTGGTATGGAGCCCAGATTCGCCAACCCCAAACAAAGGATGTTGGTGTCCTACCACCGTTGTTTGACCCACAAAGTTAACCGACAGACGCGCCGCCTTTCTACGAAAAGAACTCCCACCCGCAGCCACACACACACACACGGTTTTGCGGGATCTATTTGTTTGGCATCACTCATCACACCCCATTTCAAGGTTCCGAGGCTTCAGAGACCCGCCTGCATTGCCTCTTTGGCACATCCTTTCTTTTTGCTGTCCCCACTTTCCAAATTGTCCAAATGTGTGTGTGTGTGTGTGTGTGTGTGTGTGTGTGTGTGTGTGTGTGTGTGTATGTGTATGTGTATGTGTATGTGTATGTGTATGTGTATGTGTATGTGTATGTGTATGTGTGTATGTGTATGTGTATGTGTATGTGTATGTGTATGTGTATGTGTATGTGTATGTGTATGTGTATGTGTATGTGTATGTGTATGTGTATGTGTATGTGTATGTGTATGTGTATGTGTATGTGTATGTGTATGTGTATGTGTATGTGTATGTGTATGTGTATGTGTATGTGTATGTGTATGTGTATGTGTATGTGTGTGTGTATGTGTATGTGTATGTGTATGTGTATGTGTATGTGTATGTGTATGTGTATGTGTATGTGTATGTGTATGTGTATGTGTATGTGTATGTGTATGTGTATGTGTATGTGTATGTGTATGTGTATGTGTAAGTGTAAGTGTAAGTGTAAGTGTAAGTGTCTGTGTATGTGTATGTGTATGTGTATGTGTATGTGTATGTGTCTGTTTGTGTGTGTCTTTCTTTAAAGGTACTCTGTTTTGTGATTTGAATGGGAATTTAGTGGGGAAACCACCCCGTAAATTTGGAGGATCCTTGTGTGCCAACTGCAAGAATCAGTTTGTGGTGCCTGCGGAGAGAGCCCGAAACAACTCTGGGTTTGTCTCCAACTCGAGAAACCCAAAGATGGCACAACACCAAACTGAGCCCGTGCATCGCACCAGCGGAGCCAATCGGCTACACAGAGCTATCCCTCTCACTCCTTCAGCTTGGCAGCTCGCAGCCGAATGTAAAGCGCATGCTTATTGTCCTATGTGGGCCTGTCTTTGAGGGTACCCTAGGGCTGGCAAAAAGGGAGACCGAAAGGAACAAACGACTTGGGTCCCCTCAGATTGAGACACCAGGTAGTGAACCTTAAGGTATTTCTTTGACAAGAGATCCCAAAGAAGTGGCTTTCGACCATGCTTATCATTTACCTCGCGTAGCCGATGGCCTCCTCAACTCGCATTGCCCTTTCAGGGAACCGCGCAAACACACCTCCCCCCCCAACCCTTTTTGGGGACCACACAGTTAGATCGAAACTGGGAGCGGGTTTGGGGGGGCGCTTGGAAGTGGTAGCAGTTTCATGATGTAATAGAGGCGCTGGGACCGTTGTAGTACTCAGCATTGAAGGTCGCGTTCGCGCAGGCGCCATTCAGAGCTAGGCGGCCCTCCTGTCGGTTCCAGAAAGGATGGGAGATCCGCGGATGGAAACCAACGACTTCACGACGGCTGCCGGATTAATGTGATACTCGTGCAGTGATTCGCAAGTTTGCAATCCCAACGGATCACTTGATCACTTGATTTGAAGGGATGACTATTGTGAACATGGGGCCAAAGCCTCACTTGCAAGGCCAAAAGATCACCCTTTGCCAAATGAGTGACACACAAACTGCACCTGCCTGCAGAAATGACAACTTCTTTGACACGCCACTTCCGCGATACAACTGGTAGGCTTTGCTGATGACTAACTCACGTTGAAGCTGGAGGAACACTCCTGGATCACAGTGGGATTCGACCCTTCGCATAACCAGAACTTGGCTCTTTCGCAAGGCCGCACCTGCACATGCACAGAACGAAAGGGCCCCAAAAGAACGCAATCCGTGCCAAGCAGACCTGGCCCACATCCGGGTACCCATAACATATTCTGCTCAGATTCTGTGTCATATTCAGTCTACCCTAAAATATATAGTTTATTTTGAGTGACCCCACAAGAGTGAAGGTTGCGCAGAAACAGATTCAGGCTGTCATAGAGGACCTTTGTGTTGGTTTCCCGTTTGCTACAAGTGACAGTTCAAGGCAAATGGAAAAAAGGGGGTCTTGAGGACCAAGCAAAGAAATCGATTGACCATGGCACACATGGCTGTGCGATATTATCATTTCTGTGCTGCAGTGGCTCATGCCTGTGACTGTCTTATCACCAAGGGGATTCCCTTGCTTCACAAAAAGTGGCAACATAAAACCAAGCTTCTCACAACATGTCTCAACACTGACTTGCCGTTTCCAAAGCATCGGTTTGGGGTTGTTTGGTCACACCAAAGACCAACCATGAACACAATGCAATAACTTGGCCCACAAACAGGTACAGGCAACAAATTGAACGTAGTACCCGAAGAATATATTTCATATTTAGTCAACCACAAAACATTTAATGGGTGTCACTTTTTGAGGGTAGGCTTTTTGGTTGGTCGTTGAGAGAAACCACCAGGAAAAGCGCAAACCATTCTGTGGATCCCCTACAAATCGGGCGCCCTCCTTGGTGTTGCTGCGGTCCAGCCCGAGGGATTGCTCCAAGTTCACCTCGACTTTCCGAAGCGGATCGCGAAACCAAAAGCTAGGTGTCACGACCTCCCCAAAAAGCGCCTCCTCTGCAAGTTGGGTGTTTCGGGTCCCTTTGGTAACAATTGCCGTGCTTCAAGTCGTCCGCAGCGAATCGTCCTTATGCCAACATCCCGGTTGCTCAGTGACCCTGGTAGCAAGGGGACACCTTTTTGGGATTAACCATTTGTTTAAAGGCGAACCCACTTAACACCTCACAAGGAAGCCACTGAACCGTTGGAAAGCTGCTCTGAACACTCACCCCAGCCATTTGAACATCGGCAAGAAATAGACTATCCAAAACTGATACCCCTGCAATCCTGGTGCGTCCAGTTGCCTATGTAGCAGGCAACCCTTCGGTATTTGTACCTTTAGGTTTTGCATGATGGTGTGCCCCTGCGGCAATTGGAAGCACCGGGCATAGCAGGTCTGTGGCTCATTTGTGGTGTCTTCGGGGACTCCAAAATTACGTGTGGTTTCCATTCAAACCCACACACACACATGGGCACGTTCAAAAACCACAAAACGCGCAAAACACACATTTCTCGCTCGACTGGCCTTGGGATCGCTCGGCGCAGCGTCGGCCAACTGGTAGACATACTCGTTGTCGAAGGGCACAAGCTTCAACGTGGTCTTCTTGCGCCAGGGGATGCTGTCGTACCTGTGCTCTTGGCCCCGACAAAAGACACCAAACACAAAAAGAAAACAACTCCTGCTTGACATAGGTGACCTTTTCCGCAAAAAAAAAGAAGAGATAGCCCTGCCAAATGGAATAAAACCAATCTAAGACAGTGCCATCTATTTCTATCCAAACTAACCAACAAAAACGACACCTATGCTGATTCTTAGTCATTCTACCCTCAAACATACCAGCAAATCGAGGAGACTCCAGGTTCGTTTTGAGTTACCCACCCTCAAAGGCTCATGGTATGGACCGATATAGCCATGTTGGGGCCCTTTCATATCTGCTAGTTCATTGGGATGCCTTCGTAGTTGCCTGAGTTCAAGCGCATGATCAGATATGGCTCCTGGATGTATGCAGCTTATATACCATTCAATAAGAGGCGTATTGCTGCCTGATAAAATTAGATTAGTGGTATAAAAGCCTTCCTCCAAGATGCCCTAGAACTGCTCCCATTCGATACGCTTGAGGCTTTTTCGCTTCAAAACTTGGAGCCACCTATGTTATCACATGCTTGCGGGGTCTCCTTGGGCTTTTGGGCGTCCCTGACAGCGCCGCAGCATGCCGCAGCCCCGCAGACCTCTCCCTTCGCTTCATCCCATTCGAGGCAAGGCGAGGGGCGGGTGCATGCCCTCCGACAAGGTGGACCTGAAGGGCCATCGATCGATCGATCCCATGGCTCCACAGCAATTCGTTGATCCCATGGCTCTAGGTGAAACGCGTGCCGGGGATAGGCCGGACATCCCTCCTATATCCGAAAAATAGAATAAAATTGGAAAACAATTCAGGGTACGAGAAGTACCGGGAAGTGAGGAGTTGACATGTTCAAACAAATCCTCCTTGCTTGCCCTCCCACCCTTGTGATGGAACCTCTAAGCTCGGGTGAGTCATAAACTTGGACCATTTTGATCTAAGACTCTAAGTGTGACATTGGTGGCTCGTTGATCCCCCAAGTAGGTTTCGCTCACTTACTGAGTGGATTTAGCAAAACAAGTCCGCACTTGTTGTTTTACCATTCAAACTGCCTTCCCTAAAAAGTATGAAGTCCACAAACTCAGGGATATATTTTTGGGATGTCGTGCATCCCCGTAAACAAAAAAGTATGGATGGTGAAACCAGGGGAGGGGAATGAGTGGGTAACAAAGCTCCTTGTGGAATCCATGAAGGTGAACATGAAACCCAACGGGGTCCTTTACGATTCCGCTCCCAGAGGGGATTTTTGGGGGAACCCCAAAATTATCTGCAAATATGAAGGACCGTTCAGGTGGGGCCATTGCTGCCAAATTCTTAAGGGGATCCTTTTTTGGGTTCAAGGAAAGGCCTAAGGGAACCCACTCATATAGAGGGTCTAGAAACTTTTCACACCCCCATTTGCTTACCCCTATGAATGTGTCGCTTCCGGAAAATCAGCTTCTTGGGGGAGTTCAAACAAAGTGCTTTCACATGTTCAAGCCACTGCCTCACTTCCCCTCGAGTTGATGCCAACCCCAAGTAGTGTCGAATGTCCGGAAACTCGGGAAGTGAGTTGCTGTTTGACCAATTGTCTTTCGAAGGCAATGGGACGCGCAATGGAAAATCCCCTGAACAATACTATTGCAATGGCACCTGGTTTAATAGGGACCTTGAATTACGTCAAATGTCCTCGGCTGAAACACGATCTTTACTGGGCGTTAATCTTTTATATCAAGTTAACTAGGTTCTCCAGTGGAGAGGCTAGAATAAGGTACCCTTTTTTTTCTGTAGTCTATATTAGTAGGGAAACCCTCCCCCAAAAAAGGGTAAAAGGGCAGACCTAGTGACCTAGTTAAACATCCCGAAAATCCCGTTCCAAACAATCTAAGCAACATTCACAATAAGGCAACTGAGTTCTCCTCTCAGCTCCCTGGCTTAGGCCCAGCAGCGACAACTAAATTCGGGAAGCACATAATTGGGCGGCCCTCAGATCCCCCGCTAAAAGTTCAACTAATAGTGGGTTACATGGAAATCCCCACTAAATACTAAAAAGCTAAAAGGCTAAGGGCATGGCTGGGAACCACCAAGTAACTTGTATCAAATTCTGAAAGCCTTAGCCTTTTTATGTTAAAGGGTGGTGGATCTAAATCCTTCCCAGCTCAAAGGCTCAAGTGCTTAGATTCAGGAAATTCAATGTTGCAAGCGGTCCCCAAACAATCAAATTGAAGATAACCTACTTGGTTGTCCAGAAGAAAAGAAACAAGCCCGGCGGGATGGTAGAGGATAAACGGAGTTTAAACACTATGGGGTATGGATTTGATATTAATTCTGGCCTTTCAACAATTCAGTTCGTCTCAGGGCCCAGCAGGGCCCGCGAAGGCCCGAGGGTCCGGGAAGCAAGTTGGGAGCGTCTGGGTAGCATGAAGCCCGGGTGGGTCAAATCTGGCAATACAAAATTTAGACGAGGCAGTCCTAACCAAGTACTGGAAATCTGAGAAGTCCTGACAATACTAAGTTGAAACCAGACAGTACTAAGCTAAGCAATACGAATCTAAGAGTAGGTCCTGTCAATATAGACTAGGCAATGCTAAAGCAAGTACTAGCGAATCTGAGAGTACGTCTTGCCAATACTCAATTTAGAATAGCCAATGCTAAAGTAGTTCTGGGAATTTCAGAGTAAGTCTTGCCAATGCTAAATTTACAGTAGGCAGCTCTAAAGTAATTAGGTACTGGGATATTGAGAGTAAGTCGTGGCAATACTAAATTTAGACTAGGCAATACTCAAGCAAGTACAGCGAACCTGAGAGTAAGTCTTGACAAACTTTGGACTAGGCAATACTAAAGTAAGTACTGAGAATTTGAAAGTAAATCTTGGCAATACTAAATTTAAACTAAACTAAGTACAGGCAACCCAACAAAAAGTGCTGGCAATGCTAAACGAAGTATTGGCCAAGACTAAGGCAAGACTTAGGTCATCCAAGCTGCCAGAGCTTATAGAGGACCCAGAGCACTGCCTTGATTGGTCTTGGGGGGGAGGGCATTAAACAAGGTCCCACATTATGTACAAATACACCACAAGACAAGATATGGAGGGACCTGTGTACCCCATTAAGTGCATTGGACTCCCATAGGGTTCCCTAGATTTCCCAAAACATCGCCACAAAGGAGACTCACTTTAATGTGGCACGAAACACTTTGTCGAAAAACACCAAAAGGGGGAAATACCCCCTTGCGCCAACTACCCTCCATTTTTGTTGGTAGTTGTTTAAACAAACTAACGGTTTTCCTTGGTACAAACCGATCCCTTTTTTGGCAACAGGTTGACGTGATACCAACTAAAAAAGCGTTGGTATTTGGAGGTTGCGGGGGTATAGCGAACCCCTATAGCAAGCCACCCCTGCCTGATGCCTGCGTACAGCGTCAGCGCTCCTGGCTTTGTGACCTCAGGTGACACGCATCAAATGCGACTCGTCTCGAGTCGGGATGCTCGATGAATTGAAAAAGGTTGTAGATGAAATCAAAGAGCAGCCACTCCCTTCCTGCCAAACAGTGTCCAAACGAATTATTTACCACTAAAATGGTCTTCACAAAAAGTATCAAGTCATTACAAGTGCATAAACTCAGGGAGTGAGAACCAAAAAGCAGCTAACTGGCATTCTAAACCCGGGGTTGAGTTTGACATGAGCCCCCGCTCGGAGAAAACGTACAGATTGCTTTCAGACTGACTTGCAAGCTCCAGCTATATGGGGTGTGGTCGACCCTTAAAAACATTGCAAGAATAAGAATTGGGCCCCGAGTAAAGGAGCTTCATCATGGGCTTTCGCTCGGTTCACCCCCCAATGAGTGAGCTCGCAGGTCATAAACAGGCAAACCCATATTTTTTGCGGGATCCTTGCGTGTTAGCTTTCGCTGTGACTGTTCAACTCTCATTGCCAAGGTACATACTGCAGCGACTCGATCTCTTGGATGAGACCTACCGCTCGAAGCAGTGGGCAAGGGTTGCATTTATGATGTACATTCACCTGCTTTGCTTTTTTTTGGGAAAGGCCTCTGCCCCTCTGCCCAGTCCCGCTTCCCCCCATATCCGCCCTCGGAGGTTCATGAGTTTACAATACATGAGCCACAGCAAAAAGAGACATGCAAAAGTCACGGTCCTTAATGCCTCAACTCATTAATTGTGGCTATTAGGTTGCTGCTGGCCAAAAGGATGCCAGGACGTGAACCTTGTATTGTTATTATTGTTGGCAAGTGTGCAAGGAGTGCTGATCTTGCAATGTTCGGGAAGAGAGGGGGTCCTTGCGGCGCGACTCTGCAGTTAGAGGGAACCAAGCTGTTGACTGTTGAAGATTCATCTATCTACTTCGTTGTACAACCATCCCAGGCAGAGCGAAAGCTGTATATACTAGATCTCTGTCCAGCTCAGCCCATTGAGCTTCTGCTCGGACAAGAAGGTAATCCAACGAGGGACGATCCAAGGCTGAGTTTGCCCCTATCTCCTCAGCATACGAAAGGTCAAAAGGTCAAAAGGTCGGTTCTGGGCACTGTGGGTTTCGTGGGATGTGTCATAAATGCCTCGCAACTCTAAAAGTCCATACCCCAATGAACCCAGGCAGGCGAACCACCTAACAAGGCCCCTTTTGGGGGATCTGTTTCGCGCACTCTGGATTTTCAGCGACAAACCCTTATTTCCACTGGAAAGACAAGAACTGGCACACTTGTTGTTGGTCGCTGGTTTGTATTGAGGGCATATACCACCTCCAACAAGAAGTTGAAATAAGAGTTCGCAAAATCGCAATTCCCCATAAAAGGGAAAATGGGTTGCCATACACATGGAGTCCACACTTCACCCATCCCCCAAATCCCATGTTTCGATCGGGTGGGCATCTGGCGGCTCCCAACCCACTCGGTAACCCCCCTTCTCCAAATACCTGATTGCCTTAGGGTATCATGTCAACCCACCGCCAAAGGGATCAGTACTTGCCCTGGACAACCCTTAGTTTCTCCAAAAAACCACAGAAACACAAAAGGGGTCTAACCCCATTTACCCCGCTTGCCATGGTTACAACCTGCTTGCTACACTTTCTCACATGGAAGCTGCGAGAAGGCCTTTTCGGGCTCCGTTCCGGGCTGCTTCCATGGAACCGCGCGGGGAAGGGTAAGCTGGACGGAAAAAACTGCGTCTCTGGAAGTATTGGGATCTAACCCCTGTAAGCCCCCTAACCAAAGGTCAAAACCTACTACCCTCTCACCAACTAACATGGAAGTGCAAAAAGGCCAACTAACCAAGAGGAAAGTCGTCTTTCTACAGGGGTCTGTGCACTTCCCTGGAATCGCCGATGGGAGATTGGCTGAACACCAACCAGCACTGGGTGACCCAACTCCCCTCGCGAAGGCGCCTCCCAAGTTCGGCACTTTGGTCCACCTTGCGATGCCCGCGGAGTCGCTGGACGTGATCTCCCCCACCTCACGCGGGGCGGCAGGCGGGCCGGGGAGGCCAAAGCGAGACCCGAACACCGAAGGCGGCCGGAAAGAAACCCTCTTGAAGTTGCATAGGTTTATGGCCGGGACAACTGGTAGGCTGGAATAGAATGCTTGGTTTGGGACTATATAGAAATTGTGTAGGCTTCGGCTTCTCTTGCGGTTTGCTAATATGTTATGTAGACAGTCAGCCGTATATACAAGTTGTACTGGTCTATGCAAGTGTGATTGGTGTATATGGATTCAGGCTGGTTGGGTAGTAGATTGATGTCTGGTTCCATCAAGATGGCATCGCGGTTTACATCGGCGTTTCTTTAGCACCTACTGTACTAGAGGGTAGAACACCCCACTAAGTTGGCCAACAGGAGCCTTGGCTATATCCTCTTCAACTGGTGATAATACTGGATGGACCAAATCCTGCACCAAATGAGATAGATGAACCCCTACGAATGAATGCGGGAAAAACCATTTACCACCTGATGCAGGATTTTTCCATCAGTGTGTCATCATAATCATAATGGCAAATGTCATTGACAGAACTCCCCCTGCAAACAACAAGCAGGTCGACCCCGGATTGATCAGCCTGGCAGATAAACGGGCGGAGAGGCCCCCCAAAACAGCAGGATGCTCTCTAAATTGGAACACCTCCTATTAGGCAACCAGGGGTTAGAGGGTTACTAATCCAGGGTAGAAATGCAGTAAACTGAATACTCCGTCCAGCCGCCTAAACATCAACCTGGGCAATTTACATCCATTCTCAAACCCCGAGTGAGGGACCTTCATCCTTGGTAAGCTCATTTTGCCCCCTGCCGAGCTCCTTAGAATTTGCCCAGACGAGTGGGATTCTCCAGCGTTACACCATTGAAGCACCATTGCAACAAGGCCTTCTCTCGTTTCCGTACATCGCATCTCTTGGAGACTCCAAACTTCTAAACATCTGGCAGTAACCCAAACACCTGAAGCAATGAGGGCGGAAAGTCACAGATTCTGGCCGTAGCAACAGGCACTGCAAGTTGTTCAAGAGTTGCCACCTCCGGACAGCTTTGTTTGCGCAAAAGAATGTGCTTTGGAAGGATGGCCAAAATGCGGTTCGATCGCTGAAGCTAGCCGCTGCTTCGTCAGCTGATTCTCGCATTCATTCATCTTTCATGTTTTATGTCCGCTACTGGGCCATGTCTCATAAACCGCCTGGTTGCTTCATGAGGAGGAATGGGAGGGGGACCATTAGAAACAACACAACCAAATGAGCCACCGTCAAGACTACTTGTTCCACACGAAGACATGAAAACTTGAGCGAGTGAGTCCCTTTCTGCGGAAGATTGAGGTCCGCTATGTCCATCCCAACTGGGCCATAGGCAAATCCGGAAATTGTGGCTGAACCATATCTTGCAGGGCTCTGGAGCCTGTGTGCCCGTGGCCTTAAGAGCCCTTCTCTCGACTCAATCCTCTTCCCCAGGCCTGCCATATGACCACATGTTACAATCTTCTTGGTCGTCGTTGAGGTAAAACTTGGTTGACGTTGGAAGGGAAGCAAAGATTTGAGTGTTAGCAGTTCAGTGGTTGGATGTCTCATTCTCACTAAAGCACAAGCAACAAGGTAAACTGCTTCCCAACAACAACCATGAAAACCCCTTGGAAAGAAAGAGGAAGAAAAAAGCACCCTAGCAGGTCTGTGCTCATCGAGTCACAAGGCTGGTCGCTGAAACAAAGGAAACCCTCCTACTCCAAATCATCCATGGTCATATGAGCAACAGCCGGGTTTCCCCAGTGTAAATACCTCCCTTTTTGGCCTGGGGTTGACATCATGCCTCCAAAATCATTTGGAGAAAGAATCGGCTTACACAAAGATCAAAGGGTCGGTGCGCTTTGGGCAACCGAGTTATCCCAAGGACTGCGTTCCCGAAGGCCTTGAAGTAGTTGAAGGAATTGTCGCAGTCACTGTCGCAGTAGCAGACTTCCACCTGGAAGGCTGGCCCATCCCACCCTTCAGCATCCAATACTGCATCCCATTCTGGGCACACTGAAAATCATACCTTTATTAGTATTTGTCATATTCCGCCTAAGATTGAAACAGGTTTGGAGACCCCAAATGAGGCTCTTCAGTATCCCGACGTGGGGCAAAATGTCTGTTTGTGCTCGTTTCCAAGGCATCCTGGACCCAAACGCTCAAGGGGCCCTCACACAGCTTGTGGATTGTCTTTGGGTAGAAGCAAGATAGGATTCTCTGTGTTTCCCGTCGAAACATCGCCCCATACGGAAACTCCCTTTGAATTGGCAAGCAAAGGGTCATGTTTAACTAAAACCCAAGGGATAAATTTGGTTGCAACTTTCATTTGCGTGTCCTTTTGGCAGGGTGATATTTAAAGGGGTGATATGGGTGTGGGTCAATATTCTGGTGTGGAACGTTCCGCGGTGACGCGGACGTCTGGAACGAGTCAGTTACGTAAGGTCGGTTGTTCCGGACCTCTGGGAAGACATGTGTGGAGTCCTCAAGCACAGTTCATTTAGTGTAAGATGGATAGATGGATGGATGAATTGATGGATGGGTAGATGGATGGATGAAGCGACCAGGGGCGCGCGGCCTTACCATGCGGCACCTCCTTGAAGGCTTCTTGGGCCGCGTAAGAAGTGCAGCTACTTACATGGGGCATGTGTGCGCATGTGGGCTTGGTGGCAAATTGCTCCGCTGCGTCTGGAACACGTCTGGAACGGGTCTGGAACGGGGTCTGGAACGGTTGCGCGAGTGGCTTGCAAGCAGCATGTAAACATGGTCGTTTCAACCATGTGACGACTGAGAGTCGAACCGTCGTATCGTATCGAACAAATAGCGGCGGGGATGACCCTAAACACATCTGTCAACAGAACCGCTGCCCAATTCCATCCAAGTCCCAATGATTACAAGCCACGCAGCCCTAACCACCAAAGCTCAACAAGCAAATCCCATCGTTAGCACCTCAAGCTTCTCTCGAACACCAGCTTTAACTCGTAGTATTGGGGGGGTCAATAACCTACCAAATCACCTGACTGTCTGAATCAATACTCTAAACTAGACATATACATAAACAAGGTCTGGAACGGAAGGTCTGGAACATGTTTCTAGGCAAGGTCTGGAACGGAGGTCTGGAACGGAGGTCTGGAACGGAGGTCTGGATCGCATGTGGGTTCCGGACCCTGTTCCGGACCTTATAAATTGACTCGCAGCCATATGGCGGTTGTCTGAAATTCTTTATTCTGGGAAACTCCATCTTCGCGAATAACAAATTGACTGTTGCAATATCCATTGTGAAGATTGTGCGAACTATGTTCCAAACCACATTCGCTAAAAGTAAATGAACTTTTGCGACATCCATCGCAGAGCTTTCGCAGGGGAAACACAGAAGACCAAGTGGCCTTCGCGTTCATATCTCAATACAAGGACCTGGGTCTGTTGCTTTTGGGTGGTACCCGTTTGTTTTGAGAGCTCGTCACTGAGTGTGCGTGTTTTGGCAATGGTGAATAGACATTTGAGTTGAACTCCGTTTGAATGAGTTGTCTTTAAATGTCAATTGATTTGTAAATCAACTGTATTGGAGCAGAAATCCTGTGTAAATTCTGCATTGACAAATAATAATCATGATTGCAATTCAAATATGAAATAGAAAATTATGATTGGATTGTTTCCTATCCAAATATAGTTGAACTCCAATTCAATTGTAAAATTGGGAATCCAACTCTATTTAAACTCTCATTTTAAGATACAATGTCCAGTTGGATGAGACACAAGTACAGTATTTCCTCTGTCAGTCCCATTTAAAATCGATTCGGATTCTATTTGAGTTTTGCGAAGATGCTACAAAACACTGTGTCTTACAGTGTTTTCGGGGGTAGGGCCAAGCAAAAGCATGATTTTGGGACCTCTGAATTCTTTCCGTATGAACTCTACCGAATATACTTGTCAACTTCAACTCAATTTCGAACTGAAATTAAATGAATTTGAAATATGATTTAATAAGAAACAAATCCAATCATGATTTATATGTTTAACTGTTTAACTAAAATTCAAAATGACCATTGTAAACTGAAATCACTATTGACACTGAATGTCTCTTCCAATACAAATGTGTTTACACAACAGTCAACAAGTTAACACAATGTATTCAATAATTGTAGGACCTCTCAAGTCTTTCCTCATGAATGCTACTTAATATCCTTATCACATGCTAGCCAATGAACATATAACTTAACAAGGACATCATCCAATTGAACAGTCTACTTCAAACTAGAATGTAAACAACAATAATCATTCTATTCAAATCAAAATGCACACAAGAATTCACTTCCAACATATTTCTTTGCACCTCAGTTAAGAAATAAATGCCGTGCCAAGGCTTGTATGCCCAGATCCTGGAACCACTCTTCAATGGGGCTTGTTGTTTGTGTTTTCTCAGGATTTTTCCCAGACCCCGCGTCCCAGATCCTGGAGGCACTACCCAATCGGGCTTGTAGTTTTGTTCTGTGGACCTGATGGACTGATGGACCTTCCTTGACAATTGTTGTCTACACAATTGCGTGGCAGATGCGGAGGGAGGCAGATGCGTGGCAGGCGCCGCCATTCTTCCACTTTTTTCAGCCTTCCAGATGCCCCCCCTCCATTCGTCAAAACCGGGGCGTCGTCGGCGGGGTAAAACTGGGGGAACACACTGAACGAACCGCGCCTTGCTCTCCATTGCCATGAGCCCCAGCAGCGTGGGATTGGCCCAGGCCTTGTAGTCCTGGCGAACACCTGGCGCCATGGCACGGGGTGGGCAGGCCATTGGAACAATGACCAGGGTTTTAGCTCTGCATCCCCCAGGTTTGAGCTCCAAATCCCCTTTAAGTTGGTTGAGTACCAGGTTTGACCTCTAAACCCCGTTTCCTTGGTGTCCACTTTGACCCACTCAAAATGGTAGGCCCAAAAAGGGCCTACTGTAACCTCTTCTACCAGTTTTCTGGAATCTCCTCCAAAACTATTTCACATCTTAGGTTTGATGAATCATGTTATTTTTGCTTAATTGTAGAGATGCCGGCAAAGACTTTTTTGGGGTACCCACCCACCGGATGCGTGAAGGAACCTGCTTTTGAAAGATATCTTGTTGAAGTTCTATGCATGTGCGAGCCTTTCAAAGGTTCCTTTCAGAAGCCGAAGATACTGAAAGACTCCTCTGTTGATACCGTTGCCATCACACAATCTTGTTGTTGTTGCTTCATCCAAAATGGTCATGCTCCTTGCCCAAACAACCAACCAAAAGGACCCAAAGCTTCTGGAAAAGTGAGGTTTAGTCAAACTACCAGTCGAAGTTCCACCTGTGAGGGACATGGGAGAACTTCTACACTTTCCCACCAATAACGAAGGAAACTGACAAGATGTCACTATGTCCTTTCAGGGAACTTGTATCATCGGGACCGAAACTTAATCCATGAGATTTGGACCCCCATTAACTCTTACCTGTTTGATGGTTGAAATGAACAATGAAGGCAACCCAAAAAGGCAAAAAGCTGAATTCGTAAGCTAAGTTTGGCAATAGAAAGCAATCACGAGCTTCACTCCCTGCACGTCTGCGACTGGCGCACCTCCCTGTAGGTAGCTGTCTCCGCCGATGAGTATGCCCTGCTCATCAAACTGGAGGGCTGGCTCCCAGCCAATGTCGTTGGTCCTTAGGCGCCCAACTGTCCATCGACACGGTTTTTAGAAACCCGCGGGCTAGGAAAGCAATGAACCACGTCACTAAAACCCCGTAAGAACAGAATGCCATGTCAAGCATACCAGAGCGAAAAAAACTGGTTTGGTTTGAACAGCCAAGCCAACCACCGCTTCAATAAACTCACTTGCGTCTCCCTAAGAGGTACACATGGGTCAGAACAACCAGGGTTGGTCAGAACCACGGATTCAGCAAACCATTTCAAGAAAGCCAGGGTTCAGCGACTTCATTCAGCCACACCGCCAGAAAGGCTTAAAACCACCTTGCGCTGCAAGCCGTTCTTTAACGCAAACGCCAAAGGACCTTTTTTTTTTTAAAGGTGAGCCATGACCAAGACCTGGTAGTCAAACAGTCTACGCAAATCAAAAAAACAATGCGTCCATTTATGGCCATGGGTCAAAACCCCGGTTGCCCCCCAGACATCCCAATCCCCACCAAAATAGGCTCTAAAATGGGTGGTGCACCGAAAACCCCAAAATGGGATCCCATTGGTTTTGAACCATGGCCTTCTGGCTGGGACCGCTGGGACTCGATTTTGATGACGGAAGCGGTGCCCCACTCACCGTGTTGCCACGTGTTAAACGACGCGGGCCACTTGGCACTGAGTGTGTGTGTGTGTGTGTTTTTTTTTCTTTTTTCTTTTTGTTTTGTTTTTTTTTCCCCGAGGGTACCCCTTTTCTTCACGTTTTTGAAGGAACACCAAGAGGAAAACCACCATTTTGGGGGGTCCGAATCCAAAAAAACAAGAAGTGAAAACTGCATCCCAAAATGGCCAGAAACCAAAAGGAAAACCACCATTTTGGGGTGTCCGACAAAAAAAACACACCCCGAAATGGCCAAAGCGTCATGGTCCGCTCGATCTTGCACCGGCTCTGGGGCTCCCAAATGGCCCGCTCTGGGACCTCCACCACAGAGATCCCATCGGGACCTGGCCGAGCAGCGAGCGGCGAGGGCTTTGAACGAGTGGCAAAACCTAAAGCCCTGAACCAACAATAATGTTGACCCCAGATTAAATAAGCCCCTGTATATTCAAAAAGACGGTGTCCTCGGCATTGGTGGGGATTCATTACTTGAGGAACACCCCCAAGATTAATGAACAGGGGTGTATTAATCCGGGGTCAACATTAACCTAAACCCTAAAGACCTAAACCCAGCCGCCGCCCCCCACAAAAAAGAAAAAACAACAACCAGCTAAACCTAAACCCAACAATCCTCAACCTAAACCAAACAACCCAAAACTTTGACCCAACAATAACCTAAACCCTAAAGACCTAAACCCAACCCCCCCCCCCCCAACCAAAAAAACAACAAAACAACAACAACTAACTAAACCTAAACCCAACAATCCTCAACCTAAACCAAACAACCCAAAACTTTGACCCAACAACAACCTAAACCCTAAAGACCTAACCCAACCGCCCCCCCCCCACCAACAACAACAACAACAACAACAACAACAACAACAACAACAACAACAACAACAACAACAACAACAACAACAACAACAACAACAACAA